TAAGGTGTTTGGATTGGTAAACGGAAAAAAAGTCACAGAAAAAAAGTCACAGAAAAAAAGTCACAGTGGAAAAATTTTATCGGAAAAAAAGTCACAGAAAAAAAGTCACAAAAATCTTTTTAGAAATATTTTGATTTATTTGTTAGGAATTGTATAATTTTGTATGTTTATTTTTGTGGGTTGTATTTTTGATAGCATAAATTATTTATAGACGTTAAAAGCATTATGGTTTATAACAATTGTAAGTAAAAAATACTCTAAGATAATTTACACAACAATCTCAACTTTTGCTACGTATTTAGTTAAATACGCGGTAGAAAAGTTTATAAAAGAAATTTAAGCAAATTTTGCCGTAGGCTATTCACCTGGTCGGCCTCTCCTCAGTAGGCATTGTCCGAACATATTTTGTGTTGTTGACGTTATGCGTCAATGACAGCCTTTGAACCTTGTCGGCTTTCTGTTTGATCCTAAGTTTTGTTATGTAATGAGCGTGATAAATGTGGGCAGTAAAGGTGGTTGAACTGAGCGTAACTATTGTTGCCGTGAGTTGAGGACAGCAAGTCAGATGAACTTACCATTTCACGGTAATTTAATGTTGGTATTTAAAAAAAACATGATGAAAACCGTGGACATTGGAGCATTCTATTAAATGCTACTAATCTTAAGTTTAAAATAATTACAATGTTCATACTTCTTACTAAATATTTTTAGATGAATTATAAAAATTACTATGCGTATACAGCCTACACACATTACATTAAATTTAATTAATCCTAAGTTAATGTGCACTCTCTAAATATTTAATACACAAAAGTATTACCAAATATCAAGCAAATATATATTTTTGACTTTTTTTCCTGTGACTTTTTTTCTGTGTTTTTTTCCTGTGTTTTTTTTTTTTCCTGTGACTTTTTTACCTACAATCGTTTGGAATATCGCATGTATGAGGCTGAAACTTTTTAAATGGAAACGTACTTTCAATACTTTCTTTTGGACGTAATGTACCAACATTTGCACACCTCAGGGTATGTCCTGTTGTAGACGTACTCATACAGAACAATCACAACATCCACTACCCATACAAAAAATCGACATACACAATACATCTACATACAAGTTAGGGGTAGTCAAACCAACACATCTCCCCGCCGCCAGATTTATAAGAACTTCACATGTAGCGTAACCGCTGTGTTCTTTTAGTAAATCTCGTGCAACCCACCAAAGAACAAGCAGAAAAATATTTAGAAAAAGCAAAAATCAGGGGGCTTTATTACCTAACAGGGAGGAGGAGTTACCGCCCCTCACCACTTTATACTCGAGCTCTAGAGGCTAAGATTTCAGAGAGCGAGGCGGTTTGTACACATCACATTACGCTTAGCGTACAAATTGTGTACACAATGTTACTTGATACAACTAGAGGGAAGATGTTAATTCCTGTAAAAATTTAACTCTCGATAGATGAGTCGTTGAAAGATTAGACATACAATGATCAGTTAACAGTGAACTGCGGCATACCGTGGTCATAATACTAGAAACACCTATCAAAAAAGTTTGTCCCGACCCTACGACCAAGCTAACTGTGGACTATTTTCACGTCGGGCCTACGAGATCGACGTCGTTATGGAATCAACTGGTTAAACCATCCACACAAAGTCAAGGTTGTCCTAACCCAACTCAACCTTGACCGACATACGACCAGTGGGTGAAGCTTGACAGATGAGTGGTTCAGGCATGGAGTGAGTTAACGCTTCACGCATGAACTGACGCCACTCAAAACTTCTCTGAGAAACGAAATCCCGTGTTCGCTAGGTCTAAAAACTGATGAAATCATTGATGCTCGCAACTCCGTCCCGAGTTGCATCAGATTTCAGGATCACTCGACCCCACCCAGACCTTGGTCTACCACAACTACACGCCTAACCTGTTCAAACAACGGTTGGCAGAACACGGGCTACATAAACTTGTTTTAAACAACTGGTCATAGCCGGGTAGACTACTAACCCCAGAGCCTACTACACACATCAGATACATCCTGACAATCAGCATCACGTGACAGAGGTCAAGTTAAGCTGGTCACTTCACACTTGTCATAATGGCGGAGATAAAACACTGAGGTGTCTAATTAGGCTAGGCTGGCTTGTATGGCGAGCTTATGATAGGCCATGATTATGGGTGTGGGGAAATTGCGAGACGCGAAAAGCGAAATGGCGAGGCGGGAAAATGCGAGAAGGTAATGCGAGACATACCTGCGGAATCAAGGGAAATAGCGAGACACCTTTTTGCGAAAAAAAAGTTTTTTATCATACTTTCTTCATCTTTATTTATTTAAATTATTTTTTTGTTTTAAAGCAAACAAGCATGTAGCCATACCCTTTAACACGAGGTTGTATGTTGTTATTTTTGTATCTAGATTTTATTATACATATAGATCTAGATAGATACTAAGAAGATAGATCTATATCTAGATCTATCTATTTAAAAAATCCTAACATCGTTGCTGTGCTACTGTCATCGCCCGCTCTCGTTAGCGAGAGGAAAATCCCGTCTCAGTCGGCATTAATTTTAAAAATCTAGCCCGCTCATGTTTTTACAAATGTGAGCTGTATCATTGTGAATTGGTATAATCTTGTCAGCAGCAGATATATTCAGTTCATTAGACTCCCATTTATACTGCGCTAACACAGAACACGAATATGAACAGAAAGAAAAAAAATGTGCGTGTGTAGATAATCTGAATAAAGTCCGCTATCGACAAAACTACCATTTAATAGCTAAAAGAGGTCATTCATAAATGACGTCACGCTTTTTTTGACGATTTTTACCCCCCCCCCCCCTTCCGTCACACATTTTCACTAAAATGACGTCACAACTCGGCCTAGAACCCCCTTCAAAATTGCAGTTGAATTTTTTTTTTAAACATCGATATTTTTCAAAAATCTTGTCTGATATCTATCAAAATAGAGTATTTTAATCAATTCCTATTACAATTTATTAAAACAGTTTTCTAAAACGCAAAATAACGTCTAAAATTCTTTTTCTAACATTGCTTTTTTAAACTGACGTCACAACATCTACCCTCCCCCTCATCACACATTTTTATGCAACAATACAAAATATGTTTGCGGCGGCAGCGGATTCGGGCACGGCGATCTTCAAAGACGGTAAATCAGGCGGCCTCGGCGTTCCACACAAAAGACAGAAGTCGGCGGTATTTCCATCTGTTTCGAACAAGGTGGTATTCTAAGTCGACACAAAAGATGGGGGGAGTTGACAAATCATCAGTATGTCTAGCGACGGAAAAATCGGAAGTTTTAACAATGTAAACGAAACGTCTTTGAAGTCTGGACCAAATACCACTGAAAATCGGGTGCGGTAAATTTTTCGCAGAAATCTTAGCATTTCAACACCATCCAGCGTTAGTATCGGGTTGTGGAAAAATGCGAGACAAAAAGTCACGTGACCGACCGTTTTCGCGCCCTTCTCGCATTTTCCCGCCTCGCCATTTCGCTTTTCGCGTCTCGCAATTTCCCCACACCCCATGATTATCATTGAAAATGTTCATGTTATGTGACAGCTTTCGAGGGTATGTGGGAAGCCTTTATAATAGAACAATAGGCGCTACTCTGTGAGGGACGCTGGGGAATATCAAATGTATGTATGTTGGGAATCGACACACGTTGGCTAACATATGTTGATACAAAGAAGGTACATTCACATACAATAAAGATGAACCATATCAAATTGTTATTATTCACGCATATAAAGTTCAGTGTTTACTAAGATGGACATTACAAGGTAGACATTGGACAAAAATTAAACAGGCGATTGGGAGATAATGTGTTGAAGGATGGCAGAAATACCACATTCAGGAGAGCATTACATTTGATAGATATTAATGTGGGGTATTCCACAAGGTTTAAAATAACTTACTACAATGGCCCATTACAATTGTTACTATTGGTTAGAAAGTTGTGTGTTAGGTGACAAAAACAGATCCGACATATTAGTAGTAAAGAGTGGGCGTTGTCTGTAAGTTGTTTTTAATAACGTCACGCATGGGTGAGTACATCCCTCTGCATTTCCCCATCATTAAACTACGCAACACTTATCGAGGCCCACAATAAAACATACCAAACCGTTACTGGTAATTATGGTACATCAATGCTATTTTTATCTACTTTAGTCACTTAGTGAATTGTAGGTTGAACATTTTAATTAGAAATTTATAATAATAGGCCTAATTGTATAACCGACTAGGCCTTACAGTGAAAAAGGTAAATCTAGAATAATTTAATAATTAGTGATAACAACATCATAGTCTACAGACCTATAATATAATAATAAATATCGACTAGGGCGTAAAGCTAGACCTAACGTATTTAATTAAGAATGGCCTAAACTAATGCTTTTTATGGGATTAGAAATTGTCTTAGTGCCCACCCCATCCGGGTTTAAAACTGTAACAAACGTTTGGTTATGCCCAGATCTAGAAATCTAGATTAGATCTAGATCTAGATCTATTTACTTAGGCCTACTACACTTCCAATTGTAAAAGTGGACTTATTTATGCCTAGCCCATGATATTATTATTTTCATATTTTGTATTTAGGGCAATTTAGGCCTAAAAAAAAATCCACAATCAGATTTCACTCAGATCTAGATCTAGAATCTTGCTGATCTAATTGTTGTAAGTCAAGTTGAATAATAAATTCTTAATGTGTCAAAAAGACAAGGACTAAGACTAGACTTATATAGATCTAGATCTATATAGAATCTACTATATCTAGATCTAGACAGATTATTAAAAAGAAAAATCGTCGACCCGGTTAGTAAACGCAGAGTAGGGGGCCTAATGAGCGTAGGCCTGTGTCAGTGTGAGAAGCACAACACGACACGAACGGGCTAGGCCAAACGTGAGACAACGAAAAAGTCGAAACGTTATTAAAAAGTTGGGTAAAAGTTGTCTCAAGTATTTAAAAAACGATAAAATAACTACTCACATGGCGGGCTAGTCTGTTTCTTTGAGTTATTCCTAGCTGAACTTCACTGGGAAACTTTCGAAGCCTGACACAAACTAGAAAAAGCGAAAAATGTGTCGGTCCCAACCAATCCTAGCTTTGTTTACAGTACACACTGGCGTGAACTCTGATCTCGCTGTGTGCTGCTGCCCGCGCGACTAGAGTGACAGCAGTGGCTGTGGAAATATTCGTCTCGCGCAGTTCAAGTTTTTAGGTCGACAGGGGAGGGAACTGGGGAAATGGGAGACAGCGGGCCAACTCAAAAAAAAAAATTAATTGTATTTTTCTCTTTAGACATAGGCTAATTAAAATTAACAAATGTAAATTGATTTAATATTATTTATAGAATTATTTGTTTAATATAATGTAAACAATATAATGGAGTTAACATAATGTCTATAGTACATTCATTGACGACTGAAAGTTAAATGGGCGGGGCTAAGTAGGTCTACAGAGAATCGCTTACCAGGCCTAGGCAATTTTAATGAGACAATTATCTTTTAATTCGTGGTTTTTTTTTTTGTTTTCTTTAAAGTAGTTTATAATGTAAACTTTAAAAAATATTTTTATTTACACGTATAAACAACTAATGTTTTTATAAATCATCTAAACTAATAAAACAAACGACTCGGTATCCCTCTATCAAAATAGAAATTAGTATTGAAAAACACAATGTGTCCTTATTACACCCTCCTCCTCTTGCTCTTCACGTAAACAATGAAATATCTCCATACATTATTTTTGGTACCTGCACGTTTGGTAAATTACAGGATATAGAGATAAGTGTAGCATGAGAATAGCAAACAAATACCATAGTTTCTAGGATGTGTTTAAGGATAAACTTTATTAAATGGGGATGTGTCAGCTGTAGAGCTAACTAATAAACAAGTGCATTATAACAGCTGAGGCAAAAAGAATGAGTAGTCTCTTATTTTAATCCAATTAATGAAGGGTACTCATCTCAGCTGAGTGAGCAAACAGGATTCGTGTATAAAAAGACCAGGATTTGAACCCAAGACTACATCCCCCGCCCCCCCTTGTCAATAAATGTCGAGTGCTAAAATATATTGTTGTTTGTGGGGGTGTGAGGGTGTGTGAGATGAGAGAGAGGTTTCTAGAAATGTTATACAATATTCTGGGGTCTGCAGTGGTCTACTAATTGTTGGGGGTCATGAGGGGGGGGGATGTTTTATCATTTTTTTGTAAGTGGTATTGAAAATTGTTAGGGCATTATCACAGGGTTTTTTTTTTAATATAAGATTAATAAGATTATCCTTGTCTTTGTGTTTTTCTAGACTGGCTTGGCGTGTAAGCTAACACCATGTATTTAACACAATACACGTCTAATCTATCGAGGATGTATGAAGAGATCATCTCACGAGGACTTATGAAGAGATTATCTCTATAGCCACGTGATACCCATAATTTATTTTATAGGTGGCAAACCTTTTCGTTTTACTGGGCTGTATCATGATTTATGGTGGAGGGGGGGGGGGAGCTAATGTTATATAACAGGATGGGGTCGTTGCTGGGGTCTACACCTTATATCACGTTGTCGAGTGGATCCGCGGTATCTATCTAGCGAGTTGTGAACTGTAAGCATAAAACAATACGAGCTTGGTCAGGTACAATTGAGTACAGACGTACAGACGTACCGACATACAGACGTACAGACGGATGTAGTCAGGTTTATGGATATCACTTGAGCCCTGTTGCTCGTGTGTAGCCCGGGGCTGTCCGACTGTTTGTTTAGCCCCCCCCCCACCCCCCCCCCCCCGTCGGACGTGACCCTCAGCACGGAGACGTTGTGGGGGGGGGGGGGGTGGAGACAGGTAGTGGGTTGGTTCATGTTGTCTACACGTTTCCTGTAGGTGTGTTAGGTGATGTGTAAGGTTGGCGATGTGATGTGTAGGTTGGTTTGGTGATGTGTAGGTTGGTTTGATGATGTGTAGGTTGGTTTGATGATGTGTAGGTTGGTTTGGTGATGTGTAGGTTGGCCATGTGATGTGTAGGTTGGTTTGGTGATGTGTAGGTTGGCCATGTGATGTGTAGGTTGGTTTGGTGATGTGTAGGTTGGCCATGTGATGTGTAGGTTGGTTTGGTGATGTGTAGGTTGGCCATGTGATGTGTAGGTTGGTTTGGTGATGTGTAGGTTGGTTTGGTGATGTGTAGGTTGGCCATGTGATGTGTAGGTTGTTTGGTGATGTGTAGGTTGGCCATGTGATGTGTAGGTTGGTTTGGTGATGTGTAGGTTGGCCATGTGATGTGTAGGTTGGTTTGGTGATGTGTAGGTTGGTTTGGTGATGTGTAGGTTGGCCATGTGATGTGTAGGTTGGTTTGGTAATGTGTAGGTTGGCCATGTGATGTGTAGGTTGGCCATGTGATGTGTAGGTTGGCCATGTTATGTGTAGGTTAGTTTGGTGATGTGTATGTTGGTTTGATGATGTGTAGGTTGGTTTGGTGATGTGTAGGTTGGTTTGGTGATGTGTAGGTTGGTTTGGTGATGTGTAGGTTGGCCATGTGATGTGAAGGTTGGCCATGTGATGTGTAGGTTGGCCATGTGATGTGTAGGTTGGCCATGTGATGTGTAGGTTGGCCATGTGATGTGTAGGTTGGTTTGGTGATGTGTAGGTTGGCCATGTGATGTGTAGGTTGGTTTGGTGATGTGTAGGTTGGCCTGTGATGTGTAGGTTGGTTTGGTGATGTGTAGGTTGGTTTGGTGATGTGTAGGTTGGCCATGTGATGTGTAGGTTGGCCATGTGATGTGTAGGTTGGCCATGTGATGTGTAGGTTGGCCATGTGATGTGTAGGTTGGTTTGGTGATGTGTAGGTTGGTTTGGTGATGTGTAGGTTGGCCATGTGATGTGTAGGTTGGTTTGGTGATGTGTAGGTTGGCCTGTGATGTGTAGGTTGGTTTGGTGATGTGTAGGTTGGTTTGGTGATGTGTAGGTTGGCCATGTGATGTGTAGGTTGGCCATGTGATGTGTAGGTTGGCCATGTGATGTGTAGGTTGGTTTGGTGATGTGTAGGTTGGTTTGGTGATGTGTAGGTTGGCCATGTGATGTGTAGGTTGGTTTGGTGATGTGTAGGTTGGTTTGGTGATGTGTAAGGTTGGTTTGGTGATGTGTAGGTTGGCCATGTGATGTGTAGGTTGGTTTGGTGATGTGTAGGTTGGTTTGGTGATGTGTAGGTTGGTTTGGTGATGTGTAGGTTGGTTTGGTGATGTGTAGGTTGGTTTGGTGATGTGTAGATAGGTTTGGTGATGTGTAGGTTGGTTTGGTGGTGAGTAGGTTGGCCATGTGATGTGTAGGTTGGTTTGGTGATGTGTAAGGTTGGTTTGGTGATGTGTAGGTTGGTTTGGTGGTGAGTAGGTTGGCCATGTGATGTGTAGGTTGGTTTGGTGATGTGTAGGTTGGCCGTGTGATGTGTAGGTTGGTTTGGTGATGTGATGGTTGCTTAGGTGATGTGTAGGTTGGTTTGGTGATGTGTAGGTTGGGGATATGATGTGTAGGTTGGTTTGGTGATGTGTAGGTTGGGGATATGATGTGTAGGTTGGTTTGGTGATGTGTAGGTTGGGGATATGATGTGTAGGTTGGTTTGGTGATGTGTAGGTTGGGGATATGATGTGTAGGTTGGTTTGGTGATGTGTAGGTTGGCCATGTGATGTGTAGGTTGGTTTGGTGATGTGTAGGTTGGTTTGGTGGTGAGTAGGTTGGCCATGTGATGTGTAGGTTGGTTTGGTGATGTGTAGGTTGGTTTGGTGATGTGTAGGTTGGTTTGGTGATGTGTAGGTTGGCCATGTGATGTGTAGGTTGGTTTGGTGGTGAGTAGGTTGGCCATGTGATGTGTAGGTTGGTTTGGATGTGTAGGTTGCTTAGGTGATGTGTAGGTTGGCTAGCAGGTCTGCAGGCTTAATGGTTGTCTGTATCGGAAGGTGGCTGAAGAAGTGGTTGTTGATGCTACGTTGATAAGGGGTTGTCCTTAGTGTCATAAGGGGTTGTCCTTAGTGTCATAAGGGGTTGTCCTTAGTGTCATAAGGGGTTGTCCTTAGTGTCATAAGGGGTTGTCCTTAGTGTCATAAGGGGTTGTCCTTAGTGTCATCTGTGGCCGATAGTTGGCTGACATCACTACCTTTTATTGAAATGTGTTGTTAAAATATTGAGAGAATATTACGATCTCACCAGCAGTATTGCTTTAACCCGCTGTTTTTAACTGTATGTCAGCTTTAGTTTGAAACTTTCCTGCTGGCTTCTCCTGCTGTACAGTAAAACATTTAAGTTGGTGGTTCCTTCAGCACATTTGTTAATTTTGTCAATAGAGGAATGCCGGTGTTAAGTCATCTTTAAGTCATCTTTAAGTCATCTTTAAGTCATTTTTAAAGCATCTTGTGTGTTAAAATATAAAGGTCAAAAGGGTAGGTTTTTTTTTTATTCTTCAGTCAAAAATGTCAGCTGAATTACATCTTTTATTATAATTTTTTTTTTAAATGTATTACAAGGGACGCAACTCCTCTTCACTAAACATTATTTCTGATTACCTTCCTTTACTGTCATTTTTGTTTTCTATTTTCATGAAAATGTAGATTTTGTGCCTGGTTGGTGTGCAGTAGGCCTATCTAAAAATTTACTAGGTGGTTCATATGGATCGGAGGAAAGGGGGATACACCAAGAAGAAAAACATTGTATTAAATGACATCAACAATCCAGAGACGCTTTCAGTTAAAAGGTCAGTATTTGATCTCAGGTCAACACGCAATAATTCCTCACACCACCCTGGAATAAACCAACATTTTAAAAACTAATTTAATATCAAGCTATGTCCTACGTGCCCTCTCTACTAAAGCATGAACTAAATTGTATCAGTTCACTGAGAAAATTGTGAACCCAACCTTCTTTTGGTAAGGGGAGATTACTGTGAAGTGTAAGCGATATGTTTGAGTTACTTCCCTTGACGCACTATTGAAATGCTGGGATACCTTTAAACGTACCAAGGGATTTAATCGGTATAATTATTTAAAGATTCTTGTGGGTTATCTGACCATTTTTATGACAGCCAGCAAAAGTTGTGAGGTTATTTTGTTGTACAGCGTGTGAAAGTGTCTGATGGGTGTGTACCTGTCAGACAGATTTGTTGGATGGAGGATACCCGTCGGTCTGTCGGTCCGAATAAAATTGAAATTGTAATCCGAGCCGAGGCTATCATTGTTAGGGTTGTCTTCCCCTGTCAGACGTCTAGGTCAGTGAGAAGGGGAAGTAATTCTACCCCGTGCTCACAAAGCAGCCAATCAATGAGCGCGTTACATTTGTGACACGCCAAACGAGTAATCACAGCGGGACTACTTGGCCCTCGCATCACAACCTACGTCACGGAGCTATCTACTGTATCAAGGGCATCCGTCTTTCAAGGTCGTTGCCATCTTGGTAAAGCATCTGCCACTTCAGCGAGTATAATTTTTTTTAATGTGATTACTTTAACATTTTTAACGTATTACAACTTAACATGTCACCCCACCTGTAGGTAGCCATGTTGCCCACCTGTAGAGTGACAGTGTCACCTCCCCCCCCATTTGAGTGGCCATATCACCCAAAGAGTGACCATGTCGTCCTATATGTAGAGTGGCCCTGTTATGTCACCCAACTTGTAGTTTTACTTGATCTTGTTGCAAAAAAAAACCCCCACATTTCTTGATATTATTCCTGTATCAGGTGAGCAGCATAGCTAGCTCGTTCATAGTCTGATCACAGGGCAGTGGCGTTGCTAGGAGGGGGAGGGGGTGAAGTGGGACCAGGAGCCTATTTTTAAATGTTGAACTGAAAACAGGGGAGGCAAAACAGGGTTTTGAATTCAGGAACAGTAAGATCTACTCCTGAACATAGACCCTGACTTTAACAATAAACAAACAAAATGGTTTGAAAATGTTTATTACATTTTAAATATATACAAACAGTAATTACAAAAGTGTATTCTACACAAGTTAATACTTTTGTCTTTTTCATGTAAAAGCTCTACAAAGTTCATTTAACATGAATATCTGTTACTCGTTAGACAACCACCTTTTCACACACAAATTCTTGTAGCACACTCGCGACATCGTTATGTGATGAATGAAATGGGTCAAAGACTTGATGATTGGTTCAGTGACCGGACATGACGACACATTCAACCTGCGCAGGACGTCACACAAAAGTTGTGCGGGGAGCCTCTATTTGCTGCCCTTACGACCGTGGCCATGACCCCGTCCGTGACTTCCCTTGGAGTCGTTTGAACCTCGGCGTCCGTGGCCATGACCTCCACCATTGCCGTGACCTTTACCTGGGTGACAGCCCAAAGCCTCTGGAAGTTTAAAGAAAATGATGATGTACCAAATAATCATAGAGGACATGTTTGTTTTTTATATAGTGCGTTCAATATAATTTTAAATTTTGAACATGTTATTATGAGAATAAGTTTAAGTAAGGCAGGACAGTTAACTCACAAGAGAAGTTGTGTTTTTTTTTTTGAGAAATTATGTACCAAATTATCATAGAGAGGGTGTGATTTTTTATGTGGTGCCTTCAATAATTATAATCTTAAATTTTGGACATATGTTATTATGAGCATAAGTTTAAGTAAGACGGAACATTTATCATACGAGTCAACATCCGGATCAGCGTAGGAGTGACGTATTAATCAGTTAATCAGTTACGTGTAGTTTTAACTTAACATCAGTTACATAACTACGGTCATCATTTAAAAAAAAAATTCTCAGGCGCGGGGGAGGGGGGGGGGGCCAAATAGTTTGGCGTCTGTCAGACTTTGCTGGATGAAATATTTATTTGCGCGTCAGAACGTTGTTGGTGTTGATGACGTCATACACGTGTACGCTCTGATTGTTTGTATTTTTCTCGTCGCTAGGCTAGCATTGAAGCAGGTGCTTGATTACCTAATTAGTAATGTGTGATTGGAGTGTCATTATGTAGGCGCATGGATCCGTTACGGTCCTCTGGTGAAGCGTGACTTGAGGGTTTGACTGCGATCTCTTTTTATTTTAACGTCCTAATATTTACCCCCCCCCCCCCCGCCATATCTAAACTGACGTGATAGGTTCCTCAAGTGTTTACTAGAGCGTGTCGCCCCTTGGTCGCCAATCATCCACTCCTCTAAGTCTAATGATCAGCCGTTCTCCACTTCATCTATATTGATCCGATACTTTCTGTTTCCATCTTTGGCGGATTTTAGGATAAGCCCAAACAAACCAACAACAAACCAACAACCATCAACGAACAAATAACAACCAACAAATCACTAACAATACTCTAGCAGCAAACAAATAAACAACAACGACCAACAACCAACAAACAACAACGACCAACAACCAACAAACAAACAACAACGACCAACAAACAACAACGACCAACAACCAACAAACAACAACGACCAACAACCAACAAACCCAACTTACTCATTGTTGACGATCCACAGCCCATAGCAAATAATTTAGGTCACGTTCAACACACACAAAAGTCAAGGTCAAGTTCAACACAAAAAAGTCACCTGAAAGAGAAAATAAAATCAGATTCAAATCGAATCCCAGATATCGATTTTTAGGCTGTTATTGATTTCTTGGTTAGCTTATGTCTTTTTACCGTCTATGTCGTAAATAAAAATGTAGGTCTTAGGATGGGGGGGGGGGGGGGCTGTGACTGAGAACATTTTAATAGTGAAAACAGGATCAACGTATATTTAAATTAAGCAAGACATAGCCATGTGACCTGTATCGAGACATTGAGGTCAGAGGTCAAAAGACAGACGTGCGGGTGTTTTTAGCCTCGCTTTGAATATGGGACGGCGTGGTCTGGTGTTAGAGCGCACGACTACTAACAGGAAAGTCCATATGTCCGCAGAATTGTGTTGGGTGACTTACTTAGCTCAAGTAGGGCAGGTAAATAGGGCAGGTTATGGGATTGACCTCACAGCCCACACTGTCCCCCACAGTCCCCTCACTGTCCCCTCACTGTCTCCCACAGTCCCCTCACTGTCTCCCACAGTCCCCTCACTGTCTCCCACAGTCCCCTCACTGTCTCCCACAGTCCCCTCACTGTCTCCCAAAGTCCCCTCACTGTCTCCCACAGCCCCCTCACTGTCCCCCACTGTCCCCCCACTGTCCCCCCCCCCCCCCCACTATCTCTTCTTGTCCTGAGGTCACAATAACAAGTGAACCCTACATATACCGTATGGGCAGTCATGTCCAAAAGTATTTTAAGGAGCACCACGTAAATCTGGGAGGTTTCCATTCCCCCCCCCCCCCCACACACACACTAACAGCTATTGCAAAGGCCGCAACTCTTTAAATAGCCTACCAAGCCACTTGGTCGCAATGTTTACTTTGTTTGTTCCATGCAAATTTATTGAGAAGTTTGTCAACGTTTTTAACTGTTGTGAACTTGTTCAAATTTCAAATAATTAAAGACGCGACGTTAAATATAGAAACATGTTCACACCTATCACCCATTCAGCTTAGACTAAAAGTCAATTTTTTTAGCTTAAAGCTTTAATCATAGTTTGACACAGGAAATATTTGTATTAAACAACAAAGGCTTTCTAAATCACAAAACATTGAAGGTACAGACTGCTGGAGTTAAAATAGAAGATTGGACATGATGGTTTCTGTGATAGATATAACGATGTGACTCCAGGATAGACAAGACTCTATGACGTGACTCCAGATATAGCTCCAGGAACACAACCACTATGACTCCAGACATATTGACGTGACTCCAGGATAGAAAAAACATCATGATGTTATTCCAAAGATAAATATGCCACACATACAATATCGATTAGAATTTTCTACGGCAGTAAAATATAGGAAGAAATCATCATGACCTTACCAGCAAAGCAGACAAACAGAAACATCAATTAATAACATTGGGTAAATCTATCTTGATTGTTTTACTTACCAGCCACGATGTTCTCTCTCCAAAAAAGTTGCCGACTAACTAATCTTCATCGTTTTTATACACGTTGATTGATACGGAATCAATCAGAAAAATCTGGCACAATTTATTGGCTCGCTAGAGTTCTACACCGCTGGGGGAAGGGGGGGGGGGTGTTTGTTGTGGCTCGGTATCTAGGGGCGTTGTTCCACTTTTAGGTTATGCAAGATCGGGTGGGGAGGTGGGGGTGGGGGTGAAGGGGTACTTTAAGGAATGGGGGTAAAAAAATAACCTACTTGTGATTTATGTTTACAATAAACTGTGACGCAGATAGTACGAGCGTGCTGATGTCATACATCATTGGCGCTCCACGAATTCTTTCTGTCGTATCGATTGATTTTTGTTTCAAAGGTGAATTGTTTGTCATAGTTTAACTTAAACATATAGACACATTGGTCAAACATGCTGGTCAAACATGCTGGTTGGACATGCTGGTTGGACGTGCTGGTTGGACATGCTGGTTGGACATGCTGGTTGGACATGCTGGTCAGACATGCTGGTTGAACATGCTGGTTGGACATGCTGGTCAGACATGCTGGTCAGACATGCTGGTTGGACATGCTGGTTGGACGTGCTGGTTGGACATGCTGGTTGAACATGCTGGTCAGACATGCTGGTTGGACATGCTGGTCAGACATGCTGGTTGAACATGCTGGTCAGACATGCTGGTTGAACATGCTGGTCAGACATGCTGGTCAGACATGCTGGTTGGACATGCTGGTCAGACATGCTGGTTGAACATGCTGGTCAGACATGCTGGTTGGACATGCTGGTCAGACATGCTGGTCAGACATGCTGGTCAGACATGCTGGTTGGACATGCTGGTTGGACGTGCTGGTTGGACATGCTGGTTGAACGTGCTGGTTGGACATGCTGGTCAGACATGCTGGTTGAACATGCTGGTTGGACATGCTGGTCAGACATGCTGGTCAGACATGCTGGTTGGACACGTTGGTCAGACATGCTGGTCAGACATGCTGGTTGGACATGCTGGTCAGACATGCTGGTTGGACATGCTGGTCAGACATGCTGGTCAGACATGTTGGTCAAACATGTTGGTCAGACATGCTGGTTGGACGTGCGAGACAAAGAGTTTTTCATCAACATCATTTAAACCTCAACATAATGAACAACATCCCAACAGCAACAGTCCAACAACAACAGCCCAACAACAACAGCAAAATAAAATACTTTAAAAAAACTTTTTAAAAAACCACGTTTTTCTTGTGGACTAAAAAGTAGAAAATGATTTTTTCTTTTGTGCTTCCTCGAGCTGTGCAGGTTCTTGTGATGACTGACAAAAAACGTGGGTACGTTCACCATCAAATTTCCCGACCCATCTGCCCGACCCACGTTTGTACAGAATGAAATGGACAAATCTGACAACATGATTTGAGTTGTTCTATTAATAGCCATTCATAGTTGTTTTTTTCTGCCTGAGTATGTACAGGGAACGTATGGGAGGGTGGGAGAGGAAGGGGGGGGTTAAGATTGTGACTGTAGTAGTAAGATTTATGATGTGTGCTTACGGGAGTCACGTGACACAGAAACCCAAGGTTGTAGGTTACCACCCAGCCGATGTCGTCTGTCGCTGGTATCGGGTTTTTTAACCGTCGATTACTCTTGATCTATGACTTCTCTTTTATCAAATGTAGTTCAAGCAAATTGTTTGAGAAACGGTCGGTCGTCATTCTGCAAATTCCAGCACATTTTATTCGATATATGGAGTCGATGTATGTATGTGTGTAGTTATTTGTGAGTGTATGTGTGTGTCTATGTTTATGTGTAAGTGTCTAGGTGTATATGAAACCGAAAACATCGATGGTGCCATCCCTATAGTATGTGTGTGTCTATGTTTATGCGTCTATGTGTAAGTGTCATCCCTATAGTATGTGTGTGTCTATGTTTATGTGTCTATGTGTAAGTGCCATCCCTATAGTATGTGTGTGTCTATGTTTATGTGTCTATGTGTAAGTGCCATCCCTATAGTATGTGTGTGTCTATGTTTATGTGTCTATATGTAACTGCCATTTCTATAGTATGTGTGTGTCTATGTTTATGTGTCTATGTGTAAGTGCCATCCCTATAGTAAGTGTGTGTCTATGTTTATGTGTCTATGTGTAAGTGCCATCCCTATAGTATGTGTGTGTCTATGTTTATGTATCTATATGTAACTGCCATTTCTATAGTATGTGTGTGTCTATGTTTATGTGTCTATGTGTAAGTGCCATCTCTATAGTAAGTGTGTGTCTATGTTTATGTGTCTATGTGTAAGTGCCATCCCTATAGTATGTGTGTGTCTATGTTTATGTATCTATATGTAACTGCCATTTCTATAGTATGTGTGTGTCTATGTTTATGTGTCTGTGTGTAAGTGCCATCCCTAAGTAGTATATTAGGTCCCTTTTGGGTCGCATGGGTGAAGGAGCCATGGGTGAGCAGGAGCAGGAGCAGGATGCGGAACAAAGGATATATAGTAAAATACTCACCCACCTGGCGGAGGGTGAAGGAGCCGGCGGGACAATGAGATATAGTAAAATACTCACCCACCGGGGTGAGGGTGGGTGAGGGCGAAGGAGCAGGCGCAGGGTGAAGGAGCCGCAGGCGCAATGACATATAGTAAAATACTCACCCACCTGGGTGAGCAGGTGGGTGAGGGTGAAGGAGCCGCAGGCGCAAAGGCATATAGTAAAATACTCACCCACCCTAGGGTGGGTGAGCAGGTGGGGGAGTAGGTCAGTAGGTCACCACCGGTGACCTTGTGACGTAATCAGTGACCTTGTGACGTAATCAGTGACCTAGTTACGTAATTTTAATGAGTTTTTTAATTAGTTTGAATTTAATTAATTTGATTTTAATTAATTTTTATTAACGAGTTACGTAATTTGATTATTTGTTTGTATTTTGTTTTGTTTAATTTGTTTAATTACTTTGTTTATATTGTGTAATTTTTATTAACGAGTTACGTAATTGGATTATTTGTTTACTTTTTAATTATTTTTATTTTGTTTATTTTTTAATTTTATTTTATTTTATAATTAGTTAAATTATTATTAACTAGTTACGTAATTTGATTTTAATTACTTTTGTTTATTTATTTATTTGATATATTTCTTTTCTTTGATGTATGGTATTTAAAATAAAAGACACTGTTTATTTGATTGTATGTATGTTTAATAGTAAACCAATAGGGGTGTTGGTGGATGAGAGGGGGAGTAATGATGGGGTTTGAGGGTAGGGGTGCGTTAGCGTGTACTTTGTGAATAACATCCATTAACCAGACATGTAACACCTGTTACGTATCGACCGCCCGCGAAGTTTTCTCGGCGCTGCCCGTTTTAATGGGAATGTATTGATCGCACCCACTGGGCCATCACAGCATGATGTCCCACCTAATTAAATTTTTGTTATGCTTCACCGAGTTTCCCCCGCTCGGTTTGAAAGGTCATGGTAATTAACGACGTACATTAAGTGGCTTTCCGCGAAGTACGTAGGTCATTATGCAACAGCTGTGTAATATCGATCGCATCCACTGACCATCACACCTAATTAAATTGGTCACGCATCGTAAGTGTAGCGACATCGGTAACTATTCGCTTATAGCGAGGTCAGCGAACACCGATCGATTTGTCAGCTCCGTGAAGCCCTTAGGTAACAGCTGGTGCTGTAATTAGTCACGGCTCTCGGCTTTTTTCATTAGATTACAGCTGTCCATGAACTATGTTCACATATCGTACGCCCGGTCATTCTTTGATCAAATTAAAAAATTTTGTTTCCACATGTCCTACGAACCGTCCCTTGCTATGTATGAAAGATTAATGGTTGTAACTATTCGCTTATAGCGAGGGTCAACGAAAACAAAATATATTTAAGGGTCGGAATTTTCTTTCAACCACCGTTAAATCAGGTTTTGAGACGAAACGAAGTCTCGGTAGGTTCATATTTGTCTGTAGGATTGTCATACAGCCTTTGTCTCTTATCTAGTAATCGCTTCCTCTACCTATTGTTTACAACACGCTTACAAAGAAAAAATATCCCACCCCTCTACTTGAGACATAAAATACAAAAGTGTATTGAGCCTTGTCACAGGAAACAAAAACGGTGGCGTCTAATGTTGTTAACCCTTGTCTTCCTAAATTATTTTTTAACTTGTTAAAGAAATTGACTGTTTAGTTAAGGATTCTGACGCGAATTTTTTCACAAGGGACGATACTCGTGTCTGTAGACAAGGCTGTTCTAATTTTAGAACAGTTGTCTTTCCTTTCGTTTCTCTATTAGGGAAGACCTATGGGGAAGACACGCAACACGTCTTTTAAAATGTAAACAACCGTGCACGGGGTGCACTTAAAATAAACCCCGCTGCGAAAATGACAATGGCCTGGTGACACTTTTTGGAAAACACGCTTTCATGTAAATAAAATAAGGGTCGCTTTTGTTGTCGCCATGATAATGTATACCTATAAGTTCTCTCCGCCTTTACCGACCTAGTATGAATTTCGCGTGCGCGCGCGTGCGTGTGTGTGTGTGTGTATGTGTGTGTGTGTGTGTGTGTGTACATGTATCTCAAAATAAGTGTATCATGTCAACACCTGGACAATCAGTCATAGTCAAGAAGGCCTACTTCATTACAGAACTATAGGAAATCCCTCTTTACATGTACTTACGTTAGGAGGAGTAAACTCATTTGAATCAAAAAACGTATTTAAATATATAGAGTTATAGAACCTTAAAGTTAACAGATGCTGAAAAAATAAAATAAAAAATTAAAATTAAAATCCGCCTCCTCACCCACCTCACTCAGGTGGTAGAGTCTTTTACTATATATCCTTTACTCCTACTCGTGTTCCCCCCTTCACCCACCTTCTCCACCTTCACCCACCTTTCACCCTTCACCCACCTGTTCACACCGTCACCCGTCTGCTTACACCCCTCACCCATGTTACTATAAGCGAGTATGTATTGAACATTTGTTAATATTTCCCCCTTCACCCACCTGTTCACACCGTCACCCGCCTGCTTACACCCCTCACCCATGTTACTATAAGCAACTATGTATTGCACATTTGTTAAATTTATCTGGCTCAGGGTGGTCAAATGGTGGTCAGATCAAAAGAAAATCGGAACGGTCATAAAAAACTTAATTACTTTTCCAGACTTGTAAAAAAAAACATGTCTACCCCCCGCATACCTTACGTACCAACGCACTAAGTCGCCCCTGTCGCCCATTAAAAAGCATGAACCTACCGAGACTTCGTTTCGTCTCAAAACCTGATTTAACGGTGGTTGAAAGAAAATTCCGACCCTTAAATATATTTTGTTTTCGTTGACCCTCGCTATAAGCGAATAGTTACAACCATTAATCTTTCATACATAGCAAGGGACGGTTCGTAGGACATGTGGAAACAAAATTTTTTAATTTGATCAAAGAATGACCGGGCGTACGATATGTGAACATAGTTCATGGACAGCTGTAATCTAATGAAAAAAGCCGAGAGCCGTGACTAATTACAGCACCAGCTGTTACCTAAGGGCTTCACGGAGCTGACAAATCGATCGGTGTTCGCTGACCTCGCTATAAGCGAATAGTTACCGATGTCGCTACACTTACGATGCGTGACCAATTTAATTAGGTGTGATGGTCAGTGGATGCGATCGATATTACACAGCTGTTGCATAATGACCTACGTACTTCGCGGAAAGCCACTTAATGTACGTCGTTAATTACCATGACCTTTCAAACCGAGCGGGGGAAACTCGGTGAAGCATAACAAAAATTTAATTAGGTGGGACATCATGCTGTGATGGCCCAGTGGGTGCGATCAATACATTCCCATTAAAACGGGCAGCGCCGAGAAAACTTCGCGGGCGGTCGATACGTAACAGGTGTTACATGTCTGGTTAATGGATGTTATTCACAAAGTACACGCTAACGCACCCCTACCCTCAAACCCCATCATTACTCCCCCTCTCATCCACCAACACCCCTATTGGTTTACTATTAAACATACATACAATCAAATAAACAGTGTCTTTTATTTTAAATACCATACATCAAAGAAAAGAAATATATCAAATAAATAAATAAACAAAAGTAATTAAAATCAAATTACGTAACTAGTTAATAATAATTTAACTAATTATAAAATAAAATAAAATTAAAAAATAAACAAAATAAAAATAATTAAAAAGTAAACAAATAATCCAATTACGTAACTCGTTAATAAAAATTACACAATATAAACAAAGTAATTAAACAAATTAAACAAAACAAAATACAAACAAATAATCAAATTACGTAACTCGTTAATAAAAATTAATTAAAATCAAATTAATTAAATTCAAACTAATTAAAAAACTCATTAAAATTACGTAACTAGGTCACTGATTACGTCACAAGGTCACTGATTACGTCACAAGGTCACCGGTGGTGACCTACTGACCTACTCCCCCACCTGCTCACCCCACCCTAGGGTGGGTGAGTATTTTACTATATGCCTTTGCGCCTGCGGCTCCTTCACCCTCACCCACCTGCTCACCCAGGTGGGTGAGTATTTTACTATATGTCATTGCGCCTGCGGCTCCTTCACCCTGCGCCTGCTCCTTCGCCCTCACCCACCCTCACCCCGGTGGGTGAGTATTTTACTATATCTCATTGTCCCGCCGGCTCCTTCACCCTCCGCCAGGTGGGTGAGTATTTTACTATATATCCTTTGTTCCGCATCCTGCTCCTGCTCCTGCTCCTGCTCCTGCTCACCCATGGCTCCTTCACCCATGCGACCCAAAAGGGACCTAATATACTACTTCCCTATAGTAAGTGTGTGTCTATGTTTATGTGTCTATGTGTAAGTGCCATCCCTATAGTATGTGTGTGACAAAGGGCCGTTCACATTGTCAAATACTGGTTCGGTACAACTAACAGCACGACAACGTTTTTAAATACAAACTTAAAGACATTTAATGAATTTTTTAGTAAAGATTTATTCTCAATGTTTATTTAAAGGATCGTAGTTAGAAAAAATTTAATGAAATGAACAGTGTAAAAACATATTTAGTAAACATAGAATAGAGTCAATAACATTTTGATGTGTGTGAGTTATATGTGTTTAACTGGAGTAAAACTACAGTTTTGCATTAAATAATTGTATTAAGCTTTATATATTTTTAAAATGTGTATGCTTATGTATTTAAGGCAATACCTTTATACTGTATAGACGTTGAATTAAGATTGTGATGAATATAAAATTACACAAATTTTAAAAATTAGTCATCACAGCAGTGCCATGGTTGATTCCTAAGGTCATCTTGACCTTCATGTCCCTCACTCGTCCACACAAACATCTTGTCACCCCACACAAAAGGTGTGTGTGTGTGGGGGGGGGGGGGGGCGTGGAGATGCTATTTGCTGCCCCTGTTATTGTGTCCTTGACCGTGACCGTGACCTTGACCTCCCCTTGAGCCACTGTGTCCATGACCGTGACCCCCAAATGGGCCATGACCCTTGTCAGCCATACTCGCTGTAATTTTATTTTTGAATAAAAATAAGTCTACAATTTTAGAACTGCCAAATATGTTAATGAGTAATCTACCATATAGATCTAACACAAACTTTGATAAAATGAAACTCAGTTATATTAACAAATTATTATGACAAATGTATTGGCTTGGCTGAAATAATTTTTTTTAAAAATCATTGTCACCCATTGATATATATATATATATATATATATATATATATATATATATATATATATATATATATATATATATATATATATATATATATATATATATATATATATATATATATATATATATGTGTGTGTGTGTGTGTGTGTGTTTGTTTGTTTGTCTATGTGTTTGTGAGTAACCCAGTTAATTCTAATCTGTGTGTAAGACACGCCCTAATTCAATGATCTCCTAATACACAGGCCCTCCTAAATGTTGTTGGTGTTTTTCTCCGTTTGTTAATCTAAAGCCACCGGAGCGGAACGTTCGATAACTTTATCAATAAAGTCGATATAAATTGTGTGGTCAGGCTTGACGGACACGGTTGGTTGACTGGGGTGGTATGGCGTGTGTGGATTGTGGGGTGGATGCTGGTGGTGGAGTGTAGAATGACAGTGGACTATAAAGGGCAAGCTGACGGGTCGGTGGAGTGTATAGTGGATGCTGGTAGCTAGCATGTTTTGTAAATCTTGATTATTTGGTCTTTTTTGTGAATAAACAATAATTTTCCAACTTAAAACTTTCTTTTCAAATATTTTTTTTCCTTAGCGGGTTAGAATTACCCACTTCTACTCTCCAGTGTTTTTCTCGGGGGGGGGGGGGGGCACTTAAAGATATATATAAATATATATATATATATATATATATATATATATATATATATATATATATATAGGGGCCTATATATATATATATATATATATATATATATATATATATAGGGGCCTATATATATATATATATATATATATATATATATATATATATATATATACATATATATATATATATATACATACATACATATATATATATATATATATATATTTATATATATATATATATATATATATATATATATATACATATATATATATATATAGGCCCCTATATATATATATATATATTTATATATATATATATATATATATATATATATATATATATATATATATATATATATATATATATATATATATATATATATATATATATATATATATATATATATATATATATATATATATATATATGGAAAAATCATTTTTATTTTCGGTTTCCCTTTTTCCATATCGCCCTGAAAAGTTTAATTTTTGTTCTGTATTTCTTTGATTGCTCCCCTTTACATATCAACTCTAGCTACGGACTAACTTAACCAACTATACTAGAGAATTCTGTAACAAACACAAAATATTTCATCTGCTTAAACACGTTTACATTTAAAATTTAAACGATAGGTAAATTGTAGTATTCGTGTTATAGGCCTACTCCAGCTCAGCGTGTAGTGAAATCAACGTATCTATAATTTTATTAGTTCCTGTAGTACGACTATCGTTCTATGATGGACGTAAAATTTGGAGCTAAAATTCGACAATTTTCTAGAAGGCATAATGGATGCCCCATCATTGGTGTGTAATCAATTCTTAAACTTAGCATTACAATTCTAATGGAATATTGTGGAATTACAGCGGCACTATGAAGGGGACACAACTTAACTTAAAGCTGGCGATTGTAAAGGGGACAGAACTTAATGCCGCTACTTACCCATTGTAGAAAGCCCGCAACCCATAACTACGCGGTGAAGTCAAAACAGTTACCTTAAAGAACAAAGACATAAAAGATATCGATGATTACATATTGATTTTTTTAAAAATAATTCATTAAACTTACGGTAATGATTTTTTTTATTTGAAAAAATGCATTGTGGGAATGTTATTAGCGGGCCAACAAAAGGACAAGCGTTTACACACACACACACACACACACACACACACACACATACACACACACACAAACATACGCACCTACACACACGCACATATACATACACACAAACGTACACACACACGCACGCACGCACACGTACACACACGCACGTACACACACACACACACGCACGCACACACACACACGCACGCACGCACACACACACATAGACACACACATAGTCATACAAACATTCAAACATACATACAAGATCATAGTCAACATAAAAGGTTAGAAAGAAATTATAGGAAACTAGTCGTTCTCTAGTGGTAGGGCGCTAGACTGCTAACACCGAAAGTCTCGAGTTCGGATCCGTGTTCAAGTCAGTAGAACGTCCCTGAGCCCAACCAGCTCACGTTAGGGACAATAAAGGCGGCTGATCAAAATGCTGACCAATGTTCCCTCTAAGTTGCGCGGCCGCGCAGTAGTTTTGAAGTCTTTTAGTAAAATACATATATCCTTGAATAATCCTTGTTATAAGACTTTGAGGACACCGCGAAATACACGTTGTCCACCAGCTTTTTCTCGTTAGAGGGAACGTTGTGTAGGTCAGTGGATGAGATTGTCGCGTGATGTCTGGTCAGAAACGTGAGAGTACCACGTGACGTCAGGTAGATGAAATTATCCGTTGGGGTCAGATAGATGAGATTATCACGTGGCGTGAGGTCAGGTAGATTATGACGTGAGGTCAGGTCAGTCAATTACCGCCTCAAGTAAAAAAAAATAAACTCACGTTTAAATGGATGTCCTCCTCGACCAAACACCTGCACTCAAACTGCCTTTATAAGCCCTCCCAAGTGCACTACGCCTGGACCGTATGCGCCCTGACACCAGTGACAGTGCACTGACTTGGTCTGGCGTGACATTTTGTCCCCTGATCGATGTAAAATCAATAGGAAAAATCAGACATGTTTAATCGAATAGCTACAATCATCATTGAACAACTCTAGGGTCTTTTTTTTTTTTGCTAACGTTACAAAACTTGTTGTGTGTATGTGTGTGGGGTGGGGTGTGTGTGTAAGGGGGGGGGGTGTAATCAACCAAACAAAATCGTGACAGTAAATATTTTATATTTACCTGGCAACTTATCAGCCATCTTTTGTCTGACTCTCTCAAGTCCAATTATTGGATCAGGTCTAATGATCGATCACAACAACATTGTTACGCTTCATTGGATGTCGTCGGTGAACATGGCATTCATTGTTCGCTGACTTGTACTGAAGTGTTTAGGGGTGGGGCGGGGTAGGCTGGGGCGGACCCGAGGGGTACTGTGCTGGGGGTGCTAATATGTTTTAGGCTGGGATAACGTTCACACAAATGCGCCATTAATGTAGACAGGTAAATTTGTTGCAAAGTTTTCTAACGGGCCATCGTGCCTGAATGCAGGGGCGTAGCGAGGGGGGGGGGGGCGGGGGGTGCGGACCGCACCGGGTGACACCATTTAGGGGGGTGACACCAAGGCAAAAAATAGCAAAATATATAGAGAAAAACTTGAGGGGGGGTGCAAATCGAAAATTTGAGGGGGGGGGGGTTGCAAATCGAAACTTTGATGGGGGGGGGGTGCAAATCGAAAATTTGAAAGTTTATCCCCTGGAAGGGTCGCTACGCCTCTGGGGGGTGACACCATTAAGTGCCGCACCGGGTGACACCCGACCTCGCTACGCCACTGCCTGTATGTAACATCTAAGATATCCATACAAGAAAACCAGGGGCGGAACTACAGTGCCGCCAGACCCAGCAATGCGGGGTGGCCCGCGCCATTTAGGGGCCCACAGCCAAACATAATTTATTTTTTTTATAGTTAAAGCAAATAATTTTCTAGCATTTTTGACTTGATGGTTGTTTTGCAAAAAGATTACCGTAGCTGCCGTTGGATTATCTTTATTCTATACCACCCCAGGCTCATGTATATTCTTTTTCCCTTTGTTTTTAAACCACTGTGAAAGCCGAGTCCTCTTTCTCAGACAATCAAACTTATCAATGATAAGCAAACGTTCAAACCACTTCCATGACTTATTTCCCTTTTTTAATAGTCAAATATAAGCTCCTTTTAATAGATTTGTACTAAACAAATTAAAAAGGAATTACTTCTCTTAATTATTTTTTATCATAAAGTATTGACTAAAGAATGATATTGTACAAAAAGAAAATGAATTTAAAATTAATAATATAAATACAGAAAAATATATAACACGAGACACCATTACTTTTACGAAGCTTTCATGTTTTATATTCTTTATACCGACTAAAGCGAGGTCTTGTATCAGAGTTAAAATAAAACTAATTTTCACAAAACACACTAACGCACTTACACACATGACATGATGTTGTAATTTGATTTAATTGAAATTTGTTTTCCTCAAAACCCGAACAGGCCAGTAATGTGTATCATATGTTCGTATATATATATATATATATATATATATATATATATATATATATATATATATATATATATATATATATATATATATGGGGGGCCTAAACAATATTTTTGCGGGGTGGCCCTTTTTTTCTAATTCCGCCACTGAAGAAAACACAAACTTTATAAAAAAACGCAGACTTATTGGCCGTCTATCTTGGTACCCAAGACTCACAGAAACAAAAAAGGACATCGATGCCATATTTTGGGGCCATTTCTATGAGTTCTATAGTCTTTTGGTGAATGTTTTAATGGCGCAAGGTCTAGAAACAATATTGTATGAAGTGAACTAGAGTCTTTTGGTGAATTTTTTAATGGCGCAAGGTCTAGATCTAGAACAGATATTGTATGAAGTGAACTAGAGTCTTTAGGTGAATGTTTTAATGGCGCAAGATCTAGATCTAGAACCGATATTGTATGAAGTGAACTAGAGTCTTTTGGTGAATGTTTTAACGGCCCAAGGTCTAGAACAGATATTGTAAGAAGTGAACTAGAGTCTTTTGGTGAATGTTTTAACGGCCCAAGGTCTAGAGCCGATATTGTATGAAGTGAACTAGAGTGTTTTGGTGAATGTTTTAACGGCCCAAGGTCTAAAGCCGATATTGTATGAAGTGAACTAGAGTCTTTTGGTGAATGTTTTAACGGCCCAAGGTCTAGAACAGATATTGTAAGAAGTGAACTAGAGTCTTTTGGTGAATGTTTTAATGGCGCAAGGTCTAGATCTAGAACAGATATTGTATGAAGTGAACTAGAGTCTTTAGGTGAATGTTTTAATGGCGCAAGATCTAGATCTAGAACCGATATTGTATGAAGTGAACTAGAGTCTTTTGGTGAATGTTTTAACGGCCCAAGGTCTAGAACAGATATTGTAAGAAGTGAACTAGAGTCTTTTGGTGAATGTTTTAATGGCGCAAGATCTAGATCTAGAACCGATATTGTATGAAGTGAACTAGAGTCTTTTGGTGAATGTTTTAATGGCGCAAGTTCTAGAACAGATATTGTATGAAGTGAACTAGAGTCTTTAGGTGAATGTTTTAATGGCGCAAGGTCTAGAGTCGATTTTGTACGAAGTGAACTAGAGTCTTTTGGTGAATGTTTTAACGGCGCAAGGTCTAGAGCCGATATTGTACGAAGTGAACTAGAGTCTTTTGGTGAATGTTTTAATGGCGCAAGGTCTAGAGCCGATTTTGTACGATGTGAACTAGAGTCTTTTGGTGAATGTTTTAATGGCGCAAGATCTAGAACCAATACTGTATGAAGTTAACTAGAGTCTAGCACGACATGTCTCTTTACTCTGCCGTGGTTAGGGTCCTGTTGATCCACTTAGTGGGCCGTGGTACGGGACGTGAGAACCGCTTATCTGCTGATGTTGCAGGACGTCACTGGTCTGTTGATGGTGCGGGGACGTCACTGGATGGTGTGGGACGTCACTGGTCAGCTGATGATGAGGTGACGTCACTGGTCAGCTGATGGTGCGGCGACGTCACTGGATGGTGCGGGGACGTCACTGGTCAGTTGATGGTGTGGGGACGTCACTGGTCAGCTGATGGTATGGGACGTCACTGGTCAGTTGATGGTACAGTGACGTCACTGGTCAGCTGATGGTATGGGACGTCACTGGCCAGCTAATAGTACAGTGACGTCACTGGTCAGCTGATGGTACAGTGACGTCACTGGTCAGCTGATGGTATGGGACGTCACTGGCCAGCTAATAGTACAGTGACGTCCTAGTTCCCTGTCAAAGATCGTCTGCTTCAGTTGTTGTTCCCTGTCACAACCTGTTTTTTCCCACGTTTTCTTTAACTTGCTTTCTCTGTTTGTTTGTCTTTCCAATCAAATCTTGCGATCGAAATTTCTGGCACTTCCCAGATAGCTAGCGCGCTGAAATTTTCAGGGAAGCTTTCTTTTGGATGACCATTGAATATTCAATTGTTATTATTACTAAATTGATCAATGGAAACATTTTATTGAGCATTTTAGACCGCTATATAATCTATATATATAATTCTCCTCTGCTAGCCATTAGAAAAAAAACCAGCGACGCGTACCTCGCGCGCAGTGAAGCGAACGATCACATGTCGCCACAGGCTTAGGGGCAGGTAATTTAGCTTGAACCGAGTTTAAACTTACAGGAGGTAGGCCAGTTTGGGGGAGACGATATGGTCGAGTGGTTGGGCACACGATTGCTATCCCACTCGACACGGGTTCAAATCTATGTGTTCTAGTCAGTAACGTATTCAAACAACGTGTTTTTTACGAGTTGTCTTTTTACGAGTTGTCTTTTTACGAGTTGTCTTTTTACGAGTTGTCTTTTTACGAGTTGTCTTTTTACGAGTTGTCTTCGTTTACCCAAAAAAAAAGTGAAAAGATAAAATCGATAGCAAGATTTTAATGCAAACAAACAGACAAAGACTAAAAAGTAGAAAATAATAATCATTAAAAAAGTTTTAAAAAACCCACGTTTTCTGATTGAACTAAAAAGTAGAAAATAAATACTATACATCACAATAATGCAAGCGATCACTCTACTATAAGCGATCAAAAACGTGGGGCGCCGTGATTTTCTTACAGTTTCTAATACTGTTGACTCTCTACAAGCTCCCTAATAAAAGTCAATAGTATTATCTAATCAATAGTAATATAACTTTTACTTCGGCGCCCCACGTTTTTCATCGCTTATAGTAGAGTGATCGCTTGCATTATTGTGATGTATAGTATTTATTTTCTACTTTTTAGTTCAATCAGAAAACGTGGGTTTTTTAAAACTTTTTTAATGATTATTATTGTTGATTGGCACCAGACCTCGCGACGATGACCAACCAACCGTGACTTGTTGACCTAGATAATGATCCAATATAAATTCTCAACAAGCGGTTGATTACTGAAACTCTCTAAACTACGGTTACTGTAACCAACGATATTATAAAAAAAAGTTATTAAATCATACCAACATCCAGGATTTTATAACTAGAAAATTATTATCGTTCTTGTTTTCTTTTAACTGTAATAAATAGATTGCGTGTCGACGTTTGTGTGTTCAATCGTGTGTAGTTCCGAGTCAAACTGTAGCAGTTAAAGGAGCGCTCTCCCCTAAGTGAGGGTTAAGGCTACAGTTGGTGTGAGGGTTAGGATTGAGGCAGAAAGTGAGGAGAGGACTTAAAATAATTTAATTCAGTAGCCATAAACCTAACCTTGACCTCACCTTACTAGGTGTAGCCCTGCCCCGAAAAAAGTACAAACGATTCCAAATTTTAAAAAAGCAATATTCTTAAAATGCCCACCTGAAGTGATCGCCAATATATATTTATTTGTGATTCTACCTCACTCCGAATCGCGTATTACATCTTCACAAAAAGTCAAACCTTCCCTATCCCCTTCTCACCTTAAAGGTGAGCTAGGTGAAGATCCCTAAATCAATTGTTTACAAAATGCAGCTTTAAACATTACTTTTTTTTTTACATACATTACAAAAATAAGAGCGACGTTACACAATATGCCCCCCCACCCCATTCATCATTCAAAGTGTGATGTCATTTATGGAGGAGTTACGTCCCCCCCCCCCTCCTGTGGCCTAACAACAGCCTAAAGAAGATGATTTACAGTAAAACGTACCTACTTAAAAATGTAGAGTCAAACCTTGGTCACGTCAGAGTGGCGCGCGAGAAGTAAATAATTCACGTCGTCATGGTGACGTCATTATTATTGGCTTTCTAAGGCGTGAACTTGGTCAGCCAATGAAATCATCCAACACATACAACACAGCAATGAACAGATGTGACCCGAGTAACGTAGGCCCTATTCCCCATTCGAAAGTTTTTTTAATGGAATGTATATAAAAAATATATACTTTTAACAGTGCCCCCCCACCCCTCCGGAGAAAAAAGTCTGGAAGAAACAGTGTGTGTGTTAGTGTATGTATATTTCTATGTCTGTCTGTATGTATAGAGTTTTTGGTTAAATATCAAATGCTTAAACAGGTTTTTTTGGTGGGTGTTCATTTAGGAGGGGGGGGGGTAGGAATGTGAGTGTAAAAGGGGTGTTAGAAAATATTCACCCCGTTAAATCCCCCCCCCCTCCCAAAGAGGATGCCCGTGGTTTTAGGCCCAGTCCGTACCCCCCCCCCCTCCCCTTCTGCACGCCACTGAAACATTGGCACCACTAAACTCATCTATACATACGTTATGTTTAAAGGCGAGTCAAACAACAGCGCAGAGGTTTAGTCAATCTTCATATGGTACACGTCGTCTTCATACTCTACAGGTCTGTATAGGTCTGTATAAACCTTGTATAGGCTTGTATAGGTCTATAGAGATCTACGTTTTGTGAGGGTATCAAGCTGTTTTGTCCCACTTGAACCCTGTACACTGTAAAATGTGGTTCATAGTAACGATCTCTATTTAAATCCGAATTCGATTTTAACAGTTGTTCGGTAAACAACTAAAAAAAAAAAAACAACTAATAATTAAGACCCCTTACACGTATAACTTAATACCAAGGGAAGTAATCGTTCATAATATTCTTCTCAAACTGCTAGTTCAGAAAAACAGGAATGATAACTTTACCTTTTCGCAGCTCGTAAGCTAGTAGCCTCCCATATCATTTGTTTAACCTTGATCGATTTTATCGCATTTGTTTCTAAATAGTAGTCTACATGGTCCATTTTGATGATATCAATTACAGATTGTTACGGGCCAGTTGTAGGTTAGTTTAGAATAGGTTAGAATAGTCTAGAACTAGGGGAGAGTGCCTGTGTGAGTGGAGTTCACCTTACTGTGTAGTTACCCTTGTGTGTTTATGTCTTGTAATCCCAAGGTCGAATGCGGGTATAAAAGGGGGAGTGAACGATTGTGGGGGCAGTCAGCGGGTTAGTAGCGGTTAGGACGAGGGCTGTTCTGGTACGCTTGAATGCAGTGAGACGAATAAAAGTAGTGAAGTTATACACGAAGTGTTGTTGTTGATTTGATTGTAGTGATGTAAGCTCTATTCGTCTATCACTGACTCAGTGGGTAAAGTCAATTGTTAATGTCAATTATTTAATATCGTATATAATAGAATCTGATCAGCTGTCATTATTGTCTGACTAGATCTAAGATCACTAAAATAAAAACTCACCTAATCAAATCTTCATTGTTTTCTTTTGGTATGTTGGTGTGGGCCACCCCACCCCCAGTTGGTTTGTTGGTGTCAGGGATGTTGTCACCCCACCCCTAGTTGGTGTCAGGGATGTTGTCACCCCAGTGGCAGCCACTGCTCCCTGTGTCAGATCAACTCACCCAGTGGCACAGAGTTCAGGAGTCACACCCTCATGGTGTCATGACTACATGCACTGGATTCGTCCTAACTAATGACTCCACTGCTCAACATACTAGAGCCATCACGCCCACCTAATGACGCCACTACTCAGCAATTAATTAATTAATAATTAGCAATAAGAGAAACAAAAAAAATGAGTAGAGAAAATATTTTAATACAGTTGTAAACAACCAAACAAAAGTGTACCAATTGAATATAATTACTTGGTATTGATTGTAAACAGTATAGAGATCAATTAAGTACAATGTAAAAAGACCACTCATAGAAAAATATATTAAAATGTTTAAAATTATGTTATCACATTTGGTTAAATAAAATAAAATGCATAAAAGAACAATAATTTTAAAATAAATTTATATGAAGGAATGTTCGTATAATTAAATCTAAAATTTAAAAAAAAGGTTTAAACTATCCACATACAACTATCACAAGAAATAATGTTTGAAATTGAGCACAGCAAACAGAAATACAAGAGTCAGTCGACTCCTTGTAGTGGTTACGGGAGGTTTAGTCTCCACCCCAGCCACCTCCTCCACTGTCACCACCACCTCCTCCATCATAACCTCCACCACCCCCGTCATAACCCCCACCACCCCCATCATAACCCCCACCACCCCCATCATAACCCCCACCACCCCCATCATAACCTCCGCCGCTGTAGTCATTGCTTGAGCCCCCAGTATCATGGCACCCCCCACTTGTATGATGATGCCCGTGGCTGTCATGGCCGCCGCTGTAGTTGTCTCCACCACCGCTGTAGTCTACACCACCACTGTAGTCGCCACCATCACCGCCTCCACTGTCATCACCGCCATAGTCTCCAGCACCATCATCACCACCTGCGTCATCACCGCCTCCATCGTCACCGCCTGCATCATCACCATCATCAGACTCCTTTTTCTTCTTCTTGTCAGGTTTTTTCTTTTCAGGTTTTTTCTTCACATCCTGGGATTCTAGACAAAAATAGAACAATTATTTAACCTTAACCTTTACTGTAATTTAGCCTTAAAATTTGCACAAATTTAACCTTAAACTTTAATAATGATTTAACTTAAACCTTTGAGATATCATCTAAGAATTAAAAACTTTTGCCTTAAACTTTTAACAACTAAAACAATTTCAGCTAACAAAATAATAAAATAATTTCCATTATTGTATATTTTAAATTAATTATTTCATAGCTTATTCAACAAGCAGACAGGTTCTTTACTACAAAACTGCTATTATGGTTGTAAAAAATTGTTTAAGCAATATTATTATATTCAACCAGCAGACAGGTTGTTTAGTACAAAATTACTATTCTATAACAAATCGTTTAAGCAATATTATTTCCTTTTATTATTGTTAAGTTAATTGAATATTTTTTTAAAAATTTCAACATAAAATTTTAAGACATTAATCATAATTTGTTACCTTTAGTTTAATTTCATATTGTAAATTTCTAATTTGAAATTTAAAATTATGTTACATTTTTTAACAATACTCAGTATTACACAATAATAATGAAATTCACACTACTGAAATAGAAAGAATGTTAACATAATGAAACAATAGTTAGACACTAATGTACTCTAAAAAATAATTGTGTTAGAAAAGCCATTAATAAAAATATATAGATTAAAAATAAAAGTGTGACTTGCAGCAGCATTTTCTCACTCATGTAAAAAAATATCTAAATGCAAATATGGTGACTTTATTCCATAATGAGTAATGTTTCAGAATAAAGACTGAAGGACAAAATAATAATTTTAAAAAAAAAATATTTTTATTTTTAGAAGTGTGGGGGGTAGTAAACAAGAGGACGTTAATGACAGTGTAGAATATTGTATTTGTAACAACGTCCTCTCATTCTGTAAACTGTAAGAGTACTATCCTGATTCAACTCATTGCATGACAGAAGAGAAATAAGGGAGTGCCTTGGTCAGACTAAAAGAGATCAGCTCTGGACATCAAAGCTAACAGACAAATTGCAAAAGCTTTTAAAAACTTCACCCAGTAAATACCAAAATCAATACTAATGTGTAACTATTGAAATTCTAATGTTTTAATGTTATTTGCAGAGAGGGTCATAGCATTAGCATGCAGCTACTGTTTAGTCAATTAGTTTCATGGAAAAAATCTTTTTTTTAATACTACAATTTTTCTGAAGTAAAAAACTAGAAATGTAAAGTAAAATCTTACTGGTATTTGAACTTCCCATGATGCTCTACTGTAATATGGAACCTAGAATCAAATCAATTCTAGTTTGTTTGGTTTTAGTCTCGTGGCTAATGGAACTGGTCCCAGTACACGTTGTTTACAGTAGATATTCTTCCCTCCCAAACACTCATCAACTACATGACTTGTACGTGGTACAGCTACACTACAACAAACAGCAGTTAACATTTTTAACTACACTACAACAAACAGCAGTTAACATTTTTAACTACACTACAACAAACAGCAGTTAACATTTTTAACTACACTACAACAAACAGCAGTTAACATTTTTAATTACACTACAACAAACAGCAGTTAACATTTTTAACTACACTACAACAAACAGCAGTTAACATTTTTAACTACACTACAACAAACAGCAGTTAACATTTTTATCTACACTACAACAAACAGCAGTTAACATTTTTATCTACACTACAACAAACAGCAGTTAATATTTTTAACTATACGCTAAGGCAGCTTTGACAACTGTTAACAGTTTTTTTACTTACAACAAACACTAGCTGCTAAAATCTGTATCTACAAACCAACTAACATGCAGTTTTTAACCCACTTAAACAACCTCAACATTTTAACAAAGAAAATATTTGTCAACTGAATAATAAATGTAAAAGCTAATTTTAAGTTCACATTGTTGGTTAAATGTTAAATAGATTCTCTATAGGCCCTAATCATATTATATATATATATATATATATATATATATATATATATATATATATATATATATATACTGTGAAGAGGGGTGGTTTGTTAATATATAATAATATATATATATAAATATAAAATATATAATAGGGCCTACATATAGGCCTATATAAATACCTATACATATATTAAAATCATTTATATATGAATTAATAATTAATTATTTAATTATTAGCCTACATTCCATAATTTATAATATTAAATAACCACAGGTTAATAATATCAACAATATAGGCCTTAAATTAAATATTATATTTTTAAAAATTTACTACCCATCAAATCATAAATACTTACAATATTTGTTTTTAACTACTACTAGATCTATGCAGCTATTGATAAACTATTAAACTATGACTATCACGACTATCAGTACTATCACGGTTCTTACATTACACACACGCCCCATCCCCTCGTCTTACACTTAAAAAACCCACCCACCCCTGCCACGCTTTACAAAGGACGTCCCTTTATGGCTTTATCTACCTACAAAATTTAAAAACGTTCACGTTATCTAGTATAATCAAGATCTTGAATTTTAAAGCAGTAATTGCAGTTCAATACCACAGAATTGATCTTTGAATATCTAATTACCGAAAAGTAAAACTTGCATGACATAAGATCTATTACTAAATAGTTGGCAACCGTCCATTGTGTTAATTATTATTAATAGTAGCCTTAATTAACACAACTGATCTATTTTCAAGGGAGGTAATAAACGGATTGATGGAGGAGAGATAAGCAAGAAGCATTTAAGAGCAATAATCATGGTGAGTGTACATCTATTTTTTTTTTAAAACGTTAGGACAGAAAAACACACAAATGTTTTTGTGAAATTAAATTTAAAACCGACAATGGAAGAAAAATTCTCACTTTTAGACGCCATCTTGAAAGAAAGGCTTCTGAAAACAGTAAAATTAAACATCTAACTTTCAGACGACGACCAGTTAATATGAACATTAATATAAAATCATTAAAAAATAAACATAAACGTCAAATTATAAAATCGACAGAATCATTTTTGATCTTAGTGGATTATGTAGCTTTCAACAAAAACAATTGAGGAACATTACTGGTTTAGATTGCTAATTTTAATACACTCGCCCCACTCATCTGTTATAATTAGTGATTTAGCTTTTATGCCTTTTAAGGGTCGTCCATAAATGACGTCACACTCGTAGGGTGGAGGGGGGTCCGTAATTTTGTGACGGTGTGTGATGAGGGGGGGGTGGGTCAGATGCTGCGACGTCACACTTTTGCATTATAAAAAAGCAATGTTAGAAAACGAATCTTAGACGTTATTTTGCGTTTTAGAAAACTGATTTAATAAATTGTAATAGGAATTGATTAAAATACTCTATTTTGACAGAGTTCAGACAAGATTTTGGAAAAAAAAAATAGCTGTTTAAAAAAATTCAACTGCAATTTTGAGGGGGGGGGGGTTGTAGGCTGAGGCGTGACGTCATTTTAAGGGGGGGGGGGTCTGGCTTTTTGTGACGACGTGTGACGGAGGGGAGGGGGGAGGTAAAAATCGTCAAAAAAAGCATGACGTCATTTATGGATGACCCCCTTATAGTGCCTTTTATAGCTTTTAGTTTTAGTGATATAGCTTTTAGTTTTAGTGATATAGCTTTTACAAAAGTACGAAATACACAGTGAGTCTGCCAGTGCCACGAGTCTAATCAGCTCTAATCTGTACTTGACATGAGTTGGGAAACTGGTAATATACTGGCTACATCTACTAGATCATTTCTATTGCGGTACCACGGAAGCAGGAGAAATTATTGTTAAAATTAAATTAAACTGCAGTTTTGAGCAGTGTTTCTTCCAGACTTTTTTCTCCGATGGGAGGGGGCACTTGATATTATATATTATATTATGACATAATATATAGATCTATGTATGTATACCTATATATATATATATATATATATATATATATATATATATATATATATATATATATATATATATATATATATATATATATATATATATATATATATATTTATATATATATATATATATATCAACCTATATATATGTATATATACATATAGGCCTATATACATATGTATGTATATATTAAATACGTGTGTCTGTGTGTAAAAATATATCCTAATAATTAGCAGTAAATAGCAACTTACCTTCAGGTACTAGACAGGTGTGGTAGTCAAGTGAAGCGTAGAAATCTTTCGTGTGGAAATGTCAGTGTACTCTGTACACAAGTCTATTTATATCAGCCCTCTCTGCCAGGCTGGCACTGCGGCAATCGATATTCAGGCTGCGGTATGTAGTCGATACCAATGTGTTAAAGCTTGTCTCGCGAAGTCGATGCCAGCAAGTTTAGTGTGTTTGCTGTAGTCGATACTGGCCTCTTAAATCAGGCTTCATGTACTCGATACTAACAAGTAATAGCGTGTTGGCTGTAGTCGATACCAGCGTGTTAAAGCTTATCTCACGTAGTCGATGGCTGCACGTTATAGCGTGTTGGCTGTAGTCGATACCGGACCGTACACCAACCTCAGCTTAAGAGTTTTGTGTTCACATACAAAGGTACACATGTTTACACGCCCCCCCCCCCCCCGCCTTCCGACACACACACACAACCCATACACACACAAAACAGTAAGCGGAATGTTGAGATATTAAAGTGACCTTTTTGTACTCGACAAAATGTTTTAGTAGAGTGGTGATGATAAAAAATGGAGTGGCGGTTATTTCCCTTTAGCAAGTATGACAAAAGTCTGAAGGTGACGTAGCAAGTATGACAACAGTCTGAAGGTGACGTAGCAAGTATGACAACAGTCTGAAGGTGACGTAGCAAGTATGACAACAGTTTGAAGGTGACGTAGACAACAGCCTGAAGGTGACGTAGGAAGTATGACAACAGTCTGAAGGTGACGTAGACAACAGTCTGAAGGTGACGTAGGAAGTATGACAACAGTCTGAAGGTGACGTAGACAACAGTCTGAAGGTGACGTAGGAAGTATGACAACAGTCTGAAGGTGACGTAGACAACAGTCTGAAGGTGACGTAGGAAGTATGACAACAGTCTGAAGGTGACGTAGCAAGTATGGCAACAGTCTGAAGGTGATGTGGCAAGTATGACAACAGTCTGAAGGTGACGTAGACAACAGTCTGAAGGTGACGTAGGAAGTATGACAACAGTCTGAAGGTGACGTAGACAACAGTCTGAAGGTGACGTAGGAAGTATGACAACAGTCTGAAGGTGACGTAGCAAGTATGACAACAGTTTGAAGGTGACGTAGACAACAGCCTGAAGGTGACGTAGGAAGTATGACAACAGTCTGAAGGTGACGTAGACAACAGTCTGAAGGTGACGTAGGAAGTATGACAGCAGTCTGAAGGTGACGTAGCAAGTATGACAACAGTTTGTAGGTGACGAAGCAAGTATGACAACAGTGTGTAGGTGACGAAGCAAGTATGACAACAGTCTGAATGTGACATAGCAAGTATGACAACAGTTTGTAGGTGACGTAGCAAGTATGACAACAGTTTGAAGGTGAAGTAGCAAGTATGACAACCAGTGTTTCTTCCAGACTTTTTTTCTCCGGGGGGCACTTGAAATTTTCGGGGGGGGGGGGGGGGGGGGAAGGGGCGGTAGACTTTCTTCGGAGGGGGGGGGGGCGGACACTGTTAAAAGTATATATTTTCTATATAAATTATATAAATTTCATTTCGTTCGGGGGGGGGGGGGCGGTAAAAATATTTCAGGGGGTGGGGCTTTGCCCCCCCCCCCCCCCCCGAAGAGATGCCTGGAAGAAACTCTGATGACAACAGTCTGGAGGTGGAGTAGGAAGTATCACAACAACAACAATTACCGTTCCTCTGTATTCTTAATACTTAGTAACAGATTTCTTCTAAGATTATGACTAAGTTTCTTTCAAGCATCTCTTCGTGGTGTGGGGGGGGGGAGTCGAACGAAAAATAAACCTTATATAACATATACTTCGATCAGTGTCCCCGGAAATGTGTCTGTCTCCCACGCACGTTTCAAGTGCTAGAAAAAAATGTCTGAAAGAAACCCCCCGCCCCCCATCCTCGTGTGACACAGTACGGTAGGGTGAGTAATATATGATGGTGGCAGATAAGTTAACTGGTAGGGTAATATGATGGTGGCAGATAAGTTAACTGGTAGGGTGAGTAATATATGATGGTGGCAGATAAGTTAACTGCTGCTAATAAACGGTAAAATATAATGATATAAGGCTCCTCCGTACACGTCACACTCGTAGACGTGGGGGGAGGGGGGGGGGGTCAGACTGGTGACGAGGGAGAAAAAAGGGTTAATTAAAATTTAGGATCTACTCAATGCTGGCCGAGCTTAGTAGGTCTAAATATTTTTAAAAAAACCCTATTAAAAATGCAATTTTTAGGGAGTTGTAGGCTGGGGTGTGACATCAATACAGGGGGGGGGGGGCTGGCTTTTTATGGCAATGTGTGAGGAGGGGAAGGGAGGAGGTTGTAAAAATCGTTTTAAAAGCTAGACGTCATTAACAGTGCCAACCCTTTCTTTCAATGGATTATGGCGCCAAGGTTGTTGAAGCAGTATCGTAGCGAGGGGGGGGGGGCGGGGGACATATGTCCCCGGGCGCCGACCTTAGGGGGCGCCAAAATGGGCTGGAAAAATAAACTAAAAGGTCGAGGGGGTGCAAATCGAAAGTTTGAGGGGGGGGGGGTGCAAATAGAAATCTCGAAGGGGGGGGGTGCAAATCGAAAAGTTTGTCCCCGGGCGCCGGGAAGGGTCGCTACGCCTCTGTGTTGAAGCAAGCATATGTACCATGTATGTTCATTGTGTGGTAGTGGAGAGTTGTGAGTAGTTTTGCCACTTCTAATGGTAGAGGTCAACGACTCCCGAAGAAAGCGGTTTACGGCCAGTTAGCCTAACAGCGACACTGCCGTTAATAAACCGATCATGTCATGAGATTTGCAATAGTCTTTGTTAGAGACCAAGATTGCTTTCGCTATTTCGCTGTATGCCTTTGATAGCCACACTTCAAAAATCTTGTAACACCGTAGAGAATCTAAATTTTAGCAATATATATTTTAATGGATTACAAAAAATAACTTTAAAAAAATTAAAATGGCAAATTAAAGCTAGGCTAATTTACTGAAACGCTCAGTTTTACTACAAAAATCACGATAGGCCTAGGTCGAGATCTAGTAAAAACGGTTGAAATTGCTAACTTGTAAGAAACGAAACAAAATCGCTGGAAAATCTCGCTTCCTGTCTGAACTTCAGTCGACATTCTAGGTCCTCCTATCTAGGGCATTCTATACAATTTGGTAAATACTGATCGTCTATTAAGTATGTAATTTGATAAATCACACTCTTGTTTTGGTTTTTAATTAGTCATTAAACGCTGCCTGTTGACGCGGATAAAGAAGGTCCCGTTTTACTCTGTAGCTTCATTCATTGTTCGCTGCTGCTCAACTTCTCTGATCTGTCTGTCTCTGTACTAGATCTAGTACTGTAGCAGGGTGCTTTTTATCTGACAAAGTGAATAGGCCTACTGAATAGAATCTAAATCTAGATCTAGAAATCTAGATCTAGTAGTACTGTCTTGACTACTGTCACAAACTCAGCTGTGTCTAGAATGCACTTTTACTTCTTTCTATTTTCTTTTATCTTTAGTCACTTACTTAATGACTTAGTTAGCCTTAGCAAATCTTTTGTCAAAAAACGTTCTAAACAAAAGAATAAAATAATAAATATATAAAAGGCTACTGCAATTAAATCGTTAAATAATTTTTAATAGGCCTGTACTATTACTATTATTACTAATAAATAGTAAAATAGTAAATAAAATACAGACCTTAAGGCACAAGTCTTTAGCCACTTTTTTAAAGATCTTTTTTAAATTTTAAACTTATTTAAACTTAATTAACTTGGCTTAATTAAATTTACTCTGGGGAAAAATAATTTTATTGTGATGGGTAGGCTAATGATTAGATATGATTATCAATTTGTATTAGGCTCCTAACAAAGTTTAACATGTATACTACAATTACACTCTAAATGTATGTATTTAATGTTTAAAAAGTAAAAAAAATGATGAGTTTACTTTGTTCAATTCTCATCAATAATTTAAGGTAATTTCAAATGTATAGCATTGTGATATAGACCATACAATAGAGAACTGGTGCTAATAGACTGCACTATAGACTGTAAAACAACTGACAAGATCTAGGCCTATATGACTGGGAATTACAGACTGAGTTGGCTCTATTTTGCTGTGTAAATATATTGTGGGAGAAGGGGTTGGTTAAGGCTTATTTATTTTCAGAAATTTTATTTAACCTCAGGTTTTTTTTGACTGGTGTTTCTATCCTAATATCTGGTATTGATGGGGGGAAAAGCCATGGTACTTGGAATGGTTGGTCTAGCAGTTAAATTAAAGAAAAATGCTTGTTGCTTTACAGTTCTATGGGCATTTGTTGATTTGCAATATACAATAAAAAATATACAATAAAAGTGTTTAGAACTGTACCATTAGTTAAGCATAAAATCTTCAATGAATTTTAAGTAAAATACTAAATTGGAATGGTAATTACTGAGAACATTGGTTTCATTACATTAAAATCACTTTAACTTAGTTAACAAACCAGTGTTAAACATTAATTTTCAGGTTTCCTTAGTTACTGCACTAGGTATCCTGTAGAGAAGAAACATAGCCTGAGGCTAGAAGGTCAGAGGATGGCAGAGGCAGGTAGTCGCGCCAGGGCTGGTACTACAGAGGGTACCAGTGGCTCACCAAGTGCCAACAAATCCAACACAAAATTTGCAAAAAACCACAGCACATCAGGCAGAAGGTCCATTCTTTTAACTCTGTTATATTATACATCCGTTGTTTGTTTTATTGCAAAAAAATGTTTTAATTAGCAAATTTTATTTTAGCGTAGATGTAAACTATCAGATTATTAACAGATTTATTTCTTTTTTAAGACTTCAAAGAGAGTTAGCAGAGATAACTTTAGATCCTCCACCGAATTGCAGGTAATTTTTTTGAAAATTTATTTTAACATTGGGGAATTGCAGCTGCAGTAATTTGAATTATCCTAAATTATTGGCTCAATGGGTAACATTTTGTAACAGTTATGGGTTGAGGAAGTTAGTGGTAATTCTATCTTCAGCCTGGGTCTGTAGTACAACCTCGCATCCACCTGGCACTCATGTTTGTAAGACAACCTGCACTTAGGTGTGTATGATATCCACTGTCCACCCAGGTGTGATGGGGCCTGGATGTAAGTGAAATAATTTGGCCAAAACATGTGCACAGAAACCTCTCCATCTGTCCATGTGACCTGTCTTATAAGAGTTATTACACAGTATTTTGGCTGTGATGTGACACTTTTTATGTTAATGGTTTAAGGTCAATACATTTTGTATATCTTAGAACTGTTGGAAATATTCATGTGACCTGTCTTATAAGAGTTATTACACAGTATTTTGGCTGTGATGTGACACTTTTTATGTTAATGGTTTAAGGTCAATACATTTTGTATATCTTAGAACTGTTGGAAATATTCATTTGAAAAATTTACGATTGTTTTTAATATTTTCAAATCAAGTGCGGGTCCTAAGGGGGACAATTTGTATGAATGGAGCTCAACTATCCTTGGACCAAAAGCTTCAGTGTATGAAGGTGGTGTGTTTTTCTTGGATATACAGTTCACAACAGACTATCCTTTCAAGCCACCAAGGGTAATGTCATTATTCTTGTTTGTGGGAGTATCATCTTTGTCTCACTCAGCAAAAAATTATTAACTTTACCCAAATGTTTTAGGTTGTTTTCCGAACTCGAATCTACCACTGCAACATTAACAGTCAAGGTGCCATTTGTTTAGATATTCTCAAAGATAATTGGAGTCCAGCTCTCACTATTTCAAAGGTTGGTCAACATCTCATCTTGGTTTAACTCTCTTACTGATCACTATTTCAAAGGTTGGTCAACATCTCATCTTGGTTTAACAAAATTCTCTTACTGATCACTATTTCAAAGGTTGGTCAACATCTCATCTTGGTTTAACTCTCTTACTGATCACTATTTCAAAGGTTGGTAAACATCTCATCTTGGTTTAACAAAATTCTCTTACTGATCACTATTTCAAAGGTTGGTAAACATCTCATCTTGGTTTAACAAAATTCTCTTACTGATGTCTTTTACGTTGAACTTTTTATATGTACCTCTCGCTGACCTAAAACACATTTTGTTTTGTTTTTTCACTTAATGTTTTGTATAATTTAATTAGGTCCATTTAAAGTTAAGGCCTCCACTTTGTATTGCTGCTAATATTTCACTATATATTATATACATGAAATAAAAACGTATAATATAAAATGTTCCTGTGACACTTAAGCTACCATATTTGACCCTTGTGCCTATTGTATAATTTCTGTATCCCTACAGTCTCATGCTGGTAAATGTCTTATGCCTTCTGTCTTTGCTTCCAGGTCCTACTCTCCATCTGTTCATTGCTGACTGACTGTAATCCCAACGACCCACTAGTGGGCAGCATTGCTCAGCAGTATTTGACAAACAGAGAAGAACATGATCGCATTGCACGCCAATGGACCAAGCGATATGCCACGTGATGCCTTTAGAATGGCCATGATGATGTCATGTCAACATATTGTTACTATTTCTTTTTGCAAAGAAGCAGACTTTTTCTAACCAAAAAAAAATTTTTTTATTACAAAATTAATTTATATATCAATGCATTTTTTCCTTAGGTTTGCTTGACATGTTTATCATACTATGTAATTTAAATTAACTTCTTTGAATTTGTTACAAATTTCTTAACTTTCCATTATTTAAAAGTTAAATTAATCATAATGATGAAGTTGTAATTATAATATGACAGCTAAAAAACAGAAGTAGGTATTTGTTTTTGTAAATATTAATATTAAGTCTGAAATTTCTTCAAAAGGAGATAACAATATGTACAGTGACATTTTTGTGTGAGTGGTTTTGTATGAGGGTGTGATGGTGTGTGTATCAGATGTGTTTGTATGTTGGTGTTGAAATAGCTCTGAGCTAGCAGAAATGTGAAACAAGACAATTGAGAAAGTTGAGTTACTGGCTGTTGTTGTGGTCAAGTTTGATGTTCCATTTGTCCAGGTTGGCATTGGTTGTTTAGGCAGAAGGGTTGAATTACAACCTGCTTGTCTTATTGTTCAGGTACATCACCAGATTTAGTTGAAAGATTGCCTTGGTTATAACCCACCAGTGTAAACAAGGAATTAAGTTGATTAATTTTATAATTATCCTATGTTTTAAATGCTGACCACAGGTCACTTTTTGTTGAAATGAAAAAAATAGGCCACAAAAATAATTTGTCCTATTAAATTGTTTTACACTTATACTTATACTTTTTAAATTTGTTAGCTGCAAGGAGTGTTTGTGAACATTAGTTCACTATGAATCTTACTGCTCAAGGAAAGTGAGCAACAAAAACATGTTTTAACTGCCATTATCTTGTTGACGATGTAATAGGGGCAGGTAGTGTCTGTTGTTGATTTTTTCTTCTAGCCTCATGGTTTTCATTTAAAATGGTATCATCTGCATTGAAGAACTACTTGCTAGGGGCTGGTTTCAATTTTTAAAACATTAGCTTTTGTGTTTTGAAAGAAACTTTTAATGTAAAAAGGTTTAATTTTATATTTTTCTATCTACTGTTGTCTGTCAGTAATTCTTTCTTTTTTTATGACCTAAAAAACACCTGGATAATAAATGCTTCCCTTAACAGTTCCAAAATTTTGGACCTAAAAACGTGGTGTTCCTAATGGGGTATGTGCGAATGGTGTCCTAGACAGTACAAAATAGTTCTCTGAGAACTGCTGTTCTTTCAGTCTTAGAAATTGTTAATTAAACTAATTGCTGCACCATTGTTTAACTAACTAGCTAACCACTCCCTTTTTTGAACTTTTGTTCTACTACTTATAGGAAATAACTTTTTCAGTTTGAAAAAACAATGGGGTATGTTTACATTCAAAAAGTAATCTGTCCCCCAATTCTAAGCTCCATATAATAGTTCATATAACAATACTACGTTATGAAAAGTAGATAGATTTAAAGTTATCAAGTGAAGTAGATCTGTTTATTGAATTCTTACCTCAACACAAATGGGTGATAGTTCATGTTGTCTTTTACCTTCCACTGGCTGTTGTCAGGAGACTTTCAGCCTCAGTTGTTGTCAGACTTTTGGTATCCTGCCAGACTTTTGGTATATTGTCAGACTTTTGGTATGCTGCCAGACTTTTGGTATGCCGCCAGACTTTTGGTGTGCCGCCAGACTTTTGGTGTGCTGCCAGACTTTTGGTATGTTGTCAGACTTTTGGTGTGCTGCCAGACTTTTGGTATGTTGTCAGACTTTTGGTATCCTGCCAGACTTTTGGTATGTTGTCAGACTTTTGGTGTGCCGCCAGACTTTTGGTATGCTGTCAGACTTTTGGTATGCTGCCAGACTTTTGGTATGCCGCCAGACTTTTGGTATGCCGCCAGACTCCTCTACAGGACTCCCTCTAGAGACAGTGTGGAGAGATTTCTTGTCAGCGTCCTCCAGTATAATGTGAGACTCCCTCGGGTGTGTGTCAGCATCTGGTTAATAGTTTGAGATTATTTCCATTTGATGTATTTGTGTCTGTACATATAACTTTTTTTTCGTAAATTAAAAAATTAAATAATGAGTGTCTTGTTATATTTTTTCATTTGTTACCTATGTCATGGTGTATAAGTCAGAAGTGACCATATCTCAATAATTTTTCATCTGTGTCATGGAGTATAAGTCAGAAATAATTTTTAGCTTGCTGGAAGCTGGTAGTATAGCTATAAGTCATGTGACTGCTCTTGGTATATTTTATTTTAATATGGGCTGGTTGGTAAGTCCACTTTAGGACTGATTTAGCTGATTCTTGGTCTAATTAGTCGGCACTGTAATGAGATAGATCCACAATTTCATAAGCAGGCTTACAAAACATTGATTCAAATGGAAGAAAGTAATTTTAAAAAATTACCCAATTTAAGGTAACTTCCCCAAAATCTATATATATATAATTTTCTTTGGGAGACGCTAGAAAACAAGCTGTAAGCACGCTCCCTACCACCCCACCCCTACATGGTCTGGTGAGCTGTGTTTCACGCTAAATGTTTACATTCGTAGAGCCGGTTTTAGTGACGGCTATTAGGGGCATATAATTTAGTTTGAAACCATTTTAAACTTAGGGGAGGTAACTAAGAGGAGGCTGCTTTCATGGGGGGGGGGTGTAGGGTTGGGGGAAAGGAAGGTGGGGGTAGTATCGTTCTTAACGACCTACTGATAGTGTTTTAAAGCAAATATTTTCAGTGGCAGCATTGGTACTGTCGATTTCACAAATTATGAATTACTGAAAAGTAGAAAATAAAACAACTAAATAGCGGCATATGATAAGCCGCGGGTCGGCTCGTATAATTTAATCCTCTCAGGTTTTTGTTGCCTCATTGTATTAACTCAGGGATTTAAATTCCAGGGTTTCATTCAGACAATTAGCTGGGGGGGGGGGGGCAGTGGCGGAGCTAGAAAAAATGGGCCACCCCGCAAAAACATTTTTTGGGCCCTATATATATATATATATATATATATATATATATATATATATATATATATATATATATATATATATATATATATATAAAATGGGATCCTATATACGAAAATACGAAATACGTACATAGAATACTCAATACGGGCTTGACCGAAATTCGAAAAATAGTAAAAATTCTTAGTTTTTATTTTAAATTAAAATATGTTTTTTTTTTTTTTTTTTAAAGTACAATTTTTTACAAGTCGGTCAAAAGAATATGAAGCAGAAAAGCTTTGTATGTGTAATGGTTTCTCGCCTTATGATTATTTTTAGGTTTTTAGTATTTGTATTATTAGTTTTTAATACATTTCCTTTTTATACTATGTCATTTTTATTATGTGTTTAAAAAAATAATAATTAAGAGAAGTAATTGCTTTTTAATTTGTTTAGTGCAAATCTATAAAAAAAAATTAAGAGCACACATATTTGACTATTTAAAAAAGGGAAATAAGTCATGGGAGTGGTTAGAACGTTTGCCTATCTTTCACACTACAAGTCATGTAGCCTATATATTTTTTTTTCCTTTACGAAATAGCATGTGTTAGCTACTGTAGAACATCACTACTGTATTATAGATCTGTTTTGTTTTTACTAGAAAATTATTTTTTAACTATAAAAAAATTGATTATGGTCATCTCTGGGCCCCTAAACGGCCTGGGCCCCCCCCCCCCCCGCATTGCGGGGTCTGGCGGCACTGTAGTTCCGCCCCTGGGGGGGGGGGGGGGAGTGACAATTGTTATATATAGTTTCTATAGAAATACAACTGACCACCTTAAACCAGTTAAGGATTTTACCCTTAGCCTGAAACAGATGGCACAATGTCTGACAATAAATACCAGGCATACTCAGTGTTTTCCTGGTGGAAAGAATCAATTTCTTGTAAATACCCCAGTGGTAACCACTGTAAAAAAATTCGGATTGTACATTACATTTAAATACATTTCAAGCGAAAAATGTTTGGTAGAAAATGTATCTAAAGTAAGGGAGGGGGGATCGCTTATTTAAATTATTTGATTTGTTGCCCCGAAATTCGCTAAATGAGTTTTCTTTTATACAAGAAAAATGCCTATTTGAAAAATAAAATCAAGGCAGTGAATTAAATTTGTGATTTCTTTCTCTAAAATCAGTTCTATTACTAATTATACTTTTTAACTTGTGTATGTAAACTCGCGAGATATTACGAGATTGGTATCTTCCGGTTTCCACTCATCGTATTGCCTTTGTAAAATTGGTTGGTTCATCCTACAAAACCATGCCAAGAAAGTAAACAAATTTATTTACTTTATCTATCTCATACTCCCAGTTGTTTTATATAGTTATTATTTTCTTTAGATCTTAAACCACTATTAAATACAGATAGATCTAGGCTTGTTACTTTGCTAGAGCTTGTACATCGAGTACGTTACTCAGACTGAGACCAGTCACTGCACTTGCAGTGTGTCACTGTCACTCTGTTTCAAAATGAAAAGAAAGAGCTAGTGCAATTTGATAACCTATTTTGATCAGTAGAGTCAGAGATAGTATATCTTACTTAATTTTAAATCATATTATTTTCTAATTTGACACAAAATTATAAAGTATAGGCCTAACTAATCGGCTAATAGGCCAAATTAAATAGTGACTGCATAGAATGCGAGTAAGAACACCTTCGCCCAAACTTTTATCTCTGGTTGCATACTATTTAAATTTAGTTTAATTTAAATACAATGAGTCCCTGCTGTAGTTTTGTGATACAAAATAATAAATATGGTACTTAATTACGATAAGCACGCTCTAGCGTAAAGCATGACGTATCCTGTTTTGGGAAAAGATGCCATTCATTCATTGATGGTGTTTTATTTTTTCTTTAGTGATCAGATGTCACAGGGGTTAAAATTTAAAATAATATGGCTCCATAGCCTTAGCTCTTAATAGACCATAAGGCCTAGACAGCAAGTTATGACCAAAAGTGCCCATTTTTTGGCAACCTTACCCTCCTCCACACAAGAAAAACCATAAAAATTGGGAATGTTAACAAGCTGAAATTAATTCAACTATTTTTTATTTAACTATTTATATTTAGCATATATTCAAATTTAATGTGTTGTAGGTAGGCCTATTTGTGAAGCTTGATTGATTTTTTTTTGTATTGCAGAAGACATGACAGTGATGAGAGCAGCAGTTCAGATTCATCTTCTTCAGAAGGTACTGTTCTCTGATCTAATTATTACAGGGATTAATCATCAAGACTTTATTTGATTAGTTTTGAGTACTTTTTTTTTACTAAATTATGTTTTATACAATGTGATAAAAATTGTATTCGTTTTTTTAAACGTTAGGTCCTTAGTTGTTTATAATTTAAGATGATTTAATTATGTATGCTAATAATTTTTTCCTTTGTTTGACAACTTATTTTTTATTTCAGCCTCATTCATTTAACAAAGCGTACATTTTAGTATATTATGTTTCACATACATTTTAAGCCAGAATTGAAATAAGTTTTCACTTAAACTTGGCAGCATTTAACTTGAATCTCCGTTGTTTTTAAAAACAAACAACTACTCTTTAAGCAGAATAAGCACAATTTTTTTTACTTTAATCACATTTTTTAAATTTGTATGTAATCGACTGACTATATATTTTTTTCTCTTAGCAATATCTTTTCTAACTAATTATTTAATTTATTTTACAGATTCTTCTGACTCTTCCCCACACCCCCGTAGTTCTCATAAAATTTCAAAATCAGCTTCCAATGTAAAGTCAAGCCCACCAGAAAATGTGAAATCTTCAGAGAACAAAAATGCTCATCATTCAGGCAGTTCTACCAAATCATCTTCCAGTCGAGCAAGAGATTCAGGGAGCAGGCCTTCATCACAACATGGAGAAAAAAGTAGGAGACAGGAGGATTCAGGGAAAGAAAGTGGTAGAGAAAGAAACAGAAGAGAGGATGAACATCATAGTAGTCGAGAGGTAGTGAGTAAAAGAGAGAACAGAGATGATCACAGAGAAAAAAGATCAGATCGAGGAGAAGAGTACAGACACAATAGAAGAGATGACAGGTACAGCCATAGAAGAGATCGTGATGAGCCATACAGAGAGTCTCGCTCAGATAGGGGGCGCCGTTCTGTTGATAGAAAAGATAATAGACGAGAAGAAAATACAAGAAATAATGAGGCTGTGAGAGAGAGTGAACGAGAAGCTGAGAAACAAAAAGAGAGAAAAACAACTCGTCAAAGCTCAAGAGAGAAAGGGGATATTGAGAAGAATAAAACAGAAAAAGTCGTCTCTAGAAAAGATGCAGCTCAACCTGGTAAAGACAAGAACTCCAGGACCAGAGAAGAGACTTCCAAGAGCAGCAAGAAGGAAGTGAAAGAAAGGAAAACCTCAACCAGTAGCAGTAGTGAGGACAGTGACAGCTCTGATGATTCTGACAGTGGTAGGGACAGTAAACAGACAAAAGCTGAGGTAGAGAGTGACTTCAAGCGGAAAGAACAATCAGTGGCGCTGACCAAGAAAAAAGACAAGCAGTCAAAAGAAAGTTCTGATGATGATGATGATGATTCAGAAGATGAGGATAGAACAATCAGAGTTGTCACTAGTGTGTCTAAAAATGCTAAAAAAAACACAGATGAATCTGAGACTTTTGAAAGTGTTGATGCTGCTGCGAGTAAAAATGCTAGAGAGAGTGGTAAAGAAAACAAGAGCCCGGTGACCAAACGTAGTGAGGAACCCAAGGAGAAGCTTGGTGACACACCTGAAAAGGTCAATAAAACAGATGCTGCAGGCCACAGTGATGATGATGAAGATGATGATGGTGGAGAGAAAGAAGAAGGTGAACTATCAGAAGAAGAGGAGGATCCTTCATTAGTCAAACCAATCATAGCACTCAGGTAATTTTGTTCTTCAGTCGTTTTTAAAAATGTGTATTTTGGGGAAAAAAAACTTCACTAAATCTAGTTTGAATATACTAATTATTTGTTTGTTTTTCTATACAGTGAGGATATATCAGATATCAGCAGTGAAGATGGTCATGATGTTAGTGTAGTTGTGAAACAGGAACTTGTGGAGCCACCCCACACCCCTCCAGCCCCAGTCACAACCTCTGAATCTGAGGAGGAAGAGGATAAGTCCACGTCAAAACAAGCATTAGAAAAAACAGGTACAGAGAAACCAGCTCCTGCTGGTGCAATGTTAAGGACAGACAGTCATGATTTCAGTGATAAGGATGTTGATGAAACAGAGGATTATAGCTTAAGAAAAAGACCTGTATTAGAGAGTGACAGTGAGGATGAAGATAGCAGGGCGGTGCTGAGGAGCCATGTTGGTAGCTCAGTGTCTCTGGTGAAAAAAGAAAATGATAGACGAGAGGCCAAGCGCAGATCTGTGGAGAGGCAGAGACGAGATGATGGCAGGGGCAGCTATAGAAATGACATGAGAACACGGCGTGATCACTTTGACAGGCGAGGGGATGATGATGATAGAAGGCAGAGGCGTGTTGTCAATGATGATGATGATAGAAGGCAGAGGCGTGTTGTCAATGATGATGACAAAAGAAGAAAAGTTGATGCAGATGACAAGAAAGACGCAAGGTAATAAAATGTTATTTAAAATTAGTTTTGGTATATTGTGCCTTATATTGTGCCTTTTATTGTCGTTAGCTACTTTTTATTTCTAGAAATTGAATTAACAGTGTTGATCTGGAATATATCTTTAAATTTTTTTATTGGTAGTCTTGTTTAAATAATGTTCTTTGTTTTTATGTGCAGTACTATGGATAAATCAAAAGAGGCAGCAGAGTCAGGTAAGAAAGCAGAAGTGGACATAACAACACGGACAGGTGGTGCTTACATCCCACCTGCTAAGCTGCGAATGATGCAGGAGGCAATTACCGATAAGACCAGGTAAGCTAGATGTGAGGTTGTGATAGTGATCCTACAGGGAATCATGTGACCTGGTATTTTATTCTTGCCAACTGTTCTCAGTGTTGCCTATCAGAGGATGTCATGGGAGGCGTTGAAGAAAAGCATCAATGGTCTTATCAACAAGGTTAACGTTTCCAACCTTATCAACATTATTAAAGAACTTTTCCAGGAAAATATTGTGCGTGGGCGGTAAGTTAAATTGGTTTTTTTTTTAGTTTAAAACTGGTGCAAAATTGTTTTTGTTAACTATTACAGTTATAAAAGTAAAGCTCTAATCTGAATGTTGAATAATAAACTAAAATGAAATTTAAAAAAAAAAACCAACTTGTCAAGGTTTGTGTTAAAAAAAAACATATATTAAAAATCAAGCTAAACATAGGTGATAGAGCTAATTCATCAAATGTATTGCTTTTGGGACAAGATAATTTTTTTCCTTTAAGGTAGGTTTGTAATGGTTGTAGGTATATAATAAACCAACAGCTTTATAGCCACACAAATATTCGAATGTTGATTGCTAATTCTACTTCCAACTCTTGTTAGGGGTCTGTTGGCTCGATCTGTGATCCAGGCCCAGGCGGCCTCACCAACATTTACCCATGTTTATGCTGCTTTAGTGGCCATCATCAATACCAAGGTGAGTCTCTCAGTAGTATCAACACGTCTACCAGTTCTGAAAATATTGCACTTTTTGTTGAGATGTATATGTCATTTTTTTATATTGCAAGAATTGTCATCATGTTTCTTAAGTCATCTAACAAATGTCATTTATACATTTGTTTAAATTAGTATTTTGTTACTTAATTTTGGAAAATCTATTTTTACATCTATTATTTTTGTATCTTTAATTTTGAGTGCCGGTCAACTTTATTTCTTAAAATTTACACACTTTCACATTTTTAAAATTGGTTATTTTTAAAAGCACATTTTTAAAAAAATGGCCCTAATTTTGAACATACTTTACTGATGACTGTTACAATTGTTGTTGAAAAGTAATAATTCAATTTCAGTTTCCACAAAATGGAGAGCTAATTCTACGTCGCCTGATCTTGATGTTCCGACGCGGTTACCGCAGGAATGACAAGAGCATTTGCTTGTCAGCCACCAGATTCATTGCTCATCTGGTCAACCAACAAGTGGTGAGTTATGCCCCCTGAAAGGCATCTTTGTTTTTCTCCCTCTAAATGGAGATGGAGAACGAATATGGATGCAGTCGCAGATGTTTTTTCACATTTGTGTCTGGTAATGTTGGCGAAAAAATTGGCCTTCGCCAGAACTTGCCAGTGGAACGTCTGGTCAGTTAATGCAACTGGCCTTTTGAGGAACAACACCCATCAAGTTTTGGTCAGGAAAAACTGACCTTTCACATCAGAGATCAAGAACAGCAGCTGGTTAGGACCACAGCAACATCAGCTGGTCAAGATCCCCAGCTGGTCAAGATCACAGAATCACCAGCTGGTCAAATCACAGAATCACCAGCTGGTCAAATCACAGAATCACCAGCTGGTCAAATCACAGAATCACCAGCTGGTCAAATCACAGAATCACCGGCTGGTCAAATCACAGAATCACCAGCTGGTCAAATCACAGAATCACCAGCTGGTCAAATCACAGAATCACCAGCTGGTCAAATCACAGAATCACCAGCTGGTCAAATCACAGAATCACCAGCTGGTCAAATCACAGAATCACCAGCTGGTCAAATCACAGAATCACCAGCTGGTCAAGACCAGAGAATTACCAGTTGGTCCAGACCACATCAGTACACTTGGTCAGGACCAAGACTGGTGATTCAAGGAGCTGAATTCTGTAGGTGAAGCTGGACCAGATACTTGTGACCACAGTTGTGAACTGACCAACATCCTTTGTCAGTTTTACAAGGCTACATACGCCTACTGTTCAAGTCTCTCATCTGTCTTCAGCCAACGTAATTCATCTACAGATGATTTCCTTGTAGATCATCTGTTTGAGGAACTCAGGAATGAGTTGCTTGTTTCAACCAACCCACAATCAGACTAGCACCTCAACACATGGGTGCTCCATTCTGTGGCCATCTGTGTGTTTATTTAATATGTGCTAGTCATCAACCCAACCTGGAATCTGCCACACGCGTGAACCACTTCAGGCTATGAATAATTAAGCTTGAAAAAGTGTGGTGCTGATGTGGCTGAATGAGAAGATTGCCTTCAGTCACTGATTAAAGTGGTTGGCAAAATGGCACTGCAGGTAAGGTACATAGATGATTTAACATTGTCAATGTTGCAGTTGTTTGAATACTTGACTTGATGTTTAGACTGTTAAATTCTACCAGTATTGTTACAAACATTTTTTATTATTATAGTTAGCCACAAGCTATATTGCAGAAATAACCATAGTTTCAATCAAAACAATTTTTTATGGCCAGCTACAGACAGAATGAGCCATTTAAATATTCTACTCCTTGTTATCCTCAGATTAAAAATATCATTTTTATTCCACTTTCATTTTTAAACATTCACATCTCGTCTAGGATTGCACTCTAAATACATTTAAATTTTCTGTTTTAAATTTGTCTACTTTGTCCAATGTGTTATTAGTTAGTCTCTAGTTGTCTGGTAGCAACTGTCTTTTCATCTCCATACACTAGAAAATTAGAGAGAGAGCAACTCTATCATTCAGGCACTGATTTTTGTTAAGTTTAGTGGTCTTTAGTTGCCTGGTAATAGCTGACTCTTCATCTCTCATCCATTAGGAAGTGAGAAACTAGCAAACTAAAGCTTTGACCAACTAAGCTTTGACACACTATCATTCAGGCATTAATTGAATCAAGTCGGATTTATTGTTTTAATTTTTAAATTATACTTACCTAGTGAAAATTTCACAATGTTTTTGAGGCCATGGATGTTAACTTTGACTTGTGCATATTTTTCAAGTTTTCCTGTAGTTTTATCACTTACTTGTGGTCTCTATGAGATGTTTGTTTATCTAAACAGGCCCATGAAGTGTTGGCGCTTGAAATCCTAACCCTCCTACTGGAAACACCAACGGATGATTCTGTGGAAGTGGCCATTGGTTTTCTCAAAGAATGTGGACAAAAGCTGACTGAAGTTTCACCTCGTGGAGTCAACTGTAGGTCACTTTTTTCTTATCTTTCTTTGTACTTTAGCTTTACTCTAGCTAGAAATCTGATCCTAAAATCTACTGGTTAAATAGTAGTCCAGTGGACTGGTGAGCATGCTGTAACATTCCCTGCAAGTTTACCAAGATCAACATTTTAAAAATTATTTTTATTACTAATTTTATGTTTATTACACTTTTTAAAACCTGGTATTTGAAGATTATTAATTTCTCCTGCAGCAATATTTGAACGCCTGCGCAACACCCTGCACGAGGGTGTACTAGATGTCAGAGTTCAGTATATGGTGGAAGTCATGTTTGCCATACGTAAAGATGGCTTCAAGGTAAGCTGTTTACATAACATAGTCTTATTCTTGTCTAACATTCTAACTTAAAGTAAGTTCATCTTAGACTTTTGTCATTTACAAGTCATAACTCAAACATATTTATTTTTTATGTGGGTGGGGGGGGGGGGGTGTTAACAGGTAATTAAATGAAGTCTTCTTCATGTAAAAGAAATTCATGTCTCAGGTGTGAGGAAGCAAAAATAGGGGCCATGGTCAAGAGGGTGTTAATACTTTTCTTCTATCAACAAAAATAAATGTAACTTTGGGTGTAAGAAGAGTTTAAAGACTTGTGTACATTTCCCAGGACCACCCAGCTGTGTTGGCTGAGCTAGATCTGGTGGAGGAGGAGGAGCAGTTCACACATTTACTGCAGCTGGAGGACGCTGTCACAGGGGATGAGATGCTCAGTAGGTGCATTGTTACTGTCTCTCTCTGTATGCCAGTCTGTAGGTGCATTGTCACTGTCTCTCTCTGTATGGCAGTCTGTAGGTGCATTGTTACTGTCTCTCTCTGTATGGCAGTCTGGGACAAACACTCTATTTTCTAATGGAGTGATTTTGTTTCCAGGTTAATTTGTATTGGATAACGACGCAAGAATATCTTTCAGCCTAATTAGATATTAAATTAGTGGTGTTAATTAATTTACAGGATACTATATTTAATTTTAATAGCCGTAGGAGAGAACAAGAGAAATCAGTACTGATACTCAATGATTTCATGGACAACCAGTGCTTTTACTACTAAAGGGAAAAAAAATTATTTTATTAAATGATGTTCAGAAAGATTTTTTTTACACTTTTTTACATTTCATGAGTTTTACTAGTGATCCAAATGTTGAGTTATGTAGTGCTCTGTTAGGTTACATGAGATTTCCTGGTGTTGATAATATTTGTTAATATTGACTCTCACAAAAATCTCTTATTTTCTTCAGATATTTTCAAGGAAGATCCTAACTTTGCTGAAAGTGAAGAAAAATATAAGGCATTGAAGAAAGGTATGAAGATAGAAAAAATAAGTGTTGCACACATATTATTTTAATAATTATAATCCTACTCATACTACTTAATATACTCTCTGTTTTTAAAGTACTTGTAATAAGTTTAACCATTCACTGCCAGAGTATAAAATGTTTTTACATCCCATTTAACACAGCAGACGACTCATAGTTTAGGTAAATCATTTTACCAACCCAGGAGTTGTCAATTATAAAACACATCAGTCTGTTACGCTGTATTTGTCATTGCTATATATTTATACTATTGTTGTGATTGTTGTGAATTTATGCTATTTTTGTCATTCCTGTATATTGATTGTTTGACTGTGTTACACAGAGATTCTGGATGAAGAAAGCTCTGGCGAGGAATCTGATGAATCTTCAGGCTCTGGGTCCTCAGACAGTGAAGATGATGAAGAGGCCCAAGAAAAGTTAAGTAAGTGAAACCTTTTCTACAGACTAGACCTCACTAGACACACTCCCACCCTGTCGTAGGGGGCTACATGACATTACCCCCCTGGAAAATTCCCCCCCGGACATTTCCCCCCCGTAATTACCCCCCTGTCAATTACCCCCCTGTCAATTACCCCCCCCCCCCCGGGGAATTACCCCCCCCCCCCCCCCTCTCAAGTTAGAATCCTAACTCTAACTAGAATTCTATACCTATATACTACTTTAATCCAAACCTTAAGAAAAACACCAAAACCTAAGCATTCACACAAAACCAAAACCAACGCTAGGCACAACCCTAGCCCTAACCCAGGGGTCTCCAAACTACGGCCCGCGGGCCGGATGCGGCACGCGAGGTCCTCTCATCCGGCCCGCGGAGATCTTTTTGTCCACGGAAAAAACGTTTGTTGGTGATAGCTGAGGAACTTTGCCCAGAAAAATCAAAGACAGGACTGGAAGAAATTGGCCCCCGAACTGAAATTTGATAGTCAATGCGGCCCTCGGACTGAAAAGTTTGGAGACCCCTGCCCTAACCCTAATCTTAACCCTAACCCTACCCCTAGCCCCAAAAACCTAACCCTAGCCCTAACCCTAGCCCTAGCCTTAGCCCTAGCCCTAACCCTAACCCTGTTCGGGGGGGGGGGGTAATATCCTACTGGGCGGGGGGTAATTGACAGGGGGGTAATTACTCTGGGGGGTAATGTCCGGGGGGTAATTGACAGGGGGGAAATGCCCTGTTCCCGTCGTAGGGAGCTGTCAACTTGGAAGATAGAAATTCTGCTCAAGCTTCCAATAGCATGTGGTGAAGGGCTCAGCTTAGATGGTTTGTCTTTCTTCCAGATGCAGAACAACAGACCATCATTGACCAAACAGAAACCAATCTCATTGCCTTGCGCAGGACAATTTATCTGACTGTTCAGTCCAGTTTGGACCATAATGAATGTGCACACAAAATGTTGAAGATGGATCTCAAGCCTGGGCAAGAGGTAAGCAAGTTTTCACAATTATTTCATAGTAGCGCTGTCAATAAATAGCATGTTTGACAGGATTAATTTACACACTTGTCATTACTTAACATGCCTGTGATTAATTTAAACACATGTAATTAACTTACACACCTGTGTATGTTCCACACCTGTATATGTTACACACCTGTATATTTTGTCTCCTTGTTTCTGCCCAGATTGAGCTATGCAACATGATCTTGGATTGCTGCGCACAGCTAAGAACTTATGAAAAGTTTTTTGGTCTCCTGGCACAGGTATGGCTTGTTTGTAAATTTGTTTTGTATCCAGACTCAACTTGATTGTGTTGTATCCAGACTCATCATAATTGTTTGTGTTGTATCCAGACTCAACTTAATTGTTTGTGTTGTATCCAGACTCAACGTAATTGTTTGTGTTGTATCCAGACTCAATATAATTCTTTGTGTTGTATCCACCAGACTCAACATAATTCTTTGTGTTGTATCCAGACTCAATATAATTCTTTGTGTTGTATCCAGACTCAACATAATTGTGTGTGTTGTATCCAGACTCAACATAATTGTTTGTGTTGTATTCAGACTCAACGTAATTGTTTGTGTTGTATCCAGACTCAACGTAATTGTTTGTGTTGTATCCAGACTCAACGTAATTGTTTGTGGTGTATCCAGACTCAACATAATTGTTTGTGTTGTATCCAGACTCAATATAATTGTTTGTGTTGTATCCAGACTCAACATAATTGTTTGTGTTGTATCCAGACTCAGCGTAATTGTTTGTGTTGTATCCAGACTCAACATAATTGTTTGTGTTGTATCCAGACTCACCATGATTGTTTGTGTTGTATTCAGACTCAACATACTTGTGTGGTATCCAGACTCAACATGATTGTTTGTGTTGCAGAGGTTCTGTCAGATAGACAAGAAATACATCGACCCATTCCAGCAAATCTTTGTAGACCAGTACCAGACCATCCATAGGCTGGAGACCAACAAGCTGAGGAATGTGGCCAAATTCTTTGCACATTTGCTCTACACTGATGCTATTTCATGGGGTGTAAGACAATTTTCTTTAAATTCTTGGCACATTTGCTCTATACTGATGCTATTTCATGGGGTGTAAGACAATTTTCTTTAAATTCTTTGCACATTTGCTCTACACTGATGCTATTTCATGGGGTGTAAGACAATTTTCTTTAAATTCTTGGCACATTTGCTCTATACTGATGCTATTTCATGGGGTGTAAGACAATTTTCTTTAAATTCTTTGCACATTTGCTCTACACTGATGCTATTTCATGGGGTGTAAGACAATTTTCTTTAAATTCTTGGCACATTTGCTCTATACTGATGCTATTTCATGGGGTGTAAGACAATTTACTTTAAATTCTTGGCACATTTGCTCTATACTGATGCTATTTCATGGGGTGTAAGACAATTTTCTTTAAATTCTTTGCACATTTGCTCTATACTGATGCTATTTCATGGGGTGTAAGACAATTTTCTTTAAATTCTTGGCACATTTGCTCTACACTGATGCTATTTCATGGGGTGTAAGACAATTTACTTTAAATTCTTGGCACATTTGCTCTATACTGATGCTATTTCATGGGGTGTAAGACAATTTTCTTTAAATTCTTTGCACATTTGCTCTACACTGATGCTATTTCATGGGGTGTAAGACAATTTTCTTTAAATTCTTGGCACATTTGCTCTACACTGATGCTATTTCATGGGGTGTAAGACAATTTTCTTTAAATTCTTGGCACATTTGCTCCTTGCCCAACTATAAAATGTACCGTTGAGCACCTGTGACCATTATTGTGTTCATCTAGACAACAAATGCTGTAAACTCTCTCCCCAGGTTCTGAGTGTTATAAAACTTACTGTAGAGGACACCACATCAGCCAGTCGCATATTCTTAAAGATTTTATTTCAAGAGCTCTCGGAGTTTATGGGTTTGTTTAAGCTGAACGAGAGATTAAAAGACCCGTAAGTCCACTCACTCTACCTTATATGTTACAAAACTAATGAGTTTTTTTTTTAATTTCTTAATTACAAATTTGTCAATTCTATTTATGTGTATTACAACATGCCATAAAGGTCTGTGACTGTTCCTCTTGTAGAACACTGTCTATTACAACATGCCATAAAGGTCTGTAACTGTTCCTCTTGTAGAACACTGTCTATTACAACATGCCATAAAGGTCTGTAACTGTTCCTCTTGTAGAACACTGTCTATTACAACATGCCATAAAGGTCTGTAACTGTTCCTCTTGTAGAACACTGTCTATTACAACATGCCATAAAGGTCTGTAACTGTTCCTCTTGTAGAACACTGTCTCCATTTTTTGCTGGCATCATGCCACGAGACAACCCCAAGAACACCAGGTTCTCCATCAACTTCTTCACCACCATTGGACTTGGTGGACTCACGTAAGTTGGATTCTGTTTGCTCATTTTGGTCTTGGTGGACTCACGTAAGTTGGGTTCTGTTTGCTCATTTTGATCTTGGTGGACTCACGTAAGTTGGATTCTGTTTGCTCATTTTGGTCTTGGTGGACTCACGTAAGTTGATATCTGTGTGGTCATTTTGGTCTTGGCCTGGTGCAACATTGTTTGTTTGAATCAGCTTACGCTAGGTAAATGTTTGAATCATCTGCTTGCTCTAGGTAAATGTTAGAATCTGTACCAGCAATGTTTTTCTCTCTCCAGGGATGATCTGAGAGAACATTTGAAGGTAGTCACAAAACACAACGTACAGCAGAAACAGGAGGAGGAGGAGGCAGACAGCAGTTCATCCTCAGACAGCTCCGACAGCTCTGACTCTTCAGGTAAGTTAAACAGCCTCTCAGTCAAATGTTATAAGTTTCAGGTAAGTTGGACAGGCTCTCAGTCAAATGTTATAAGTTTCAGGTAAGTTGGACAGGCTCTCAGTCAAATGTTATAAGTTTCAGGTAAGTTGGACAGGCTCTCAGTCAAATGTTATAAGTTTCAGGTAAGTTGAACAGGCTCTCAGTCAAATGTTATAAGTTTCAGGTAAGTTGGACAGCCTCTCAGTCAAATGTTATAAGTTTCAGGTAAGTTGAACAGCTTCTCAGTCAAATGTTATAAGTTTCAGGTAAGTTGAACAGCCTCTCAGTCAAATGTTATAAGTTTCAGGTAAGTTGGACAGCCTCTCAGTCAAATGTTATAAGTTTCAGGTCAGTTGAACAGGCTCTCAGTCAAATGTTATAAGTTTCAGGTAAGTTGAACAGGCTCTCAGTCAAATGTTATAAGTTTCAGGTAAGTTGAACAGCTTCTCAGTCAAATGTTATAAGTTTCAGGTAAGTTGAACAGCTTCTCAGTCAAATGTTATAAGTTTCAGGTAAGTTGGACAGCCTCTCAGTCAAATGTTATAAGTTTCAGGTAAGTTGAACAGCCTCTCAGTCAAATGTTATAAGTTTCAGGTAAGTTGAACAGGCTCTCAGTCAAATGTTATAAGTTTCAGGTAAGTTGGACAGCCTCTCAGTCAAATGTTATAAGTTTCAGGTAAGTTGAACAGGCTCTCAGTCAAATGTTATAAGTTTCAGGTAAGTTGAACAGCCTCTCAGTCAAATGTTATAAGTTTCAGGTCAGTTGAACAGGCTCTCAGTCAAATGTTATAAGTTTCAGGTAAGTTGAACAGGCTCTCAGTCAAATGTTATAAGTCTGTCTGACAGTGTTTGCTCTGTTAAGGTCCGTGTGATGTTTGCTCTATTAAGGTCTGCCTGACAATGTTTGCTTTGTTAGTGTCTGACAGTTCTTGCTTTCTACTTTCAGATTCTGATTCATCATCTGATTCTGACTCAGAGCCAAAAGCCAAGAAAAAGAAAAGCAACCCTAAAGTCCAAGCTAAAAACTCTGAGAAAAAGGGTGCGTCTGGCAGTAAAGAGAAACAGGTGAATGGCAAGAGAAAGTCTCCTGAGGCTGGCAGGAAAACTATAGCTGATAGACTGCTGGATATGGCTCAGTATGGCAATGTGGGACATAAGGGAAGGACTGAGGGGGAGGAGAACACACAAGGGAAGGACAAGAGGAATAAAAAGGATGGGAGTAGCAAGAGTAAGGGAGGTAAAGAGAACTCTGTCAGGGAGGAGAAGAGAAGTGATAGGGAGAGGGGAGAATCTGAACACAGCAAGGGGCGGGGAGATATGAGGAATGGGGAGGGTAAGGAGAGAACAAGAGATGGAAGCAAAGGAAGGGAGAAGAACATTAGAGCTGGGAGCAGGGAGAGAGAGAATAAAAGTAGAGGTAAGGATGCTGAGGGGAGGTACAGGGATAGGAGTAGAGATGATGATGAAATCAGTCGCGGTAAAGGTGGTAGGGATAGGGATGATGAAATCACCCGCAGTAAAGGTAGGGATAGGGATAATGATGAAATCAGCCGCAGTAAAGGTGGTAGGGATAGGGATAATGATGAAATCAGTCGCAGTAAAGGTGGTAGGGATAGGGATAATGATGAAATCAGCCGCAGTAAAGGTGGTAGGGATAGGGATAATGATGAAATCAGTCGCAGTAAAGGTGGTAGGGATAGGGATAATGATGAAATCAGTCGCAGTAAAGGTGGTAGGGATAAGAACAGAGATAATGAATTTAGTCGACCCAAAGGCAAAGATAACAGAAGAAATAAAGAGAGTGATGATGATGAAGAAGAAGATAGGATTGTTAGAACCAAAGTCAGAGACAATAAAGAAAGTGATAGAGGTAAAAAGAGAACCAATGATAGGGACAGCAGAGACCGGGGTAGGGACATGGTCAAGAAGACCAAGAAAGATAAGAGAAATGTGTCAGAGAGTTCTGACAGTGAGGATGAAGACAGAAATAAGAAAAGAAAAAGGAAATTGGGCAGCAGTGTGGAGGAAATAACTGAGAAAAAAAGAAGACGTCCCAGGACCCCATCAGATTCTAGTTCCTCATCAGATTCAGACGAGGAGGAAATCCAAGAGAGGAGAATCATCAAAAAAGAGAGAGTGAAGGAGGATAGGCGTGAGAGGAGGAGAGTGTGAATGTTAGGCTAGAACTTTTTTATGCTGGGGATGTGTGACTGCATGCGTCTACACATCATCAGTTCTAACTGCTGTGTAAATACAAGTGGACTGAAAGATTGGCTCCTTTCTAATGAAATTGTGTTGAAAACCATGAGTATTTTTGTCCATCTAATATAAGGCAACTGTTAAACACTGCTCAATCAGCCCAGCATCATATGCAGTAGGATAGCTGAGAGAATGGTTGAGGTGAATGGACAATTTCTTCTGTCCACCAGATTTTCTGATAGTCTTGTAAGGAGCTGGTGGATGCAGACTGGCCATGTAAATAGGTTTGATGAGCTGTTGTTTGAATGTATTTTGTTACCTTGAACTAAGCAGGCTACACTGATGTCTACACCCAACCCTGACTGTGTGAGTGAATGAGAGTTTGTACTTGATCAAACCAATTTTTAACATGTTTGTGTAAAAATAATGTTTGTAATAAATAAAAATAAATGATTATACCAAGAGCCTTGGAGCACAGTGTGAAAATAGTTGTAACAGTGTGTTGGTTTTTTTAAATTTCTGATTTGCAGCAAAAATGGACAGCACTTGGGCAATGTAAGCTACCAATTAACTATGAATATACACAAGAACTAAAGACATTGAGATTGAAATGTTTATTTTTTGACATCACCAATCTGTGCAATCATCTGAATGTTTTGATGCAGGTTTAAATATAGGGCGACTCTAAAAGTCAAGTCCATTTGAGCATATATATATATTTGTAATGGATAGGTAAGTTTGGAGGTCACAGCCACCTTTATAATTTTAACATTGGCACATTTAGGGTCAGTCCCTCCAACTAACATCAGGGTCAAAGACTGGACAGTAGCAACCAGGTGTATTGGTTTCTGACAGCTCTAGACAACTCCACTCAAGATGGTGAACGTCCAGTCGAGTTTGACAAAACTACATCAATTCTTACATTATAAAAACATTTGAACAGTATTTTCTTTCTTAGCTTTGATCAAATCTTGACAACACTGAATAAGGTTACTACACAAGGATGGCATTAGTTTATAGCCAAATCAAAATGATTGTAAAAAAACAATTGGAAAACAACTTGATTTAAATAAGGTGCCATGGTGAAAAGAAAGTATTAGCAGGTTAGTAAGTTCTCCACCTGGCCAAGCAATAAAAAGACAAGCCCACTTGTATATTTAGCAAGTAGATGGCATTGCCTAGTTCAAGACAATGGCCAAAAAAATGCTGTAAGTTTACCAGACAACAATGGAAATAAAACATTGAGCAACAGAAACCAGACAAAAATTTTATAATAGCAGTAAAGTCTGGGGTTGGAGAAGTTCATTCAATGCTGAAGTTAGTTTACCCAGCTAACTATTGCAGTAGCTGTACATAAATATTTTTACAAGAAAATAAAAGATTCATTCATTGACAAATATTTTAGTCTTTTTCTTATATGTACAAGCCATAATAACCATCATATTTAATTTTAGGAATAAGTTATTTTGTACTTATAAGAAAATAGATATGTAGACCTAGTGTAATTAACATCAGTGACCTACAACCTAAGATAGATATGTGGAGATGTATGCAGGTGTATTGGCTAGAAACAAAATGTTGACAGCTTGCTCTTATCACATGTAGGCCTTGTAACTAGGCTACAAACATGTCCCAGCATGCAGTCAACTACTAATCTATTTATATCTCAGCTCTGTAGCTTTGACAGTAGCTGGCCCAATTATGGCCATTAAGAAAATCTACATTGATGACCTCACTAAATGGTCAAGTAAGGACCTAACTATTTGTAACAGATGGGACCTTTACCCTGAGTTGTTTTTTATTCTAAGAAAAAGAAAATAAATAATATGATCATTCCAGTTTTTCCTTGAATATCTTTGCCTAGAACTAGAACTTTTAGAAGAGCTTTGTATTGGTAAACACCAAGTCAAATCTGTTAAGTCCTAATACTGACTACTTACATGAGTAAAGTAATTTGTTAAAAACTAAAGGCATTAATGATATACTTATGATACATTAAAGCTATCAAAAATTTGTACTAACATGAACAAGACAATTTGGTTGAACTTGAAATGCTCTGTAGGTCATAAAATGTCTCATTAAAAAAGTTGTTGTAATGAACACTATACACAGCCAATGATTTTAAAAACAAAAATTCAGCAGAGCAAAATAACAAACAAATGGAAAATCTTATTCAAGTCTTCAAATAATTAGCCTAAAACAACATCTTGTGTTACTCAATTAGCAAAATAATTTGGTCTTTGTGCAAGTGTAAAACATCTGTCTAAGCTGGGTTGTACATGAATACAGTGGCTAAAACCACATCTAAAGCATACATTTAAAAAATTAAAAATAGCTGTATACAGCAGCTTTTGTGGGAGAGAATAAGTGTGCCAATAGCCATGTTTTAAAGTGCAGTGATTATAGGTAAATATGTGCAGGAGATTGGGCCAATGGAAAGAAACTGGTCTATAATTACGCCTCTACTAAATCATACGAAGCAAGAGTTCTTAACTTAAGTTTTTTTTTAAACATGGCTCAGCTAGCAACATATTCTTTAAAATTTTGAGCTCAGGAAAGAATATGGTAGATAAGTTGTTTTTAATTACATGTAATGTATAGTTGGGCTAGTTTTTTTTAAGGTGTGTGGGATGAAAGGAGCATAAGAAAAAATGCTGAAATTTTTTGCTCACTTATCTACTACAGATAACTTTGAAAATGATGACAGGTGTGTCGCTCAGGTCAAACTATACATTTCTTAAAAATAGTAAATACAGCTTTAGTGATGTGAAGCATTGGAAGGTGTGGGGTGGGGGGAGGTTTACAAGTGTCACCATTACTACACAAGGTTGAGTTTGGTGAAACTAACACAGAATACAAGTTACATTTCTGTTAGCTAGCCTGAGCCCAGTGTCAGACACACACCCTGTGGAACCTTGCAACCAAACATTCTGGACTCCCAGAGTAAAAGTTGAGAACCCTTGAGATAAAATTAAAAGCACACATGTATCATCAGTGGTAGGAACCAGTATCACTAGCAAAACAATTCTTTTCAAAATATTAATCTTAATGTAAAGGTGTATAATACAAATAGTCATTATTCAATTATGTATATAAATAATAAAATAAAAAGCTTATAAAAAATACATTAAAAAGAACAGCCAGAATTAGCAGCATTAATCCCAACAGGTAAAGTATAATGGAATATACATCCTTTTAAAGTACAATATAAATTACATCCCTTTAAAGTACTATGTGAATTACATCCCTTTACCAACAATCTAACCAACCCATGATACCCCCATCAAAATACAGGGTTTGTCAGTGGTGAACATACCCCAGATGTGGATGGTTTTATTTTAAAATATTTCTAATCTACTCTTTTTATCAACAAAAGCTTATAGCATAATTAGCACCCATAACAAAGAAACACACACACAGAACTATTGCTGCCTAAAGAAAAATGGAAATTCACGTAGCAATATAGATGACAAAAAGGGGAAATAATCTCTATCAAGTTATCTTCTCTTGTTATACAGCTATGGGCTCAAATTTGAAAGGGAAAAAATTTGCTTTACTATAGAATATTAAGTTTGGCTTTCATTTTGAAGTACAAGTGAAATCAAAAAGTTTTTAAAACAGTTTTTTTAACAGATCCTTCTCAAGGTAAGAAATAATTATTGTAAAACTTGAACATTTGAATAAAAAAAATGATTGCACCCTGGCCTTAAAAAAAATGATGATAGTACTACAGTAATAGAATGGTCAACAATCACATTAAAGGAAATAATAGTTTCCTGCAGTTGAAAAGTATATTTTAAAAAGGTTAGTATAAAAGAAATGTGCCCTAAAGCAACTGATGTATGTGACCAAAGAAATCTTGACATTTCAGTAGAAAACTGGTGCATGTGACCAAAGAAATCTTGACAATTCAGTAGAAAACTGGTGCATGTGACCAAAGAAATCTTGACATTTCAGTAGAAAACTGGTGCATGTGACCAAAGAAATCTTGACAATTCAGTAGAAAACTGGTGCATGTGACCAAAGAAATCTTGACAATTCAGTAGAAAACTGGTGCATGTGACCAAAGAAATCTTGACATTTCAGTAGAAAACTGGTGCATGTGACCAAAGAAATCTTGACATTTCAGTAGAAAACTGGTGCATGTGACCAAAGAAATCTTGACAATTCAGTAGAAAACTGGTGCATGTGACCAAAGAAATCTTGACATTTCAGTAGAAAACTGGTGCATGTGACCAAAGAAATCTTGACAATTCAGTAGAAAACTGGTGCATGTGACCAAAGAAATCTTGACATTTCAGTAGAAAACTGGTGCATGTGACCAAAGAAATCTTGACAATTCAGTAGAAAACTGGTGCATGTGACCAAAGAAATCTTGACAATTCAGTAGAAAACTGGTGCATGTGACCAAAGAAATCTTGACATTTCAGTAGAAAACTGGTGCATGTGACCAAAGAAATCTTGACATTTCAGTAGAAAACTGGTGCATGTGACCAAAGAAATCTTGACAATTCAGTAGAAAACTGGTGCATGTGACCAAAGAAATCTTGACAATTCAGTAGAAAACTGGTGCATGTGACCAAAGAAATCTTGACAATTCAGTAGAAAACTGGTGCATGTGACCAAAGAAATCTTGACAATTCAGTAGAAAACTGGTGCATGTGACCAAAGAAATCTTGACAATTCAGTAGAAAACTGGTGCATGTGACCAAAGAAATCTTGACAATTCAGTAGAAAACTGGTGCATGTGACCAAAGAAATCTTGACAATTCAGTAGAAAACTGGTGCATGTGACCAAAGAAATCTTGACAATTCAGTAGAAAACTGGTGCATGTGACCAAAGAAATCTTGACAATTCAGTAGAAAACTGGTGCATGTGACCAAAGAAATCTTGACAATTCAGTAGAAAACTGGTGCATGTGACCAAAGAAATCTTGACAATTCAGTAGAAAACTGGTGCATGTGACCAAAGAAATCTTGACAATTCAGTAGAAAACTGGTGCATGTGACCAAAGAAATCTTGACAATTCAGTAGAAAAACTGGTGCAAGGCAGAAAAAGCTAAATCAGTGATAATAAGTGTGGTAACCAGTAGCTGTGACAATAGCGTGGTAACCAGTAGCTGTGACAATAGCGTGGTAACCAGTAGCTGTGACAATAGTGTGGTAACCAGTAGCTGTGACAATAGCGTGGTAACCAGTAGCTGTGACAATAGCGTGGTAACCAGTAGCTGTGACAATAGCGTGGTAACCAGTAGCACATGCTGGGTATGTGAAGGGGAAGTTTTGAAAATATTTTCTCACACACACACATAAATATATGTGTATATATATATTTGTGTGTGTGTTTGTACATATACATGTAGCTATTCCATAACAATTTAATAATAAAGTAAAATAGTGATTTAATTTTATTGAAATCCTCTGCCTATGCCACTGAAGGCAACAGTATATAAACATTAGCAGGATGGGTCATCAGAGACATGACATGGGTCATCAGTGACATGGGTCATCAGAGACATGACATGGGTCATCAGAGACGACATGGGTCATCAGAGACATGGGTCATCAGTGACATGGGTCATCAGTGACATGACATGGGTCATCAGAGACATGACATGGGTCATCAGTGATACGACATGGGTCATCAGTGACACGACATGGGTCATCAGTGACATGACATGGGTCATCAGTGATACGACATGGGTCATCAGTGACATGACATGGGTCATCAGTGACATGACATGGGCCATCAGTGATACGACATGGGTCATCAGAGACATGACATGGGTCATCAGAGACATGACATGGGCCATCAGTGACACAACATGGGTCATCAGTGACATGACATGGGTCATCAGTGACATGGGTCATCAGTGACACGACATGGGTCATCAGTGACATGACATGGGTCATCAGAGACATGACATGGGTCATCAGAGACATGACATGGGTCATCAGAGACGACATGGGTCATCAGTGACATGGGTCATCAGTGACATGGGTCATCAGTGACATGACATGGGTCATCAGTGATACGACATGGGTCATCAGTGACACAACATGGGTCATCAGTGACACGACATGGGTCATCAGAGACATGGGTCATCAGTGACACAACATGGGTCATCAGTGACATGACATGGGTCATCAGTGACATGACATGGGTCATCAGTGACATGACATGGGTCATCAGTGACATGGGTCATCAGTGACATGACATGGGTCATCAGTGACATGACATGGGTCATCAGTGACATGACATGGGTCATCAGAGACATGACATGGGTCATCAGTGACACAACATGGGTCATCAGTGACATGACATGGGTCATCAGTGACATGGGTCATCAGTGACATGACATGGGTCATCAGTGATACGACATGGGTCATCAGTGACATGACATGGGTCATCAGAGACATGACATGGGTCATCAGAGACATGACATGGGTCATCAGAGACGACATGGGTCATCAGTGACATGGGTCATCAGTGACATGGGTCATCAGTGACATGACATGGGTCATCAGTGATACGACATGGGTCATCAGTGACACAACATGGGTCATCAGTGACACGACATGGGTCATCAGAGACATGGGTCATCAGTGACACAACATGGGTCATCAGTGACATGACATGGGTCATCAGTGACATGACATGGGTCATCAGTGACATGACATGGGTCATCAGTGACATGGGTCATCAGTGACATGACATGGGTCATCAGTGACATGGGTCATCAGTGACATGACATGGGTCATCAGAGACATGACATGGGTCATCAGTGACACAACATGGGTCATCAGTGACATGACATGGGTCATCAGTGACATGGGTCATCAGTGACATGACATGGGTCATCAGTGATACGACATGGGTCATCAGTGACATGACATGGGTCATCAGTGACATGACATGGGCCATCAGTGATACGACATGGGTCATCAGTGACATGACATGGGTCATCAGTGACATGGGTCATCAGTGACACGACATGGGTCATCAGTGACATGACATGGGTCATCAGAGACATGACATGGGTCATCAGAGACATGACATGGGTCATCAGAGACGACATGGGTCATCAGTGACATGGGTCATCAGTGACATGGGTCATCAGTGACATGGGTCATCAGTGACATGACATGGGTCATCAGTGATACGACATGGGTCATCAGTGACACAACATGGGTCATCAGTGACACGACATGGGTCATCAGAGACATGGGTCATCAGTGACACAACATGGGTCATCAGTGACATGACATGGGTCATCAGTGACATGACATGGGTCATCAGTGACATGACATGGGTCATCAGTGACATGGGTCATCAGTGACATGACATGGGTCATCAGTGACATGGGTCATCAGTGACATGACATGGGTCATCAGTGATACGACATTGGTCATCAGTGACATGACATGGGTCATCAGTGACATGACATGGGTCATCAGTGATACGACATGGGTCATCAGTGACATGACATGGGTCATCAGTGACATGGGTCATCAGAGACATGACAAGGGTCATCAGTGATACGACATGGGTCATCAGTGACATGGGTCATCAGCGACATGACATGGGTCATCAGAGACATGACAAGGGTCATCAGTGATACGACATGGGTCATCAGTGATACGACATGGGTCATCACAACTGAACTGACCAGAGATCAAGCAACAGCTGACCTCTAGAATACTGGAACAAATTTAACACTTTTGGTGTGTGGATTACATTTGGTAGATTTTAAATCCAGGTTACATACAAAAACTTGAAGCATCTTAAAGATGACAATCATTAAATAATAAATTCTCTTTTATAAAATACAAATACAATTTTTTACAATACTATTTATATATAGGTATGTATATATTTATATTCTGTCATATTTTGAACAGTGCATTCTATTATTTATAGTTTTCATGATGAATGTATTTGGTCTATACAATTAGAGAAAAAAAGGTATGTGTTCACACAAATACAGATCCAGTTTCTTCATCAGCATCAGGTGAGAGCATTGAGCTGGCGTCCTCCCAATTGTCATCAGACGCTGTCACGTCGTAGGCGTCAGTGATCAAGGCACTTGATGCTAGGGTGCCTTCTGTGTCGTCAGCGCTGGCAGGAACACCTGCAGCAACACCTGCCAGGTGAGCGGAACCTGCAGGGGAAACCTGCCTCTCTGACAGGCTGTCTCTGGAGATGTTGCGTGTCAAGCAGTACTCTATGATGTTGTCGTCAGCCCCAGAGCCAGCGGACGAGTACAGCAACTTCTCCTCGCTGGATGACTGAGGCATGGTGTCAGAGGTGGCGCTGTCAGACACTGTTTGACTGCTCAGCTTTTCTGGAAGCCTGCTGTCAGTGACACGACAACTGACAGTGTCATCATGCTGGGATGAGCTTTCGAGTGTACAGCCTGCGGAGTCCACCATCACAGCTACCATCTTCTTCTTGGATTTCCTTGAGCCATTTTTATGTGATTTATGCGGGGATGTTTTTGTGTAGCTTTTTCTTGCTGAGGGCAGCCTCAGTTTGCCAGGTGGTGATGGCAGGGTGTCACCTAATTCACCAGGTGGTGACGGCAGGGTGTCACCTAGTTCACTAGGTGGTGACGGCAGGGTGTCACCTAACCCACATTTATCGTCAGTCCAGGCTGTTCTAGGCAGGTGATACAAAATGGTGTCGTCCTCCGTACAGCGTGTTTGTCTGCTCCGAGCGTCCAGTTGCGTCACATCACACAACGAGCTAGAACTATGGCTGTAACGCCCGTGGGACAGTCTACTGGCTGGGGGCTCCAGGGATCTGCCCGTGGGCCCAGCCCCACCCACTTCTGATATTCTACTATTACAGTCAAGGGTCATCTTGAGAAGGTTCTCCGTCATCTCCAGCAGGGAGATCTCCCTGGGACTCCTGCCCCTCCTGATCTCTGTCTGCTTGATGAAGATGTCTGGAGGACTGTCCTTCAGTGGTGAACCCACATCATGCTGTGCTCCATCCGTCCACCTCCTCACGTCTGCTGCTCTGTACATGCTTCTCCCAGGGTTCTCCTCCAGGGTCAGAGGTCGCTTTGCATATGAAGTGGCTGGTGCATCAAGCTTCCTGTTGCTCTCCACCCCCCAGGGTATAAACAGGGCGGCTAAATCCTTGCTGAGGAAATCTTCCGTTTTATCACTCTCATTGGAATGAATGTTGGACACGGAAATGTCCTTAATGGCGCCAAACATGGACGAGCCGAACAAACCATGGGTGGGGTCAGGTGAGTCTACAGCGCAAGCAGACGCCCCACTCTCCACAGTTACTGGCAGGTCGAGGTGACTGCTGCTGCTTGAGACCTCAAGGCCGGGGTGGGCAGGTTTGGCCGGCTGGCCCAGAAGAAAGAGGTCCTCAACACTTTTGTTTGGCACCCTGGGGACTATGGTGGAGCGGGTCTCATCAAACCTGCTGGCCTGGCTCAGCTTGTTTGGGTGGGACGACAGTCTGCAACCAAACTGCTGCTCTTCTGTGTCCTCTGTCAACAAAGTCACACAATTAGTCAAATAGTAACCTGTGGTGTTGGTTTTATCATATACTGGACTGAAATAATCTCACTCAACATTTTGTATGGAATAACAGTATAATTTTAAGTACAATTAAGTCTATTGCATTTATCTTGAGCATTCCACATTCATCTAAGTCTTAATTGCATGTTACAAGTAAACTTGTACCAACTGAATAAAATTTCTTTTATTTTTATTATCTCAGAAAGTAAAAGATTTTTTTTTTAAATATTTCTGTTGATGGTCCAGGTGTTTCTGTCATTAAATGTGTCAACTACACATTTCAAATACTACATCATTAACTTCAAAGAGGGACTTGACGCTATTGTGCCATGATCAAGATGGTGTTAAAACTTGATGAAAACCCAACTGAGTATAGAACTGACAACTGTTATAAGAAAAGAAGACAGACCAGACTGACCTATTATAAGACAGACCAGACTGACCTATTATAAGACAGACCAGACCAGACTGACCTGCTTTAAGAGAGAGGAAACTCTCAGACTCGATGCCCAGCTCCTCTAGAGAAGACAGGACAGTGTTTTTCTTCCTGGCTTTGGTTTCCTGTCCAGCACTGTTTGACCTGGGTCTGTGAGTGCTGGTCTGTGTGCCTTTATTTAAACCACACCTGCGGAACATATCAGAGGAGCTTAGGTTCAGGTCTAAAATATTTAAACCACACCTGCGGAACATATCAGGGGGGCTTAGGCTCAGGTCTAAAATATTTAAGTCAAACAAAATTTAATGACTAATAAATAATCAGAGTATGTGTTTGTAGGACATTCTTGAGTTCACCCAGCTCTGAGGTACACCTGAATCACTTTAGGGAAACAAACACAACTGGGCAAAGTTCTGACCACACCATCCCCCTGTAAGCAGAGGTCATTGAAACATGAACTCTAATTCATCTGCCCCGTGCATGTTGGGCACTTACAGGAAAAGGTGATATATGTTTGATGTAGGGTTGAAAGGTCAGATTATCCCCAATTATTTTTAGTGGACACTGGTTGAAACGACTAGAAAAAACATTGGGAGGAACATCAGGTGGGGGAAGGTAGAGATAAGCAAACTTGATTGCCACATATTGTGCTAGTATTGTTACCCCCCCCCCCCCCCTCACATATTGCGCTAGTATTGCCACCCCCACCCCCCTTACTTCTGGGCATCCTGTGACTCTGGGACATGGAGCAGCCCGCTGTCACGCAGGTACTGTAGTCTGGACATCTCCAGGGCCCGCAGTAGCTCCATGTGCTCATCTAGGACAATTTCTGAAATACCTGAAACAACATGGGTCAGGTAAAATGTTGACTTGAGTCAGGTATAATGTTGACTTGAGTCGGTTAAAATGTTGAGTCAGTTAAAATGTTGACCTGAGTCCGTTAAAATGTTGACCTGAGTCAGTTAAAATGTTGACCTGAGTCAGTTAAAATGTTGACTTGAGTCAGTTAAAATGTTGACGTGAGTCAGGTAAAATGTTGACTTGAGTCAGTTAAAGTGTTGAGTCAGTTAAAATGTTGACTTGAGTCAGTTAAAATGTTGACTTGAGTCAGTTAAAATGTTGACTTGAGTTAGTTAAAATGGTGACCTGAGTCAATTAAAATGTTGACTTGAGTCAGTTAAAATGTTGAGTCAGTTAAAATGTTGAGTCAGTTAAAATGTTGAGTCAGTTATAACTCAAGCTAAAATCAAACATGTCTGTTAGCTATCCACACCAAAACCCTGCGTTAGCCTGACCTTCACACTCCTCCCCCTCACTAGCCTGACCTTCACACTCCTCCCCCTCACTAGCCTCACCTTCACACTCCTCCCCCTCACTAGCCTCACCTTCACACTCCTCCCCCTCACTAGCCTCACCTTCACACTCCTCCCCCTCACTAGCCTGACCTTCACACTCCTCCCCCTCACTAGCCTGACCTTCACACTCCTCCCCCTCACTAGCCTGACCTTCGCACTCTTCCCCCTCACTAGCCTCACCTTCACACTCCTCCCCCTCACTAGCCTCACCTTCATACTCCTCCCCCTCACTAGCCTCACCTTCACACTCTTCCCCCTCACTAGCCTCACCTTCACATTCCTCCCCCTCACTAGCCTCACCTTCACACTCCTCCCCCTCACTAGCCTCACCTTCACACTCCTCCCCCTCACTAGCCTGACCTTCACACTCCTCCCCCTCACTAGCCTGACCTTCACACTCCTCCCCCTCACTAGCCTCACCTTCACACTCCTCCCCCTCACTAGCCTCACCTTCACACTCCTCCCCCTCGCGGTCGTCCCTGTCCACCAGCATACAGTACTGACTGCAGTAGTCGTGGTGGTCTTTAGTCCTGGGGTTTCTGGCCCTGACCTTGTTACAGCCTGCCCGGTGACATTTACCTGTAACACAAGTTACCCTCACGGTGAATAGATCAAAGCTAGATTCTTAAAGGTCAAGGTCATATAAATAAGTTAAGGCTCTATCTTAAGGTCATTTTTTTTACCTCATAATCTTACATGACCTACTGACCTAGCATGCAGCTGTCTGACATGACCTACTGACCTAGCATGTGGCTGAGTGACATGACCTACTGACCTAGCATGTGGCTGAGTGACATGACCAACTGACCTAGCATGCAGCTGTGTGACATGACCTACCATACAGCTGTGTGACATGACCTACTGACCTAGCATGCGTGTGACTTGACCTACTGACCTAGCATGCGTGTGACTTGACCTACTGACCTAGCATGCGTGTGACTTGACCTTCTGACCTAGCATGTGGCTGAGTGACATGACCTACTGACCTAGCATGTGGCTGAGTGACATGACCTACTGACCTAGCATGCAGCTGTGTGACATGACCTACCATACAGCTGTGTGACATGACCTACTGACCTAGCATGCGTGTGACTTGACCTACTGACCTAGCATGCGTGTGACTTGACCTACTGACCTAGCATGCGTGTGACTTGACCTTCTGACCTAGCATGTGGCTGAGTGACATGACCTACTGACCTAGCATGTGGCTGAGTGACATGACCTACCATACAGCTGTGTGACATGACCTACTGACCTAGCATGTGGCTGAGTGACATGACCTACTGACCTAGCATGTGGCTGAGTGACATGACCTACTGACCTAGCATGCAGCTGTGTGACATGACCTACCATACAGCTGTGTGACATGACCTACTGACCTAGCATGCGTGTGACTTGACCTTCTGACCTAGCATACAGCTGTGTGACATGACCTACCATACAGCTGTGTGACATGACCTACCATACAGCTGTGTGACATGACCTACTGACCTAGCATGCGTGTGACATGACCTACTGACCTAGCATGCAGCTATGTAACCTACCAATGCTTTCCCTCAGGGCTCTCTTGTCAGGTTCACAGTCGCTGTCCTCGCTCTCATCTGAAGGTGAAGGCCACTCCAGCAGGGTCGTGACATTTGTGTGGCGCCCTGACGCATCCTTGATCCATGGATTGGCTGGATTCACTTCTTGAATAGATGCGATTATAGCTCGATGCAAATCTTCCTAATAAATGTAACAAAATACTTTGCTGAATTTATTTTGTTTAATAAAATACAAGAAGAAAATAGAAGTTAAAAAATGGAAAAAATAAAATAATATTTCAGTTCTGGCTCGGAATCAAACTCAACTTTGAAAACCAAATTATGAACATTCCTTAAGGTTTGAGATTTTTTTTTTATTAAAACCCACAAAATAATGAAATAAAAGTTTAAAAAGGTTTTTAAACTATTTTTTAAAAACTAAATGAAAATAAAACGTAAACAATTAAGAAAATATTAAACCAATAGGTCCTATAATGTTTCAATTATTTTATTGTAATATTTTAAAATTTCTTTTAAAATGATGTCAATTGAAAAAGCTAAAAAGTCTTTTAAAATAGGGTACATCTTCTTGCCCTCCGCCACTCAGTTTCCTCTTCCTCTTGCCCTTGCGTGAGGAGGGCGGTGTTTCAGGTGGCACAAGGCCCTTGGAGATGGCCATGATGAACTCCAGCCTCTTGCGCTGTACAACGTGGGCCTGCTCTATGATCTTACGTCGGGGGGTGCGCAGGTACAGTCTGTTGACCATCTGGGACAAAATCTCTGTGCATTCTTCTAGCTCAGTCTGGAACCAAGAGTTTGCACATGGGAGGACGTACAGTACCAATTTACAGTACCAATTTACAGTAGCAATTTACAGTAGCAATTTACAGTGCCAATTTACAGTGCCAATTTACAGTACCAATTTACAGTACCAATTTACAGTACCAATTTACTGGTTAAAGAACTTTAAGAAAAAAAATACTGAACTGGTTACATGGAAGGAAATGTCCCACTTTGAACAAATGTCCACAAAGTGATACAGCTTCTTCTTCTCAGTGGTTATGGGGCACTACTCCAGGACCCCCTCCCCCCATTAACCATTAACTGTAGCTCATTTACCAGACCCCTCCCCCCCCAATTTCCGCTGAGATGATGCACCAACCTGCATGAACTCAAAGACAATCTTCTTGTAGCCTGGCCCATCTAGATAGTAGCCGTAGACGTAGGAACACTTGAGGATACGTCTGGCCTTCAGCAGCTGGTGTACAGCATCCTCCACAAACTTGGTCTCCAGATGGGCAGTGGCTGGGTATGTACAGGGAAACATTTTTTTTTACTGCTAGTCATTTAGACAACAAACTTACACAAGCATATGTCTAAACCACCAAAGTTGGTAAACTTTTAAACTTCATTAGAAAACTTTACCAACAAAATGTTTTTATACCAGCTAGCTATTATTTTAAACTTTAACTGTAGGACCTTATAAAAAAGAATACTATTTTTAAAGAACAAAATAGTTTATTTCTATTGAAGTAGTGAATCTAACAGAAAGAAAGTATAAAGTAGACTGACCACTGTCTGTCACAGCTTCTGCAAGTATCATCATCTTGTCTTTAGCTGTCTTCAGTAACGGTTCCTCTAGCTGATCAAAGAATCAAATGTGTGTCAGTCACATTTCTCTCTAGTTTAATTAATATGTTTTCACATGCAAAAACTTTAATGAAAGAACCCAAATAATTCTTTTAAATGTTTTTCCACCATATAATTAAAAATTAAATTTAGTGCGCTATCTAAAAAAAATTAAGAAATAAATTTTAAAAATGGCCACCTGTGGAGTAGCATGATTGTACTACAGTGAACTGAAACTTACCTTACAACTGTTCTCATGGTTCTTGAACCTGGTGTAGTAGTGCACAAATCTGTTGAGCTCTTGCATCTTTCTGTTCTTGCTCTCCGCCTGGTTAGGGTAGGAGATTTTAAAGACTTATGTTAGACCCCAGACCAGATATGGTAGGAGATTTTAAAGACTTATGTTAGACCCCAGACCAGATATGGTAGGAGATTTTAAAGACTTATGTTAGACTTCAGCCAAGATTGGCCAGAAACTGCTCTACAAAGACTGTGTGTGTATACATGAGAGGAGACTTCTAACAGCACCAACCAACAGGGCAGCCAATCAGAGAATAGTTTGACTGACCACAATGACCTTTGAACTGACCTCAGTGAGCATCTGTGCGTTCTGTTCCTCCACCTTCCTGACCACCTCGTAACGGTTACATTTAAAATATCCACCGGTTGAGCTGTTGTGTCGTTTCCACTGCTCTAAACACACCCAGCAGAAGTCATATTTACACTGCAGATAGCAAAACAAAGGGAATTAACTGACCTGACATTTAATGATTTATTATATAGTATCGCAGAAATAAAACCAATATCATAACAAAACAAATAGACAGTCCTAAAATAAAAATTTTAAATCACGAGATTAAAATGACCTACCTTGCTAAAGGGGAGACAACCAGTTAACATAGTGACAACAGCGAGACAACCAGTTAACATAATGACAACAGGGAGACAACCAGTTAAGATAGTTACAACAGGGAGACAACCAGTTAACATAGTGACAACAGGGAGACAACCAGTTTACATAATGACCTACCTTGCTACACTTCATATGGTTACAGCCTTCATTCTTCTGTATTGGAGATTTACAGTTGGGGCAAGGTTTGGAGTTGGTCACCAGCCACAAGCAATTGGCTGCCAGTTCTGTTTCTTGTTCTGTCCCGTCCACTATAAGAACAAAACATTTCAGGTCAGATATGGCACTATAATAAATGACATGTCAGACATGGCTCTATAGTAAATAACATGTCTGACATGGCTCTATAGTAAATGACATGTCTGACATGGCTCTAGAATAAATGACATGTCAGACATGGCTCTAGAATAAATGTCATGTCAGACATGGCTCTATAATAAATGACATATTGGACATGGCTCTAGAATAAATGACATGTCAGACATGGCTCTATAATAAATGACATGTCAGACATGGCTCTATAATAAATGACATGTCAGACATGGCTCTATAATGAATGACTGAAATAATTTTTAGAAGGTCACTTGTTTATTAGCCAAGAAGGAAAGATTGTAGGCAAATTTCATTTGACCATCCATGTTTTGGACAGCTGTCTATTCAATTAATCATCCATACAATGGGCAGTTAAAGATCCATACAAGGGTCAGTTCAGAAAAAAAAGGACTTTAGGTCAGCAGTGTCTTTTGTTAGATTATGACATCATTTTTAGCCAATCAGATATTAATCTTGCCTGATTCAGCTAATTCAATATTTTACTTGACTGATTCAGGTAATATTTCACTAGGTGCTAATGAAAACCAATGTAGACTTACACATGTCTGGTCTAATTTCACTGATCTTCTGATACCACTTGCTCCAGTTTTCACAGCTACATGGCTCATGGGATTCTTCAAGACACTCCCTGCAACATACATGTACATCAACTTAGGACAACATACATGTACATCAACTTGGTGAGGAAATGCTATTCTACACAAAGAATTACTGCTAATTATGACACATTGTTCTCAGAAATGTTGGCTAGCATGAATAAAAAATGTAATTAGATTTTTGGGCGATGGATCCTTTTTAATAAAAAGAAATATCCTTGTAAATCTAAAGCACGCTATGTGGGTTTTATTTTTTTTAAACTAAATTAATCCAAATAATAACTTGAAACGTCCTTTAAGTTTTTAAAAATAATTTAGGTTAAAAGAAAATCAATGTTAAAGCTTCAGCAAGAGAAAAATGTGTGTTAACAGATATAAGCTATTTATAGTGTAAGCTGACCAGCAGAAGTAGTGACCGACTCCGCAGTCTACTCCCCTTGATGTGTCGGAGGGGATCTTGTTGCGCTTGTTACCCTGAAGTATCCCAAGTTCAAGGTCAGGTAATTTAACAGCCCGGCCACAACCAGGTGAAGGACACCACTTCATGTCAGGATTACTGTCAACAAAGGCCTGAAACAGAAACACGTTTAGCTAAATAATAACACGACTGTATCAGTATAGATACCTTCAAACACATGACAGGAACAAATGATTCTACTTCAATTCTTGCCTTCAGTTAATTAAAAGATACATTAAATTATCTTAGGATGTAAATGTGTAAAAACCTGGCCAGTTTACCTTAATGTCAAACTGTAAATAACGTAGTGCCATATCTCTTGAGACAATACGTTCAATAATATCTACTGGTACTAACATAGTACAGTCATAGGCAGGGCAGGTGATGTGGTGGGCATCACCTTCTTGGATCTTTACGTTTAAATACCTGAAATTGATTACCTTTAATTATATGGGGTAACTCTACATTTATATACCTGAAATTGATTACCTCATGGTATGGGGTAACTCTACATTTATATACCTGAAATTGATTACTTTTAATTACATGGGGTAACTCTACATTTATATACCTGAAATTGATTACCTTTAATTATATGGGGTAACTCTACATTTAAATACCTGAAATTGATTACCTTTAATTATATGGGGTAACTCTACATTTATATACCTGAAATTGATTACCTTTAATTACATGGGGTAACTTTACATTTATATACCTGAAATTGATTACCTCAATGGTATGGGGTAACTCTACATTTAAATACCTGAAAGTTATTACCTCATGACCACCACCCACCAGAAATGACCACCACCCATCAGAAATGACCAGCACCCACCAAACTGACCACCACCCACCAGAAATGACCACCTCCCACCAGAAATGACCACCAGAAATGACCACCAGAAATGACCACTGTTATTACTTACCTCTCCCAACACACTTTACAAAACTTGTGAGTACAGCACATGTGGACTGGTTCGTCAGCAATAAGGAATGTATCAGCACATATATTGCACTGTGTGGGAATAAGGAATGTATTAGCACATATATTGCACTGTGGTGGAATAAGGAATGTATCAGCACATATATTGCACTGTGGGGGAATAAGGAATGTATTAGCACATATGTTGCACTGTGGGGGAATAAGGAATGTATCAGCACATATATTGCACTGTGGGGGAATAAGGAATGTATTAGCACATATGTTGCACTGTGGGGGAATAAGGAATGTATCAGCACATATATTGCACTGTGGGGGAATAAGGAATGTATTAGCACATATATTGCACTGTGGGGGAATAAGGAATGTATTAGCACATATATTGCACTGTGGGGGAATAAGGAATGTATTAGCACATATATTGCACTGTGGGGGAATAAGGAATGTATTAGCACATATATTGCACTGTGGGGGAATAAGGAATGTATCAGCACATATATTGCACTGTGGGGGAATAAGGAATGTATCAGCACATATATTGCACTGTGGGGGGAATAAGGAATATATTAGCACATATATTGCACTGTGGGGGGAATAAGGAATGTATCAGCACATATATTGCACTGTGGGGGGAATAAGGAATGTATCAGCACATATATTGCACTGTGGGGGGAATAAGGAATGTATCAGCACATATATTGCACTGTGGGGGGAATAAGGAATATATTAGCACATATATTGCACTGTGGGGGGAATAAGGAATGTATCAGCACATATATTGCACTGTGGGGGGAATAAGGAATGTATCAGCACATATATTGCACTGTGGGGGGAATAAGGAATGTATCAGCACATATATTGCACTGTGGGGGGAATAAGGAATGTATCAGCACATATATTGCACTGTGGGGGGAATAAGGAATGTATCAGCACATATATTGCACTGTGGGGGGAATAAGGAATGTATTAGCACATATATTGCACTGTGGGGGAATAAGGAATGTATTAGCACATATATTGCACTGTGGGGGAATAAGGAATGTATTAGCACATATATTGCACTGTGGGGGGAATAAGGAATATATTAGCACATATATTGCACTGTGGGGGGAAGAAGGAATGTATTAGCACATATATTGCACTGTGGGGGAATAAGGAATGTATTAGCACATATGTTGCACTGTGGGGGAATAAGGAATGTATTAGCACATATATTGCACTGTGGGGGGAATAAGGAATATATTAGCACATATATTGCACTGTGGGGGGAAGAAGGAATGTATTAGCACATATATTGCACTGTGGGGGAATAAGGAATGTATTAGCACATATATTGCACTGTGGGGGGAATAAGGAATATATTAGCACATATATTGCACTGTGGGGGGAAGAAGGAATGTATTAGCACATATATTGCACTGTGGGGGAATAAGGAATGTATTAGCACATATACTGCACTGTGGGGGAATAAGGAATGTATTAGCACATATATTGCACTGTGGGGGAATAAGGAATGTATTAGCACATATGTTGCACTGTGGGGGAATAAGGAATGTATCAGCACATATATTGCACTGTGGGGGGAATAAGGAATGTATCAGCACATATATTGCACTGTGGGGGGAATAAGGAATATATTAGCACATATATTGCACTGTGGGGGGAAGAAGGAATGTATTAGCACATATATTGCACTGTGGGGGAATAAGGAATGTATTAGCACATATACTGCACTGTGGGGGAATAAGGAATGTATTAGCACATATATTGCACTGTGGGGGAATAAGGAATGTATTAGCACATATGTTGCACTGTGGGGGAATAAGGAATGTATCAGCACATATATTGCACTGTGGGGGAATAAGGAATGTATCAGCACATATATTGCACTGTGGGGGGAATAAGGAATGTATCAGCACATATATTGCACTGTGGGGGGAATAAGGAATGTATCAGCACATATATTGCACTGTGGGGGGAATAAGGAATATATTAGCACATATATTGCACTGTGGGGGGAATAAGGAATGTATTAGCACATATACTGCACTGTGGGGGAAGAAGGAATGTATTAGCACATATATTGCACTGTGGGGGAATAAGGAATGTATTAGCACATATATTGCACTGTGGGGGGTGGTCAATGCAGGGATGGTCAATGTTCTACTGACCTCTGCAGGGATGGTCAATGTTCTACTGACCTCTGCAGGGATGGGATGGTCAATGTTCTACTGACCTCTGCAGGGATGGTCAATGTTCTACTGACCTCTGCAGGGATGGTCAATGTTCTACTGACCTCTGCAGGGATGGGATGGCCAATGTTCTACTGACCTCTGCAGGGATGGGATGGCCAATGTTCTACTGACCTCTGTAGGGATGGGATGGTCAATGTTCTACTGACCTCTGTATTGATGGGATGGTCAATGTTCTACTGACCTCTGTACGGATGGGATGGTCAATGTTCTACTGACCTCTGCTTCTAGTGGCATTGATGCAGTGTGCAGTGGGGAAGGCAGTGGGCTGGCCAGAGTTTCTTGAACTTGGGGCTTGTCGCAGTAAAGTGTCGCAGGGGGAGTCACTCCACATTTCTCACAGCAAGCAAAAGGGTCAGTCATCCAGGCTTCTAACAGCATCTCTCTTGACCATTCTGTACAAAGTTTCATTCAACAGCTCAAATAAACATAGAAATATAAATTTTAATTTTTTTAAAATAATAATATCATTACCCCAGATAATTGTTTAAAGAGTTTATCTAATTATAATTTATTGTGATACCAGTTTTAACTTAACATTATTAATAACCAGGCTAGGATATTGCTAGAGTTATCTTAAGCTGGGATGTTTAATTAGTTTTCTGAGGGGAAAAAGCTCTGTGAGATAAAAAATTATTTTTGATCAGTTTGTCACACAGAAATATTGTAATAGCATGTAATGTTGATTCAGATACTATAATACTTGGCATGAGATTCAGTGTAGTTTGAGATCAAAGAAGAGTCAGTAGCAGTACCGTGGTTCCTGAGCAAGGCCTCAGCAGTAAACAATGGGACACTCAACATATCAGCCGTCTCTACCAGAAGCTGGTCTTTAGCCTCCTGTAAATCTTGGGGGCGCAGACCAGAATATTCCTGAAATCAAATTCTTCAAAACTTCAGCATCAGCTGGCAAAAAATAGTTTTCTATAAAGTTTAAAGGGTCCACATTACTTTATTGTGAAGTTTTGAAGGGATGTTTTGATTATGATTTTAGATATAGTTTTTACCTCAACAACAGGAAATGATGAAATGTTGTCATCGTCACTTCGTGGCTCCTCCTCATTCTAAAAGTAATTATTTAATTTGGATAACCACAAAAAACTTTTTATGACATTAAAACAGCAACAATATTGATAGATGGCTTACACATTTTTGCAGTAAATTTTTTAAATCTTTAAATTAGATGTAAGTACAAATTAGATTCTGGAGATCTAAATGAAATTTAAGCAATAGTTACTTCAATTTTTTTGTGTGAAAATATTTAGATAAGTTTAGACAGAAAGTTGAATACTAACAGAAAAAAACATTTTGGACCAGAAAGCTGAATACTTACAGAAAAAACCATTTTGGACTCGAGGTACAGGGCAATCCTGGCATGTCCATTCTTCTCTGCTGTGTCACAGGGTGTTTGGTTGTCTACATTCTCTAAAAACAGTGGGGCGCCATGCTGGATCAAAGTCTACAGAAAAAATATTTTTAGATTACACTCTAACCCAATAAAATGTTATTACAATTTAATAGATGAATTAATTAGATAAAATTAGGATGACATAACAAAAATAAACACATAGTTATTAGTATATTTGTTTTTCAATGCAGTATTTGTTTGGTAGCCCTGTATTTTGATTAAAAACCCAAACTGCATTTTCATAAGGAACAAATCTAAAAGACATCAGGAATAGAACATTAAAAGTGCCACATTTTTCAAGACAAAATAAAAATCCCCAAAAAGTAATACATTTTTGAAAAAACCATCACACATTCACAAAGCCACGACAGGGTCCTGACTCACCTCAACACACTGTGTCAGGCCAGAAGCTGCTGCATAGTGTAATGCTGTGTTCAGTTTCTGGGAAATAAAATACATGTATGCTGTAGTGTAATGCTGTGTTCAGTTTCTGGGAAATAAAATACATGTATGCTGTAGTGTAATGCTGTGTTCAGTTTCTAAGAAATAAAATACATGTATGCTGTAGTGTAATGCTGTGTTCAGTTTCTGGGAAATAAAATACATGTATGCTGTAGTGTAATGCTGTGTTCAGTTTCTGGGTAATAAAATACATGTATGCTGTAGTGTAATGCTGTGTTCAGTTTCTGGGAAATAAAATACATGTATGCTGTAGTGTAATGTTGTGTTCAGTTTCTGGGAAATAAAATACATGTATGCTGTAGTGTAATGCTGTGTTCAGTTTCTGGGAAATAAAATACATGTATGCTGTAGTGTAATGCTGTGTTCAGTTTCTGGGAAATAAAATACATGTATGCTGTAGTGTAATGCTGTGTTCAGTTTCTGGGAAATAAAATACATGTATGCTGTAGTGTAATGCTGTGTTCAGTTTCTAAGAAATAAAATACATGTATGCTGTAGTGTAATGCTGTGTTCAGTTTCTGGGAAATAAAATACATGTATGCTGTAGTGTAATGCTGTGTTCAGTTTCTGGGAAATAAAATACATGTATGCTGTAGTGTAATGCTGTGTTCAGTTTCTGGGAAATAAAATACATGTATGCTGTAGTGTAATGCTGTGTTCAGTTTCTGGGAAATAAAATACATGTATGCTGTAGTGTAATGCTGTGTTCAGTTTCTAAGAAATAAAATACAATCATTTTTAAATCATTAATTTATAAATCCAAAACAAAATTATAAACTAAGCAGGATATGAAAAAAAATCTATATAAAAGAAGTCACTAAACGAATAATTTAATAAGTTATTTTTTAAGTAAAGTTTCAGTATTTTTTACAAAGTAAATGGAAGGCTTATAATTTTGTACTATTTACTTCATCTTGAGCAGCCAGGTTAATTTTTTCAACCTGTCCCTCAGCAAGAGTAGCCCCTCGCCATTTAAGAAGGTGGGTTAAGCATTCAGCTCGACGCTTACAAACATGGGGCGACTGAGCATTGGCCTCCATGCAGACACAGTGAAGGCAAGTCTCTTTTCTAGCATTTGTTTTGTTGGGATTGCCCCCTTTTGTGGTCAGAAAAATACTGAAAAATAAAATAAAAAACATATTCAGTAATGTCAAAAAATAATGGCCATTCAAAAGCTTGAGTGAAAAACATGACAATGTTTTACCACAAGAGTCGTGGCATCCCATGTTTAGCTGCCAGATGTAATGGGGTCTCATGGTGGTGGGAGTCTCCGTAGGAACAGTTGGGGTCCAGCCCTTTCCGCAGTTCCTGGTTGTTTTGGTAAAGTGTGAGTGCTTGAACTTCATCCCCAGATTGAAGGTGTTTGCGGAACTTGGATGAAGCACTTCCCATGCTAGTTGTCTTTCTTGCTGAGGTTCTAAAACATCACATTCTCTTATTTCAAACTTCAACCACTAGTCATCACCTAAAAATTAAGATGAAGAATTGTTTGTTATATTTCATGAAAAATTTAAAGGTGAAATAAGAATGGTCTGAAGTTTAACTAAGTAGGCCTAATGAGTGTGTATTTAGTTAACTACCAGTCAGTAACCTGACACAATCTCTTTAAGTAGATTCCGTGTATTTGTTATACGAATGTCTGATAATGGCACAATAATAAAATCTTCCTAAAAGGAGTGTTGGTAGTTAACTAAATACAAGTCTTGCTAATTCCCTAATTCCAACCCTAGTCCTACCATACACCTAACCCTAATTTCTAACAACAAAACTAGGCTAGAGATTACACTACTAACAACATAACACGCCTATTTTCGGAAGAGTCTATTTCTGACATTGGTATACCCTATGGCTATGCACAGTTCATTTTGTGCGCCAGTAAAATATATAGATTCTGCTATGTTTTGATTTTTAATTTGAAAAAAAAAGTTAAGAACCAGTGATCTAGAAATCTAGATCAATCATTCAAGAAGTTGAAATACAAATTCAATCAATATAATAATATTATAATAGGCCTATTATTACTGTTAGTAATTAATAAATAAATAGTATTAAATACTAAATAGGCCTAAACAACTATAGGCCTATTAATAATTATGAATTATATTAGGCCTAAATAGGCCTATTTATATGATATTATTAGGATTAGGCCTAAACTACAAATTCATCAAAATTACACTGAACACTGAGTAATTTCAATATTTCACAGTTTCCAAATAAAATTATTTTTAATTTATTTGTCTACCAGTCTACCAGTAGCAGTAGTCCAGAATCCAAAAACGTCTCAGTCTAACAAAAACAGATAGATCTAGAATCTAAATCTAGATCTAGAATCTCCATCTAGTCTAGATTAGATCTAAAAAAGAGATTGTGGTTTCCGACGAGACGGTATCCTAAACCTAGACAAGACTAGAGTCTAGTCTAGACTTTGTTGGGATAATTATTATTGTAGAGAATGCTAACAAAGGTAAACAAAAACGGCACAAAACTAGCCAGTGATGGTAAAGCTAAATCAACGTCTGAGATGTAAATACAAACCTAAGTTCGCTATACTTTAGGCCTACTTCTTCTTTATCAGTATGGCATTATTTTAATATGCTTTAATAAACACATTAAACTGCGCAATTTATTTGTTTACCTAAATAAAACTCGTGGATAATAATCATCGATGTAGACAAAGAAAATAATGCCATTTTGGCAACTATAACAAAATACTTTGCTAGCTAGCGGTGTGTCGACTCTTCACGGAGGTTGACGACTGCATTTTCCGAGTAATTACGATTTCAAACCCCCCCCCCCCTCTTCCCAGATGGTTTGCTTTAATTACCGATGTATAGCTAAAATGATATGCTTATATAGTTATAGTATAGGTTCTATAATAAAAGTGTAATATTCTGTATGGTTTAGCAATAGGAACGTGAATTTATATTTTTTAGGGGCTACATTAGGCCTGTTACTTAGGCCTTCATAAAATGTTAACTTAAACCCAGCCTCTATTTTATTTTGGCAAAATAGTTTAAAAATATTAGATCTAGATCTAGATGAACAAGTACATTTTATAGTTATTTTCTATCACATTCGAAAGTCCATATGCCTTTTTGAAAAGTTACACGAGCAGTGCGGGCAGAGGGACGGAGTGGGAAGCCCATCATTTGTATTGCCTATATAATAATACATGAGATGTTTGCGTAGACGCTTAGAGATTTCATATACACGGACGGGTCATATAACAAATGAGGAGGTCCGCGAAAGAATCATTATGTGACTAAACCTTTTAAAATTTGCTTAACACTGTCATTAAAAAAAAGCTTAGATGGACACGCAGTAGCGTAGCGAGGGGGGGGGGGGACATATGTCCCCGGGCGTCGACCTTAGGGGGCGCCAAAATGGGTTGGAAAAATAAATTGAAAGGTTGAGGGGGGTGCACATTGAAAGTTTGAGGGGGGGGGGGGGTGCAAATCGAAAGCTTGAGGGGGGGGGTGCAAATGGAAAGTTTGTGGGGGGGGGGGGTGCAAATCGAAATCTTGAGGGGGGTGTGCAAATCGAAAAGATTGTCCCCGGGCGCCGGGAAGGGTCGCTACGCCTCTGTGGACACGTGACGTAATCCAACAGGATATCAAAGACAATCCTGCAGGGCACGGTGCCACACAGAAGGCAGATAAAAGATTGGATGACATCTGGAGCCGATTGTCCCATTTGCAGCAAACTGAAAGCTGCAGAGGGTGGGAAGAGTGGCATGACGGTGAGAGAGAATCAGTGGCGTCCCAAACACCAGGGTTTCTTGCATTTTGTTTTCTATTTGAACTAAATATTTGTTTCTATTTCGCGTGGGGGGGGGGGGGGGGCGATGGATGAGTGTCGGGGAGGGGTATGGTATAGATCTAGATCACATGTCGCAAGTGTAAACGCGGTGTAAGGGAAACGGCGTTAAAGAGCTCAGAATTAAAATCATGGCGTTTGAACTAGTTGCTAGGCAATCATTGTTTGTCTTACTTAAGTCTCAGGTTAAAATGTCGGATTGATATAGAATTTAGATTATCTCGTAAGTAGATCTAGTCTATAGATAATTTGTTTGTATAGCGATTTACAAGAAGAGAAAATAGTTCAAAATAGCGTTGGTTTCAACATTCACACAGGTCTCATCCAACATGGGCGATGTATAGTCACATCTTGACAGTGGTAAAACTACATCTGCTCACTAAGCTATTCCTCACCGGTAAAAACTTGGTCGACAAATTTGCTCATTTAGCTAGATGAGTTAGAAGTGAGCCGTTTTGAAGAACAACAAACCTACGACAGAAGTTTTGAGCAGTTAGACCGCAAGCGGATGTAGATCTAAGCCTTCAAAAAATCTGGAATAACTATGGATGTAGGAATACAAGCCATCTCCATGGTGATGGTTGCACATAGAGGAATATCGGAAATACCATATTGAATATCGTCGTGCGAGTGTAAATGCCCACAAAGATGTGCAGGGTAGGCTACCCAGCACTGCATAAGCCCATAATGTTGACTTGGTATAGCCTAATGATGAGGCATTGGGTCAGGATTACATGTAGATCTAAAACTTAGCCCAATCGGTTCAAAGCTTCAAATCTTCCAATCATTCGGGGCTCATGCACCAGTAGTATTTTCTACTTGACTATCTCAAAAAGCATGATACTCAAGTCTACTGGATGATTATGTTGGGCCTAATGCTCTTCAGTTCCTTTGTACTTAAAAAAGCCACACACAGAACAAATTTTTTTGTAATGAAAATGATATTTATTGACCATCCATGCAGAAACATTATGATGTCCTAATGACTCAAGAAATGCATAAAGTGTAGAACTAAAAAAAAAACCGACAGATTTACCAGACAAAGTACACAAAAAGAATCTCCCCCTAGCAACGTGTGCTCCCATCAAAGTTTGTAATCCAGCATCAGTCTTGGATGTATTAGCTTATGGTAAAGTACAGACACAAATGTATGCAGTACATGGGACAATACAAACATAATGTATAATGGTTTATAGAATTAATGACATTAAGATCTAACACATTCCCTATACTCAAACTTTATACATTTAATGGTGTTTGAAAAAAATAGCAAAAAATGAGGAGGCAATGCTATCTATCCCTGCATTCTTAGTGTAGATAAAGTATAAGAACACAGAACAGTCACTGCAGAAATGTTTGAAGTGAGTTCATGACATGTCTTAACATGAGAGAATGAATGAAACAAGTTTGATCTGGTCCTTATCTGCAGTTGTTCCAACATACACAAGTATATTTGTTCAGTGATAGCATCAAATAAATATAGGTAGAATAGTCATGATGATCAGATAATGAAGTTTGATTTTATTGGAGATAATGCAGAAATGTTTTCACATACATTTTATTCACACTATCAGAAATGGTAAAGTTTGTAAAAGTTCTAAAGAAATGGTTAAAAAATATGGTACATAAAAAATGTTTTAAAAAAACAAAATTGTAAATGCACAAGAAATAAAAAAATTCGTCTTGGAACTATTGTTCACATAGAGATCTAACATCTTCCACTGTTTAAAACCACTTTGCAGTATTATAAGAAATATTTACATACTCATGCTATTTAAAATATCCTGTCCTGGGATACAATTATTGTAAATAAAAAATGCTCAAGTTCTTTATTTTTAAGCTATATAAAAACTACAGGTAAATTAAAAAATGAACTTATAAAATCATCTGACCTTTAGTCAAGCCTCTAAGATTTTGTAGCTGCATCAAACATACAATTTTAAGTGATCAATGAATCATGTCAAAAAAAAAAAGTCCAAAATAAATAATTCTGCACCATCTGGCAAGTTGATTAGGATATGAATGTCAGAGTGGCTTCCCCTCCAGTGGTCTAAACATCAGTGTCATACCAATGGTTGGAGTTGTCCCCTGATGGTGGGCCAAGTGCTGGATCCAAGTTGTCAAAGTTGATGTCTCCTGGGTTTGCTAGATCTGGTAGGTTGTCCATCTGTCCATAGTTGCTGCCATGTTGGCTACCAATGTCCAGTCCTTGCATGGAGTCAATAGGTACCTGTTCATAACCTTGTAGAAGATGGGATACATTAAACCTCATTATAGATTAACTTTAAAAATTTAAAATCCCCTATGAATAATAGATTATGGAACAAACTACAAACTGATTTAAAAAAAAAACAAGAAAATGAGCCCTCTATTCTGTTCTCACCAGAAGTCCACCATGCATCCTACATTAGTTGTTCTCCTACTTGATATCAGAATGAAGAAAAGAAGAAAAAGAAAAGAAAATAATTCATAAAATATTTCTAGTTATTTTATCCGTCCTTAACAAGAAACATCTGTATCACTATCAAATCCATTTGAAAATCCTCAGATTAATATTTGGATGTGTGTGTAAGCTGCCATTTAGGCCATATGCTACACTGAAGCTTCCTGGACTAGTATACTTAATCAATTTGAACAAGAAACTGATTCAGGATGCACACAGTCTATTAAACTGTTTAAAATATACCATTGAGAAATTTCAACTCTTCACTGTGTTTTCATTCATCAAGGACAGTTAATTGTCATCTTGTGCTTCATTTGAAATATTTTTAAAATCTCTGTATCAATTGTAAATTAATTTAATGGATGATAATGTGTGATGACTTAAAAGTTTTCTAAATTTCACACTTGTAAAATATATCCTCCATTCATTAAGTAACCACTGGCGTGAAATCAGATTGGATAAAAAATAATTTGTGCTTTGCAGTTGAAATACTTGGCAGTTGATTGATTTCTTATATTGGCCAATAGTCTGCAAATCCAAATCCTGAAAAAGAGCAGTTGATGCTCCCATACCAGTGAAGTTAGTAGCTGTAATTACCTGTGTGTCCACGCCCCATGTCAGGGTGTGCTCCACCATACATGTTTCCATGAGAGCCGTGAGGGTTGTACATGTGATCTCTTGAATCTTCCAGAGGCATGGTCATGTCTTCAAATCCAGGAGGCTTTAGTAGAAAAACAGGGTTAATCAGATTTATAACAAGTTAGTGTAACCCATCTTTCTATGCACTCAATTAAAGGCATGTTCAAATATAAAAAGGTTTTATTTACATCTGTCCAGTTCTGGTCACCGCGGTAGAGTGAACTGGTCAATTCCATGGATAGACGCTTTTTGTAATCTTGTGGCTTATCTTCAGACATACGAAATAGCACTGCTGCTGCGTAGGTGGCTAAAAACAAGAAGAATACCATAAGTAACTTTCACCACAGATTAAAACCTGGTGTAGGCAGGGGTTAATTAAATAGCTTATACAGTCATATTATCAACACATTCATATCTAACAATTTAAATGCAACAATAAAACTTACCAACGCCTTCATTTCTTGAGTGCAAAAGTTCAGTGAGAGGTGCAGTGGCACCTTCCTGCTCAATCATTTCAGCCCCTTCCTTGTCAGCTGCAAGTTCACACAACACACCAGCAGCAACACGCTGGATGTTTTCAATGGCCGAGTAGAGGAGCTGCAATGTCAAGTAAATTTACAAATAACTTGTCATCAAGACCTTACAATATTTATCAAAAAGGTTAAGATCATAATGTATTGAGGAAGATACATTTTTTAATAATGGGGTACATCTTTAACTAAAAAATGTAGCTATCCCTTTGGACATGAAATAAAAGATTTACCTATTAATTTTGTTAAGACCAGTACAAAAAAAACAACAACCAGGAAAATGTGTAGTGTTTAAATTAGAATTAATGGTCAGACCTGGACAAAAAGTGGTATGCAAGTGAGTCCTCTAATGACTGCTCTGTTGTGTGCCTCACGGGCCAGAATGTGGAGGGCTCCAACTGTTCCTTCAACTATTTCTTCCATACGAACACCATCAACGTAACCAGTCAGTGGTGGACCGTTTGAACTGATTGATGCTCGCTACAATTAATTTATTGTAAAAACGTTTTTTTAAAAACATGAGAATAAGATGTTCAAGCGATTAATATATACAGAGCAATTGTAAAATATCAAAATTTACTGTTTTAATTTAGAAAAAAAATCATCTTAAGTGTAAAACCACGTACCCTTTGTGTGTCTTGGTGTGCCCGAATCAAAAGTTGCACAATTCTGGGCAAAGCTCCATGCTCCCGAAGAGGTGCATGGTTAGCTGGGCACAGTGCCAAGTTTCTGAAGATCATATTCAAATTGTTAACATAAAAGCTAGCAACAGGCTAAACACTACATATTTTTTTAAAGTAATAAACAGACAGAACAATTTAGGAAATAAATAATAACCTGATAAGACCAACAACTGCCTTAATAAGTGGCCAGCGGCTGGGTGGATGGAGGAGTTTCACAAGAACTGGCAGACCATAATGCAGACGAACTGCATTCTGGGCCATTTCAGCTTCTGGGTGGCGAGATGTCAAATGACGCAAGGCACATACCTAGAAGAAATTATTTTCATTAAATGACTGATGTTACAAGACTACATAAAGAACAACTAAATAGTTCTCCTTAAAAATCGAACTTACGGCTGGTTCGGTAATATCTTCTCTGTCCCCTGCTTGCATGATTGTGCGAACAAGAGCTTCAATGCCTCCAACCTGGCAAACCATAACCTTGTTTCTTTGGTTATTGCAGGTCAAATTGGACAGGATACCAGCAGCACAGGTGACTACATTGATGTCATTGCTTGACAGAAGTTGGACAAGCATGATAAGAAGGTTGTCCATTTGTTCCTACATAGTGGAATAGAATGAAAAAAATTATTAATTCTGCACTTTAAGTGAGTACATGATTAACAAATTAGTCTCAAATTCTTCAAATCAATATTAAGACAAAATTAAATAAGCTTACCATTTTAGTGGCAGCATCTGACAAATTTCTGAGTGACCACAGACAGTTTTGGACCAAACGTTGGCTTTGATGTCCTAAATGCATGGCAAGAGCTTGCATTCCCCCTGAGAAGATAACATGTTGTATTGAAGTATTTCTCAGTATATTAAGTATGCCTAAAATCTGCTATTGCTCTATTGCTGATACAATAACACTTACCAGCCTCGACTATTGCAGGTTTATTGCTAGAGCACACAGACAAAACTTTGAGAACACGAGAAGTTGTCCACAACAACTTTTCATATGTGTAAGACTTCATGATTCGCACAAGTTCTCCAGGTCCACCACTAGCAAGGATGATGAGCTGGGGAGGAAAATAAATGTGTTAGCTTCTAGCACAAATAATTTTTTCAGCATTTTTATTGTGTTGAACATTAACTAAACTTATAAAATACAAGTGACAATGTAAGAAAACTGCAATCACTATATATATGAAACAGTACACATTCAAGAAACATGAATAAAAGTAATTCTTACTTTGCTCTCTTGGTTTCCATAAGCTAAAATCTGCAGACAATCTGTGGTTATTGCTAAGAATTTAACATTATTGTTTCTCTGCAGCAGTGCCACCATTTTCTGTAGACCGCCAGCAACTCGCACAGCCATCTTAGAGCCCTCTTGGTGAAGCAGTAAGTTGTGCAGGGTTGTTATGGCGTAGAAAAGAACTGACTCTAGAGGGGAGCTGGCAAAGAAAAACAAAACTTAACTACTTAAAGTACTTATTGAAGTGAAATTTCATTCTTACCTTATTTAGAGTAGAAACAATGCTAGTTTATAGTCAAGTCTTCAAGAGCACAAAGATAAGAGATGATGACTTATAAAAATCATTTAAACAATACCATTTAGTAATTACCTAAGTAGTTTGACCAGTGCTGGAATACCTCCAGACTTAAAAATGGCCAGCAAGCCCTGTCTGTGATGGGAGAGGTTGTGGAGGGTTCCAGCAGCACAGCGTGTTGTTTCAATGTCTTCAGTGTTGGCCATAGCACGGATCAAGGCTGTGATCATTTGGGGGGAGTTCATGATGGCATGTCGGCTTGCTTCCTTTTTAGACAGCTGGTGGACCATCATAGCAGCTTGGTACACAACAACTTGATCCTCATCATTAAGCAACTTAATCAATTCTGGAATGGCACGAGTGGCCAGATCTGCATCATCCTAAAGTTGACACAAACACATTTTAAAAGTGAGCATATTTTTGCCAAGTAATCAAAGCTGAAGTATTTAAAGTGAAGTGGTCTAAAAACTCAAGCACCTACCTGGTAGTTGATGAGGTTTACAACAGCATGCTTCAACATCTGTGATGGCTCACTCAATCTTTGAACAGCTGTAGGTTGGTCTGGCTGGATCTGGGTAGATGGGATCTGGACACCTTCTGGCATTGTTTCAGGAAACATAGCAGCTCGCACCCGCTGGGAGCGTGTCTGGTTCAACTGCTGGTTTATGTCTGAGGACAATTTTAAACTGCTGTAAACTGTGTACAGGGTCAGAAAGAGAAGCTGTTATGTGGTGATGTGGTGCAAATGTGACTTACCATCTACTTGTTCTTGGTTATAAGTGTCTCCACCTAATCCCCAGTCAAACATCATCTTGGATGGATCCATGTCCCCATCATCAACTTCTTCTCCATGACTTTTACTGCTGATAGATGGAGCCTAAAAAGGAAAAGTACAATGTTTTTATATATGGAAACTTGTATAAACAAAATACTAATAAAACAGGCAAGCAGTATGAATGTTTTACCTGTGTGGTTTGACCAGAATGGATACCAGAGTCACTCATGTACTGACTTTGCTGCCACATCATGGTTTGCTGTTGTTTGTTGTCCATGGGCATGCTGCTTAAATCCATGTAACTAGGCTCACCAGCTGGACCCACTGAGTGAAACAAATTTTTTCTTTGTTAGCAACATACTCCAGTCTTTAAGCCTCTAACTGATGTAAATTAATCAATACTATTTGTTCTACATGATTCAATGTAGTTATTTGACCATAAACAAACACAGCTAGTTATTTTAACACAGCACTTACTTGCCCGAGTGGGTCCACTGCCTGCATTCATCTGATAACTACTCATTTTGATCAAATGCTAGGAGAGTCTAAAAGAAGAAAAAACAGAATATTTAACAACATATTTTCAATAATTCATTCAAGAATAATATTACATTGGTTGTCATAATGCACTTACAACTCCATGTCTAAGCCACAGTATTATAATATGCATGCTATAGTAGATGAAGAATCTTTTTTAAATTATATTAATTATTAGGCTAATGATAATGCAACTAAAAAACAAATTAATATAAACAAATCTTAAAAGATATGCATAAATCCCCACCCCATTTTCTTTAAAAATATTCTTCAACATTATAAAAAGCCAAATGAAAATTATTCATGTGATCTCTCAACTACTGAAACAGTTTACACCTTGAGAAATAGTAAAAAACCTAAAAAAAAAACAACAGCATTTGTTGTCATAATTTTTTAACTAAGTGATAAGAACATGTTGAGGTTACTGTGACAGTCAATTCAAAAATATAAAATAATTTAAAAAGCTATGAGTATTTAAATAATTGAAAAGAACTCAAGAAGACTGATAATTTTACTCAGTACAAAGGAGAAGGCCTAAGTACTGTTAATGAGTTGCTGATTTCTTCCTTAATTAATAAACACAGAAAATGAGTCCATCATTGGCAGAAATGGTATCCGTTTCTTAAGAAAATAAGAAAGCTATAGTAGCAGCCCCTCTTAAATTATCCTAGAGAGGGATCCTCGTGTTACAAAACTGGCACCATTGTTTAAATTTTAAAATTCATGCAGCCATAACATTTTTAAGAAGCGCTTTTAATTCTAATATATGAATTTGAAAATACTAAAGGTCTAATGTGAATAGTACTTGAAATTAACGGCTACTACTGTTAAAATAGTGAAGAGTAATAATATAACCAACGAAGTGACTTATTCCCCAGCACTGTCTGGCCAGCAGAAGATGCAAAACTCAATGACAAAAATAGCTACACAATGGGCTCAAATTAAATACTATTAATAGCTGCGCAATGGATTCATTTTTTTCTTTTATAGCTACGCAATGGGATCAAATTACTCTTTTAGCATTAATCTTCTGACAAAACTATCTGTACTGTGTGGTGGAGCAGTTGCACTTTGGGCGGGTCATCAGGGGTTGAGGGTTCATAGAAATATTTTTTCAAATCTACTATTTAAGTATTCATCATGTTAATCCCTGCCTCATCAAGACAACACATAGGCCTAAACAGCGAACATGTAGATGTAAAAAAAAAAACCCCAGGTAATTGTAGAGCTATGCACACGCACATCTTTTTCTGGCTAGAATTAGCCTATAACCAAATTTAGTAGGCCTACTCTATCACAATAAATTATTTCCAAAATCCTTACTCTTAAGATTGATGGCATTTTACAAGCTGTACAAAATGAGGATATCAAAATCAAAAGCTGACAAACTACAGGTCTAGGAAAGCAGCACTAAAAAAAAAACAACTTGCTGTCCAGCTCTAACAAGGAAAACTTCAACAAACAGTGTTAAATGATATAGAAAATCTTAACTTTTGGCATGAAAGATAATACTATTCCACTCCTGGTGAGTTTAAAATAGTTTTAAACTAGTTTCAGCTAGCAATATTAATAGGGCCATTATAATGAACATTCACAGCATAGAATAAAGACAGAAAAGGGACCCACCCCCTCCCTAAAAAAAACAACTTATGGTTGTTAAAAAAAAATTTAAACAACTGACGGGAGAATGTTTATACCAGTGTCTGATAATGTAATCTTCTTTAAAGAAGGGGTGTTAGGTTACTAGTAGTTAACTATATATACACAATTTACACATGGCTGGCTAATGTCAATGCTAACTCTGTCACTTACCCCAACTCCAACCCTGGTGCTACCATACACCTAACCCTAATTTCCAACCATAAATTAGTTGAGATTACAATACTACTAACAACCCAACACCCCTTTTTTAAAAGAAGATCCCATTGTCGGACACCTGTATTCTAGATCTAGACACATAATCTCAAATGACTTGCTGTTGAACTTGCTTGAATTAGGCCTATGCATATTGTAGATTGAGGGGTGTGCATAGGTTCTATATTAAAATTTTAAAGGGCTACTTTTTCACTCAATCCACCCAGCACATAACAATGCCATTATCCCAATAAAATTCGGTAATCTATCGTTTTGGGTACGTAAAATCGCCCGCGATTTGTAATGTGAAAAACAGGTGACTCCTTAAATTTTAATAATTATTTCACATTTTGAGGAGAAGTTATGTTTTAAAAAATTCAAAAATGTTTCCTTGATTCATTTATGTACCTGTTTTTAAACAATTGAATTAAAACTTTTCCGTAATAAATGAAGACTAGCGATGTTTCCAACAGATGCAACCATGCTCATTTACTATAGCAGCCATCTTGTCTAAGTTTTATTTTTATAAGCTTTTAGCGCCAGATTCAGGGGGAAGTCACTCTATTTTACAAATGGCTGCTGTTTATATAGCAAATCTTGCTCTCAGACACTGCTGTTTAAAGTTAATTTCTGGCCTATATCGATATATTTAGCCATTGATTTAGGTTTATTATTCATTTATCTATAATATTTGACACAAAAGTATGACAATATACTTCTATTAAAGCCTTGACAATGAGGTAATGTTTTCGTACATAAATAGCCGCGGGCGATTTTACGTACCCAAAACGATAGATTACCTAAAATTCAAATGCCCCACTGACACTAGGACAGGATGATCACTATAGGGATTTAGGTAAAAAAACACTAATCATCATATAAAAATAAAAATTACATATTCTTGTAGAGCTCAACTATATGGAAACAAAACAAAAAAGATTTTCTGTCTAGCTCAAATAGTTTTTTTTTTGGCAAATTTTTTTGTGAGGGGTGGAATCCCCTTGCTTTTGCATTGGCCAATTGTGACAAGTCATGGTATACCTGAATAAATTGAGCATAGTTATTTTACTTGCAGTTGTATTTTGTTCATATTTGCAGAGTTTAACTAGAATGATATATAGAACTTGTAAATGCTGTTGAAATTAATAAAAATAATACAGAACTTATATTTTTGTGTTGGCTTCCTCCCATAACCCCAAAAAACTGTGTGCTGCGCAAATATGAAAATGTTTCTAAAGCCATATTTTATATAAATACAGCAAATGAAAGAACTACAAAGTTAGAAATCTAAAGTAAATGACTTGAACACTGTTATGTGCATATAATTGCCTCATTATTTTGGGCAGGTGAAGTAGAGTCCATCTTTAAGCCATTTTGTTATAAAACTGCTGCGCAAATATGAAAATGTTTCTAAAGCAATATTTTATATAAATACAGTGAATGAAAGTAAATGACATGAACACTGTAATGTGTCTATAACTGCCTTGTTATTTTGGGCAGGTGAAGTAGAGTCCATATAAAAGTCATTTTGTAATAAGTGAAATGAAGTTATCAGATCAATGTTTTTATGTGTGAATTGTGTATAGATTCTGATTTTCAGCATATAACTATATCTAAGGGTGAGTAGAACTTGAACACTTAAAATTACAGTTAGCACAATGTTAGTGTATAGCAACAGACAGGTAACCTAGATCTAGGTCTGACTCTTGTCAGTCTAGAGTCTAGTCTGACAAAATTGGATGTTTAGGAAAAACATATTCTAGAAAACTAGAACTAGAGCTGAAAAAATTAAAGATGGGTATGTAAATATATTTTGAAATAAAAAATTAGATTTGTTTGCACATGCCATAAGATTGCTGTTATTAGTTGATCAAACTTAAAGGCAGGAAGATCGGGATGAAAAAATATAACAATGGTGGCAGCGTGACCTACATACAGTGACTACGTTCGGAGGGGTATAACTAATGTCGGAGTCAAAATATCCAAAAACAAATTTCATTTCCAATTACTTAAGATATGTCTGATCAGTAATCTACTCTCATCTAGAGGAATCTTTTAAAAAATCGAGATTCCAACGTATTTGAAACTAACCTTGATACAGGGGGAAGACCAAAGCAGAGACAGCATGCAATCAGGTCGCAAAGCCATTAAAACTAAGGGACAACCACTCTACTTCTTAATTAACCTTAGGAAATGACCTTTTAAACTTAATTAATTACCATAAATTAAAAACTTATTAGTATGCAAAACCAAATCTCGTGGGTCCGGTATCAGAAAGTAATGGGCGATTTCGGGTCATGTTTTTACCGCGAACTCGGCGGATGCCGACAACCCTAATCACTAGGACTAGCTTCACTAGCTTGGGGATCTTGTGCCAGGGTTTAGCTCTTCTTCTTCTTCTTCGTTCTTAATTTTTGAATATGGTGGAGGATTCAGACAACAAGTCCAACTTCGTGGACAAACCAGACTGTGGTTTCCAGTTTGTCAGGTGTCCCATATAATTTTTCCCTGAGTGGGGTGGGCTGGGGCCAGTGTCTGCCTCTTAAATCTAAACATAAGCATCCATAATGTAATGACAGTGGTAGACTAAATTAAAACTATTCATGCAATAAATAAGATCTAGAAGATCTAGTTGGAATAAGACAAAAAGCTACATTTTTTCTAGCATCTAATGTGAGAAGTAGCCTGGCCTAGCTAGCTATTCTAGTGTGTCTGTCCGGCTGTAGTGTGAAAAATTATTTGTTTTCTTGAAGTACCTCACCTCAAAACAATCGGAAATGTCGATTTCTAGACAGTTTATTCACTCTGGATCTATCCATACAAACAAAACATCTGTTCTTACCGAAAATAAAGGTCCGCATGGACCGCAAATAGTAAAATCGAAACAGAAGTTTCACAAAAGTGTTTGTTTTCAATATCTTCCCCTCAGTTAGATACTCTCCGACATTCAAATCCAAGATGGCGTATGACTTGTTCCGCGCATGAGCAAACCTATTCGCACCTGTTTGGCAGTGCTGCGGTCTTTTCTTTAAATATTGTAAACGTTTCTTAGTATGGTCTGTATTTTTAATACATTTACGTTGAAATGTAAATAAACTTGCTTTATTTAAAAATGCTACTTTTTATCATAATAAACATTATTTATAAATTCTAAAATAAGAGATATATTATTTATTGAGGGTGATATTTTAAATTTTATGTCCTTTAAATGTCATATGATAAGAATGTTTACGGTAAGCTCGTACTGACACGAAATAGTTCGATATTAAGTGACATATTTCTGTGCAAAATATTAACTTGCAAGTGCAATAAATATTAGAAGTTAAAAAAAAACTACAGTAAAAGTTGTGAATTAAATTATTTGTATTACAAATACGTTTTAGATTGTATTAAATATACGGCGATCTTGGCAAGATAGCTTGAGTGATTCGAATGGAATGTCAGCGGATGACACTTTCACAAAAGAAACAAAAACTGTACAGCTGTAACCGAGGTGTTCCACCTACGATTGCTATAAATTGTGTGTGTCATGAACAAGATACTCCTGACGCTTGTATCGGGCAACCCAACAGATTAGCGGTGACACTAATCTGTTTTGTAAAAACTAAATGATAAATACTGCCATTTTTACATTAAATTCTAAATTCACCTTTATTTCACAAGTGCGTGTTGCATAATGTAACTTTTATTACTAGCCTACCGAACTTCTCTATATCTGTATAAAAACAAATATATTGAAATGTCCTCACTTTAAAAACTTATATTTTGACTATTTTCCGTTTTAAATACATTTTAATAAAGTGTAGGCCTATATATTGTGTAGCCCGTTTTAAATTGCAGTTAGTTTTAAAACATCACCGACAACAAACCCATCCACCTTTTTTTAAGTGGTGGGCCAGTGTGACACTCGCTTTCACATCGGCTCGTGTAGCCTCAACAGCTGCAGGCTTTCCCTTCCCCCTCAATAGTCATTACAGAATGACAGATGTCAATAAAGCTTGGCCTTATTGTCAAGATGTTCTGTGCGAGTGTTCTTTGTCTTCTATAGGACTGCAGTTTACTATTTACATATTTTACATTATTTTTTTTTTTGTTAGAAGAAAAATGTTATTAAAGTCATAACGCGTCTTTCGTTTTAACACGACTATTTTTTTTAAAGATCATTAATTGCTAGATTAGTAACATTACAATAAGTTTAAAAAAAAAATCTTTACAGTTTAAGTATGTCCGACGCAATGGTCTAGATTTACTTTGAAAGCACCTATCGCCAGTGGGGGAGATGAGTGGGGGGAGCTGCATGAATAATGTTACGCAACAAAAGTGATTTAGTTCTGAAACTTGTAGCTGGTTAGCTATAAGTGAAAAATAGCATATTATTTTTCTTTAAATGATACCATCGTGTGTATGGCGGGGAAGGGGTGGTGGTGGCGGTTGTAACGTCATTTATACGAGGAGCTGTCTCCAGTGACGTAGTATGGAACTGGTCATGGGGAGATTCAAAACTTTTCTATTCGTAGTATATATATATATATATATATATATATATATATATATATATATATATATATATATATATATATATAGCTCTCTAAAAATTAAGTTACGTCTGGTCAGTAGGCCAATTGTAGGCCTTTGGTCAGTAGGCCATCAGTAGTCGTCTGGTCAGTAGGCCAATTGTAGGCCTTTGGTCAGTAGGACAATAGCGAGCCACCATAGCAATCTTGGCTTATAGGCCGATGGCAGTAGTCACTCGTTTTTGTCTCTATCTGCGTAGCGTCTCATTGATCTTTGATTTGATTTATTTGAACCTCCGAGCTTTTGGCGAAAAGCAACACCCATCTTCAGCTTATTTATTTAAAAAAATGCACGATATAATGACAAGTTATATAGGCCTACACATGGCAAATTAGAGTATGTGTCTCTTTGTACTGAAAGCTTACACAATATAATCTATCAATTGATACGTATGCCTGTATGCCAGTTTGCAATTTCGACAACCTTGACAATAATAGCCCACATCAACACAAGTGGCTTAAAGTATCGATAAGAGTGAAACAATATATTGTTACTCCTGGCAGGACGGTGGAGCCTGTGGAGGGGGGGGGGGGGGGGGTTAATTTGTATGGACACAATGGGGAGGCGGTTTAAAATTTCCAGATAAAATGTGTTGAAAACTAGCGTTGATGTTGTCAGCGCCGGTGGTGCGAGTTTGTTGGTGCGAGTTTGTTGGTGCGAGTTTGTAGGGCCATTGTGGTGGTGCGAGTTTGTAGGGTCATTGTGTCAACCCGAGATGCTCGAGGAGACAGACCACGTGACTATAAGCGAGGGGAAAGTCAGGCCGTACCAGTGGCGTAGGCAGGGGGGGGTTAGGGGGGGTCATAACCCCCCCCATAGACCCCTCGGTATATATAAAAAGTATGAGGGGGGGGGTGCAAATCGAAAGTTTGAGGGGGGGGGGGGTGCAAATGGAAAGTTTGAGGGGGGGGTGCAAATTGAAAGTTTGAGGGGGGGGTGCAAATCGAAAGCTTGAGGGGGGGGGTGCAAATCGAAAGTTTGTCCCCGGGTAAAAATTGGAACCCCCCCCCCTTGAGACGATCCTGGCTACGCCACTGGGCCGTACAATACCATCGCGGGAGTCCTCCAAATTGACACCCCCTCCCCGCCCCCCCCACCCACCACGACCCACACAACGAAAGTGTATAAATGCTCTCTTAACATAATTCCAACGAATACAGACGACAAATTCAATAGGCTCACTGTTGTTCTGTAAGATGAATACTAATTTTCTTGGGTTAGTTTTTATTTCTTCCCTAAGCTAATGGTTGTCCTTATACCGAAGTCCCGAGTTCGTACCCCGGACTCGATAGCTGGGGATAGCAACCCATCTAGGGGAAGAAGAAAAAACAACTCCAAAATCCGTAACTGTTGCCTTGTTCTTGGTTGGACAAAATCTATGGAAGCAAATCCAGAAATAAAAGCATGATGAAATTGGAGTCAAAGGCCTATATGTCGCATAACCAGTTGACACATAACCAGTTGACACATAACCAGTTGACACATAACTAGTTCACACATAACTAGTTCACACATAACCAGTTGACACATAACCAGTTGACACATAACCAGTTGACACATAACCAGTTGACACATAACCAGTTGACACATAACCAGTTCACACATAACTAGTTCACACATAACCAGTTGACACATAACCAGTTGACACATAACCAGTTTACACATAACCAGTTGACACATAACCAGTTGACACATAACTAGTTCACACAAAACTAGTTCACACATAACCAGTTGACACATAACTAGTTGACACATAACCAGTTGACACATAACTAGTTGACACATAACCAGTTGACACATAACCAGTTGACACATAACCAGTTGACACATAACCAGTTGACACATAACTAGTTCACACATAGCTATTTCACACATAACCAGTTGACACATAACCAGTTGCCACGTAGGCTAATACGTGTGTTTCAACATGACAATTAAGAACGAAGATCGGCTTCCTACACGTGTGCGTGTCTGGTGTGTTAAAAATGTGTGGGCCCAGTCTATAATATCATCATATGCAGTGGCGTCGCTAGGTCGAGTTACATCATCTGATGTTTTCGTCCCCCCTCCTCCCCCACACTCCAAAAGAAAAAAAAAAAGCCTATAATACGCCCTATGTATTTGTGTATTATAGGTCTACATATGCCTATAATTTAAATTTATGCCATAAATAGGTGTGTATAAGTTCGTTGATTAACATATCAATTATTAAAAATATTAAACAAAACCTTTTCCCTGTACATTTTGAAGTTGGTGTCAATAACACCCCTTCCCCCCATACACACATACCAAATGATAGATTTAATATGTGTACACTAAGTAAATAGTACCCATGTTTATCTTTAGTTGGTTATTAATACAGTTGGCTATAGCATCGTTTTCTCTATAGTTGGCGAGTTTACGTCACGGTATCACCAGTAGCGTAAGCGGGGGGGGGGGGGGGGGGGGCGGGGGGGCGGTCAATCCACTACGACCATTTTGAGGATAGTGGCGCCTTTTTTTCGGAGATTTATTAAATAAAATTTAAAACAAGTTTCATTAAAAAAAAAACCAACAGCAAACAGATCCACACAGCAGGCGTAGCGACCCCCCCCCTCCCCCGGGTACAAACTTTTAATTTGGCTACCCCCTATATTTTTTATGTTTATAATTCAAAACTGCAGCTAAAATGAGCTTTTAATTTTTTTTGTCCAATCCATTTTGGCGCCCCTATGGTCGGCACCCGGGGACATATGTACCCCCCCCCCCCTTCGTTACGCCTCTGCCACATAACAGAAACTACCAATTTAAAATTGTCTTACTGATCGGCGCCTAGCGAGGCGCCATTTCATCACAATGGCAACCCATCTTTAACGCTTGTTCATCTGCTGTTTGTGTTATTCCTGCTGGATATAGACCGTCAAACCTCCACACACCGTGCTTAGGTTGACAAGTGTAGCCCTTGCTTGAGTTGTCAGAATAACTCAGCTATATATCTGTAAAGTGGGAGGCATGTTTATCTTTGGGTTGTAAGATCAGTCTCGGCATGTAGGTCAATTGTTTACGTAGATTGCGCCCCGTAGAGTAAGATTTTGCTCATCTATGAAAATACTAGCTGGAAGTGACATCTAGATCTAGAACATCATCCAAATGCATCTTGTACAGAGACACAACATATGTGTATTGCATAAAAAAAGTATGTTCAAATATATGGGGGGGGGGGGGAGGTGGAGGGATACAACAAGTACAGATGTACTTAACGAACATACTCGTAAAGACCTCGGGTACATGTAGTTAAAACCGTTGAAAACACTGAAGATAAAAGTAAAAATGTCCCCAGAAGATGAATAACCAAGCTGCAGAAATAAAATAACTAGTTTTTTTTTTAACATTTAAATTTTTATTTTTCAAAAATGATAATTCCTTATATTTTTTTTAAGTAACTATTGGTCATGACAAAGTGACTAATCATACAGTAACTTAAAATAACAATGTTTATATTAAGATGAAAGATCCAAAGATGAGAGCTCAATGCAGAAGAAAAAAAAATTGACTGATACAGATTTACAATAGTAATATTTCTTTCTTACTTGTAGCCTGCTTTTATTCATTTAAGATGGTTTACTTATACATAGATCTAATACAAAACTTCTAGATATAAAGAAAAAATTAAAATTAAAAACCAACCTGAAACTGAAAATGCAAATGTGTAATTAAATGATGATTCAAGGGATTTTTTTTCGCGGCGAAATGCACAATAAAATAAGAGATATATTGACTTCTTTTGTGTTATCGTCAGTAAATTTAATGTGCAACTCGCATTTATATATTGACTCCGCTTTTACTAACATTCTTTGAGCTATGATTAGCATTTATAAAAATAATATATTTAATTCTAACTGTAGAAAAAGTTATTTGCAAAAATAGAATTGCAATAAATTATACAAATTTTTATTAAATAATTAAAGAATGATTGATCTGGATAAATTTTAAAATTATAATTAAAGTTGTCGGTTTTTACATTGATAGAGTAGTTATTTCCCCTACTGTTGTTCAATTTTCTTAAATCTTTTTAATAATACTATTCCAATATTAAAAATAGTTTTTAGCGCAATTTCCATTCTGGAGAATTGCGTTTATTAACTCGTCATTTCTGGGAATGGATGGATGAATGAATGTATGCATGTATGAATGTATGGATGTATGGATGAATGTGTGTCCGGGCTTTAAGTCGTATCTCCTCCTCAACGAAGCAATATCGATGACTAGTTCCAAAAGCAATTATGTTAAGCAAGTTACGAGGATGAACATAGGCCATAAAAATTACGGGTTTCTTTCATGGATTTCCCGGAAAAGCCAAAAAACCTCGAAAAAATGCAGTTTTTGGCCCATATCTCGGCAACCAGACCACTAAGCGACTTGAAACATGTACCAATCGATTCCTGCCATAATTTTTTCCAACCACACCACACGCGTCATCACGTTCAATAGCTGCGCCATCGCGTTCCATGGCTGCGCCATCACGTTCAGTAGGCGCGCAATGGTTTTTAATCATGTAACTCTATTGTAAATAAAACATGTAAAATACTGAAAAAAATTAATAAAAAACGTTTTAATAACTAACCAATGGTTTTACTAACCCTGCTCTTGATTTACGCTACGACAGAGCTATTTTTAGATAACATAAGGAAATTGCGCTAAAATTGTCACTAGACTTTTTAATTACCTTGTTTTAAAAGGATTACAAAGGATTACAAAGCATTTTGTGTTGCGTTTCTGTTTTGTTTTTAGTTGTGTTATGTGCATATTTTGTGTGATAGGTTATTTTGTGTCATACATTGTGTATTTTGTTTTGTTTTGTGTTCTTCAAAGAGCAGCCTACTTTTTAAATGTATTTTACACCGAAGCGAAGCAACCTACAGCTAGTATTATATATATATATATATATATATATATATATATATATATATATATATATATATATATATATATAAGGGGAGGTTACAGCGAGTTTGTTGCCACAGTTTGTTGTTATGCACTGGGTTCTGTGCCGTGTTTCTTCCAGACTTTTTTTCCCGGGGTTCACTTAAAATTTCCGGGGGGTGGGGGTGGGGGGGGGGGGGACAACAATTTTCGGAGGGGGGGGGGCGGACACTGTCAAAAGTATATATTTTCTATATAAATTCCATTTCGTTCGGGGGGTGGGGGGTGGTAGACTTTCTTCGGGGGGGGGGGGGGCGTTGCGCCCCGAAGAGATGCCTGGAAGAGAACTCTGGTTCAGTGTGTTCGGTTTATCTGTGCATACTAGATGGAACAATGTTAATGGAGCAAACCCTAACAACCCAAACTAAACGAGGCTAAGAAAAAAAAAACAAAGCCAAGAGTAAGTATGAGGTACTTCATTCCACAACTAAACTAAAAGAAACCTACACAAGAAATAATTAAAATGTGAAACTATACTCGAAAAAACAAATTTATGATGTAACAGAAAAATACAATTAGGCCAGGTCGAACTTAAAATGCAGTAACGTGTATTCTGGAGTTCTAACAGGCCCTAAGGACGAATAAAACGTACATCGCAACAAAGATGTTCTTTAAGGCTATTGCATAAACTATTTCTAATTGTTTTCCTCCTCCTCTGGTAGACATCGGGTCCAGAGTTTCTTCCAGGCATCTCTTCCAAGTGCCCCCCCCCCCGGAGAAAAAAGTCTGGAAGAAACACTGATCGGGTCATCGGGGAGGGGGAGGGCACAATGCCTTCCTGTCTGGTCGCTAATCTGACTTGCCACTAGGCTCAACCGCACTATAGCGACGCCTTTTCTCGACTCGACCACCCACTAACCCGAAAACCTGCGAACGCCTATGGGTACCCCCCCCCCATCCCCTTTGTCGGAATCGTCAATGCGTACATAAAAGACTATTTAATTTTTATTAATCGTTAATTGAACAGGTAAAAAGCATTATTGTTGTGTGAATTTTGCTACTTTTTTTTTATTTTGGTCACCCAGCACGGCAGCACCCCCGCCGCCTCAGCCTATATGTGTCTATGGTTTAAATAATTTTGTTTCATCCTTTAAAAAATGCAAAATAAATACTACGTGATGCCTTCTTAATCTTATTAATCCCCTCGTTATTGTCGATAGTCCACCCCTCCACCCCCCTCCCCTTTATTGTGTACAACCTAAGCAAAAGTATTTTGAAAGACGCGGAAGTGCGGAAGAGCAAATGTAAACATGGGTAACATTCCATCTTTTAATTTATTAATAAATGATGTGTGTAACTATGCGGCTGCGTGGCTACTCTTCCAGTTTGGAAACGGAGCTTCCTATTTACTATCTATATATATAATTCTCTTCTGGGAGCCGTTAGAAAACAAGCTGCAAGCGCCTCCTTGCAGTCCCCTCTCTTTCTCTCTATCACTATCACTATCACTACCACCCCTACCCCACCCCCACATTGTCTGGTGAGCTGTGTTCACTCTAAATGTCTACAAATTGTCGAGCCGTAGAGCCGGGTTTCTATTAGGGGCAGATAATTTAGTTCGATTTTAAACTTACAGGAGGTAACTAAGAAATAACTAAGAGGACGCTGCTTTCACGGTAAAGGTTAGAGGTTGGGGGAAAGGGGGGTAGTGTTTTAATTTAAAGCAAATATTTTCAGTGGCAGCATTGGTACTGTCGAATTCACAAATTATGAATTACTGAAAAGTAGAAAATAAAACAACTAAATAGCGGCTTATGATACGCCGCGGGTCGGCTCGTTAGAATTATTTTGCTAATCGAATAGTTTACATTCAGTTTCAAATATATCGAGATTCTAGGACTAGGTCACATGTAAAACTGATAGTCGGCTTTTCACTTTGTTATAATAAGGTTTCAAAACAATAGCGATTGTTTTCTAAATTAGAAATTTTCACAGTTAAACCATGTTAAAATAGTTTTAAGCAACTCATAGATAGACTCATCATACATTCTAATTCAAATAAACTTAATTTTGGCTTTTAAAATAAACTCTCGTTTTATTTCACGAGCACGGCACCTAGCAACGGGACTTGCAAAAAGGGTGCCATATTGTTTATTGTGGTGATCAATCTACGCTGGCAACCCTTGCTAGCGGGAATTAGAGAACATTAATGAATAAAGCTAATACATAATTTTACCGTCGGTTGGAATATGGAGCATGTAGTTGTAAGTTTTACGATAATAGTTTACGTTGTGTTTTTAAATTAGAAGATACATTTGATTTTGATAAATTATTTAATTATTAAAATAAACAGTAGGGCCTACTGAGTAGGCCTAACGACTACTAACGAGCCCTTATTATTATATTTTTTAAATTTAAATTTTCAATACAACACAAAATATTCTAAAATGAAGTTTGAAAATCTTTCTAGATCTAAATCTTAGAATGTCCTACATCTAAATTTAATTATTGATATTAAAATTTAATAATAAACTGCACTTTATTCACAACTTTATTGTTAATTAATAATTAATATTAATTTTATTTTAAAATTATTCCAACCAATGTAGAAACTGCCCCATATAGGACCAAGTAAGGGAAAGGCAACAGATGAACCAATAAGATTTCTCCCTGCCTTGCCAACATCAAGAGGAAAGCCAGCATGGCAAATAAATCAACCAACTTTTATGCTATCTAGTCGCAACAATGATGAAACACCTGAGCGCATTGACTTTATAGGTGAAATAACAGGTGTGAATCACAAACATTTTACATTTTGTCACCTCGTTTAAATTTTTTTTGGCTAGACCTGTATTGAACTTTTGAAACAGATTTTAAAACTGTAATTTACACATATTATATTAATCTTAATAAAATACTTTTTTACAAAGTAAAAAATGTTTAACCTTGTAAAAAAATATTTTAAAAAATAGAAGCTCGATTTATACAATCTCATTTTACAAATTTACAACTTGAGGTAAACTTTAATCTTTAATGCACAATTCTTGCAATTGATTAGAATAAATAATATTTTAGCATTTTTGTTCTTTCTGTTTACTGAAGTTAAAAAAAATACTTTTAGGGGATGCCAAAAAGAATAAGAAGCACCCATTGAAGCTTAAACCCCTTGACCAAACACAGAAGAATGGAGATATTGACACATTCAAACAACCTAAAAGAGACAGAGAGAACTTTAGAAAGGCCTTGGTGGAAATCATTATGTGTGTTTTTTTTTCTTGGTGTTAAAATTTAGGAAAGTTAAGATAAAGTTGTATCTAATATGTTTAAAATGAAGTTAAGCAGTTTACATTATTTAATTAATTCAACATTTTTCTAGGGAGCAACAGGGGAGCCTGCCTAAAACAGCAGCAGACATGGTTGAAAATGGTGAAATACCAGATGTACCTAGAGTGCCCTCCCCTACATCAGCAGAAAAAGATGTTTTGGTGAGCTAAGTCATTTATTGATTTAATGATTACTCCCCATAACCTCTTACTGTAAAGGTTACATTTCACCATAATCTATTACTGTAAAGAACATTTATGTGGATGTAACATGACTGCTTACGATGTAGAGTCTACTTATTTTAAAATTAATTTATTATAGCCTGCATATTAAACAAATATTTCAGCGCTACTACTACTACATTAATCATGGCATAGACACTGAGCATGTTGCACCTATGGAAGACTCTTGGCTTGAACATGTTCTCAATCTTGTGTCAGATGACTTAAAGGTGAGTGGAAGAGTCCTCATTTAAAAAAAAAAAATTTCTAGAACATAAAGCAGTGTGTTCACATAGAATTTTTGTTCTGTCTTAGGAGGGTCATGCTGAAACAATTGAAAGCCTCTCAGATGAGATGAAAGAAGACTATTTGCTCAGTGTCAAGAAAGCTATAGGTAAAAATATTTAAAAGTTTTTTTTTTTTTACATGAAACAAAGTTTCATATATATGTGTAATGGTATGTATTAAGATACTAATGAAATATAGGCTACAAAACAATCATATCAGTATTAAAATCATTCTAAAATCTAAACAATTTATAATTAAACCTCACAGTTATGTTGTTTAAATAAATTATTTTGTGGAGTTTATTTGCCTTATATAATTTATATTCCGCTTACCATTTACTATTAAGTACTCTTAGGTAATTTATTGAATACATCTTTTAACTTCACACAATTTAATGACTGAAATTGAAAAGATTCCTGCTAATGTTTTACAGTGGACTTTGTGCTGAAGGATCCTTTAAGTTCACATAATTTAATGACTGAAATTGAAAAGATTCCTGCTAATGTTTTACAGTGGACTTTGTGCTGAAGGATCCTAGACAGCAGGATGATGACAAAGATGAAAAACTTCCACCTCACAGAGAGGAAATGGCAGTCAAGCCAAAACCATGGAACAAATCTTTTTTGGCTGCTTTGGAATACACATCAGAGCATCTCCATAACACCAATCCATGCATGATGCAAGTTCTAGACCTGTGGCACTTTAGCTTTGGGTAAGTTGTACATCCTAAATGTCAAGAATGCTTACATTTTAAAAACATTATTGTGATATTTGTTTTGATATGAATAGTAAAATGCATACATTAGTTGACTTGACATTTTATCTTGATTTATTTTGTTAAAGTTAAACTCAGATATTTAAAAGTGTTTTTTTTAATTTAGAAAGCTCAGATTTATTGACATTGAAGAGTTCCATTCAAGAGAAGAATCAATGGAGTTGGGCATCTTCCAAAACCTTTGCATGAGACATATTGAAGCAGCAAAAGAAAAATTACTCAAAAAGTATGATGGATTTGATCTTAATACAGATTATTATTTCATTTATTTAACTCAGTATTAACAAATTATTTGATAACTTTGATTAAAATGATAACTAGTTTAGACATTTTTAGGGATACATTAAAATTGATTGAATCAAATTTAGTAATTCATTTAGCCAGAAAAAAAATAAAAATATTTGTAAATCATTTAGAAAAAATGTACAAACTATTCTCAACAGATGGTTTATTGAAGTCCAGGGCATTTTCTACCAAGGAAACAAAAGAAAGCAAGTGCCTACCAGCCAAGAGCAAGAAAAACTCGAGTCTTTTTTCAACTGTGCAGCTACTTTGATGAGCCAGAACCTACAGAACCTGACTCTTGACTCCATAGATGACTACACAAATCTGCTTGTACAACCACCTGTAAGCTGGTGACATTCACAACTATTTTACAATTAAATAACTGCCATAACATTTTTTGAGAATATGGAAATTTTTTTTGAAAATAAAAATACATTAACATAGGACTTCACTGGTTTCCGAGCTGCCTCAAAGAAGCAATTAATCTATTTAAGTAGCCTAATAGTTTATCTAGCTTTTTATATTTCATTAGAAATCCCCTTATCTCCCTTTACACAAAATAGTTTTCTCTCTTGTGTTACACTTTTTTTTAAAAGTTTCAATAAAAATGACATTTTTATTTCCTCAGACTTCAGTTAGAGCTTATGAACATTCTGGATTTATTTTGCGTCTAATCTTGGAAGAAACTGAGATCAAATGTGAGCCCACCTTCAGTGATTTTCAGGTGGTGCTAGTCAATGTCTTTGATGTAATAATAAAGGCATCCAGGGACATCCCTCGCATTGAGACTAAACTCTATTCTGAATGGGTGAGAGATTCTTTTCTTTCTTGTCAAACTCAATAAAGTTTTCTCTATTGTAAAACTATAAAAATTAAAAAAAAACCTGTTTGTTGTAGTTGTGTTTCATTTGTGTTATATACTGAAGTTGGAATCTAATCTGTTAAATAGATTAGATTCTTTAATCATATCAAACCAATACCTAATAGAATTTTATTTTCCTTTTCACATTGATGCATGATAGTTCAAAATCAGTAACAGTAAAAAAAGGGTTAATTTAAAAACAATGTTTTTGTTTAAAATATGAATCCATTAAAATATTTTTCATGAGCAGAGTGGCAACAAAGCCAAGGCCTTCCTGCGCCCTGTTGTCCTTGATGAGATTCTTGATGTCCACAAGGCCAAGGTCAATGAGCTGATCATTCAGGAGAGTGTCAGGCCCACAGAACACACAAAGCACTATGAGAAGTATGCTCAGCTCATTAGCAGACAGGTAGGCCACACATCTGTTCAAATATTTTCTCATGACTTTTATTTAGAATAATTTATTAAGACAACTCCAACCTTTTTAAGAGTAAGTGATAAAATGCTGTTTGTTAGTGAGAACCAATAAAAAAAAAGTATTTTGTAGCTAGAGAGTGATTGTCCTTGTGAGAGGGAGCTCTCCTGGTTTGAAATTTAAAAAAAAAGTTTCTACCCAACTAATGTAAACATTTGTTGTCAGGCTGACGAGGATGTCACCAAATTTATTGAAGAGCAGCACAGCTTTGATGACTATGCTAAAGAGTTGTTGAAGTATGGCAAGCTGGTGGATGAGATTATGTACAACTCTGTCAAGGTCAGCCGAACATTTTGTAACACTGGTCTTTAATGCTATGTTCAGACTACGGAGGCTTTAAGCTGCTTCACAAATATCAAGCAAAATTAAAAATTTTTATTTGTAGGTTGTGAGGCTGGGGATGTTTGAAGTACATTGTGATGAACTAATTAGAGCACTGACCAAACGAGCTGAAGGTCTGCGCAGCCGTTTATTGGCCAAAATGTGTGAGGACCACCAGAAAGAAAACAAAAAGTAAGTGGCGGCTTGTTTAAAAATTGTTTGATTAAAATTATCAACCTAGTTAGATCCCTTTTGTAATATGTGATGCGTATTTAAATAAGAATTCGTTTATTTAGAAATATTTATAGTCAGTATGACTATCTTTTTAAAAACAAATCTATTGATCAGGCTTGTGGACCAGTACAGGGAAATATCTGACAAGGCACTCTCCACACCTGAAAACACAGAAAAGCTGGTAGAGCAAATGGCCTACATCAATAAATGTGAATCTGAAACCATATTCCTTCTGGAGAAACAGCTGATCCAAAGCAAGGACCGCCTGACTTTCCTCAGTGACCACGCCAATTTTTCACCAACTGAAACAAGACTAAATGCTGAAGTAATCTACAATACTCTTTTGTTTTAGTTTTAGCAGTTTATAAATAAAACTGTATTACAAGTTATAGTTACATTTTACTCTCTCTACATTATAGTTACTAAAGTAAGAATTTTGACTTTGTCTGATTGATTAGGTGTTTAAATGGAATCAAAGAATGCCCTTGGTATTTGAGGAATACAAACAACAAGCTAATGAGAAGAAGATGCAATATGAGGAAGCTCTTAAGGTATTTTATGATTGTAGATTTACACAAAATATCATTTTTTTTATTCATGCTTATTTTACTTCTTAGACTGATTAGAAAAATATTTGTACTGGTTTACTGATACCTGAAGTTATTGTTTCATTGAGGAAAAAATTTTGATTTTACAAGAGTTTTTTCCTATATTCTTCATTTAAATCTAAAGTGTAGATTTCTTGAACATTCTGTTTAAAATTGAAAAGTAATAAATAATACATTAGCAAAAAATTCTGATGCAAATAAATTTTATTTTAGCTTCGACGTGAGCGCTTCATTGAAGAATTGGAAAGTTATGCTAAACAAGTTGAAGAGTTCCAAGGATTTGGGGACATGTCAGAAATCAACAGATACCTTAAAAAAGCTCAGGCACTGGATAGCAAACTTCAAATTGCGGCTGACAAGGTAGCTGTATTCATTGTGGAATAGTGCCAAGAAATTATTTGTGTTCTTCTATTGCAGCCGTGTAATTTAATTCTGAATGTTGTTGAATTATAGTTTAATAATCATTACTATGGTTATTTTAAAGAACATCTAAATAATGGAATACTTATGAAAATCAACAAATGTAAAAAAAAAGTGAAATAAGTGGTTATATGATATATTTTTAGATTGATGCATTTAATACGGAGGAAGAAGCTTTTGGCTGGGATGTGACCACGTACCCCCAGCGTATGAACATCATCAACAACCTGAAACCTTATCAGCAACTGTACGAACTGACTGTTGACTTCAACACCAAACACAAGTCAGTTTAAATCATTGTTTGTTTTGTGAGAATTTAAGTTTTTCAGAGACTGTATGGATGGCCAAATAAAATTTCTAATGTGTTTTCAGAGACTGGATGGATGGCCAAATTAAATTTTTAATGTGTTTTTCAGAGACTGTATGGATGGCCAAATTAAATTTCTAATGTGTTTTCAGAGACTGGATGGATGGCCAAATTAAATTTTTAATGTGTTTTCAGAGACTGGATGGATGGCCAAATTAAATTTCTAATGTGTTTTCAGAGACTGGATGGATGGCCCTATGAATGGAGTTGACCCAGATGTTGTGGACCAAGAAGTTGGCAACTTCTGGAGGTCATTGTACAAACTGGAAAAAACATTTGATTCTGTACCTGCCGCCAAGAAAATAGCATCAAAGGTAATCTTTCACCAGTATTAAACAATAGAAAAATGTTTATATAAAAATAGGTTTTTAAATATTTGCTTAATGTCTATTGAAAACTGAAGTCTGTTCTCCCTTTCTACAAGTATATAAATAAATAATTTCATACTTTTAAAAGAAATTTTAATAAAATTTTAATTTTTCAAATTATATGAAATTACAATTATATTTATTACTGCTCTAATGTAAAGGTCAAGGTAAAAGTGGAGGAGTTCAAGGACCACATGCCTCTGATTCAAACACTGTTCAACCCTGGCCTAAGGGAGCGTCACTGGGCTCAGATCTCTGAGATAGTGGGCTACAACATGCGTCCTGATGACTCCTACTGCCTGAGCAAGCTGGTGGATATGAACTTGGATCCTTTCATCCCCAAGTTTGAGTCCATATCTGAGTCGGCCAGCAAGGAGTTCTCACTGGAGAAAGCCATGCAGAGCATGAAGAAAGAATGGGCACCGGTAAGACCAATTTTAACATGTTGATTGGATTGAAGTTTTGGGTGCTAGAATTTGTCTAAACAATAATTTAGAAACATGAACCATGCAATTTGCTTTTTTGGTTTACTTGTTTAAAAAGTATATTTTTAAATTGACATTTAATGCTTATAATCAGGATGAAGTTGATTCACAGCCAGTAAGTATGTGTGTATGAACATAAATGGTTGCTTCACGTCTGATTCAAATCACCTATATCAATTACTTTATTGATGAATGAAAGAAGTGGTATCCACATGTGTATTGAGTCCTGCATGCATCTAGGACAGCAGATGTTATGTCACTAGAGTTATGTCCCCGCGGAGATCGCAGACACTACACAAAGCAACACAATGCTACTTTTCTGTTGTGGGCCGTCATAAAATGATATGTTGTTAGCCTATTAATTTTCAGCCTGTTTTCCATCTACTATCTGCACAATGAAGCTGCTCTAATGTTTTAAATGGATGTTTCATCCCACTTCTTTTAAAATATCTCTGGTTAAAATTAAATGTTCACATGTGTTATTGATGCCTAATTGATCCTAATTTTGCATTTACTTAAGACAACTAATGATATAATGCATGAGTCACTCTTACTAGTGGGAGCTGTGTGAAATCTTCTCAGTATAAATATTTGATGTTTTTGTTTCACTGGTATTTACTTTTCATGTTTTTATTGCCTCTGTCAATATAGTCTACTACGAAAATTATTTTGAAATAGCAGTACTTGTATTTGTATATTATTATATCTATTGTAAAATTTAAATAGATTTGTAAAACTAAAAAAAAAAAAACAATTGTTAAGCATTAAAGAATATTTCATTTTTTTTCTTAAAATTTTTTTCAAGAAGCATGTACTTAACGTTTCATCATCTCATAATAAAATTCCAAATAGCATAATATTTAATTTTTGTTGTATAATGTAATTAAATTCAGTTCATTATTTTTAAAATTTTTGATATCCATAAAAATTTCAAATGATAATAGAGAACTTACCAATATAAGTTCACTGAATTTTTATAAAAAGCTGTTTTCATCAACACGTTATACACGAATATATTTACATAGATAATTTTTGGCCACCATAGTTAAAGTAAGCAATGCTATCATTGTTCTAGTGCAAAATTTTCTGGTCCACAGTTTGAGTTTGTAGTCATACCATACAGAGAGACAGGGACGTCAATCCTGTCTTCCATTGATGACATTCAGCAACTGCTGGACGACCACATCGTCAAGACACAAACCATGCGAGGCTCCCCCTTCATTAAACCATTTGAACAAGAAATTAAGTAAGTAAAAGTCTGGCTGCATTATCTAAACAATTACATTTGATGCTCATCAAGTTTCATGTTTTAATGTTGAACTATCACTTTCTGTTACCTTAAAACTGTCAAACTAAGGATATCCAGGAATATGTGATTTAAAATTGGCTAACGTTATTACGCTTTTATTACCTTTAGGAATACAAGTTTAGTAATTTTTTAACTGTTCAGACTGTAATGCATTCATTTTTAATATGGATTAAACACTGTGGGTTTCAGGGAATGGGAAGGCAAGCTGATGCTGTTGCAGGATATTCTGGATGAGTGGCTCAAAGTTCAGGCCACCTGGTTGTACCTAGAGCCCATCTTCAGTTCACCTGATATCATGGCTCAGATGCCGGAGGAAGGGAGGCGATTCGCCACAGGTGGGTTACACTCTAAAACTTTTACTGATCTGGTTCAGTGGTATATTTAAGCTTTTAATTTTTTTTGGTAAACAGTTGGTCATATTACTTAAGTTTTAAAAGATACTTTTAAAAAAAAATGTTTTATTTGTAAAATATACCTAATTAAAAAAAACCTTTAACCTTTATTTTACAAGTTGACAAAAACTGGCGAGACATCATGAAATCTGTAAACATTGACAAACACGTGTTGGCCGTGCTCAATATTGACAAGATCCTAGAGAGATTGAAGAAATCCAATGAGCTTCTTGAACTTATCCAAAAGGTTCCTTTTTGCTTTTTATTTAGTGTGAAACTAATAAAATTGTAATTAACACACATTTAAGTGGTATAGTCTTATACAGACTTATGAAATAAAGCATGTAAATAAATAAATTCATGAGAAAAGGGTGCTAATTTATAAGATTCAGCTAGTCTCCTAAGTTAACAATTCACCTAATTATTATTTGAAAATCTCTGAGTTGAAATTGAGGACTATAATTAAATCTCTAGATAGACTTGATTAAACTAAGTTTTGTTGATTGTTTTTTTTTGGCATTCTCTTAGGGACTGAATGAGTATCTGGAGAAGAAACGACTTTACTTCCCGCGTTTCTTCTTTCTCTCTAATGATGAACTTCTTGAGATTTTGTCTGAGACCAAGGATCCCACACGGTAAGGCTTTACACACTGTCATAGTTGGCATCCTCTGTATTGGTTTAAACTGTTTGTCTGATCTTGAAGTTTTCAGCTTTGTTAATGATGATTTCTTTAAGTTTAACCAGTAGTCCTTGGGTGATGATAGATCAACTGTAAACTATCCAAAATGTGTTTCTGAGAAATTTTTTGTGTGGATATTAGAGAGCTTTGTTTATTATTTCCTGCAGTTAAAAAAACAGTTTAAGTAGCCTACTTTAAAGTTAGACTTTTTTTAAAAAACACGTGTGAGCGAAAATTCAAAAGTAAAAAAATATTCATCCTGCTTAATTTTTTAAAGCAGTTAATTTTGAGTGATGAATTAATATGTATGACGTTGATTTAATTTTACAGTGAATGTCAGTTTTTGGGCTAGTTTCCATGTTAATTAATTGAAATGTTACTATGTGATTACAATTGAATTGCACCAAAATAAAAATAAACATATCACCAACTAAATGTTTGTACAAAATCAATTTCAATGAATTTATTTTACTCACAGTGTACAACCACATTTGAAGAAATGTTTTGAGGGCATCGCAACTCTGGAGTTCACTGATGTCCTAGACATTACCCACATGAAATCAAGTGAGGGTGAAGTTGTCCTGCTCAAGGATGTGATCTCTACCTCCAAGGCCAGAGGTCAGGTGGAGAAATGGCTGCTGGAGCTAGAGGCTGACATGGTTGGCTCTATACACAAGGTACAACACTAGACAGACAACCACTTGTACAACACTAGACAGACAACCACTTGTACAGTGCTAGACAGACAATCACTTGTACAACACTAGACAGACAAGCTAGTCAGATTTAACTGGCTAAATGGCACATATTATGTTGATACAAAATACAAAAATATTTCCCCTTTGGGACAATGAAGAACTAAGGGGAAGAACTTGTGGAATAAAAAAGAATAAACAAATATTTTAACTTTAAAACTGTAATAAAATGATTAACACATATTTTTACTTGAAAACTATACTAAATTATTTAATGAGTTTTGTTAACATATTAAATTTCTAGACTTTTTTTGGTTTATCTAAAATGTAATAGTTTTCATCCTTTTAAACAACATTTCTAGCAGTAATTGGGCCAAAAGTTGTTTTTAATTTTATTTCTTTTGAACCATTTGTAACTTAGGTGATTGGAGAGTCCATTCTGGCCTACAATACAAGTCCTCGCCGTGACTGGGTCAGGAACTGGCCAGGTCAAGCAGTTTTGTGTGTCTCACAGAAATACTGGACATCTTTTATCCACGAGTCCATTCGGATAGGACATGAGTCCCTTGCTAACTACCTTCAAGTAAGTCATCCAACATACAAGTCTATTCATGCAGTACATCAAAATTTCACTATTTTTTTATAAATGAAATTGAATTTGATTTTTTTTCAAGGTTTTTATGTTTTTCTTCAGCTAAACAACACGCAGATTGACGAAGTTGTGGCCCTTGTCAGAGGGGACCTGTCCAAGCAGAACCGTGTGACCCTGCAGGCTCTGATTGTGCTGGACGTCCACGCCAGGGACGTGCTGGCCACATTGGTTGATGACAAGGTCTCCAGTGAACTGGACTTCAAGTGGCTGAGCCAGTTGCGCTATTACTGGGAGGTAGGGATCTCAAATCGTGTTTTTACAGTAGTTTAGGGGAGGTAGGGATCTCAAATTGTCTTCAGACAGTAGTTTAGGGGAGGTAGGGACCTCAACAGTAGTTTAGGGGAGGTAGGGGCCTCAAATTGTCTTCAGACAGTAAACAGTTTAGGGGCCACTATTTGAATTTTATATGATACTGTTGGGCTTTTATCTTAAGATGTACTCTTCAGTATTTTGTCAGATATGTTGTTTCTATATTGTCTGATTATTTAAAAAAAAACATAACTTGCAATGTGAACACAAAAGCCTCAAATAAATTATTATTTGTAATTATTTTAATACATAATGTTTGATTTAGAAGCTGAATATGTAGTAGATTTAATTATTATTTTTATTTTGAAAGGAAAACCAAATGGTGACTAGAATGATCAACTCCAAACTGCCCTATGGCTATGAGTACCTTGGGAACTCTGGACGTCTGGTCATCACCCCCCTGACTGACAGATGCTACAGGTTTGTTTCAGCACGTTTCTTGTTCCTAAATTTAAATAAAACCATCATGCTTGTTGTTGATGGATTGACAGATGCTACAGGTTTGTTTCAGCAAGTTTTTTGTTCCTAAATTTAAATAAAACCAGCATGCCAGACCTCAGTTCTTTTTTAACTACTAGTGGGAGAAATTTTAAAATCCTGTAAAATTTCCCAGAACTTTGTTTACATTTCCTGTAACTTTTCCCAAAACTTTGTTTACATTTCATGTAATGTTTCCAGAACTTTGTTTGGGGCACTTCACCTTCACCTTGGTGGTGCCCCTGAAGGCCCTGCTGGCACAGGAAAAACAGAAACAACCAAAGATTTGGCCAAGGCTGTAGCTAAGCAGTGTGTGGTTTTTAACTGCTCAGATGGACTGGATTACATTGCTCTTGGAAAGTTTTTTAAGGTACAAATAATATAGTTTATAGGCTTTTTAAAAAGATTATTTTTCTTTTTAAAAATTAGAAAATAATGATTATTAATTTTTTAAAATAATTGTGCACTAGTCTTTTATCTAGTTACAATTGTTATAATAGTTATATTACAAATTATTTTTAAAGTAACATTGACTACCATTAACTTTAAGAGTTATTAAATTATGGAGTAACATAAGTTGTTTCACACACATGCAAGGATATTTTTGTTTACTACCCATAGGGTCTTGCCTCTTGTGGCGCCTGGTCATGTTTTGATGAGTTTAACAGAATTGACCTGGAAGTGTTGTCTGTTGTTGCCCAACAGATCCTAACCATTCAAAGAGGTGGGAACTCGACATACAAGTTTATTATTTTACAAATTATGGGAATTTAAAAAAATGTTAGCAGCTAATACAAATATCTCAAGTTATCTTCACAGTACCAATTGTATATTTCTCTGGCAGGTATTTTGGCTGGCTCAGACACACTCATGTTTGAGGGAACAGAGATCAAGTTGGACCCCACCTGTTCTGTGTTTATCACCATGAATCCTGGCTATGCTGGCAGATCTGAGTTGCCAGATAATCTTAAGGTTTGAAAGTCAACATTGAAATTTCAATTTTAGTTTGAATTTGTTTTTAAATAATCTAAAAAATCTGAATTAATTATGTATTAATATACAATTTTTTTTAAAACTTAGAATTTATTAACTCTGTTATATTTGTGAAAATATGCTTGAAATAAAAATCTCTACTCTAAATTTTCTGCAGGCTTTGTTCAGAACAGTAGCCATGATGGTGCCAGACTATGCCCTGATTGCTGAAATCTCTCTGTACTCCTGCGGCTTCGTCAACGCCCGCCCCTTGTCTGTAAAGATTGTGGCTGTGTACCGTCTGTGCTCCGAGCAGCTCTCATCTCAGCACCATTATGATTATGGCATGCGTGCCGTCAAGTCTGTTCTCACAGCTGCTGCCAATCTTAAGGTGAGAAAACTTCTTGTTAAATAATTTGTGTTAGTTGTGGGTGGAAGTACTGCAGGTATTGCACAGTTTTACTGTTTCTAAAAAATAAATGTTGATTATTTTGGTGTCAATAGGGCAGACATTGTACAATTTTGCTGTTTCTAAAATTAAACCACACTTTGGAATTATGCGAATTTCATAAATTTAACCACCTGTAATTCTTCTCAGCAAATGTTAGGTACTCATTTTAGTTGGATGGGCTCTTGGACATTATAGATAATCCAAACTGTTAAAATCACTAATCTGTGAAATAAAAAATCACACTTTACTACACTGAATATTTCAACCGTAAATTAAAAATATAATCTAGTTCATCTAACTAGTATTTTAATAATTCAAATTAATTAATCAATTGATAGCCTGATACAATGAAAATATAAATATATTGATAAAAATGACTTTAAACATCTAAATGAATGTTTCAGCTGAAATACCCAGAAGAAGATGAAAACATTCTGATGTTGCGTTCCATCATTGATGTCAACCTCCCCAAGTTCTTGAACCATGACCTCCCACTTTTCCATGGCATAACCTCTGACCTTTTCCCAGGGATCAAACTCCCAGAGCCAGACTATGTGGATATTAATGCTGCCATCAAGGAAAACTGTGAGAAGGAGAACCTACAGTGCACAAATTTCTTCCTAGAGAAAATACAACAGGTAGCCATTTTACATCTTATCAAACATTTATGTCTGTGTAGTATATTTATTTTGTTAAATAGAAAAAAAACCACATTATATTTATAAAATTATTTTTTTTTTAAAATTCTGAGAAAAAACTTTAGTGAAACTTTTAGCTTTAGTTAATTTCTAATCCACAAAGTAGTCAAAATGTTAAAGAAAAAAATCAATTTACATTAAAAACCATACTTAAAAACAATTTTTTACCATGTTTTAAATATTAGTACTTAATTAATAATTAATCTCTTTATAAATCTGAAGAACTGTGTTTTAAACATTAGTACTTAATTAATAATTAATCTGTTCATAACTCTGAAGATCTATGAGATGATGATTGTCCGTCATGGTTTCATGATTGTGGGTGAACCACTGGGTGGTAAAACAAGCGCCTACAGGACCCTGGCTCAAGCCCTGGCTACCCTCAAGGAGAAGGTGATCTGCCTGTTTTCTGGTTGCTAAGTGTTTACCACAGCTGTGTACTTTTTCTTATCATAACTTTGTACTGTTTATATGGAGCTAATGACAATAATTTTAAACTATGCAGGACCTGATGAATGAGAACAAAGTACAGATAACAGTCATCAACCCTAAGGCCATCACAATGGGTCAGCTGTATGGTCAGTTTGACCCTGTTTCTCATGAATGGTCAGATGGTGTACTTGCTGTGTCCTACAGAGCCTTTGCTACATCCACTGTAAGTTTTAGGGCTTGGCTATTGTTCCATTAAGAACATATATGTTGTTTTTATCCATCTCAACTTTGTGTAAACTTTGCATAAATTAATGATTTGGAAATTAAATTTTTATTAATCAAATTCTGTTTTTGAATGCAGGATGTTCTTGTGGCATTCAACTGTGATAACAACTGTAAAATAATTGTCATAAAAACATAAAGTTGATATTTTTATGATTTTAGTCTGATGATCGCAAGTGGTTGATATTTGATGGTCCAGTTGACGCCATCTGGATTGAGAACATGAACACTGTGCTGGATGACAACAAGAAGCTCTGTCTGATGAGTGGTGAGATCATTCAGCTGGCCCCCACCACCAATCTCATCTTTGAGCCAATGGACTTGGAGGTGGCCTCCCCTGCCACTGTAAGTTTTTTATAAAAAATACACACAAAAACAATACTATTGTTACTGAATTTCTTTTTAAAAAATCAAGAAATGTTTTTAAAAGTTCTATAAATATGTACTTTAGGCTAAGGGACCAAAAACAATAATCATATGTTACTATGACTCCATTTCAAGGTGTCTCGTTGTGGTATGATCTACATGGAGCCTCAGACACTTGGGTGGCGCCCTCTAGTCAAGTCCTGGATGAACAAACTCCCATCAACCCTGTCAGAAGTTCATAAGGGAATCCTCAATGACATGTTTGAAAGATTTGTTGATGCCGGTTTACAGCTGGTTCATAGGGCAGGGGTCAAGGTTAGATTCACAATTTTGTTAAAACTTTTTTTTTCATTTTTGAATTTGTTAGTTAAAAATACAGAATTCCATAAGCTGTATTATTATGATTAAATAATGTACACATAAATTCAGAATGTGCTTATCTTTCTTACAGATAGTTTAGAAACTTTATTGGATGCTTAAATAAAGAAAAGCTGCATTGGTTTTTTTTATAAAATTATTGTTTTTTAAATTTCATTGCTACTCAGATATTTGTGAAATTATGTTTTAGGTTACGGACAATATACATAAATAAAAATATTGTAAATTGTCCCACCAACAGGAGTTATCTCCCACAACAGATTCCAATCTAGTGGTGGCGCTGATGAATCTGATTGACTGCCAGCTTGATGAATTCCATGATGAGGCCAAGATAGCTCAGCTAGAGGAGAGAGAAATCATTACATGGTTGGAGGTCAGTCTAATAAATAGATGATGTAATTTTAAGTCAAAGATAGCTCAACTAGAGGAGAGAGAAATTATTACATGGTTGGAGGTCTGTCTAATAAATAGATGATGTCATTTTAAGTCAGTGACATTTGTGATAAACATTTCCTACAATTTATTCACATATCCAGGATTTTCTAGCATTTTATCTTCCTGCATCAGGGTTAGTGTTTTGCTAGTTTGTGACATTTTTGTAACATCTTGTGCTTCTAATATATATCTCATTTTAATAAATGAAAATCATGTAATTTATGTTGAGGTAAATAAACTGTAAATTTCAGCTTACTAAGATTTTCAAATAAGACTGCATCTTACTGAAATGCACACATACAAAAAGTAAGAAAAGCCAACAACCAATGAAAATTCTTGTTATTTTTAGAGCATTTTCTTCTTTGCCTTGACCTGGTCACTGGGTGCCAGCAGTGATGACAAAGGTCGGCTCAGATTTGACAAGTTGGTCAGAGAATTGAGTTCTGTGAGTACTTTTAATACATGGTGGCCAGTTTTTACTGAATTGGGCAGCCTATCTTTATATAAAATATTTCCTTGTTAAATATTTTCTTTCATTATTAAATTTATCTTACATTTAAAAATTTGAAAATGAACAATATTGTCATCTAATGTTATTCATTGCATTTGGAAACGATTATTTATCTGTGACAATATTGTCATCTGTTATTCATTGCATTTGGAAACAACTATTTATCTGGTATTTAAAATGTAAAACTTGTGACTTCTGGACATTAGGGTGGAATGACAGAAGAGACCAGGAAAGCTATTGGCCTCGTTGATCTCATTGAGCCTCCAATGAAACCTTACGTTAATCCTCATCCACCCAAAGGCAAAATTTATGACTACAAGTTTGTGAAAGAGGTCTGTGCACTTTTTTCTCTTATAATTTTATACTAGTATACAAGATTTGGTTAGATAGAAATTCCAGTGGAATTATACATTAACTTTTAGAATTTTATATTATATTATCATTTAACATAAAAAACAAATCTCTCTTATATTTATACATTCTTTAAAATGGGAAAGCTGAGAACAATGTATTTTTAGAACCAATATGGCAGGAACTATAACAAATTATAAGTTAACTCATACAAATTATAAGTTAACTCATACAAATTATAAGTTAAATCATACAAATTATAAGTTAACTCATATAAATTATAAGTTAAATCATACAAATTATAAGTTAACTCAAATAAATTATAAGTTAACTCATACTAATTGCATCATTGGTCAGGGTTCTGGAAAGTGGGTGCCGTGGTCAGATGAAATCAAGGACACACCCCCAATACCTAAAGAAGCGCAGTTCAACGAAATCATAGTTCCAACAATTGACACTGTGCGCTACAATGCCTTGATGGAGATGATGATTTTACACAACAAGCCATGTCTGTTTGTTGGCCCAACTGGTACCGGCAAAAGTTGTTACATTACTGTAAGTTTTCATATGCCCCTTCATCACTAATGGTTTCAAATTACAGTATTGTGAATTAAAACTTTAGTAAGTTTGAAATAAAACTGAATTTTGTTAGAATTTTGCTAGCTTTTGTTTTCTATGAAAATAAATATGTATTAATATTATTGATGCTAAAAATTATGATATGTTTGTTCTAGGCATCATTGCTTCTTTCACATAACTTATATAATTAATCATTTATTAGTAGTAAATGTTATGAAAGTCTATAGGTAATGAGAGTTTAATATCTGCAAGTCTTTAGTTTGAATGTACCACACCTCACCTGCCTCCACCAATGTTACACCATCCTTCTATTGTGTCTAACTTCACCTGCCTCCACCAATGTTACACCATCCTTCCATTGTGTCTAGGACTTCCTGCTGAACCGCTTGAACAAAGACGTCTACAAACCAAACATCATCAACTTCTCAGCCCAGACCAGCGCCAACCAGACACAGAACATCATCATGTCCAAGCTGGACAGAAGGAGGAAGGGAGTGTTTGGACCCCCACTGGGCAAGAAGGCGGTACGATATGATTGATTACAATCTTTATGATTGCTTGAAGGAGTGATCTAGATTAAAATAATGATGATGAGTTTCTAGTAGTTCAAATATTACTTGGTTAGGATAAGCTTGTTATTTGTTAAAATTTTGGAGAATGGTCTAAATACCAAAAGTAGAACAATTGTAGAGAATATTATTTTTAAATAGTGAGCCATGAACATTTAGGCTTTTTTATGTGTCATTCTAGGAGTGAGATCCTTTATAAGAAAGCAAATATGAGCAATGTGCTTTTTGTAAGAAAAAAATGAGATACCAAACTGAACACTAGTTATAATTTTTGTCAAATACATTTCTACTATACTGTAATTGAGGTCTGTTTGTGGTTGACTATAAGAAAAAGAATTTTGTGAATATCTGTGTTGCCAGGTTGTGTTTGTGGATGACTAAAACAAAAAGAATTGTGTGAATATCTGTGTTACCAGGTTATGTTTATGGATGGCTAAAACAAAAACAATTGTGTGAATATCTGTGTTGTCAGGTTGTGTTTATGGATGACTAAAAGAAAAACAATTGTGTGAATATCTGTGTTGTCAGGTTGTGTTTATGGATGACTAAAAGAAAAACAATCTTGTGAATATCTGTGTTGCCAGGTTGTGTTTGTGGATGACTAAAACAAAAACAATTGTGTGAATATCTGTGTTGCCAGGTTGTGTTTGTGGATGACTAAAATAAAAACAATTGTGTGAATATCTGTGTTGCCAGGTTGTGTTTGTGGATGACCTGAACATGCCCCTCCAGGAGACCTACGGAGCACAACCCCCCATTGAGCTGCTGCGGCAGTGGCTTGACCACTGGAACTGGTATGACCTGAAGGACACATCTGGAATTAAGTTGATTGACATACAGTTTATGGGTGCTATGGGACCTCCAGGTCACTTGTCATTTTATTCTTATCTTTTCTATAGTTGGTAAACTTGTATTTAAACCCTAAGCTTTGATTTTTTTTCAAATAAAAAGCACAAAAATGTTACATTTGAAGCTAATGAGTATAAATTGTTTTTTCATACAGCTTTTTCATGCATATAAATGTTGCTATTATTTTAGTTTATTATCCAACAAATCACTCTACTTGTAGGAGGTGGTCGCAACCCAATCACTCCCAGATTTTTGCGTCATTTGAACACAATAACCATCAATGAGTTTGATGATGAAACCATGGTCACCATCTTCAAAAACATCATGGACTGGCATATCAGTGCAAGGTAAGTGCCTGATTTTTTAGAAATCTTCTGACAAAATTAAAATTCTTCTTTTGCCCAATATGCTGCAAAATGGTTATATTTTGAAATATTCTGGGTTAACAAACATTTTGTGGTGACTTCTGTTAACAACCATTCTGTTTACAACCCTTCTGTTGCCACCCATCTCCAGAGGTTTCAGCAACGAGTTCAAGCTGTGTGCCGAGCAGATTGTGTTAGGAACACTACAGGTGTACAAGGAAGCTCTGCAGAACCTGCTGCCCACCCCCGCTAAATCACATTACCTGTTCAACCTGCGAGACTTCTCCCGCGTCATTCAAGGTGTTCTGCTGTCAACACCTGACACCATGGAGGAGCCCACCTCCATGAAGAGGCTGTGGGTGCATGAGGTGTGTTCTCACTACTGTGGATGTTTTTTTTCTTTTCTTTCAACTCAGCTTTAGTTACAAGAAATTTTGAGATTTCACCTACTGTTGCAATTACAGAAAAACTTACCTTATTCGTATTAGTTTGCTGCGATTTTATAGCTTATATAAAAATGTCATATAATTATAAACAATAGACATTAAATCTCTATATAAAGTAATTTTGTTAATTTATTTCTACTTGACAAATTGGATAAAAAAAAATAGTATAGAAATTTATGTTTGAAATTTACAACACTTTTGTTCACTTAATAGACGTTTGTAGAAAGATATATTTTAATTTGTGTCTATTTTTCAGGTGTTTAGAGTTTACTATGATCGTCTAGTTGACGATGGAGACAGAGACTGGCTTTTTAAGACCACCAGAGAAATCATCAAGGACAAAATGAGGGAAGACTTTGATCATATTTTCAGCCATCTTGATGCAGATAATGATGGAAAAGTAAAATAATTTTTTTTGTCAAAAATAATCTGTTACAAAAATGTGTAAATAATGTAAATGCAAGCTAAAAAAACCTCAGCAAAGAGGGATAACTGTACACTATATCTTACCCAGGTGACAGAGGATGACTTGCGATCGTTGATGTACTGTGACTTTGCTGACCCCAAATCAGACTCTCGTAGTTATGTAGAAGTGCGGGATCTGGAAAACCTGCGTCACATCACAGAAGGTTACTTGGAAGAGTTCAACAACATGAGCAGGAAACCAATGAACCTCGTCCTCTTTAGGTGAGCCAAAACCTTCACTTTGTTCAGGCTACAGGCTAAAGTTTTTATATTCTTCCGTTTAACTTTCACGTGTTGAGTTTACAATTAATTACAAAAGAAATGTTATTGTAAGCCACTGTAGGCAACTGGAGGTAAAATACGTAAATAAATCCATACATGCTAGTAGATTAAAAGGTCAGCATCTTTCTACCAGCCGTCTAAAACCTTTAGAACTTTTGTTTGTTGTTGCTCAATAAAATACCAATCCCTTTATTGTTTGCCTGTTGAAAGGCAAGAATAATTTACTTTTATCACTTGATATTTAGATTAGTTGTTGAGAATGTTTTAAGAACATATTTCACATTACATACAACAATAAGTTTTTCATCAAACATGTATTAAAAACAACTTTTAAAAATACTCCAAACCTTAGGTTTGCTGTAAACATTTTTTTTTCATAACTTTACACCTTTAGTTTTCTATTTAAAATGTATTGTTGCAATTCTTAACCTTACCTTTGCTATCAAGTGTGTTTCAAGAATTTTTTTTTAACTCCATACAATGTTTTCAACTGAACATATATTAAACATGTATTGTTGTAACTCCACCCCATTGAGCATATATTAAACATGTATTGTTGTAACTCCACCCCATTGAGCATATATTAAACATGTATTGTTGTGACGCCACCCCTAAGGTTTGCCATTGAGCATATATTAAACATGTATTGTTGTGACTCCACCCCATTGAGCATATGTTGGCTGGTACCAAATTGTTGATTCTTAAGTAAGCATGTTGGCTGGTATTATATTGTTTATTTTTAAGTAAAATGGTAACTTGGGTGCTTATTAAAGGGGTTTAGGTGACTATGACTAGTTACAGAAACCCAAGGGGTTAATCTAAGATATTGGGGATGAACAGGCCAGGGGAAATCTAAAATTTAATTAAATGTTATTGGCTCACTCTGGTCGTTAATGGCTGCGAGCTCTATGCAGGTGCATGAGTGACACGTAATGATGGGAAGACACCCGCGGTGATTTATGTCTAAAGTTGAGTTCGGACATGCCGCTGGACGTCCCGGTAGAATCATTACTCAGGATCTCTGTTGTGGTCAGTTGTCAGGTGTGAAACGCGGCGGGAGTACCGCGTGGTCGTGCGTTAGCTCGAGCGGTGTATGACACGATCGTTAGCCCTGAGACAACGTGAAGATATATAGCGGTCAGTTATCGGGTGTTCAACGCATGGGTGCATAGTGACCGGTGTTATCTCGAACGTCGAGAGATGGTACGGAGCCCAACTCGGGTTCTATAGCTCTAGGGAGATGATAAGGGGGTGAGACTAACCTATATATGAGGAAGGGCGACTATGTTGGGGTCTCTTTTTCTCTGACAGACACATAGGCTAGACACCATGGTCTAGGCCTCGGATGGTGGCAGCCTTGAAGGCTGGCCACTAAGGCTGGATTATTGGCCCAGCCGATGTTTTGTTGCTGTACATATGTGCTTCGTTCCAGATATTTACATATGTGACCTATGTTTATACATGTGACCAATGTTGTACCAGTGGCCAACGTCTGCCGTGTAGATATGTTCTTCGTTCCAGTGGCCATTATCTTTGTGGCCCGATGTTGTACCAGTGGCCAGATGTTTTATTCCAGTGGCTGGAAATCTTCCTGCCGTGTAGATATGTTATTCGTTCCAGTGGCCATTATTTTTGTGGCCCGATGTTTGTACCAGTGGCTCAATGTTTATTTCAGTGGCTGGAAATCTTCCTGCCGCTTGAGTGTCGAGCTAGATTGTTGTGAGTACTGATGAGTATTCATAGATGGACTTTAACCATGTTTGATTAGTGGAATCAGAATTAGTGATGATAACATTTACCCGTGCGATTCTGGGATTATATAACAGTGCAAGTAGTAAAGTTAGAACTAGAGACGATGACATTTACGTTTTTGATTTTGAGATTACATAGCAGTACAAGTGAAATTAGGACTAGGAAGAATAACTTTGACAAGTGTGATTCTGAGATTACATAAGCAATGCAAGTATTTAAGTTAGGACTAGAGGAAATGACATTCATATGTATAAATTCTGAGTTGTGTAAATGTAGGTTTGCTATCCACACTTATATATGTGTTTTCTATGAATTAATGTCAGTAACTACTGTGAATAATTCCACATCGAAATGTAAGTTGATTATTTTTTGTCTTTTTTACTTGTATTAGAAATTCAAGTGCTGTTTTCTTGAATATAAAAGACTGGCCAGGTCTTATTTGTATTGTGTCTTTGCTTTTAACATATAAACCTTTGTGACGTCAAAGATAAATAAATGCATTTTATGTGTGTTTACTATGTTTTATTTTTAGTTTAATATTGGTGTTGTTTAGATGTAAATTAGTTTTGCTCAGGTCTATTAGACCCCTTTGTCACCACGCAAAGGTGCACGGATGAGTGAATAAGATCAACTTTCGGTTTAAACCCCCCTAACACATATATTAAACGTGTATTGTTGTAACTCCACCCCATTGAGCATATATTAAACAAGTATTGTTGTAACTCCACCCCATTGAGCATATAATAAACATGTATTGTTGTAACTCTACCCCATTGAGCATATATTAAACATGTATTGTTGTGACTCCACCCCCTTGACCATATATTAAACATGTATTGTTGTAACTCTACCCCATTGAACATATATTAAACATGTATTGTTGTAACTCCACCCCATTGACCATATATTAAACATGTATTGTTGTAACTCCACCCCCTTGAGCATATATTAAACATGTATTGTTGTAACTCCACCCCATTCAGCATATATTAAACATGTATTGTTGTAACTCCACCCCATTCAGCATATTTTAAACATGTATTGTTGTAACTCCACCCCATTGAGCATATATTAAACATGTATTGTTGTAACTCCACCCCATTGAGCATATATTAAACATGTATTGTTGTAACTCCACCCCATTGAGCATATATTAAACATGTGTTGTTGTAACTCCACCCCATTGAGCATATATTAAACATGTATTGTTGTAACTCCACCCCATTGAGCATATATTAAACATGTATTGTTGTAACTCCACCCCATTGAGCATATATTAAACATGTATTGTTGTGACGCCACCCCTAAGGTTTGCCATTGAGCATATATTAAACATGTATTGTTGTGACTCCACCCCATTGAGCATATGTTGGCTGGTACCAAATTGTTGATTCTTAAGTAAGCATGTTGGCTGGTATTATATTGTTTATTTTTAAGTAAAATGGTAACTTGGGTGCTTATTAAAGGGGTTTAGGTGACTATGACTAGTTACAGAAACCCAAGGGGTTAATCTAAGATATTGGGGATGAACAGGCCAGGGGAAATCTAAAATTTAATTAAATGTTATTGGCTCACTCTGGTCGTTAATGGCTGCGAGCTCTATGCAGGTGCATGAGTGACACGTAATGATGGGAAGACACCCGCGGTGATTTATGTCTAAAGTTGAGTTCGGACATGCCGCTGGACGTCCCGGTAGAATCATTACTCATGATCTCTGTTGTGGTCAGTTGTCAGGTGTGAAACGCGGCGGGAGTACCGCGTGGTCGTGCGTTAGCTCGAGCGGTGTATGACACGATCGTTAGCCCTGAGACAACGTGAAGATATATAGCGGTCAGTTATCGGGTGTTCAACGCATGGGTGCATAGTGACCGGTGTTATCTCGAACGTCGAGAGATGGTACGGAGCCCAACTCGGGTTCTATAGCTCTAGGGAGATGATAAGGGGGTGAGACTAACCTATATATGAGGAAGGGCGACTATGTTGGGGTCTCTTTTTCTCTGACAGACACATAGGCTAGACACCATGGTCTAGGCCTCGGATGGTGGCAGCCTTGAAGGCTGGCCACTAAGGCTGGCCACTAAGGCTGGATTATTGGCCCAGCCGATGTTTTGTTGCTGTACATATGTGCTTCGTTCCAGATATTTACATATGTGACCTATGTTTATACATGTGACCAATGTTGTACCAGTGGCCAACGTCTGCCGTGTAGATATGTTCTTCGTTCCAGTGGCCATTATCTTTGTGGCCCGATGTTGTACCAGTGGCCAGATGTTTTATTCCAGTGGCTGGAAATCTTCCTGCCGTGTAGATATGTTATTCGTTCCAGTGGCCATTATTTTTGTGGCCCGATGTTTGTACCAGTGGCTCAATGTTTATTTCAGTGGCTGGAAATCTTCCTGCCGCTTGAGTGTCGAGCTAGATTGTTGTGAGTACTGATGAGTATTCATAGATGGACTTTAACCATGTTTGATTAGTGGAATCAGAATTAGTGATGATAACATTTACCCGTGCGATTCTGGGATTATATAACAGTGCAAGTAGTAAAGTTAGAACTAGAGACGATGACATTTACGTTTTTGATTTTGAGATTACATAGCAGTACAAGTGAAATTAGGACTAGGAAGAATAACTTTGACAAGTGTGATTCTGAGATTACATAAGCAATGCAAGTATTTAAGTTAGGACTAGAGGAAATGACATTCATATGTATAAATTCTGAGTTGTGTAAATGTAGGTTTGCTATCCACACTTATATATGTGTTTTCTATGAATTAATGTCAGTAACTACTGTGAATAATTCCACATCGAAATGTAAGTTGATTATTTTTTGTCTTTTTTACTTGTATTAGAAATTCAAGTGGTGTTTTCTTGAATATAAAAGACTGGCCAGGTCTTATTTGTATTGTGTCTTTTGCTTTTAACATATAAACCTTTGTGACGTCAAAGATAAATAAATGCATTTTATGTGTGTTTACTATGTTTTATTTTTAGTTTAATATTGGTGTTGTTTAGATGTAAATTAGTTTTGCTCAGGTCTATTAGACCCCTTTGTCACCACGCAAAGGTGCACGGATGAGTGAATAAGATCAACTTTCGGTTTAAACCCCCCTAACACATATATTAAACATGTATTGTTGTAACTTCACCCCATTGAGCATATATTAAACAAGTATTGTTGTAACTCCACCCCATTGAGCATATAATAAACATGTATTGTTGTAACTCTACCCCATTGAGCATATATTAAACATGTATTGTTGTGACTCCACCCCCTTGACCATATATTAAACATGTATTGTTGTAACTCTACCCCATTGAACATATATTAAACATGTATTGTTGTAACTCCACCCCATTGACCATATATTAAACATGTATTGTTGTAACTCCACCCCCTTGAGCATATATTAAACATGTATTGTTGTAACTCCACCCCATTGAGCATATATTAAACATGTATTGTTGTAACTCCACCCCATTCAGCATATATTAAACATGTATTGTTGTAACTCCACCCCATTCAGCATATTTTAAACATGTATTGTTGTAACTCCACCCCATTGAGCATATATTAAACATGTATTGTTGTAACTCCACCCCATTGAGCATATATTAAACATGTATTGTTGTAACTCCACCCCATTGAGCATATATTAAACATGTGTTGTTGTAACTCCACCCCATTGAGCATATATTAAACATGTATTGTTGTAACTCCACCCCATTGAGCATATATTAAACATGTATTGTTGTAACTCCACCCCATTGAGCATATATTAAACATGTATTGTTGTGACGCCACCCCTAAGGTTTGCCATTGAGCATATATTAAACATGTATTGTTGTGACTCCACCCCATTCAGCATATTTTAAACATGTATTGTTGTAACTCCACCCCATTGAGCATATATTAAACATGTGTTGTTGTAACTCCACCCCATTGAGCATATATTAAACATGTATTGTTGTAACTCCACCCCATTGAGCATATATTAAACATGTATTGTTGTAACTCCACCCCATTGAGCATATATTAAACATGTATTGTTGTGACGCCACCCCTAAGGTTTGCCATTGAGCATATATTAAACATGTATTGTTGTGACTCCACCCCATTGAGCATATATTAAACATGTATTGTTGTAACTCCACCCCATTGAGCATATATTAAACAAGTATTGTTGTAACTCCACCCCATTGAGCATATAATAAACATGTATTGTTGTAACTCTACCCCATTGAGCATATATTAAACATGTATTGTTGTGACTCCACCCCCTTGACCATATATTAAACATGTATTGTTGTAACTCTACCCCATTGAACATATATTAAACATGTATTGTTGTAACTCCACCCCATTGACCATATATTAAACATGTATTGTTGTAACTCCACCCCCTTGAGCATATATTAAACATGTATTGTTGTAACTCCACCCCATTGAGCATATATTAAACATGTATTGTTGTAACTCCACCCCATTGAGCATATATTAAACATGTATTGTTGTAACTCCACCCCTAAGGTTTGCCATTGAGCATATATTAAACATGTGGTAACTCCACCCCTAAGGTTTGCCATTGAGCATATATTAAACATGTGGTAACTCCACCCCTCAGGTTTGCCATTGAGCATATATTAAACATGTATTGTTGTAACTCCACCCTCAGGTTTGCCATTGAGCATATATTAAACATGTATTGTTGTAACTCCACCCCATTGACCATATATTAAACATGTATTGTTGTAACTCCACCCCCTTGAGCATATATTAAACATGTATTGTTGTAACTCCACCCCATTGAGCATATATTAAACATGTATTGTTGTAACTCCACCCCATTGAGCATATATTAAACATGTATTGTTGTAACTCCACCCCTAAGGTTTGCCATTGAGCATATATTAAACATGTGGTAACTCCACCCCTAAGGTTTGCCATTGAGCATATATTAAACATGTGGTAACTCCACCCCTCAGGTTTGCCATTGAGCATATATTAAACATGTATTGTTGTAACTCCACCCTCAGGTTTGCCATTGAGCATATATTAAACATGTATTGTTGTAACTCCACCCCTCAGGTTTGCCATTGAGCATGTCTCAAGAATTGCTCGCATCATCAAACAGCCCAGAAGCCACGCCCTCCTGGTGGGTGTGGGTGGGTCAGGTCGTCAGTCCCTGACACGTCTGGCTACCCACATGGCAGACTACGATCTCTTCCAGGTAAAAAAACACTTTATCACTTAATCGTTTGGGGAAGCTTTTTTTTTAATGCAGTGCAGAAATAAATAAAAATCTCTGATAAGTATTTAAATAAAATTGGGTTTGCAGAAAATTGAACTAGTAATATTTTTGTGAAACTGATTTGTTCTCACTCTGTTATATTTTTTGTAGTTTTATTTGGTTTCTAACAAACATCTGTTTTCAAACCTGGCAATTGGCAGGTATATGTTAACAGTTTTGTGTGGAAATAAGCTGACCAAATTTTTAAAAAAAATTTTTAAAAATTATTTCCCTAGGTTGAAATTTCAAAGAGCTACACAACCACAGAATGGCGAGAAGATTTGAAGAGAATTCTGAGGAAATCCACAGAGACAGAGAACCATGCAGTTTTCCTGTTCTCTGATACACAGGTCAGATATTCATTAAACTTAGTGCCACTAATCAATAAGCTCATTAACCACAATTGTCAGATATTATTCAAAGATGATATTCCAAAACTTTTAATTGCTATTTTTCCGCCATAAAAATAATAATCGTGAAACATAGATTTTCTGCAGTAGTATAATCATATTGAAAATTTTGTTTTACTATGGGTACCATTTGAAATTTTAAATAGAACCACAAAGGTTAGCTCTCAGTTTGATGTAGGAGTTAAAACATACAGAGACTTGAATGCTGGTCACTTTGGTCTTCTGATTCCAATTATTGAAATAATTTTCTTCAGTTTCTAGAAATGGTCATTGTATCACTGAAATTATCCAATTTTTCAAAAACAAAGGAAATTTTATATTCTCTTCTTGGTTTTATGTAATTCATTGTGTGATATTATTAATAATAATGAAACTTATGTAATTCTGTGTTTAATATTATTAATAATGAAACTTTCCATAGTTTATATCAACTTAATATCAATATGTTATATGTAAACAAATTATTTATAAAGATGCGGCATCTATTATTTACTGAGGAATTTGAAGTTCTGTCCCCTTCTGAAATTGAGGTATTGTCTAAATGTCGATCACAGGCAAAAAGTTTTTTTTCACCATATGAAGTCAATTGTTCACAGTAAACCGTTTATTATGGATGTAAAAAACTTTGATTTTAAAAGTTTTTATAAAAAATTTCATAAAAAGCTTCACATTTGACTCACCTGAAAACACAAAAATTACTTTTCATTGATATTCACTTCCATTTGATTTTTTCCAACTCATGATTGGGTCAGATAATTTTCTTATTTTTACGTGTCACATACTTGTGTTTCTCTATTGGACACTCAATTGTTTTTTCAAAAATATTCATTTTACAATTTGACAGCAAATGCTTTCTTTTTTTGCCATAGTATTTTGAGTCAAATGCAATATTTTTCTTCTTGTTTTAATAAACAATTTCATTTTACTTTCAATTATCAATATTTTTCAGGTCTATATTTTTTCTTTTCACTAAATGTTATATTTTAAGAATTTTAATTGTTATTTAAAATAATTACTTTTCACATTAATATAAGCATGGTCACTAAGAGTTTTTTTTAATAGATATTGTAGGATAATATAAAAATAACTGTGTTTACCTACAAGAAATGATTTATTTTAAAGTTTACATTTGAAAAAAAAAACTCTTCTGTTATTAAAGTTGAAGTAATACAATAAGTAATACAATTTGAAACTTAGACATGACACCTAGCCCTCACCCTTGTGATGACTTCAGCTCTAAACATAAATACTCTCTCAAATAGGCTCAATGATATTTTCTGTCACATGTTTAATAAACACTTAAGTACCTAAATATTATATCTGAGAGCATTTTAAAAAGAATTTAATGTTAAATATGAATTGAAAAGTTTATGGAAACCTGCTTGTGTGGAGGTATTGGATTTCTTCTTTATGTAGTTTTTAACATGTCATAGGTTTTTCAAAGATTCATTCTATGTGAAGTATGTGCAAACTTTATTTCCCTTTTAAGGCCTTTAGTAACCTATTTGGATTTCTTGTAGCTGTGAAAGTTTGATTATTTTTAGTTTAGAGAGAAATTTGTGACATAAATTTTAACCAAACTCCCAGATCAAACAAGAGTCCTTCCTTGAAGACATCAACAACCTGCTCAATGCAGGAGAGGTGCCCAACCTGTACCCAACAGACGAGAAGGCTGAGATTTGTGAGAAGATGAGAACTATTGACAGGTTAGTGCAGATATCAAAACAAACTGTTACATACACTGTGTGTAAATAAGTTAATAAATTATTTTAAAAAATTAACTGGTTATTACATTTTTTTAGAAACACGATTGAAAATTAATTTTGAAATCAAATTTAAAAATTTTTTTTATATATATATATATATATATATATATATATATATATATATATATATATATATATATATATATATATATATATTTGTTAGTTAGAATCACTAATATATAAAAAAAACATTGATTAAGTTAAACAAACTATATATTGTTCCACATTCACAACTTTTAATCAACAGACAACGTGACAAAACCAAGCAGACGGATGGCTCAATTGTGGCTCTGTTCAACCTTTTTGTGTCCCGTGTGAGGGACCAGCTGCACATTGTTCTAGCAATGAGCCCCATTGGTGATGCCTTCCGTAACCGCCTTCGGAAATTTCCATCCCTGGTCAATTGCTGCACAATAGATTGGTTCCAGGTTTGTACTCAACAGACTTCCCAAATGTTACATTTAATTTACTCAACAGACAGACTTCCCAAATGTTACATTTAATTTACTCAACAGACAGACTTCCCAAATGTTACATTTAATTTACTCAACAGACAGACTTCCCAAATGGTAGATCTAATTTACTCAACAGATAGACTTCCCAATGTTAGGTCTAATTTCTGTGCAAGTTTTGGTAATAATAAAATTAAAATAGGTGTACAAAAAGATTTCCACATGACTGCTTTAATCATTGTTTGATTAATCTCATTCTGATTGTAAAAAGTAATTGTTAAAGCTTAATTAACCTTATACCTGGCCCCTGAACCTAATTAACCTTTAACCTGGACTGTCCAGAGCTGGCCAGAGGATGCTCTACAAGCTGTTGCCTCACGTTTCCTGGAGGACATTGAGATGGGAGAGGAAGAGAGGGCAGGCTGCATCAAAATGTGTAAACATTTCCACACCTCCACTAGAGATGTAAGATTTTGACCAGTTTTTTTTTTAAATTTTGAAATTAAATCTTAATTAAATACTTTTCCCCCCACCTCCACTTGTTTTTTTTAAATTTTAAAATAAAATCTTAATTAAATACTTTCCCCACATCTCCACTAGAGAAGTAAGAATTAGGCCAGATTTTTATAAAATTATTTTCACACTTTAACTAGAGTAACAAGGTTTTCAGCATAACAGATTTTAAAATAACATTATTTAAAAAATATTTTTCTCAAAAAAAATAAAATAAAATTATGACCTTTTTTTCCAGGTATCAGAAAAATTCCTTCTAGAACTTGAGCGTCACAACTACGTGACTCCTACCTCATATCTGGAGCTTATTAGTACATTCAAATCTTTACTGGACAAAAAAAGAGAGTAAGTTCAATAAATAATTCTAAATAGTACATTATTTTGTTTGCTAAAGCATGTCAATAAATGTAAACCTATATAGCTTACGATTGCTGGAATAATTTTTGTGTGCAGGGAAGTGATGAAACAGAAGAGGCGTTACGAGGTTGGTCTGGAGAAGCTGGACTCTGCTGCCTCCCAAGTCTCAGTCATGCAGAAGGAGCTGACTGACCTTCAACCTCAGCTTGTCATCGCCTCCAAGGAAGTGTCAGAAATCATGGTGGTCATTGAGAAGGAATCTATTGAAGTTGCTAAAGTTGAGAAGGTCAGTTTTGGTGGTGAACCTTTGACAGGGAAAAATAACTTATTTTACATAGCATGATTGTTAATTTAAATATACTCATTGGTTCATTTGAGTTTTATATAAGTTTGGTTAGTATTTGTTTGTTTGTTGTGTTGAAGAATAAAAATATAATAGGTTTTCATTTTTATTTATAATATTAAAGGATAACAATTTATGAACTTGTATGAAGTTCTACAAAACAGAAATCATTAATAGTTTCAAAATGTGTCTGCTTGCAAAGAGTGATAATTCTAGGAAAATAAGAAATAAATAATGTAATGACAACTATGAATAATTTTTGTCAATAAATAGTGTAATGTAAAAATTTTGTGTTGTGCAGGTTGTGAAAGCTGATGAGGCGGTGGCCAATGAACAAGCTAGAGCAGCTCAAGCCATTAAAGATGAATGTGACTCTGATTTAGCTGAAGCTTTGCCAGCCCTCAACGCCGCCCTCGCTGCACTGGACACTCTCACACAGCAGGTCAGTTTACCTCTTTATCAGACAGCAGGTCAGTTTACTCCTCTAAGACCACAGGTCAGCTTACCTATCTCTTGAACAACAGGACAGTTTGCCTTTAAGTTTTCTGTATTGTACTTGACCAATCAGCAAGCTTTATCCTCTCCGTCCCTGTTATTAAACAATTAAAGATAACCATTGATGTGTTTTATTTTAATTTTCCTCCTACTTTCCCCTCAGGACATAACAATTGTCAAGTCGATGAAATCCCCTCCCTACGGCGTGCGTCTTGTCATGGAGAGCATCTGTGTGCTGAGGGGTGTCAAGCCAGATCGTATCCCTGACCCGTCAGGCTCCGGGAAAAAAATTGAAGATTACTGGGGACCTTCTAAAAAACTGTTGGGTGACATGAAATTTTTGGAAAACCTCCACACTTTTGACAAGGTCTGTTCAGAGTTTATTTTTTATTGCTCTAAAATTCTGTAACAGCTATATTTTAAGTTTAGGTATCTTAATTTGATACAAATGTCATTAAAATATTTAGTTTTTAAGTTTAAAATTTTGTAACATATCTTGTTCTGAAGGAAATTAAAAAAAAAGTATTGGTCATTTTTCTTAGGACAATATCCCTGTGGCCTACATGAAGACCATTCGGGCCAAGTACATCCCCAACCCCGACTTTGACCCAGATAAAATTAAAGTTGCGTCCACTGCCTGTGAAGGCCTATGTAAATGGGTCAGGGCTATGGACACATATGATAAGTAAGTGTGGGGTGGGGGGTGTGTGGGTGGGGGGCATGTGTGGGGTGAAATGGGTCAGGGCTATGGACACCTATGATAAGTAAGTGTGGGTGTGTGTGGGGTGTGTGTGGGGTGTGGGGGTGTGTGTGGGGTGGGATGAAATGGGTCAGGGCTATGGACACCTATGACAAGTAAGTGTAGGTGTGTGTGGGTTTGTGTGTGGGGGGGGTGGAGTGTTTTGGTTTTATGTTAACTTGTTCTTATTGTTTACAAGTTCATAACCTGACAATTATTTAGTTACATATTTAAATCTCAAAGGTCACTAAATTACTCTTTTATATTTGCAATATGAATATTTTGAGTGTTTTTTATTTTTCTTCATCTTTACCTTTTTCAACTCCTAGTGCAGCATAGTGCATTTACAACACCCTGCCATGCTATTTTTTACCATATTTTCCTACTCCTTCCAATACTATTTTTTAATGACAGAGTTGCCAAAGTCGTGGCACCAAAGAAAGAGTCCCTGAAGAAAGCAGAGGGTGAACTAGCTGTTGCCATGGCATCCCTAGAGAAGAAGAGAGCATCACTCAGGGAAGTTCAGGTACTGGCCCAACCTGTTTTGTTTTAAAGACAAGGAGGTAACTAAAGTAATTTCAAGGTTCTAGACTAAAATTTTGTTTTAAACACAAGGGGGTAGCAAAACTAATTTCAAGGTTCTAGACTAAAGTTTTGTTTTAAAGACAAGGGGGTAGCAAAACTAATTTCAAGGTTCTAGACTAAAATTTTGTTTTAAAGACAAGGGGGTAACTCAAGTAATTCCAAGGTTCTAGACTAAAATTTTGTTTTGAAGACAAGAAGGTTACAAAAGTAATTCCAAGGTTCTAGACTAAAACTTCCTCTGCAGGAAAAACTGAACAAGCTGCAGCAAAAACTGGAGTCCAACAAGGCCAGGAAAGCTGAGCTGGAGAATGAGGTTGACCTCTGCACTAAAAAACTGGCCAGGGCTGAGCAGCTGATTGGTGGATTGGGTGGCGAGAGAGACAGGTCAGTTCCAACATGGAGGATTGAGGTGGACATTTTTCTTTGAGAGATTGATTAGGTTCAGGTTGTGAACATTTTTCTTTGAGAGATTGATTAGGTTCAGGTTGTGAACATTGCATAATCACAATTGTTGGTGGGAATGGGAGGCAGAACAAATGTTGAAACTAATGAAAAGAAATGACTTAGTTATAGTATGTGCTCTTAATGAGTGAAATAATTTGTTTACAACAGGTGGAGCCAAGCTGCAAAGGATCTTGGGAAGAAATACATTAACCTGACAGGGGATGTTTTAGTGTCTGCTGGGATTGTAGCGTACCTGGGGGCTTTTACCACGGCTTTCAGACAGGTAGTGTGGCTTAGACTGTGTTGACTTCATTAGTGAGAGTTTAACATTCATTTGTAAAACATTTGTTTTCTGAGTTTAACATTCATTTGGTAAAAAATTTGTTTTCTGAGTTTAACATTCATTTGTAAAACATTTGTTTTTAGAGCTTAACATTCATTTGTAAAACATTTGTTTTTAGAGCTAAACATTGATTTAATGTAACATTTGCCTTTCAGGAAACATCCCATGAGTGGTTGAAAACAGTCCAGGAGAATCACCTCCCTTGTTCCTCAGACTTTAGTTTAATCAACACGCTGGGGGAGCCAGTCAAGATTAGAGAGTGGAACATCGCAGGTCTGCCTACAGACAACTTCTCGCTGGAGAATGGCATCATCATCAGGTAAACTGGTAGACACCACATACTGACCACATACTGACCACACATACTGACCACACATACTGCCCACAGACAACTTCTCGCTGGAGAATGGCATCATCATCAGGTAAACTGGCAGACAAAACATACTGACCACATACTGAACACACATACTGACCACACATACTGACCGTACATACTGACCACACATACTGACCACACATACTGACCACACTGACCACACATACTGACCACACATACTGACCACACTGACCACACATACTGACCACACATACTGACCACACATACTGACCACACATACTGACCACACTGACCACACATACTGACCACACATACTGACCACACATACTGACCACACATACTGACCACACATACTGACCACACATACTGACCACACATACTGACCACACATACTGACCACACACACTGACCACACAGACTGACCACACAGACTGACCACACATACATCTGGGACTAGTCCATGCCACACTTTGTTTAGGCAAGCATTCACATAATTCTTTGGCTGACTAACCCATACCACACTGTCTAAGTTTAAGGTCATGCTTTATATCAGAATTTCAGTTTACAAAAATACATTTTATTTTATTAACATAATAACATAGTTCAATATGAAAGTTTACCTAACCAATTACTGAATGCTGATCAAACCACTGATTGATTTATCAAACGACAGATTGAACTCATCGAGTAGTTAAATGATGTATTGATCCACTGAATACATTTGCTAATGATAGATTAAAGTAATATTTCTTAGATCTAATAACTAATTGTATCAGTAAATAATGGAACTAACGACTGGTTAAATATTTTGCCCCTAGCAATGCTCGTCGCTGGCCGCTGATGATTGACCCCCAGGGTCAGGCCAACAAGTGGGTCAAGAACATGGAGAAGGCCAACAACCTCCACGTCATCAAACTCAGCGACGCAGACTTTGTCAGGACGCTGGAGAACTGCATACAGTTTGGAACCCCAGTAAGTTTTTTACACCTGTTTTATGTTCGTTTTTAGTTGATTTGTGTCCTGTTGATCATTGGTACCCCTTTTGCATTCGTCTTGTTGATACTCTGTTGATTACACATGTGTTGAATTAATTTAGATAACACAAATATCAGTGTGTCTCATGTCCTATGACCTAAACCTTGTATGTGTGTCGCAGGTCCTGCTAGAGAACATCAACGAGGAGCTGGACCCTATCCTGGAGTCTCTGCTGCTCAAGCAGACGTTCAAACAAGGAGGGAGCTTGTGCATCAAGCTGGGAGACTCCACCATTGAGTACTCGAGTGACTTCAAGTTCTACATCACAACCAAACTCAGGAACCCACACTACCTGCCTGAGACCGCTGTCAAGGTAAACAAACCAATATGGCTTCCATGGCATTGTGTATCTACATTTTTCAATGCTTTTTCTTGTTTTTCTAATGAAGAGCTTTTTAAAAAAAACATAAAGTGCTTATTTGTTTAACTAAAAAAAAAGGTATTATTGTAATTTAATTGGGAACTTAACTGCTGTTGTCTGCAATCTTCAGGTCACCCTGCTGAACTTTATGATCACGCCAGAAGGTCTGGAAGATCAGTTACTTGGTATTGTTGTTGCAAAAGAGCGACCGGAATTAGAAGAGGAAAAAAATCAACTTATACTTCAAAGTGCAGCTAACAAAAAGTAATGTAAAATTATTGTATTTTGTATTTTTAAAGTAATATCAATGATAACTAGTACAAATATTTTTTTTTACTCTAGAAGGATACATGTCAACATATTGGTATAAATTTTCATGTTAAATTTTTTTCATTAATGCTTTCTTTTTGTTGCAAATAACCCCACCTAGGATTTAAAAATCTAAACACTTTTTGTTTTTTCTTCCAGGCAACTGAAAGAGATTGAGGACAAGATTTTGGAAGTTCTGTCTTCATCAGAAGGCAACATTTTGGAAGACGAGACAGCCATTAAAGTTTTGTCTTCATCTAAAAAACTAGCCAATGAAATCTCAGAGAAACAAGTACAGCCATAAGTTTTAGTTTTTATTATTGGAGAAACTTTAGACCTTTACAAAAATGTTATAAAAATAATTTTTTAAATTTCTTCTAAATGTTAATCAGTACATAAAAAATTATTACGAAAAAATAATCTTAAATAAATTGAGAATATATATTATACAAAACTATAATGCAAGCATACATTAACTTATTGTATAAATGTAAACTTAAATCCTCAGGCCATTGCAGAAGTGACAGAGAAGAAGATTGACACCGCTCGCATGGGCTACAAACCAATCGCCATCCACAGCACCATCCTGTTTTTCTCCATCGCTGACCTGGCCAACATAGAGCCCATGTACCAGTACTCCCTCACCTGGTTCATCAACCTGTTTATTTTGTCCATTGAGAACGCTGAGAAGTCAGAGAACCTTGACCAGCGCCTGCACAACCTACACGACCACTTTACCTACTCTCTGTACTGCAATGTGTGTCGCTCTCTCTTTGAGAAGGACAAGGTTGGTTGGACCAGAAAAAATTGGACCAGAATAAATGGTTTCAAAATTTAGAAACCAACTCCTATGTATTGTTTTGTTAACAATCTTTAACTTGTATATTATGAATTAAGTCCACAAAAGTCAGTCATAATTTATTTTTCCTTGATGGGTAGTCAAATTAAAAAGTCATTGCATCAAATAAAATTAAATACTGCATTTGAAATTTTAAAAATATATTTTTTACAAAATAAACATCCACAAGAGTTTCAATTTGTGCACAGCTAACCTGTCATAAAATCAATATAAATGTATCATGAATATAAGTGTGCTGCAAGTTTGTCACTATCAATTGATCAAGTTTTCCCCTTGTGTTGTTCCTTAGCTTCTCTTCTCCTTCTTGCTGTGTGTCAACATACAAAAACACAACAAGGAGGTCAACGAGGATGAGTGGCGCTTCCTGCTGACCGGAGGCATCGGCCTGGACAACCCTCACTCCAACCCAACCACCTGGTTGCCCTCCAAGTCTTGGGATGAGCTGTGTAGGTTGGATGACATGGAGAACTTTAAGGACATCCGCAAGAAACTCATGACACAAAAGGAACAATGGAAAGTTCTCTATGACAGCTTGGTACGTTGTACATGTTAGCACGAGAAATATTTTATTTTTGTTTAGCTTAAACTGTTATAGTTTGTAGGTGGAATATTTGTTGACTTACAAAATGTTTACACAGAATAGATTTCTGATTTTCCCAAATTCTTCCAACTGCAGGAACCTCACCATGAGACCCTGCCTGGTGACTGGAACCAAAAGCTGGGATCTTTCCAGAGACTTCTTGTGCTGCGCTGTTTTAGACCTGATAAGGTAAGGGGTTGTGGCACTTGTTGCTAGAGGCTTTCTGTGGCACTTGTTGCTAGACTTTCTGTGGCACTTGTTGCTAGAGTTTCTGGCACTTGTTGCTAGAGTTTCTGTTCCACTTGTTGCTAGAGTTTCTGGCACTTGTTGCTAGACTTTCTGGCACTTTTTGCTGGACTTTCTGGCACTTGTTGCTAGACTTTCTGGCACTTGTTGCTAGCGACTTTCTCATAAGTCACATTTTTACTGTAAATATGCTATATAAATTAAAATAATCCAATACATATATTGTTATTAAATGCTATTGTTATTTTAAATCATACTAATAATTAATAAATTCAGGAGCACTGTAATGTAGTAATAAGATTGCAATAACTTTAATGAATAAGAAAAGTTTTCAAATTGTTTGTCTACATAAATCTTATTGTATATGAAGTTATATTTTAATTTAGCTGTTTTCCTGATAAAGACGAAATTAGTATTGTATAGAATTAAGACACTAATAAACTAAAAATCAAAGGAAGATTTGAAAATGCTTTCATTTGATAGCTATTGATGTATGCAGAAATTTGGTTTTCCAAATAAAAGATTTCTGTATTTACTGATGGGTTTCCTGTTGTATTTACCGTGCAGGTTATACCAGCAGTGCAGGAGTTTGTCACTGAGAAAATTGGTAAACATTTCATCGAGCCTCCGCCCTTTGATCTGCCGAAAGCTTTTGGTGACAGCAACTGCTGCGCTCCGCTGTTGTTTGTCCTGTCTCCTGGTGCCGACCCAATGGCTGCCCTGCTCAAGTTTGCTGACGACCAGGTCAAACTTTTAAAAACTTTAACTGGAGATATCAGAAAAATATTTATCTGGCCACAGATCTATACTAACCAATGGTTTTTCTAATTATTTTTTCATTCTGTTATTTATAGGGCTTTGGTGGTGGGAAATTTGATTCCCTGTCCCTTGGTCAAGGTCAAGGCCCAATAGCTCTGAAAATGATAGAAAAAGGTGTGAAAGAAGGGACTTGGGTCATGCTGCAGAATTGTCATCTAGCCTCGTCTTGGATGCCAACACTGGAGAAAATTTGTGAGGTAAAAATTCTTAAGTCACTGCATTCTAAAATCTTCTTAGTATTTGATGTAGTTTTAATAAGTAGACATTTACATACAATTTGTAATTACACACATTTAAATAATTTATTTGGTACAAATCATGAAAATCCATAATGTAAACATTCCATAAATGTAAAATTGTTTTAGTTTCAAACAAGTTTCGTTTTGCCTGCAGGAGTTTAACCCCGAGACAACCCACCCAGACTTCCGTCTGTGGCTCACATCCTATCCATCGGATAACTTCCCTGTGTCCATCCTCCAAAATGGTGTCAAAATGACCAACGAGCCGCCCAGTGGTCTGAGGTTTAACATCATCAAATCTTACATGAGTGACCCGATATCTGACCAGGAATTCTTTAATGGATGCAAACAACCAGTAAGTCAAACAAAAAAAAACAACTTTAAAATTATTTTTATTCGCTTAGCCAAAATTGAAATTTTAATGGCTACTTTTTTATAACATAGAAACCTAAAACAGGTGTATTAATTTCAAACCAGTGTTTGAAAGTGACTTTATTATCATATCTTCCAAGAAAGTATGTTAGATCTAGGCTGCTGGAAATAGTGCTTACCCCACTGTCCCTTCATATGCCTAGGTCAATGAGTCAGATAAACTCTACTTCATCTGCCCTTGTGTCTTGGGCATGAACAGGATTAAGAAGAAGATGTTGCTAGTGCTTCAATTATTAACTTATATTACCATACTTGAACCTACTATTATCAACACTAAATATAATCCAATCCGTAGTCCAAAAATCTTTAACTTTCATAGTAGGGGATAACCTGATTTAAACATTATTTGCTGAGAATAGTTTACCTAAATTACATTTAAACGGTCACAGCACTAGTCTTGTTGTTTTTTCACAGGCCAGATTCAAGAAGCTCCTGTATGGTCTGTGTTTCTTCCATGCCCTGGTACAAGAGAGGAGGAAGTTTGGACCCCTGGGCTGGAACATTCCCTACGAGTACAATGAGACAGACCTGCGCATCAGCGTCCAGCAGCTGCAGATGTTCCTAAACGAGTATGAAGTAAGTCTTCGCATTTTAGTTTCATTGATAAAAGTTTTATTTTATTTGTTTTGTTTTAACTTAAGTTTTTCAGTTTCACTGATAAAACTTTGACTTGACTGCCCACAGGAAGTCCAGTACGAAGCCCTCCACTACCTGACAGGTGAGTGCAACTACGGCGGCCGTGTCACGGATGACTGGGATCGCAGGACGCTGCTGACCATACTCAACCAGTTCTATTGTCCAGACATCATCAACAAGGACAACTATTTCTTTGATGACAGTGGCTTCTACTACAGTCCCAAGGAGGGAGATGTAAGTGTAATCAGGGGGGTGTAAGTAATGCAATCAATGGGGGGGGGGTGTGTAAGTCAACGTAATCAATATTAATCATGACAGCCAGTTAAACTGGTGCACCATTTTAGTATAAGAGCCAGTTAAACTAGTTAAACCATTGATTTCAGTATGAGAGCCAGTTAAACTAGTTAAACCAATATTTCAGTATGAGAGCTACCTGGAGTACACAAGGAACCTGCCCTTGAACCCATCACCTGAGATTTTTGGCATGCATGCTAATGCTGACATCACCAAGGATCAAAAGGCTACTCAGTTATTGTTTGACAACATTTTGCTGACACAGGTAGTTTACACTTTCTTTCTGTATGGAATCCACAATCCATTACACTTTGACAGTAAAAGTGATTATCACATGACATCAAGATGTTATAAAATGTGTGCACGTTTGTGTTAACAAAATAGATAATTTGAGAGTGACTTTAGTGTGTGATTTGTGTGTTTAACAAAATAGATAATTTAATTAAATATGTGTTTTGCACTTTTTAAAATGAGTTGTAAACAAACATCAAGGCATCAAAACTGTTGTAAATCTATATGCCAGAATCAAATCTAAATCATATTGCAGGTTTTTTTTCCTGGCATTTGATGTATGACACTTGAATTATTTGTTCAACCTTGATTTGTATTACAATCCTTGTGTGGTGTGGTACAGATTGGCACATCAGCTGTGTGCTGTGATACTTAGTTGTTGTATCTTTAGTGCCGTTACTTACTAAATAGACTCTTTTATCTACCGAGTACAATTTTAATGAAGTTGGTTACAGTAAAATCTGAACAATGCCTCTCTAAATTTCCCAAAATATAAACAATTAAATCTTACATCAGTAGGCCCTAGTTCAAACTAAAATGCCCAAATTCTTCTCTAATAAAATATTATTTTCTTTTGAAAAGTCTCAAGCATAATTTCTATTATGCTTATTGTTACAAATAAGATTTCTTGCCAGGTAATAAAGATGCCCATTTTTTTATGTTCATTTAATTTTGTCCCTTACAATTTAATTTGCGACACAAATAACTGACACATTAAATTTGTTAAGTACTTATTTCCATGCTCTGTTTTGATCTCTCTTTCTAGAAAAGGGTAAGATCCATTGTTTTATTTTCAATTTCTGAACTAACATTTTATCATTAGGGTTTGATTACTGCAATGATTACATAATGAGTCACCATCATGCCAGAACAATGGCCTTTAAAATCTTCTGGTCATAGCAGTTTAAAAACTATTAACCTGAAATTATTTTTTTAAATGTGTCATTGCAGTATTAGTTACTAACAAAACATATATATTTAGATCTTTAACAAAACTGTTATCTTCTGTTTGTTGCTAGGTTTATGTTTTTAGTTTAAAAAAAAAACTCAACTACATTATCTTCATGTAGAAAAATGTACTACATATTTATTGATCTATTTATTTTTATATCTTTTTATATTAAATAGTCTTCAAATCAAAAGTACATATTCTGGTATTTATTATTATTATTATTAATATATATATATATATATATATATATATATATATATATATATATATATATATATATATATATATATATATATATATATATATATATATATATATATATATATATATATATATATATATATATATATATATATATATATATATATATATATATATATATATATATATATATATATATATATATATATATATAATCCTTTCATTATGCATATACTTTAATGTAGCTATAAATATATTAAATAGGTCTGTCTAACTATATTTAGCTGTTTACTTTGCTCCATATGTTTATGCTGTTAAATGTCTATTTTTTGAATGTCTGTTTAATTCTGTTTATGAACTAATTTTAATTTGTTTTGATAATTATCATACTTTATTGGATTTGCTTTTTCTTTTCATTTTTAATGTATGAATTCTTATACCCATTTAAAAAGATTACCTGGAAATATATTTTTTTAAATTAAAAAAATGTAAGATTATAATATTGTAGTAGGATTACTGTAAGAGAGAAATACATAATTGAGCTGACTACATTATAGTTATATTACTGCTAGTCAATAAAAGTAATTATATTTACACTTTTTTCAACAACTAAATTAGGCCTATATTCATAGATATGTTGTTAAAGACTACATCTTTTATGATTTCTTTTTCTATAAACGATATGAATAGGAATTGATACAATATTTAAAAAAAAGAATTTGAACATTTAATTAAAATTGTGCATGAAATTACTGTGTGGAAATAACAAAGATTACATTGTTTTTGTACTGGGTAATTGAAGATCCACTAGAAATTAAAATGTTCGTGCTATGTTACGTCTTGACTCATACGTTCACGTTGACCTCAGGCTAAAGCATCCAGTAAGGGAGGCAGGTCCACTGACGACATCGTGGATGATGTGGCTTCAGACATTCTCAGCAAACTCCCACCCAACTTTGATACAGATGCTGCATTGCGTAAATACCCAACATCTTACAGGTAAAAACATCTTACAGGTAAAAACATCTTACAGGTAAAAACATCTTACAGGTAAAAACATCTTACAGGTAAAAACATCTTACAGGTAAAAACATCTTACAGGTAAATTCTGGTACATTTTATTATGGAACATAAGACATGTGTGAAGAGAATTTTTATTGTCAGGTTTCATTAGTGCAATGTGGCAGTGGCGTAGCGAGGTCGGGTGTGACCCGGTGCGGCACTTAATGGTGTCACCCTTCCAGAGGCGTAGAGACTCTTCCCGGGGACAAACTTTCAATTTTTTATTTGCACCCCCCTCCTCGAACTTTCGATTTGCACCCCCCCCCCTCAAATTTTTCTCTATATATTTTTACTATTTTTTGCCTTGGTGTCACCCCCTTAAATGGTGTCACCCGGTGCGGTCCGCACCCCCCACCCCTCGCTACGCCTCTGCAAAGTGGTTTGTTGACAAAGGCATAAAAAAAATATTGGTATTAGTTATTTGTTCCATTGTAAACAAAAGTTAAACTTTTTATTTCTCCAGTCAGAGCATGAACACAGTTTTGTCCCTTTGTAAACAAAAGTTAAACTTTTTATTTTCTCCAGTCAGAGCATGAACAAAGTTTAGTTCCATTGTAAACAAAAGTTGAAATTTTTATTTCCCCAGTCAGAGCATGAACACAGTTTTGTTCCATTGTAAACAAAAGTTGAACTTTTTATTTCCCCAGTCAGAGCATGAACACAGTTTTGTTCCATTGTAAACAAAAGTTGAAATTTTTATTTTCCCCAGTCAGAGCATGAACACAGTGTTGGTCCATTGTAAACAAAAGTTGAAATTTTTATTTTCCCCAATCAGAGCATGAACACACTTTTGTTCCATTGTAAACAAAAGTTGAACTTTTTATTTCCCCAGTCAGAGCATGAACACAGTGTTGGTCCATTGTAAACAAAAGTTAAACTTTTTATTTCCCCAGTCAGAGCATGAACAGAGTTTTGTTCCATTGTAAACAAAAGTTGAACTTTTTATTTCCCCAGTCAGAGCATGAACACTTTTGTTCCATTGTAAACAAAAGTTGAACTTTTTATTTCCCCAGTCAGAGCATGAACACAGTGTTGGTCCAGGAGATGGTCAGATTCAACAGACTTCTGGCTACTGTACGCACCAGTCTGGCTAACATTAAAAAGGCAATCAAGGTAATTGTCTAATTAATCAAAGTCTTCTTTTGTAAGTTCTTATTTATTCAGTATTTTGTAGCTAATAAAATAAACCAGTTCTACAGTTAAAACATATTTATTTTGTGTGTGAAAGAACCAATGAACCCTGTACGAGTCTTAAGGTCCTACAAGTTAATTTCTCCCACGACTAGGGTTTGGTGGTGATGTCAGCGGACCTAGAGGAGGTGACCCTCAGCATCCTGAAGGGCAAGATCCCGGGCATGTGGATGAAGAGGTCCTACCCCTCCCTGAAACCTCTGGGCAGCTACATCAACGACTTCATCACAAGGCTCAAGTTCCTACAAGACTGGTATGACAATGGACCGCCTTCAGTTTTTTGGATTTCCGGATTCTTCTTCACACAGGCCTTCCTTACAGGCGCCCAGCAGAACTATGCTAGAAAGTAAGTGGCGTTGGAGACGTATTGGGTTTTCACAAACAAAAAAATAAGACCGATTCATAAATATTTACTGTTAAAAAACTTATGTTAAAACTATATGTTTATCCTCTTCATTTAAAAATAAAAAGTAATTTTATTTTAGTTTTTTTTTGTTGCACTTTCCCTCTTGACGTTAGTTATAGGCTGCCAGTGGAAGAGTAGTCTGTTGAATTGTTTCAATGTACATATAATGTTACAATGTAATAAAGTGTTACAATCATATAATGTTACAATGTACTTATAATGCCTGGTTCCAGATTCACCATCCCAATTGATCTGTTAGGCTATGATTACGATGTGCTAGAAGACAAAGACTATGATACACCACCAGAAGATGGTAACTTTACCTTCAACTTTAAATTCAATATTCTTTTATGATCCTAAGAGTATCTGGTATTCAATAAATATTATTGTGCAGTAGTTAAAACAGTGTGTAATTGTCTGGTTACAGGTGTGTTTGTCAAGGGTCTGTATGTTGATGGTGTGTAATTGTTTACAGGTGTGTTTGTCAAGGGTCTGTATGTTGATGGTGTGTAATTGTTTACAGGTGTGTTTGTCAAGGGTCTGTATGTTGATGGTGTGTAATTGTTTACAGGTGTGTTTGTCAAGGGTCTGTATGTTGATGGTGTGTAATTGTTTACAGGTGTGTTTGTCAAGGGTCTGTATGTTGATGGTGTGTAATTGTCTGGTTACAGGTGTGTTTGTCAAGGGTCTGTATGTTGATGGTGTGTAATTGTTTACAGGTGTGTTTGTCAAGGGTCTGTATGTTGATGGTGTGTAATTGTCTGGTTACAGGTGTGTTTGTCAAGGGTCTGTATGTTGATGGTGTGTAATTGTTTACAGGTGTGTTTGTCAAGGGTCTGTATGTTGATGGTGTGTAATTGTCTGGTTACAGGTGTGTTTGTCAAGGGTCTGTATGTTGATGGTGCCAGATGGGACCGGAAGATTAAGAAACTGAACGAGTCCATCCCAAAACAGCTGTTTGATACTATGCCAACAGTAAGTGGTCGTCTCTTTCTTCACAAACTTTTGTCATTTTTTTACCTTGGTTGTAACTGCTGATTAGATCTGTCAAATCAAGCGCAAGAGTTTACTTTTTATTTTTGTGTGAGCTGTATTTAAATTTATTTAAAAAAAAATTGCAATAAATTTGTTTAGATGTGGCTGAAACCATGCAAGCGCTCAGATCTGTCAGATAAACAAGCATACAGATGTCCAGTCTACAAGACCAGTGAAAGAAGGGGCACGTTGTCTACCACTGGTCACTCTACAAACTTTGTTATTGGGATGATGATTCCATCAGATAAACCACAACAGCATTGGGTACGGAGAGGTGTGGCACTCCTTTGTCAGTTAGATGACTAGGTGGGGTGTGGTTGTGTGAGGTACTGCTGTGGTTGTGTGGCTGATCTAGGTGACTAGGACACACAAGCTAAAGAATTCAGGCTTCTTGGTTTGTCAATACAAAGTAAAAGGGAACTTTGAAATTTTCCTTTATTCTTTAATACAGTTATTCACAGTAACAATAATTTGCATGAGCGATCCTTTACTTTGATCTAAACATAAAAAATAAGCCTATGCATAGTTTATGTAGATTAACATTTATTTTCTGCTATTCAATTAAATATTTTTTACCTGTGTTGTGACTGACAGGATTATTTAAAGAAAGTATTAGTGAGAATGTTACTGTAAATATATATTTGTTATATTTTTATTATGGATCTAAAACATGTTTACTCTTTAATAGTGAAAACTATAATTTATGAACATTATCATACTATTAGTTTTAATGCATACAAATATTTAGTTATTAATTCTGTAAAATATGAGAGAGCTTTATCCTGTTTAAAATAAGTTGTGTTAATGAAAAAAAAATTGTGATATTGGTTTTACTGTACCTTATAACAAATGTAACATATTATGTTTTTTTTTTTTCAAGTTGTTTCATGTGATATTATACACTAGCATTACAACAGTATGTTTATTGTTTGTAAACTTTACGTTATCGTTTTAATACGTAACAATTAAAACATTTTTATACCAGTATTTGAGTCTGAGGCTCTCCGTCCTAAATAAATAAACTTATATTTTTCTCTGATTGTACACCTTGTTCTTAGAACTTTTCTTGTATCTGTTAAATGAATTAACCTGTGGGGTTTTGATAATGTAACACTTGATTATCACTAGCTCATGTCACTTTCTAATGGCCTTCACATTCAACTCATTTATTTTATAATCAATCTAAAAATTTATTTGATTCCAGGTACCTAATTAATTAGCATATACAATTTTTTGTTTTGTTAACCGAGTTAGGAGAATGAAAAATAATTCTTCATTACGAAAAAGTTTTCTTTTTTTCACATGTATATTCAATGGTCTAAACTTTGTAAACTTCAGTTGTAAAAGTGTTTTTTAATAAACACATTCCAAAATGTTGTTTAACGTCAACTATTCACAATAAAAATGATTTTTATAAAAAAAAGGATTGTTTTATTGCTTAAATAATTGTTTAATAAAAACTGTTTTTATTATTTAAATAATTATGTTACTTCTCAGATGTGTATGGGTAAATACACACATTATAGTTATATAATACATAAACCTCAGCAAAGCATGGAGAAAATGTCAACTTTAGGATTTTGTCAGAATGAGCTATTTATAAACACTATCATTACACAATGTACCTGGATATATGTGGGAAATGATTATTATAGCTATAGAACAGACATAATTAACAACACTTTGGCGAGTTATAGTTAGCTTCTTTTACAGGCCAACTTATTTATATAATTTTTGAACTAGTTTCACGGATGTTTCAAAACGCAATATTTTGGGGTATGTTTCAAGTATAAGTGCAACAAAAAAAAACTTGGGTTTTTTTTCTTACTGTATTGTGGCAACGGCATTCATGATTTAATTTCATGTAAGAGAGCAAAGATTAAAAATGTTGGATGAATTGATGAAATAAGCATCTTTTGTAGCATCTAATGTATACACACAATTCTTATTTCCTCTATGGCCCATTGGTGGAGAAAACTCATTATGACTAAATATGAAAGACTTTTTTTTCCCCCGGAAATTGATTTGGTAATGTAAAGACAGTCACACATTTAACTGTAACACCACGCAGAACAGCAAACAAATAAATCACACCAAATGTTTTTGTTATTATTTATTTGTTATCACAAATTCTTGCCATAAAAATATTCTACACTGCTAGTCTTACATTCAAAATGAACAAAATTTCATAAAAAATAAATTGTAAAACATCACATCGTTCAATTACACCTCATTCTAAAATCATAAAAGTTAAGTTTGCTAAAGCACAATTGGTATAACTATTTACATCTGTGTAAGATTATGGCAATATTTTTACAAAATAAATTACAATTTGTAAGCAGTTGAAACAATGAACATTTTTATTTTGATCTTAATCCAACATGGCAAATAAAACAATGACCTAACTTCAACAGGAAAACCAACATCATTAGATCAAATGAGCTCTGTTCAAATGAGCTTTGTCATAAACACAATATTTTTATTGGCTAGAGATAGTGTTGGTGGTTTTAAATTTGCAAGTCTAAAAAAGTTACAATTTTCAGTCAAGTTTGCTGTCAAGTTTGATAGCATGGTAGACAACAAAGGCACCAGACAGGTGAGAGATTGTTTTTTTTTTATACAGGTATGTAACAGCTCGAGAGCTAGAGAGCCAGGTGGAGGTGAGGATTTGCTAAGCCAAGGGACAGCGTGGTCGGGTGGGAGAACACATGATAGCTGACTCCAAAGGCCTGAGTTCAGACTAGGATGGGATTTGTTAGCTGGAAACAGCAGCCCAACTAGGAGATGAATCCTAAACTTCAAACAACTGCTGACTTGTAGATTATTATTGTATTGGACAAAGGCTGAAATTAGCGGGCTAAATTTTGCTACACAACCTGATGGGTTGCTACACAACCTGATGGGTTGCTACACAACCTGATGGGTTGCTACACAACCTGATGGGTTGCCACACAACATGAAGGGTTGCCACAAAACATGAAGGGTTGCTACACAACATGAAGGGTTGCTAGCTACCACTATTAGTTTCAACTGAAGGATACAGCTAGTCAACAAATACAAGACAAACAGGACTGTTTCTTTTCAATTACAACTTTACTCATCTAAACACAAACAAAACATAAATACAGAAACAAACAAATAAAATAGACCAAACAACCAACAAAAAAACAGACAAATGCAACAACCAACAAAACAGACTAATGAAACAACCAACAAATAAAACAGACAGATGAAACAACCAACAAATAAAACAGACAAATGAAACAACCAACAAATAAAACAGACACATGAAACAACCAACAAATAAAACAGACAAATGAAACAACCAACAAATAAAACAGACACATGAAACAACCAACAAAAAAATAAAACAGACAAAACAACAAACAAAGCAGACACAGACTGGAATGTAAAATGGGAAGTCTCAGAGATCAGATCTCGTAATGTTTAGCCAAATGTTGGCAATATGTCAAACCTGTACGGCCAACATGCCCAAATGTTGGCAATATGTTAAACCTATATGGCCAACATGTGAAACCTATATGCTCAATATGTAACACCTATATGGTATGTTAAACCTTTATGGGCAACATGTGAAATCTATATGGGCAACATGTCCAATTTATATGGCCAACATGCCCAACCTATATGCTCAATATGTAACACCTATATAGGCAACAAGTTAAACCTAATAGGCAACATGCTAACAAGGCAGGGCAATTACCAACATGACACTTTCTAATCAACAAAATGAATCACATCCTTAACCTTGGTTTAAAATGTAATAAGGTCACTTTTTATCACAACATTATCAGCTGCTTGGTGATTAATTATTAATTAAATTAATTAGTTTTTATCCAAGCTGCAATACTATTTGTCAATATATCCATGTTAACATTAGAGCATACATTAATTTAAAACAACAAAATAAATTATGCATCAACGAGGTCCAGCTAAACTAAGCTCTAGTATCAACCTAGTATCAACCTAGTATCAACCTAGTATCAACCTAGTATCAACCTACCCTGCTTGGATGTCATTTCTCAAATTAAGCCCAAGACAACAAGCACAAAATATATTTTCTACTTAAATCTGGTCACTGACCCTGTGGTTAACACAATTTCTCTGGGATCTACGTCAGCAGGCACTTAAGTGCTCACTCACACACACTCCTCACACACACACATTAAAAAATGTGTGAGCAGACACAAGGACCTCACACACACCCCCACTCCCTCAACGGTTGGCGTAGTCTCCGGCCATGCGTGACAGCTGTTGCATGAGGTGGTCTATCAGACCTGCCTGGCGCGTCTTGATCTCAATGACCCCTCGTTGGTTACGGTTCTCTGGTTTTGTGGCCTTGACCTACGGATCATTGGAAAAGTCAAGGGTGAAAAAGTCAAGGGTTACAAATGTAACAACATCACAATGTACACACCACTTCTGACAATGTCTTACAGTTGCCACCACCACCACCACCCACACAGTTGCTACCACCACCACCACTACCACACAGTTGCCACCACCACCACACACAGGTTGCTACTACCACCCACACACCCACACAGTTGCTACCACCACCACCACCCACACAGTTGCTACCACCACCACCACTACCACACAGTTGCCACCACCACCACCACTACCACACAGTTGCCACCACCACCACCACCACACACAGGTTGCTACTACCACCCACTCACCCACACAGTTGCCACCACCACCCACACACCCACACAGTTGCCACCACCACCACCACCCACACAGTTGCTACCACCACCACCACTACCACACAGTTGCCACCACCACCACCACTACCACACAGTTGCCACCACCACCACCACTACCACACAGTTGCCACCACCACCACACACCCACACAGTTGCCACCACCACCACCACTACCACACAGTTGCCACCACCACCACACACCCACACAGTTGCTACCACCACCACACACCCACACAGTTGCCACCACCACCACCACTACCACACAGTTGCCACCACCACCACCACTACCACACAGTTGCCACCACCACCACACACCCACACAGTTGCCACCACCACCACCACTACCACACAGTTGCCACCACCACCACACACCCACACAGTTGCTACCACCACCACCACTACCACACAGTTGCCACCACCACCACACACCCACACAGTTGCTACCACCACCACCACACACCCACACAGTTGCTACCACCACCACCACTACCACACAGTTGCCACCAACACCACACACTCATAGGTTGCTACTACCACCACTACCACACAGTTGCCACCACCACCACTACCACACACCCACACAGTTGCCACCACCACCACCACCACACACACACAGTTGCCACCACCACCACCACCACACACACACAGTTGCCACCACCACCACCACTACCACACAGTTGCCACCAACACCACACACTCATAGGTTGCTACTACCACCACTACCACACAGTTGCCACCACCACCACCACCACACACCCACACAGTTGCCACCACCACCACCACTACCACACAGTTGCCACCACCACCACCACTACCACACAGTTGCCACCAACACCACACACTCACAGGTTGCTACTACCACCACACACACACAGTTGCCACCACCACCACCACCACACACACACAGGTTGCTACTACCACCACCCACACCCACACAGTTGCTACCACCACACACCCACACAGGCCAGCCTTACCTCAAGAATTGTTTTCTCCTGTACATGTCTCCAAGAGATTTCTTTGTATTTCAGTGACTGGATCATTTGCTAGGGGAAACAAAAGTTATATTTCAGTGACTGGATCATTTGCTAGGGGAAACAAAAGTTTGTATTTCAGTGACTGGATCATTTGCTAGGGGAAACAAAAGTTTGTATTTCAGTGACTGGATCATTTGCTAGGGGAAACAAAAGTTTGTATTTCAGTGACTGGATCATTTGCTAGGGGAAACAAAAGTTTGTATTTCAGTGACTGGATCATTTGCTAGGGGAAACAAAAGTTTGTATTTCAGTGACTGGATCATTTGCTAGGGGAAACAAAAGTTATATTTCAGTGACTGGATCATTTGCTAGGGGAAACAAAAGTTATATTTCAGTGACTGGATCATTTGCTAGGGGAAACAAAAGTTATATTTCAGTGACTGGATCATTTGCTAGGGGAAACAAAAGTTATATTTCAGTGACTGGATCATTTGCTAGGGGAAACAAAAGTTATATTTCAGTGACTGGATCATTTGCTAGGGGAAACAAAAGTTATATTTCAGTGACTGGATCATTTGCTAGGGGAAACAAAAGTTATATTTCAGTGACTGGATCATTTGCTAGGGGAAACAAAAGTTATATTTCAGTGACTGGATCATTTGCTAGGGGAAACAAAAGTTATATTTCAGTGACTGGATCATTTGCTAGGGGAAACAAAAGTTATATTTCAGTGACTGGATCATTTGCTAGGGGAAACAAAAGTTATATTTCAGTGACTGGATCATTTGCTAGGGGAAACAAAAGTTATATTTCAGTGACTGGATCATTTGCTAGGGGAAACAAAAGTTATATTTCAGTGACTGGATCATTTGCTAGGGGAAACAAAAGTTATATTTCAGTGACTGGATCATTTGCTAGGGGAAACAAAAGTTATATTTCAGTGACTGGATCATTTGCTAGGGGAAACAAAAGTTATATTTCAGTGACTGGATCATTTGCTAGGGGAAACAAAAGTTATATTTCAGTGACTGGATCATTTGCTAGGGGAAACAAAAGTTATATTTCAGTGACTGGATCATTTGCTAGGGGAAACAAAAGTTATATTTCAGTGACTGGATCATTTGCTAGGGGAAACAAAAGTTATATTTCAGTGACTGGATCATTTGCTAGGGGAAACAAAAGTTATATTTCAGTGACTGGATCATTTGCTAGGGGAAACAAAAGTTATATTTCAGTGACTGGATCATTTGCTAGGGGAAACAAAAGTTATATTTCAGTGACTGGATCATTTGCTAGGGGAAACAAAAGTTATATTTCAGTGACTGGATCATTTGCTAGGGGAAACAAAAGTTATATTTCAGTGACTGGATCATTTGCTAGAGGAAACAAAAGTTATATTTCAGTGACTGGATCATTTGCTAGGGGAAACAAAAGTTATATTTCAGTGACTGGATCATTTGCTAGGGGAAACAAAAGTTATATTTCAGTGACTGGATCATTTGCTAGGGGAAACAAAAGTTATATTTCAGTGACTGGATCATTTGCTAGGGGAAACAAAAGTTATATTTCAGTGACTGGATCATTTGCTAGGGGAAACAAAAGTTATATTTCAGTGACTGGATCATTTGCTAGGGGAAACAAAAGTTATATTTCAGTGACTGGATCATTTGCTAGGGGAAACAAAAGTTGTATATTTTTTTAATTTAACATCATACAGGAGCTGCACATAATAAATTAATTTAAGTAGATATTATAACAAAACTGTATGAATAAAAATTGCATTGCGTTGCAATTTTTAAAAAAAGTTATAATAAAAAACTGCTGTACAAAAATAAATTATGCTTTTTGCAGAAAAACCCATTAGATATTTGATCTAGATTCAGTGTCCACATAATTTCAACTAAAAAAGCTGACATAATTCTACCTTAGTCTGTACGCTGATGATGTGGATGCCGATGTCGTTGACTCCGACGTAACAGTGGGTGTTTGAGCTGGAAGACTACAGACATTTTTTAAAAATTATTAAACGTGAAGAACAAGATAAGATAAACAATGTAATAGAGTACTGAATTTTTAGCATTATTAAAACTTATTTTGTTTTAGAAATTAAAAAATTCCACTTGCCCTTTTAGATTGTGAGGAAATTGTCCCAGTAAAGAAAGCCGAGCCGTACACTGTGAGCCGCTGACATGCGCTAAGGAACTGGGACTTGAGTTGCTGGAAACAGAGCCACAATATGCTTGTATTGCACAAATTGTTAAACTTTTTCAACATGAGAGCTTCTACCTCTCACATGTTAGAAAACAAGAATAAAATGTTTACATCAATACACTTTTTAAATGCTATAGTAGTCAAACAGCGGTCAGTAAAATACTTAAAGTGACCAACACTTTTAAAATTATAGCCTTTAAAGAAAAGTAACATTTATTCTTATTTTAGTGTAGTATCAGCTTTATTTTCTACTATTTAGTATTTAAAAAATGAAAAAATAAAAGATGTATGTTAAAATTTGTTCTAACCCTATAAAAATATTTCTACCTTCGTATCCAACCTTTCCTAAGTACCCAGTCCTCACCTGACTAAATGTTCTTTAAACCACATGACCATGACACACAGATCAGTGATTTAAAATAAGATATTCTTGTGCTGTCATCACATTTAGCATGGGTCAAAACTGAGCTACAAGTTTTAACCACAAATCTACACTTGGCCCTAATTGAAAGCTTAAAATTAAATGATAATTACTCACTTGTTTTGACAAGTCTTTGATGGCGCCGTACTCTATAGATTTTGTTGACCCATTAAATGATAATTGCTCACCTGTTTTGACAAGTCTTTGATGGCGCCGTACTCTATAGATTTTGTTGACCCATTAAATGATAATTACTCACTTGTTTTGACAAGTCTTTGATGGCGCCGTACTCTATAGATTTTGTTGACCCATTAAATGATAATTACTCACCTGTTTTGACAAGTCTTTGATGGCGCCGTACTCTATAGATTTTGTTGACCCATTAAATGATAATTACTCACCTGTTTTGACAAGTCTTTGATGGCGCCGTACTCTATAGAGATTTTGTTGACCCAGTGCCGCGTGTCTTTGGGTTTGATGGGAACAGCTGGCATTAGCTCCACTAGCTGGGGGTGGTTTAAGCTGAAATAAACATTTTGTTCTAATGAGCGCATTACAGTTAGCAGAGGTGCAGAAATCTGGACGGCCACAATTCTCCAAACAACACATCTCAGAAATTTCTTGCAGAAAACAACAACAGTAAATTAAAAATAAAATTCAAGTTTAAAAAAATTACTCTTTGAAAAAAAATCTCTAAAAGTAAAAAAAAAAAAAAATTTCCTATAACAATAAGAAAAGCTTAATCTCTGCTGAAAGATGGACAGAACAAGTAACTGACTGAAGGAATGACTGGATGACTTTGTGAGTAACTGACTGAATAAATGATTGACTAACTAAAAGAGGATGGACTTGATGTTGGTGGCGCCCCAGTGACTAAATGACTGACTGACTAAATGACTGACTGACTAAATGACTGACTAAATGACTGACTATATATCCAGGCCTTACTTGGAGAGGATGGACTTGATGTTAGTGGCGCCCTAGTGGCTAAATGACAGACTGACTAAATGACTGACTGACTAAATGACTGACTATATATTCTAGCCTTACTTGGAGAGGATGGACTTGATGTTAGTGGCGCCCTAGTGGCTAAATGACAGACTGACTAAATGACTGACTGACTAAATGACAGACTATATATTCTAGCCTTACTTGGAGAGGATGGACTTGATGTTGGTGGCGCCCCAATGACAAAATGACTGACTGACTAAATGACTGACTGACTAAATGACTGAATGACTAAATGACTGACTGACAAAATGACTGACTGACTAAATAACTGACTATATATTCTAGCCGTACTTGGAGAGGATGGACTTGATGTTGGTGGCGCCCCAATGACAAAATGACTGACTGACTAAATGACTGACTGACTAAATGACTGACTGACTAAATGACTGACTATATATTCAGGCCTTACTTGGAGAGGATGGACTTGATGTTGGTGGCGCCCCAATGACTAAATGACTGACTAACTAACTAAATGACTGACTGACTAAATGACTGACTGACTAAATGACTGACTATATATTCAGGCCTTACTTGGAGAGGATGGACTTGATGTTGGTGGTGTGACCTACTTAGGTCACAGTAATGTTTTATTTTGACATTGTATAATACCTTATATGGATTGATGGTGCAACTACCGGGGTTTTTCCACTGTCTTATTAAGGGTGTCTAAGACTAAGAAATTTTCCATCAAGATCTGATTGATTGATTCGGATCAGATGACTACCCCAACCAATGGCTACATGAGTTGAGGATAACCTCCCCTGTGGCCTAAGCAGGGCTGCCTACCCCAAAAATTTTTTCCCCGTAACAAGAGCATAGGTTTTCCGTAATTTTCCGTAACTTTCCGTATTTTTACACATTTTTCTAAATACAATGTAAATAAGACCCATATTATATGATCGTAAAGCTCATCAGCGTAATGATGACAGTCGGCGACTCGTGCTACTTTTTATTTTATGGACTAATAATTAGTTTTTAAAAAACGCCGTGAAATTCAGAATGTAAGGCGACAATGGAAAATTTCAAATAGGAATTGTTCTTGCAATGAGTAGTATGACGTATGTTATAGGCCAACACTACGGATATCTAAACCAATGTGAACTCAGTGACCCCTCGACTGTGTGTGTGTCAGGATTTTTTCTCCCGCGAACAAGAAAACGTAAGCGGCCGACGGGTGACGATGTTTAGAATTAGCATATTTCTTGAATATTTTTTTAAAATCTACATTTTATCAATGTAAAAATATGATCCGTAATTGATCTAGGTGAGCCTAGATCTCGTTGTTTAGTAAAATCTTGTCTTCTCGCACATCTCAAACAAAATGCCTCGATATCTCGCTATTTAGGCATTTAGCCGTAATACCGCCTCAGCAAATATGTCTCGCCAGGCTGCGCGATGAGACTTTCAATGATTTAGGCCACGCCCTTTTTTTTCCTCTACGGACAACACCGACTCATAAGGTAACAGACCACTCGCGGGGGGGAGGGGGGATTGTTACGGAAGAGGCTGAGAACCTTAGAACCGGATAACACACTGAAATGAAATACTGAAATATAACTAGCTAAATTAAAGTATATAACTCAGACCGGGAACATAAAGTTAAGTTACCACCAGAAATTTTTTTTTTTTACACTAAAGTCGATTTTGATCTCTACTGAAATCAAAACCGTAATTTTGCAGCATAATCGTAATTCCGTAACCTGGGTGTCAAAATCGTAAAGTTACGGGCAAAACCGTACAAGTAGGCAGCCCTGCCTAAGTCTTTAACTAGGTCGCACACACGCGACACGAGGCAGTCTACCTTGATCAAACGGTCTATTAAGACCAGGCCGTCCATTTTGTCCGGCAATAGATTCTGACCATTTGAACGTGAGAGAACTTAAGTCCTGAGTGTGCCACGCTTTCTTAAGTTGTTTTAGTCTTCTAGTATAATATTACTTGTCGCCAAGTGATTCTTGAAGCTATAGCAGTGTTGTGTGACCTGTGGCTATTTTTATACAGTGTTAAAATCTGTGATAGTATTTTTTCTTACGCTTTGTAAGTTGGGTTTTGTTATTTTCTAAATTAAATATTTTATCTCGTTTAACCTAGTGTTCTGCCACAACTGTGTTCGCTTATTAAAGGTTGTATGCAGATTGGATGAGTGTTAACTTCAATAGTATCACTAGTTTTCCCTAGACATCAAATCGAGCCCTAGTGTGTTGTTGAGTTAGTGTTCATTCATTTAGGCTTTAAGTCATTTGCATACAGCCCCGAAAAAAGAATCCGGGGACGTTCACCATCTATCTGGCTGGTAGATAGGTAAACGTTACAGTGGCGCCCCAGTGACTAAATGACTGACTGACTAAATGACTGACTAAATATTCTAGCCTTACTTGGAGAGGATGGACTTGATGTTGGTGGCACCCCAGTGACTAAATGACTGACTGACTAAATGACTGACTAAATATTCTAGCCTTACTTGGAGATGATAGACTTGATGTTGGTGGCACCCCAGTGACTAAATGACTGACTGACTAAATGACTGACTAAATATTCTAGCCTTACTTGGAGAGGATAGACTTGATGTTAGTAGCGCCCCAGTGACTAAATGACTGAGTGACTAAATGACTGACTGACTAAATGACTGACTGACTAAATGACTGACTAAATATTCTAGCCTTACTTGGAGAGGATAGACTTGATGTTGGTGGCACCCCAGTGACTAAATGACTGACTGACTAAATGACTGACTAAATATTCTAGCCTTACTTGGAGAGGATAGACTTGATGTTGGTGGCACCCCAGTGACTAAATGACTGACTGACTAAATGACTGACTAAATATTCTAGCCTTACTTGGAGAGGATAGACTTGATGTTGGTGGCACCCCAGTGACTAAATGACTGACTGACTAAATGACTGACTAAATATTCTAGCCTTACTTGGAGAGGATAGACTTGATGTTAGTAGCGCCCCAGTGACTAAATGACTGAGTGACTAAATGACCGACTGACTAAATGACTGAGTGACTAAATGACTGACTATATATCCAGGCCTTACTTGGAGAGGATGGACTTGATGTTGGTGGCGCCCCAGTGATTAAATGGTTGACTGACTTACTAAATGACTGACTGACTAAATGACTAACAGACTGTATCCGTGTATATTCTAGCCTTACTTGGAGAGGATGGACTTGATGTTAGTGGCGCCCCAGTGTTGCAGGCTGAAGATGATGGTGGCGAAGCTGATGGTGTCCTTATCCCCACACGGGTACAAGCCACTCCTGTAGTTGTGTCGCGCTTCATAGAACAACAGGTCCAGGGCTTTTGGGTGCTGGAGCTGTAGACAGGGGGGCTTCATGTCAGGTACAGCAGTCACAAGTTGATGTCAGCAGTCATAGTCAGCAGTCATGACATGATGTCAGCAGTCATGACTTGATGTCAGCAGTCATGACATGTCAGCAGTCATGACTTGATGTCAGCAGTCATAGTCAGCAGTCATGACTTGATGTCAGCAGTCATGACTTGATGTCAGCAGTCATGACTTGATGTCAGCAGTCATGACTTGATGTCAGCAGTCATGATTTGATGTCAGCAGTCATGACTTGATGTCAGCAGTCATGACTTGATGTCAGCTGTCATAGTCAGCAGTCATGACTTGATGTCAGCAGTCATGACTTGATGTCAGCAGTCATGACTTGATGTCAGCAGTCATGACTTGATGTCAGCAGTCATGACTTGATGTCAGCAGTCATGACTTGATGTCAGCAGTCATGACTTGATGTCAGCAGTCATGACTTGATGTCAGCAGTCACAAGTTTATGTCAAAGGTCACAAGTTGATGAGTTCTGCTCACCTGTCTACCTGACCTATGTCCCCACCTGACCCACCCATCTACCTGACCCACCCGTCTACCTGACCCACCCATCTACCTGACCCACCCGTCTACCTGACCCACCCGTCTACCTGACCCACCCGTCTACCTGACCCACCCGTCTACCTGACCCACCCGTCTACCTGACCCACCCGTCTACCTGACCCACCCATCTACCTGACCCACCCGTCTACCTGACCCACCCGTCTACCTGACCCACCCATCTACCTGACCCACCCGTCTACCTGACCCATGTCCCCACCTGCCCCATGTCCCTACCTGCCCCATATCCCTACCTGACCCACCCACCTACCTGACCCACCCACCTACCTGCCCCATGTCCCTACCTGACCCACCCACCTACCTGACCCACCCACCTACCTGCCCCATGTCCCTACCTGACCCACCCACCTACCTGACCCACCCACCTACCTGCCCCATGTCCCTACCTGCCCCATGTCCCTACCTGACCCACCCACCTACCTGACCCACCCACCTACCTGACCCACCCATCTACCTGACCCATGTCCCTACCTGCCCCATGTCCCTACCTGACCCATGTCCCTACCTGACCCATGTCCCTACCTGACCCACCCACCTACCTGACCCACCCACCTACCTGCCCCATGTCCCTACCTGCCCCATATCCCTACCTGACCCATGTCCCTACCTGACCCACCCACCTACCTGACCCACCCACCTACCTGACCCACCCATCTACCTGACCCATGTCCCCACCTGACCCATGTCCCTACCTGACCCACCCACCTACCTGACCCATGTCCCTACCTGACCCACCCACCTACCTGACCCATGTCCCTACCTGACCCACCCACCTACCTGACCCATGTCCCTACCTGACCCACCCACCTACCTGACCCATGTCCCTACCTGACCCACCCACCTACCTGACCCATGTCCCCACCTGACCCACCCACCTACCTGACCCATGTCCCCACCTGACCCATGTCCCCACCTGACCCACCTGTTTACCTGACCCACCTGTTTCTCCTTCTCTACACTGACTTTAACATTTCTCCGCCATGTGAGGATAGGTTCCTCATCAGATGGGTTTCTCCTGGAGGTCAGCATGTTGACGCAGCGTGTGTACCACTGCTGCAGCTCCTTGACCACCTCACTCTCTAGCTTCAGCTGCAGCTCTGGGGAAATATTTAGCTCTGTCTTAGCTCAGTACTACTTACATAGCCCTATATAAAGATTTTGTTATGGTCAGTCTTAGCTCAGTACATGACAACTCTATACAAAAGTTAAGTGTCCAAAACAAAAAGTTCAGTCAACGTGTGGTAAATACATGACCAGGACAAAAAAAAAATTTGACCACTTACCCAAAAATTTGACCACTTACCAAAATTTGTTACCACTTACCCAAAAAATTTGACCACTTACCCCAAAAATTTGACCACTTACCCAAAAATTGACCACTTACCCAAAAACTTGACCACTTACCCAAAAGTTTGACCACTTACCCAAAATTTTGACCAATTACCCAAAAAATTGACCACTTACCCCCAAAAATTTGACCACTTACCCAAATATCTGACCACTTACCCCCAAAAATTTGACCAATTACCCAAAAATTTGACCACTAACCCCAAAAATTAGACCACTTACTCCAAAAATTTGACCACTTACCCCAAAAATTTGACCACTTACCCCAAAAATTTGACCACTTACCCCAAAAATTTGACCACTTACCCAAATATCTGACCACTTACCCCAAAAATTTGACCAATTACCCAAAAATTTGACCACTTACCCCAAAAATTTGACCACTTACCCCAAAAATTTGACCACTTACCCCAAAAATTTGACCACTTACCCCAAAAATTTGACCACTTACCTAAATATCTGACCACTTACCCCAAAAATTTGACCAATTACCTAAAAATGTGACCACTTACCCCAAAAATTTGACCACTTACCCCAAAAATTAGACCACTTACTCCAAAAATTTGACCACTTACCCCAAAAATTTGACCACTTACCCCAAAAATTTGACCACTTACCCCAAAAATTTGACCACTTACCCCAAAAATTTGACCACTTACCCAAAAATTTGACCAATTACCCAAAAATTTGACCACTCACCCCCAAAATTTGACCACTTACCCAAAAATCTGACCACTTACCCCAAAAATTTGACCACTCACCCCAAAAATTTGACCAATCACCCCAAAAATTTGACCACTTACCCAAACTCTTAGAGCCAATCCACAATGTAAAAATGTCGGAATAATTCTGTGGTAGATTAAACTCCTGACATGGGAGAAATATTTGATTGAAATTTTTACAAGAAAAACAAGGTGAACTGTTTAACCTTTTATAATTCACAGGTAAATATCAGGTACACAAGTAAACAACAAGTAAACAAATAAGCTTCAGGTACACTGGTAAACAACAGGTATGCAGTAAGAAACAGGTAAACACATAAACTTCAGGTACACAAGTCAAGTTCAGGTACACAGGTAAATATCAGGTACACAGGTAAATATCAGGTACACATGAGGAGTGTACCTTCATGAGCTGCTCATTGAGTTGCTGGACTGTTGTCTTAAAACCTGAGATCAATTTGAGGTTTTTACTGGACTTGTCCATCAAGAAAACTGCCACGGTGAAGCTCTGTTTGAAAACATCAAACATCTTTTCAATGTAAAAACATCAGTTGAACATCTAAACATTTTAAAAATATTGCTGTTTACGTTTTCATAAATAATCCTAGTAAGGGGAAGCTGTACAATCCTTGAGACAACTTAACAAACCATGAAATCACTAAATACACAATGTTGGAAAATTCTAACCATTGTTGGCCAAGCTATAAAGTTTTCTTTTAGAACTGATATCCCACATGGGGCAGATAAAGTAGAGTTCAACTAGTTCTATGAACCGAATGTGTGGTCTGCACTATGTCCAGCCAACATTCACAGAATCAAGTCAAGCACCCATCAGAGCCGAGTAGACTCAGTCATACTGCAGTCTGAGAGGTGAGCATGAGACTTCTGGGTCAGCCACTTGTGACTTACCACTTGACCATCCCACCCCCCCCCCCCCCCTCACAGGTCTCTTGGCGGCCTCTTTGATCAACTTCTCCACTAGCCCCCCTCCCCATAACAAAACTTAAGTGCCCCTCACAGGTCTCTTGGCAGCCTCTTTGATCAGCTTCTCCACCCCCCCCCCCCCCCACAACAAACTTAAGTGTGCCTCACAGGTCTCTTGGCGGCCTCTTTGATCAACTTCTCCACCTCCCCCCCCCCCCCCCCCCAACAAACTTAAGTGCCCCTCACAGGTCTCTTGGCGGCCTCTTTGATCAGCTTCTCCACCCCCCCCCCCCCCCCACACCAAACTTAAGTACCCCTCACAGGTCTCTTGGCGGCCTCTTTGATCAACTTCTCCACCTCACCCCCCCCCCCCCCACACCAAACTTAAGTATGCCTCACAGGTCTCTTGGCGGCCTCTTTGATCAACTTCTCCACCTCACCCCCCACAACAAACTTAAGTGTCCCTCACAGGTCTCTTGGCGGCCTCTTTGATCTTCTCCCCCCCCCCCCCCCCACACCAAACTTAAGTATGCCTCACAGGTCTCTTGGCAGCCTCTTTGATCAACTTCTCCCCCCCCCCCCCCCACAACAAACTTAAGTGCCCCTCACTGGTCTCTTGGCGGCCTCTTTGATCAACTTCTCCCCCCCCCCCCACACTTAAGTGCCCCTCACAGGTCTCTTGGCTGCCTCTTTGATCAACTTCTCCCCCCCCCCCACACTTAAGTGCCCCTCACAGGTCTCTTGGCTGCCTCTTTGATCAACTTCTCCACTTCCCCCCCCCCCCCCCCCACAACCAAACTTAAGTGTCCCTCACAGGTCTCTTGGCGGCCTCTTTGATCAGCTTCTCCACCTCCTCATGCTTGACCGTCTTGTCCAGCACAGTGGCGCAGATGTCCACAGCCCTGTTGCCATCTTTGTCCTTGATGCTCTGGTCAAACAAACACAACTCATGGTAATGTTGGTTACAGCTACATGTTGGCCACAGCTAAGTTATGGCTACAGCTACATGTTGGCCACAGCTAAGTTATGGCTGCAGCTACGTACTGGCTACAGCTAAGTTATGGCTGAATAAGTCTACGCCATTCTATAACTTACAAACTTTATTCTAAGATTTGTATAAAATATCATATCCACAACCATGTCAGCTAATGTACTGAGTACCTACCAGGTCTACAAATGTACTGAGTACCTACCAGGTCTATATCAGGACACTGCAACAAACATTTGGCCAACTGGACGTGGCCTCTCTTGGCCGCCGTGTGTAAAGCTGTGTTTTTCTCAACGTCCACCAGATTAGGGGAACATCCAGCAAACAACAGCGCCTCAACAACATTGACATGGCCATACCTTTATATAGACAACGTTGACATGGCCATACCTTTATATAGACAACATTGACATGGCCATACCTTTATATAGACAACATTGACATGGCCATACCTTTATATAGACAACATTGACATGGCCATACCTTTATATAGACAACATTGACATGGCCATACCTTTATATAGACAACATTGACATGGCCATACCTTTATATAGACAACATTGACATACCTTTATATAGACAACACTGACATGGCCATACCTTTATATAGACAACATTGACATGGCCATACCTTTATATAGACAACGTTGACATGGCCATACCTTTATATAGACAACATTGACATGGCCATACCTTTATATAGACAACATTGACATGGCCATACCTTTATATAGACAACATTGACATACCTTTATATAGACAACACTGACATGGCCATACCTTTATATAGACAACATTGACATGGCCATACCTTTATATAGACAACATTGACATGGCCATACCTTTATATAGACAACATTGACATGGCCATACCTTTATATAGACAACATTGACATGGCCATACCTTTATATAGACAACATTGACATACCTTTATATAGACAACATTGACATGACCATACCTTTATATAGACAACATTGACATGGCCATACCGTTATACAGACAACATTGACATGGCCATACCTATATATAGACAACATGGCAAACATGGCTATATACAACATTTCAGGTGTTAAAAATCTATCAAATTTTAAAGCAGAAAATTTCCTTCAATAGAGAGAAATGAAAAAGCTATCAAAAAAATTTCCGTGTAATAATTTAGTTAGTGTACAAAATTTTCTTGTGATACATGTCCCCACAAATTGTTTATGTGATACATCCCCCTCCCCAAAAATAATTTTTGTATGTGATACATCTCCCCCCCCCCAAATAATTTTTGTATGTGATACATCTCCCCCCCCCCCCAAAATAATTTTTGTATGTGATACATCCCCCCAAATATTTTTTTAATGAGATACATCTCCCCCCCCCCCCCACTCCACAAACCAACCAACCTGGCAGCATAATGGATAGGTGCACAACCAACATTATCCAGCACTGAAGGGGAGTAACCTTGTCTCAACAGTAGCTCAACTGTACGTTTCTCCCCCTGAGCAGCGTAGTTATGTAAGGGGTATCTGTCCTGCCATCTGCTGCCTCTATCAGAGACACCAAGAGAAAAACATACGGTTAAAATAAGGGGTATCTGTCCTGCCATCTGCTGCCTCTATCAGAGACACCAAGAGAAAAACATACGGTTAAAATAAGGGGTATCTGTCCTGCCATCTGCTGCCTCTATCAGAGACACCAAGAGAAAAACATACGGTTTAAACAAGCACAACATCAATAGATATGAACCTATGTTAATGATAAAAATAAATTTTAAAATTAGGCCTACATAAAATAAAAAGTGCTCCCACCCCCCCCCCCCTGCCTATTGTTTGTATATCGTATATAGTGAGAATGGTAGCCAAACTTACGTGGAGTTGTTGCTGACGTGTACGCTGGGCATATTTGGCCAATGCTGGTTTATCACATACGTATTTGGCTGAAAAGTTTGGTCGATCAGTTATTTAACACATTTTTAATCATTTATTCAATTTAATATTTTATCAGTTATTTAATCTTATATGTGGTCACATTGTGAAGCTTATAACTTGGAGAGGTAGGGGAGAGAACATTTAACTAGTTGATCATATCAGAAAATAAATAACACACAATTGACTTCTCAACAAATTTTTAATGCTAGCTGCAGTTAAGCCCCCCCCCCCCCCCTCCTCCCCTCCCCTCCCCCCATTACTACAGGTGTTCCCAGGAACTGACCTTTGTTTTGTAGGGCAGGGCAGATCCAAAAAGTGGATTGATCACAACCGTATTACATTTCTCTATGGCCAACATTTTGGCCAAGGCTTCGTTGGCCGTCTTGACAATCTCCTGGGGGACGTTCCCAGTTTTACCGTTGGACCCTGAGTCGACGTCGACAGAGAGGCGACTATGAATGAAGACGGGGTTGTGTACGGTGAAGTGGATGCGGTAGTCGGCTCTCTGTTGGAACATAAACTCAATGGCCGTTTGACGCTGATGTTTTTCTTCCAACCAACTGAAAACATTTTTAAAGAATTTTTTTCTCAAAGCACAAAAATAAAGCATAACATAAAAAAATCATTAAACTCTAACCAACCAGATATTGAAGTTGAATGAAGTTAGGTTCATCTACCCTGCTTCTTTTTAAAAACGCATTAGTCGCCAAAATGTGCAAGAGATTTAACGAGGAGCTACTAATGCTTCATTAAATAATTATAAGCAAGTTTTATTTATTTTTAATTTTTAGTTTATTATTATAAAGTTTTTTTCTAATTTGTTTTATTTTCTCTTGTTTTGTAATTCATTCTTATTGTAATTGACACCACATACGACTACAAATATCTGCCACAACCAACAAACAAACAAACATTGTGAAGTAGATAAAAAATTATTTAAAAAGTGACCAAAAGAGCTGACCTCTCCAACTGTAACAAAAATGTCCGTGTGGGTGAGGGGAAGTGGATAGAGTTGTGGTTGACCGTGTGGATGACGTACTCTAGTGGGTAGAAGCTGGGTGGGGTCTGGGCTGGGTCAGTGACTTTCTTCACCACTTCAGCTGGACAGACAGGTGAGAGAATATATTGTTACGGTAACTCAACAGGTGAGACAAATATTGTTACAGTAACTCAACAGGTGAGATAAATATTGTTACAGTAACTCAACAGGTGAGACAAATATTGTTACAGTAACTAATAGCAACAGGTGAGACAAATATTGTTACAGTAACTCAACAGGTGAGATAAATATTGTTACAGTAACTCAACAGGTGAGACAAATATTGTTACAGTAACTCAACAGGTGAGACAAATATTGTTACAGTAACTCAACAGGTGAGACAAATATTGTTACAGTAACTCAACAGGTGAGACAAATATTGTTACAGTAAAATCAGTGTTATTACTTCAGTTGCAACACACAAAAATTATACAAGCTCTAGACAAAAATTAAATTTTTGCATGCATTGGAAGATAAATTCTTCATAAATAGAAATATTTAACTATTTTTTTAGTTAATGTAAAGGTGATTAAAATTGTTTTGTTACATACGGGATGAATCAAAATAAGTTAATACATTTTAAAGCAAATATTATCTACATGGGAGAATTAAATTTTACCAATAATAAATTTTCTTTTTATTAACAAGTTCACTTCATAGCAAACCCATTTTTTAAGTTTGAGAAAAACAAAAAATAGCATCACAAATCAATTGTGAAAGAACAAACTTGAAAAATATAAAGTACAATTAATTATAATCTTTCTGAATTTATTTGAAAAAAAAAAAAAAAAAACAGCTGCAAATTTGACAGGATATCAGTATAGTAAAAGAACAACCATATCTAGATAGATGAACTCACCATTTAGACTAACAGGGACAAAGTACAATGAAAATCTGGCCAATGATTCCCTGTGAGCACTATGGAGGCTGTTATTCCACTGGACTAGCAGGGCACGCTCACCTAGACAAACAGGAAATTTGTTCAAGGTCAAGTTTTCAGACGATAACAATGTTGGTGGAATGTCATACAAAATATATAAAGAAAACGTTACTAAAATCTACATAAAATTTATGCATAAAACCCCCAGTGACCTTTGATCCCAGTCAAATTGTGGACTTGGGTCAGCACTAGCTCTCTGGGTTCCTCATCCATAGACTTGATGGTCATCATGGGCAGATATTTACTTTGTTTACCCTGAAACATCATGTCATAGTACAGGCTTGAGAATACAGTCTTTTAAACATCTTATGATGTCATAGTACAGTCTAGAGAATACAGTCTTTTAAACATCATAGTATGTCATAGTACAGTCTTTTAATCATCATATGATGTTATAGTACAGTCTTGAGAATAGTCTTTTAATCATCATATGATGTTATAGTACAGTCTTGAGAATACAGTCTTTTAAACATCATATTATGTCTTAGTACAGTCTTTTAATCATCATATGATGTTATAGTACAGTCTTGAGAATAGTCTTTTAATCATCATATGATGTTATAGTACAGTCTTGAGAATACAGTCTTTTAAACATCATATTATGTCTTAGTACAGGCTTGAGAATACAGTTTTTTAAACATCATATGATGTCATTGTACAGTCTTGAGAATAGTATTTTAGTTTTTTACATTTTCAATTCATTCAAAACAGTAATTTAACATCTGACTACAATACATTGTAGTAATTATACATCAACAAAGCTGCATTCTGATAAAACAGTTGGGTCAAGGTTTTCAAATGTGGTCAGTGATCAATGTCTTCAGTTTGGTCAACCCATACGATACCTTCTCCCTGGGTGGCATTTTGTAATGTGTTCAGTGTGTTTAATGTGTTCAGTGTGTTTAATGTGTTCAGTGTGTTGAGTACAGACAGTGTTGGCAACTAGGTGGTATTTGGTAATGTGTTCACTGTGTTAAGTAGAAACTAAAAGTTGACAACCCATACCTTCACCCCGGGTGGCATTTTGTAATGTGTTCAGTGTGTTTAATGTGTTCAGTGTGTTGAATGTGTTCAGTGTGTTTAGTGTGTTTGATGTGTTGAGTACATACAGTGTTGACAACCCATACCTTCTCCCCAGGTGGCATTTTGCTGTCTAACAAAAGTATTTCGTACAGCTGGGGCCTGTAGGTCATGGTAGCATGGCCAGGTTTGGCAGGCTTGATCACAGCCACTACTATATCCATGGTAAGGTGGGGCTCTCACACCTCTCATCAACACCTAGGAGAAATTTTTTAAAACAAAAAACATTAAATGAGACAAATTATTAATAAATAGAATTAAACAACATTATAAAACTAACCAAATAGATTTGCCTAAAATGAATCAATATATATAAATAAGAAGTTTTCCACCACATTCGATGTAGTAGCTAGTAAGGGGTTGTCCATTATTATATTTCAGGAAATTACAATATTTTAGCCAATATTAACCACTCCCTTACATTACAGCAGATCATCACTAAGTCAATTTATAAAATTTTTATTAAAAGAGGATGTGCCACTACTGCCACCTATGATTGATATTTTATAGATATTCTCCAAATTAAATCTGTGACTATAACATTTCTGACTGGCATAATCATAAGTCTATATGACAAATAAATATAGCAAAGATGGCAATGCGAGGCTTAGCATGATGATCAAATGGTACACTACTGTCGAACCAAGTTCTGGGTTCAGATCATGAATTTCATTTCACTCAAATTTTTTTTCATTAGTTTTGAAAGGATTTTTATATTTTAAAGAATTTTTCATAGTGCATATCGCCAAATGGCAATGTGTGACAACGAAATGAAACAAAGTGTAGTTAAATTCTTCTCATTTGTGATGTGATCACACACATTTTAAAAAGAAAAATAAGATAAAAAAGTATTGTACTGGAAACTAAAACATTGATAATCATTAAATATTATTTTATTTTATAACCCATTTGTTAGCCTATTGGATTTTTAATAATTAGCCTAATTATTATTAATTAGTCCAGGTATTTGCTTACCCTTATTATACTATAGGATAGGCTAGTTAAAATTAAATAATAAAAACAACAGGCATCCTTTTTTATTTTATCAGATTTAGGCTAGGCCCTAGAGAATATAATTAATTTAGGGCCTATAGGCCTATTTTAAAATGTTTAGGCGTAGGCCTAGTTAATAAATATAGTAATTAAAATATTTTATTCTTTAATCAAATTGATGAGTGACAGACTGTTTGGTCAGAATTTAGTCAGAATCAGATGTTCACATACATAGTCACATACAACAAAAAAATTCACATATCATATTTTTTAGTCTCTCGTAAAACTGGCATCAATCATAAATCATATCCCTACAAATATTATTGTATTTATTAATTATTGTAGGCCCCTATTTCTAACTATTTAACTACGTTACTTACCAAATCATAATGACATTTATTTTAATCTGCAAAATTTTAAAAAGTCCAACAGTCGAAATTAAATGTTATCGGAATTAGGTTATTTAGCAAAATCCGACGTAACTATTATTTTTTAGGGACTTGTTTGACAGGTTGATAATCGAGTTTCCCTCTGTAATTCAAATAAATCTATAATCTATCATTTTAAATATAGATTAGACCTTATAATTCAAATTTAGCCATAATTTGTTTACATTTATAAAAGCTAAAATGATCTGGATTCTAGAGTGGTAACTTAGAGTAACAAAATAGTAAATAGTCTAGAGTCTAGTCTAATGTTTACAAATACAAAGAACAGGCAGGAAGTCGAATAAAGTCGAAATAGTTTTGTTATTTTAGTCGTAGTTTTTAAAACGTTAGGTCCTATATTTAGAACTAGCTAGTATGGGGTTTCTTTTAATTACTGCCAGTAGTAAAGAGCTAGATCTACTCTACTCCATCTACTGTAAACTACTTGATGATGGGATCTAGATCTAGAGTAATCTAGACTTATGTGCTCTTATTATAAGATTAGTTAATACACTAATTCATTTTACCCCATTCTCTATTTATTCTGAAGACTTACTTTCATAAACCCCTGCGTGATTCTCTATAATCTAGTGGTCAGAGCCGGCGTTAGCGGTACGCGGGGCCTATGGCCAACCATCCGCGCGGGGCCTTATATTTTTTTCATTGGTGTATAATTAAATAAAACATGTACAGTGAGGCGTTTTTCTTTCTTCTCAAAGCGAATTAATATTTATAACGATATATATGATATTTTTAAGCTGTTTATCAATGTCGTATTAACATTAAGGCACATTAACAAATAATTTGTTTACTTAGAAGTGCTTTTGAAACGTTGCTTGTTTCTGTTAAGGCTTTTTGTTTGAAAAGTAAAAAATAAAACAGATATAAGTTTGAGACACGCATTAAAGAGACGATGAACGTCAGCTTCAAACCTGATTTTTTTTCCATTAATGTTTATTTATGAAAATCTTACCAGTACGTTCACAAATGAAGATCTACTTTTCTTGCCTTTCGTGAGGAAAATTCCATGATTATATCATCATAGTTTAAACTGGAGGCTATGTCTTTTTCTATTGACAGAATCGACAGGCCGCAGAGCCTGTCTTGGGACATCGTTGACCTCAAATAGTTCTTGATCAACTTCAGTTTGGAGAAACTTCTTTTGGCACTTGCCACAGTGACTGGAACTGTTAGCAAGATTCTGTAGGCGATCGCCGTATTGGGAAAGGAATCCCCAATACTCCAAATGTACTGAAGGCACTGTTTGGCTGACTTAATACCTTCGGGCACTTTAAAGCATCATTAAATCGGTCCACAGTGGCAGGTGATAGTATCGATATTTTCTCAATTTATCGAGTGTTAACAGGGGCATTCAAAGTGTGTGGATGCCGGGGAAAATAGCAAAACATTGATAGATTTCGGAATAAGCTCGAATCGTGAAAAACACTGTTTACAGCTATAGATATCCAAATGAAATGACTCTCAAATGTAATCACGGACGCTCAGTAAGGTGGAACACTTGGGGGGGGGAGTGACAGTTGGTGGGGTGAGGTGAAGCCCGTGAAGGATAACTGTACATTTAAATCTATGGGTCGCCAAACCCTAAAAAAAAAAATCAGTTCGGGTACTACGTTAATGATCTCTGACCGCAGCCATTCAAGAGAAGGTGCGTGTTTATAGAGCGTCCGAGTATTACATTACAGATTAAGACCGCGTTCTCACAAGAGAAGGTCCGTATCTATAATTAGAAAGTGAACCATGTGACAGCCAGCTTCATGTTATTTATGAGTTTCGCGATGCCGGTAATTTAGACGTTTTAGAAATCAGGAGAACTTTACCATAAAACAGTCTCGGCCCGATGTATCAAACAGTATAGACTTTATAATTTGTTTAGTGTGCCTACACTATTTTAAAACAAGAATCACTATGGCCTTAACTATTATACTTAACATCCCTACACAGAAGCGTAGCGAGGGGGGGGGGGGGGTGCGGATCGCACCGGGTGACACTATTAAGGGGGGTCACACCAAGGCAAAAAATAGCAAAATATATAGAGAAAAACTTGAGGGGGGTGCAAATCGAAAGTTTGAGGTGGGGGGGGGGGTGCAAATCAAAAGTTTGAGGGGGGGGGGGGTGCAAATCGAAAATTTGAAAGGGTTTTTTCCCGGGAAGGGTCGCTACGCCTCTGGGGGGGGGGTGTCACCATTAAGTGCCGCACCGGGTGACACCCGACCTCGCTACGCCACTGTCCCTACAATTAATTAAAATAAACATGTGCTTAATCACTTTACGAATACCGTTAAAGTTTACCAAAATGAAAATGGACATAATTACTGTATAAATGCTCTTCAAAAATATAAACATAAATACAAGTATAATGTATTTAAATATGACCTGACAATATATAAAATAAATATGAACATAATTACTGTATGGATGCCTATCAAACGTATCGTGGTGAATATGCATAATTACACAAAAGATGCCCATACAGTGTATAAATTATGATTTTAGGGATAAATAATCTGGATTTCCGGGGCATGTCCCCATCCGCTCTCCCCCCCCCCCTCCCTCCTCTGCAAGACATCATTAGGTCACTGACTGTTTACTACAGACACCCCCGCCTGCTCACTAAAAAAAACGTCTTCAACGGTCCATAGGGTATCTTTTTACGTTTTTTCCCGATTTTACCTCCCATGTCAGGTCGGGGGCTAATTCGCGACCGCCATCTCTAGTCACCTCAGGACAATAGCGAGTCGACCGTGTCAGCGATTTGTGACACTAATGTCTTTCTTTAGAATAACAGTCTGTCCCAGTCCATGTAGAGTAGAGGATAACTCACTAACATCAGCCTTGGCCTCAGTTTTAACATACAACAACTTCGGCCATTTAGTAGTTTTTTTGTTTTTTAAATTTAATTCGGCAAAGATTATTTAAGTTTACAAACTAATTCAGGCAACAATGGCCTTGCTGAAGCGCGGGGCCCCTTCAAGCGCGGGGCCTGGGGCGGCCGCCCCGTTTGCCACCCCCTAACGCCGGCTCTGCTAGTGGTATCTATTCTATGGCCGTCTACCTACCAGCCAGTGGTTCCTAACCCCACCGACTTTAACCGAACCCTTTTTAATAGAAATGTTTTTTTTTGTCAAACTCAAAACATAATGCAACAGATACCATGGGGTATCATTCAGGGGGGATTATTTAAACCAGGGGTCTCCAAACTTTTCAGTCCGAGGGCCGCATTAACTATCAAATTTCAGTTCAGGGGCCAGTTTCTTCCAGGCATGTCTTTGATTTTTCTGGGCAAAGTTCCTCAGCCATCACAAACAAACGTTTTTTCCGTGGACAAAAAAATCTCCGCGGGCCGGATAAGAGGACCTCGCGGGCCGCATCCGGCCCGCGGGCCGTAGTTTGGAGACCCCTGAGATTTTAAACCATTTTTTCTGGGTAGCGGCCCATGTGGAACCGCAACTGTTGATGTTATTTTTGTGCTCTTCGGTGAGCAATGTTTCCCCGTGTTTCCCATGTCATGTGACCTCTGTGTAGTTGTGAATGTGTCAACTGGATTCAAACCCCAGTCTGCGGGTGATCAGGACAGTATACTGACACGGACATAGAAGAACTAGAGTAATGTATATAGACCTAATGAAGGGCTTTATGATTTTATATCATACTAGTGCCACATGTTGCGGACTAGATATGTGAAGTGAGTTCATTATAATGTATATTTATAATACTTGTTGGCATTATATTCAAGTAGATCTATATTGTCCTACTGTATTAACACTGTATTATTTTACGACAAAGCTGCATGGTATGTAAGCATCGGCATCCGTGTATTTGAATGATATAGCATACATGTGGTATTGTTAAATAAGTATGTAATCTATTATTGTGTTCAGAGTTTCTTCCCTGCATCTCTTCCCCCCCCCCCCCCGAAGAAAGTCTACCACCCCCCCCCCCCCACCACCGAACGAAATGGAATTTATATAGAAAATATATACTTTTGACAGTGTCCGCCCCCCGAAAATTGTCCGCCCCCCCCCCCCTCCGCCCGAAAATTTCGAGAGCACCCCCGGAGAACAAAAAATCCGGAAGAAACACTGCTTGTGTTGTCCATCTTCATGTAGCTCAAGGGTGTTCTCTTAGTATTGCCAGTGCTTGACTAGAATTGCTCAACTTGACACAAATATAATACGTTTAGGCAAAAGCGCTAATGGTCAGAGACAGGTAAAAATCTCGTACAACCCGAAAGGTACCAAATTTTAAAAAAAACTGGATTAAAAAAAAATCGAGTCATCCTTTAAACTCATTTCAAGGGTTGTTTCAGGTATGCGTGCCTACAGTTTTGATGAAGTAGAAACTATACTTTGGTCTAGTATTTGTCACATTTGAATGTGATAAACAAAGGTAATAATATCAGCATCAATAAACTATGAGCCAGTATGGAGTTTCATTAGGTCGAGTCAAGCCGAGGTTCCGCTGGGTTGGACCCCATTGGGACGAGGTCCCGTTGGGTTGGACCCCATTGGGACGAGGCCCCGTTGGGTTGGACACCATTGGGACGAGGTCCCGTTGGATTGGACCCCATTGGGACGAGGCCCCGTTGGGTTGGACCCCATTGGGACGAGGTCCCGTTGGATTGGACCCCATTGGGACGAGGTCCCGTTGGATTGGACCCCATTAGGCCGAGGTCCCGCTCGGTTGGACCCCATTGGGACGAGGTTCCGCTGGGTTGGACCCCATTGGAACGGAACGAGGTCCCGTTGGGTTGGACCCCATTTGGCCGAGGTCCCGCTGGGTTGGACCCCACAAGAACGGACCCCATTGGGCCCAGGTCCCCGCCTGTCCGACCTTTCAGATGTTACATAGCCTTATCGTTATGTACACGTGACCTCTTGCACCTAGAAACTCGATTGACCCGAGGCGTTGATGCGAATCTTGTCCCCCCCCCCCCCACAATCTCGACTCATCCCACACAGCCATCTGAAGACAATGACAAAAATAACTTGTCAATCTTGACAGGGCGTGGGAAGGTCTAAGTTAACAAGCAACTAAAAATTGCGTTGGTGGACTTGTCAGTTTTGGGCGCCTCTACTCTAGAACATGCAGTTTTGTAAGTTCTGAACTTAATAATACGCATTGATGTAAGTTCTGAACTCTATAACATGTAAGTTCTGAACTTAATAATACGCATTGATGTAAGTTCTGAACTCTATAACATGTAAGTTCTGAACTTAATAATACGCATTGATGTAAGTTCTGTACTCTATAACATGTAAGTTCTGAACTCTATAATACGCATTGATGTAAGTTCTGAACTCTATAACATGTTGTGTTGTAAGTTCTGAACTCTATAATATGTTGTGTTGTAAGTTCTGAACTCTATAATATGTTGTGTTGTAAGTTCTGAACTCTATAATATGTTGTGTTGTAAGTTCTGAACTCTATAATATGTTGTGTTGTAAGTTCTGAACTTTATAACATGTTGTGTTGTAAGTTCTGAACTCTATAGCATGCTGTAAGTTCTGATTTGCCTGGATTACACTTCACACATCCACAGAACAAACGTTCTTGATCTCAGGGATCCTGGTAGTCAGAGCTTAGTGCCAGGTAGATTTTACAGGTAAGCCAGCTTTTGTTATATTTCAAGCTAGAAAACAAGATAATAAGAACAAAACGATAACATTTATTGACGTTGATCTATCAATAAAATCCAGAATAAAATCAATAAAACGTTGAATACATCAATAAAATCCAGAATGCACAAAACAAAGTACTCAAACATTTTCACAAAACATTGGTGCCAGTCAACCTCTATTACTAGAGGTAAGTTGTCTAACAGCTTATTAGGTATCTTTAACTACCGATGTCAACCGTAATAAACAGCTCAGTAGGCATCTATAACTACTGATGGCACATGTGATAAGCTACAATTTATGTCACAATGAGGTGAACAGACGTCCTTTAAAGACGTTGCCAACCTGACGTCATCAATCAGTGAATTAAAGACGTCACCAACTTGAGGGCTAAGGGTCATTCTGACCTTTGTTACCACGTGACTTGACATAACAAACTTCGTATCTTCTAAACAAAAATGTGGTGAAAATTATGATACGCTAAATTAGGAGAGAATCGTGTTTATGTAAGGAAGTGGAATGGAACTTGAACAAAACGGCGCCTACAGTTGGGAACATTGATTGTCTGTAAAGACATCTGATTAAATCTGATCAACCTCACACGTTTTGGGCTCGTCGCCTTAAATAAACTTAAAAAAGGATGGGTGTTTTACATAGAACTTTTACGAATGGTGGGGTGGGAGGAGGGGGCGCATGGGTTGTGTAATGTATGAAAAATGCTATGAAATTTTACTTTTGAAAGGGGACGCTTTTATTTATTGCCCGGGCCACTTTGTCACAACCAGCCCACACTACTGATGAGAAAGGGCACTAAATATATTGGTATTTTTTCCCCTTAAGTTTTGATACATCAACAGCAAGTAATTACCAGACAACAAATGCCCTAGCTACGCCACGCTGATAGGTTAAGGGTTTTGATAAGAGTTAATTGAATGGTGGCCTGTATCCACTTACACGTAATTGATAACATCACTTTTTAAAGTAGGCAACTGTTTGATGACTTCAAATTTCTACTTCACACAAAGATAACTTCAGAAGGAGGAAGTTCTTTTCTACGAACCAATCAGATTACGCGTTACATCCGTCTTCATCTCGCCGAAAACTATCTCGGCTTGTGAGCTGGTGACATCACAGTGACGTCACCAGTCCACATCTGTTGGACCTGCACATTGGGTAGGGAAGGTGGGGCTCAAGGTCACACGTTGTCTGGTATACTTGACCCAAGTGACTTGGCATATAATCTGTTATGGACTACCCGTAAAAACAAAGAATTTTAATTTTTCTTGTTTTAAAGTAAGCTAAAATAGTCGTAGGCTTATAACTAATACTAATACATAGCTAGGTGTACTAAACTATACAAATAAAAAAAAAATTTTTTTGCTATTCGATGCGGCAGAAGATAGGATCAACCATTTGTGTTAAAAATGTTTAAAATTTTAAGCCGCCTCAAAAAGATATTTTTCATCTGATCCTTCAAATAATACAAGCAATATTTAAAAAAAAAAAGTTATAACTTGATCAGTCTGTTTCTAATAAATAAAAAAAAAAATTGAGTCACACGCTATTCCCAGGTCCGAAGCTATCTTCTCCTTAAAAAAAAGGTAATTCAACATATAGTCGAATGATGTCAAACTAGTAGGGGGGAGGGGGTCCGTAAATTTATGCCGATGTGTGATGAGGGAGAGGGGGTTCAGATGTTGTGACGTCAACCTTTTGCATTATAAATAAACCGGGAGTGATCTCTCCTAAATTTCTCGAATATTCTTATATAACACTACGTGGGATGGCAACTCGGAATATCGACATGATTTTCAATTACTTAAACTTTTTGAAATAGAATAGAATCTCGTAGAAAAAAGAATTGCGCACCAAGCGAACGCCAAGCAAAATGTGTATAATAGCGCGGAATATTATTAGTACTTAATAAATTCTCATGCTATTTTTTTTTTGAGAAATTGGAAATAACAAATATTACTTCTCCCGACCAACGAAAATTATTCAAAATTTGACAGAAGGCAGAGAATTAGATCTTTTACTTACTTATGAAATTTCATTTATCTATCTGAAATATTACTAACGTTATAGGATTTTGAAAAATTGAAAAAGTTCCACTTTCGGTTATCGGATATCGCTCAAAAGTTGATACGGATCTACGATTTTGATATAATAGTTATATATGAAATTTCACCAACCTAGCTGTAACCGTACTCAAGTTATCATGTTTACAGACACACACATACACACACAGAGACATACGGAAAAGATTGCAAAACTATGTTTTTCCAACTCAGGGAGGTGTAAAACGTCGAGATGAGCAAAAATCTCGATTTTTTTGTACGATTACAAGACTTGGTAAATACGAGAAAGTAAAAAAGCAGTGTTAGAATACGAAATTTAGCCATTGTTTCGCGTTTTAGAAAACTGTTTTAATAAATTGATATAGGAAGTGATTAAATTACTCTAGGTTGACAGAGTCTATATACGATTTTCGAAAAATATCGATGTTTTAAGAAAAATTAATCTGCAATTTTGAGGGGGGGGGGGGGGGGCACGCCATTTAGGGTCCCATAGCCGACCATAATACATTTTTTATAGTTAAAAAAATAATTTTCTTGCATTCTTGACTTGACGATAAAAGCTTTTATAAATAACAAACAAATCTACTACAGTAGTGATGTTATACAGTAACTAACACATGCTGTTGCATAGAAAAAAACATACATGCCTGAGCTGTAGTGTGAAAGATAGGCAAACCTTCAAAACACTTCCAAGACTTATTTCCTTTTTTTAAATAGTTAAATATGGGTACTCATAAGCTCCTTTTGATATATTTGTACTAAACAAATTAAAAAGCTATTACTTCTCTTAATTATTATTTTTTAAAAATTTCAATGGCGGAACTAGAAAAAAAGGGCCACCCCGCAAATAATTTTATTTGCGGGGTGGCCCTTTTTTTCTAGTTCCGCCACTGGGAGGGGTTCTGGCTTTTTGTGACGATGTGTGACTGAGGGGACGGGGGAGGTAAAAAAAAAACACGTCAAAAAGCGTGACGTCATTTACGGATGACCCCCTTACCCCTTAATAAAGTATTAGTATTACAAATACGATGCTCTGTCTAGTCTTCAACTATTTATTGGTTGGAAGAATTCAACAGATAACAGACGTTATCAAATATCTGTGTAGGATATACTGAAGCAGATAATTAGATATCGGCTGCTAAAGTTAGGTTAAAAAGCCCGGTGAAATTCAGTTCTTCGTTTCGATATCACGATCTGGACTGTCTATTAGTGTTGCTGGCAGTCTATTAGTGTTGCTGGTCAGTCTATTAGTGTTGCTGGTCAGTCTATTAGTGTTGCTGGTCAGTCTATTAGTGTTGCTGGTCAGTCTATTAGTGTTGCTGGTCAGTCTATTAGTGTTGCTGGTCAGTCTATTAGTGTTGCTGGTCAGTCTATTAGTGTTGCTGGTCAGTCTATTAGTGTTGCTGGTCAGTCTATTAGTGTTGCTGGTCAGTCTATAACTGTTGCTGGTCAGTCTATTAGTGTTGCTGGTCTATAAATACAGCCAACACTGAACTTGAACTGTACAATGTCAGCGGTGTGTGGGTGACGAAATAGCTGCGATCATGGGCGAGAATTACAGCGAGGTAAGCACGAGTTATTTCCATTTATGCCCCTCTCTTCAACATGACATACAAAGAAAAAAATTAAACTAAAACAATTCATAAAGAAAGTTTTAATAACAAGCTGGGGTCTCTTCCTAAATATTTGTAAAGGTATCCAATAGATACTAAAGTTACCCACGTTTTTCTGTATAGTTATTTAAATAGTAGTGTATAATTTATTTTCTACTTTTTAGTGCACGAGCCGGCCCGCGGCATACCATACGCCGCTATTTAGTTGTTGTTTTTTCTACTTTTCAGTAATTCATAATTTGTGAATTCGACAGTACCAACGCTGCCACTGAAAATATTTCTTTAAAACACTATAAGTAGCTCGTTAAGGACGATACCCCCCCTCCTTCACCCCCACCCCTCCGTTAACGTAAACTCCACTTAGTTACCCCCCCCCCCCTACGTTTAAAAAACATTTTTTATGAATTTATTACCGAAGTTTAATTTTTTACTTTCTCGTATATACGAAGTATAGAGAAAGTCTTGTAATCGCGCAAAAAAAAAAAAAAAAAAAAAAAAAGGATTTTTGAAAATCTCGACGTTGTACACCCGAGTCGGAAAAACATAGTTTTGCAATCTTGTCCGTATGTCTGTGTGTCTGTGTGTGTGTGTGTAAACATAATAACGTGAGTACCATTAAAGCTAGGTTGGTGAAATTTCATATATAAGTATTATATCAAAATCGTAGATCCGTATCAACTTTTCAGCGATTTCCGATAACCGGAAGTGGAACTTTTCTACTTTCAATTTTTCAAAAGCCTATAACGCTAGTACTATTTCAGATTGATAAATGAAATTTAACATGTAAGTAAAAAGATCTAATTCTCTGCCTTCTGGCAACTATTGAGTAATTTCCGTTGACCGGAAGTAGTAATTTTCGCTACTTCCGATTTATCAAAAAACAAAACAAAAAAAAAAACAACGCATGTAAATAAATTTATAAAGTACTAATAATATTCCGCACTATTATACATATTTTGTTTTGCGTTCACAACCTACTAATTAGACACAATTTTAATTAATTCATTAAAAAAATAATGTCTTCAAGTAGTTTTCATGTCTTGACCCACGTACTAACTACGAACCGTATCTGTCAGTTAGAAGTGACTCTAATTTCGCTCGGGCATTTCGATCTAAACAGACTAACGACAGACGGACGACAGACGGATGACAGACTGACGACAGACTGATGACAGACTGACGATTGACGACAGACTGACGATTGACGACAGACTGACGACTGACGACAGACTGTCGACAGACTGACGATTGACGACAGACTGACGACTGACGACAGACTGGCGACAGACGACTGACGACATACTGACGATAGACGGACGACAGACTGACGACAGACTGATGACCAGGGGCGGAACTACAGTGCCGCCAGACCCCGCAATGCGGGGGAGCCCACGCCGTTTAGGGGGCCCACAGCGGCCCATAATAATTTTTTTATAGTTAAAGTTAATTTTCTTGCATTTTTGACCTGATGGTTGTTTTGAAAAAAGAATACTGTAGCTGCGGTTGTAGTATCTTTATTCTATAGACACCATCCTACGCTCTTGTATATTCTTTTTCCTACAATCAAACACACACTGTTGTCGGCAAAATTTTTAAAAAAAAACATCAATTGCACGAGAGGCCGCTAGATATTAAGACGGCTTTTTGAGACCATCCCAAATTTGGTACTGATGGATAAAAGCACATCGGTGCTTTGTTGTCCCTTTTAAGTTCCGTTCTCAGACCTCCCCTCCCGCTCTTAGCCTTACAAGAAGCGAATAGATAGCGCCCCAACAACTAAGCTGCCTCGTATCGGTGGTAGTGTTGACAAAATAGCGCTCTAACAACTAATAGCCAAGAAATAAAGTACCGACATTGTTTACGTTTAATAACCACTGTTTTAAAAAACAAGGCAAACGCCTCAAATAAATACACGAATGATAGCGTGTTATATATATACATATATTAGTTTCGTCACTGGCACCTTGATAGTTAGTGGTTTTGTAAAATAACAAACAGATAACAGATCTAATACTGTTGTGATGTATATAGTAGCTAAGACATGCTGTTGCGTAAAATTTAAAAAAAAAATATACACACGAGCTGTAGTGTGAAAGATAAACGTTCAAATCACTTCCATAAATTATTTCCCTTTTTTGAAATAGTCAAATAGGGGTGCTTATAAGCTAATTTTAATAGATTTGTAATAATCAAATTAAACAGCAATTACTTATCTTAATTATTATTTTTTTTAAAAATAAGTACTAAAGAATGGTAAAGTATAAAAATGAAACATAGTTAAAAGGAATAATATAAATACGAAAAATCATAAATATAAACATAACCCGAGACACCATTACTTATACAAAGCTTCATGATTTATATACTTTTGACCGACTTAATAATTAGAGGTATTAAGGTAAACATAAAAGAAAACAGATATTCAAAAAACAGACCAATGCACACATACACACGACATGTTGTGATTAGATTTAATTGAATTTTTCTTTTCAAAACCCGATCAGGCCAGAAATGAGTATCCTATGTTCGTATTGTGTTTGTGTGTATATATATATATATGTATATATATATATATATATATATATATATATATATATATATATATATATATATATATATATATATATATATATATACATACGGGGGCCCAAAAAATTTTTTTGCGGGGTGGCCCATTTTTTCTAGTTCCGCCACTGCTGATGACAGACTGTCGACAGACTGACGATTGACGACAGACTGACGACTGACGACAGACTGTCGACAGACTGACGATTGACGACAGACTGACGACTGACGACAGACTGGCGACAGACGACTGACGACAGACTGACGATAGACGACTGACGACAGAATGACGACTGACGACAGAATGACGACTGACGACAGACTGACGACAGACTGGCGACAGACTGGCGACAGACTGGCGACAGACTGACGACAGACTGGCGACAGACTGGCGACAGACTGGCGACAGACTGACGACAGACTGGCGACAGACTGGCGACAGACTGGCGACAGACTGGCGACAGACTGGCGACAGACTGGCGACAGACTGACAAGGAAGTGAGTTAAATAAAAACTTTTAAAAAGTAATTATTTTACTGAAAAATCAAGCTCCTTTAGCTTTAATCATATCCCCACCCGACAAAAATTACGCTACACTTCCTTAAATGTCGAAGTTCAGAAATTGTTTTAAAAATTAAAAAGTTTGACTTGACATGAATATTTAGACCACTACTGTACAAATGTAAGTAAGATGACGTGGTCTGGTAGTAGAGCACACTAGAAATCACCAGTCCTTGATCCCTGTCTTCTAGAAATCACCAGTTAGGTTATTGACCCCAGTCTTCTAGAAATCACCTGTTAGGTTCTTTACTCAAGTCTGAGCTTGGTTAGGTTAGGTTTGCCTACTGGGACATAGGCCGCTGACAAGAGCTTTCCAGACGTCTCAGTCCTGGGTTAGTCTCTCCAACTGTCCCCAGGTGTATCCTGTCCTGGGCTAGTCTCTCCAACTGTCCCCATGTGTATCCAGGCTAGTCTCTCCAACTGTCCCCAGGTGTATCCAGGCTAGTCTCTCCAACTGTCCCCAGGTGTATCCAGGCTAGTCTCTCCAACTGTCCCGAGGTGTATCCAGGCTAGTCTCTCCAACTGTCCCCAGGTGTATCCAGGCTAGTCTCTCCAACTGTCCCCAGGTGTATCCAGACTAGTCTCTCCAACTGTCCCGAGGTGTATCCAGGCTAGTCTCTCCAACTGTCCCCATGTGTATCCAGACTAGTCTCTCCAACTGTCCCCAGGTGTATCCAGGCTAGTCTCTCCAACTGTCCCGAGGTGTATCCAGGCTAGTCTCTCCAACTGTCCCGAGGTGTATCCAGGCTAGTCTCTCCAACTGTCCCCAGGTGTATCCAGGCTAGTCTCTCCAACTGTCCCCAGGTGTATCCAGGCTAGTCTCTCCAACTGTCCCGAGGTGTATCCAGGCTAGTCTCTCCAACTGTCCCCAGGTGTATCCAGGCTAGTCTCTCCAACTGTCCCCAGGTGTATCCAGGCTAGTCTCTCCAACTGTCCCGAGGTGTATCCAGGCTAGTCTCTCCAACTGTCCCCAGGTGTATCCAGGCTAGTCTCTCCAACTGTCCCGAGGTGTATCCAGGCTAGTCTCTCCAACTGTCCCCAGGTGTATCCAGGCTAGTCTCTCCAACTGTCCCCAGGTGTATCCAGGCTAGTCTCTCCAACTGTCCCCAGGTGTATCCAGGCTAGTCTCTCCAACTGTCCCCAGGTGTATCCAATCTTCTTGGTGTTTTCTTCCTCCTGTCATCTGGTGCTAGGGCCTTGTCGTGGCTTGGCAGCTTGTGTATCCTGACCACCCCCAGAGCTATACCAGCGGCAGTGTAAACTCCTAGTAGGTTCAACCAAGCTGGGAAGGTCTGCGTGGGTAGGGGTCAGACGAAAGCTAGCACCCCAGTCCTCCAGGTTGGGGGTTGAGCATACGGTCAGCAACCTTATATCGTAAAACAAATTACTCGCTACAGAAACTAAAGCCTTGAGTCTATCCAAAAAGCGGCTGGGTACTACCTCTTCATGTTCGATGTTTCGGTAACACATAAACTCTACTTCATCTGCTTTATTGACCTCTGTAACTTGAATCTCTAGCTACATAACGTGAAAAAAGATCTAATATTAATCGGGAATCCAGTTGTCGAGAATAGATTATGTGATATTAAACAAACATTTGAAGAATGATCTAACAGCTTAATTTAACTTTAGTTATCTCAATATTTATTTTTCAAGATCATCTACAGTATTCTACATCTTTATTGATGTGGGGCTGGCAGTTTCATGGTCTGTGTGTATCTGTGTGTATCTGTGTGTATCTGTGTGTATCTGTGTGTATCTGTGTGTATCTGTGTGTATCTGTGTGTATCTGTGTGTATCTGTGTGTATCTGTGTGTATCTGTGTGTATCTGTGTGTATCTGTGTGTATCTGTGTGTATCTGTGTGTATCTGTGTGTATCTGTGTGTATCTGTGTGTATCTGTGTGTATCTGTGTGTATCTGTGTGTATCTGTGTGTATCTGTCTGTATCTGTGTGTATCTGTGTGTATCTGTCTGTATCTGTGTGTATCTGTCTGTATCTGTGTGTATCTGTGTGTATCTGTGTGTATCTGTCTGTATCTGTCACTGTAGACGGAGGAGGAACAAATACAAGCCCTCACACAGCATTGGCCCGTACCTGATACATAGATATAGATCTATAGTAGATTTAAAAAAAATATCCTGGGATACAAGGCGTTAGACAAGCTTCACAGTGTACTATTTCGAGATGAGCTCACGCTCGGCCTGATGTCAGCAGATGACGTCATGCGTAACCACCCGTACACGATTGGACGTTTCTTGACCCTACATTTGAACTCTGACCCACCAGATGGGTCTGTTATCGTTACATCATGTAGATGCTAATCTGTTTTCAAACACTCAATGTGGTTCTTATTTCACACTGGGATTATAGTGCGTGATGTTTTAATATGTAGGTTATCTTTTTTGTACATGATTAGAAATAAATATGTGCGTTTATATATATATATATATATATATATATATATATATATATATATATATATATATATATATATATATATATATATATATATATATATATATATATATATATATATATATATATATATATATACATAGTTTAGAAATAAATAAGCATATTTATACGTATAGGCCTTGGTAACCTATGTGTGTGGTATACAATATAAATGATACACTTTTTAATTATATATCTGCATAAATGTAAAAGTAAAATGACTCTTTCGGACCTGGTGATTCATGGGGCTGATGGAGTAGAGTTTATCTACTTCTTTTACCTCGGCACATAAAGGGACAATGTGGTCAGCACTAGGCCCAGACGCCTTCCCAAACATGAGTCAGGTACTTATAAGAGCTGGGTGAACTCAGCTACGTCGAGTATGGATCTGAAGTAGGAGAGCAGATGTGCATACATATAAGTACATTTTTATGGCAAATCTTATGTGTGCCATTGTATGTGTTTGTTATATCCAGACACCATTGTATGGGCGACTTCTATATAACAGAGTGTCGAATGTTCTAGATATCACCTGACCCCAACATATTCCCAAGCCTGATGGCGTTTCCGGGGGTCGCATCCAACCACGGAACTCTGTACAAACTTCACGACAAAACTGGACTCGTCCAGACCGGGGGTGGCAGGTACGAGAGGCGGGGCTCTCGAGCTGGGCCAGCCCATGTCAACTTTGCTTATGAGACGGACATGCCAGACCACAAGAGCTATGACGTCAGTGACGCCGTTGAGTCGTTGGAGCGTGCTGACTCCGTGGATGATGAAGTCTTTATCAAGAATGACGTCATAGCAGGAGACATACGTCAGTCTACGAATGGATCTGAAAACCTGACCCACAGGAAATCGTCTTTAAAGTGAGTAGTTCTCTGTCCATAGTTTCGCTCATCCGATAAACTGATCTAGGTCAAGCCTCACTTTGAGGTCACTCTTCTAGCCGGCAAACATTTCCACATCATGTGAAACAACTCCCCCCCCCCTTTCCCAGAAAATTAATCACACGTAGGCGAATAACTAAGTTACAGTAAGAAGCATACTATGTAACATAACATGTAGTAGGGTGTAAAGTACATAGCACCACATACATTCGGTCATACAGTCAATAACATGAAGACAAAACAAAGTTACCACGAACTCCATTTACTTGACCTCCTTTATATATTTAGAATCTAACACTAATTTATTTCTGGCCTGCAGACCCAACCGACGGAAAACATGGGATGTATTCTACGCCAACCCCGGGGACGAGGTCAAGTCGACCTCCGAGGCGAATTCTGGGAAGACGGCGCGAGTTGTCCTCAAGTTAGTCTTTCTCGTCGTCTGCTCCATAGCGGTCCTGACCTTCGCGGTCTTTTCCCGCCTAACGCTGCTCATCACAACGTTTTATCTGCGTCCTAAGAACTCGAGCTGGGCAGACGACTCGTTTACCATCGATGCACGTGGTGTAAAACGTCTGCACATATTTTTAACAAGGACCCATCCCAGCACTGATGTTAGGTGGGTGTGGTCAGTGGTGCTTATCATCGTGGCGCCATATTGCTTCATCTTCTGCGCAGCAGCCTGGAAAGTTATTTTCAACGTGACAAATAGGATCTCAAAGGGAATGCTGTTTGTTGTAAGTTTTAAGTTGTAGGGGTTTTAATGTGCTAGCCAGGGAGATCCCCCCCCTCCCACTCTACTCAAGAGTTCTGGGCTGACTATTCTATCCCATATAATCTCATTGCCCTCAATTTAAAAACAAATCAAGTCTAAAGAGCTTTTGATATTTTATTTAAATTGCTGCAATAATCAAATCACAACTGCCTCAAAAATTTGGTAAAGCAGTAAGTCTTAATCCGACTGGTCTACTCCCCTGCACCGCCTTCCCCAACCACCACGAACCGTCACCAAAGGCAGATATGACGTCATAACTTGTGGCCTGATATCAATGCTTATTTCCCCCCCCCCCCCCCCCCTCCCATACCCTGAGGTAAAATCCAATAAACACAGTAGCGAAGCATGGGTGTAAGCCAGGGGTCTCCAAACTTTTCAGTCCGACTATCGAATTTCAGATCGGGGGCCAGTTTCTTCCGGGCATGTATTTGATTTTTCTGGGCAAAGTTCCTCAGCTATCACCAACAAACGTTTTTTTCCGTGGACAAAATGATCCCCGCGGGCCGGATGAGAGGACTTCGCGGGCCGTATCCGGCCCGCAATTTGGAGACCCCTGGTGTAAGCTAGTGTATATGCATATATATATATATATATATATATATATATATATATATATATATATATATATATATATATATATATATATATATATATATATATATAAACATACATTTATACACACTATAATACACACACACACATAAATCTTGCTGCCCCAGATCCCAATTGTTCAAATGTAATGTATCAATTTATTCATCATTTATGCACCATTTTGTTCTATACCACTAAGGCAACACTGTATTAGAATTGTGACCATATTTTTTTTATCATTGTTACACAACCATTCCATTTGACCAAACACTGAATATAGAAATGGTAAGGAAAACAAGTTACACAACCATTCCATTTGACCAAACACTGAATATAGAAATGGTAAGGAAAACAAGTTACACAACCATTCCATTTGACCAAACACTGAATATAGAAATGGTAAGGAAAACAAGTTACACAACCATTCCATTTGACCAAACACTGAATATAGAAATGGTAAGGAAAACAAGTTACACAACCATTCCATTTCACCAAACTGAATATAGAAATGGTAAGGAAAACAAGTTACACAACCATTCCATTTGACCAAACACTGAATATAGAAATGGTAAGGAAAACAAGTTACACAACCATTTCATTTGACCAAACACTGAATATAGAAATGTTAAGGAAAACAAGTTACACAACCATTTCATTTGACCAAACACTGAATATAGAAATGTTAAGGAAAACAAGTTACACAACCATTTCATTTGACCAAACACTGAATATAGAAATGTTAAGGAAAACAAGTTACACAACCATTTCATTTGACCAAACACTGAATATAGAAATGTTAAGGAAAACAAGTTACACAACCATTTCATTTGACCAAACACTTTAATATAGAAATGTTAAGGAAAACAAGTTACACAACCATTTCATTCACCACACACTTTAATATAGAAATGTTAAGGAAAACAAGTTACACAACCATTTCATTTGACCAAACACTTTAATATAGAAATGTTAAGGAAAACAAGTTACACAACCATTTCATTTGACCAAACACTTTAATATAGAAATGGTAAGGAAAACAAGTTACACAACCATTCCATTTCACCAAACTGAATATAGAAATGGTAAGGAAAACAAGTTACACAACCATTCCATTTGACCAAACACTGAATATAGAAATGGTAAGGAAAACAAGTTACACAACCATTTCATTTGACCAAACACTGAATATAGAAATGTTAAGGAAAACAAGTTACACAACCATTTCATTTGACCAAACACTGAATATAGAAATGTTAAGGAAAACAAGTTACACAACCATTTCATTTGACCAAACACTGAATATTGAAATGTTAAGGAAAACAAGTTACACAACCATTTCATTTGACCAAACACTGAATATAGAAATGTTAAGGAAAACAAGTTACACAACCATTTCATTTGACCAAACACTTTAATATAGAAATGTTAAGGAAAACAAGTTACACAACCATTTCATTCACCACACACTTTAATATAGAAATGTTAAGGAAAACAAGTTACACAACCATTTCATTTGACCAAACACTTTAATATAGAAATGTTAAGGAAAACAAGTTACACAACCATTTCATTTGACCAAACACTTTAATATAGAAATGTTAAGGAAAACAAGTTACACAACCATTCCATTCACCAAACACTGAATATAGAAATGTTAAGGAAAACAAGTTACACAACCATTTCATTCACCAAACACTTTAATATAGAAATGTTAAGGAAAACAAGTTACACAACCATTTCATTTGACCAAACACTTTAATATAGAAATGTTAAGGAAAACAAGTTACACAACCATTTCATTCACCAAACACTTTAATATAGAAATGGGAAAACAAGTTACACAACCATTTCATTTGACCAAACACTGAATATAGAAATGTTAAGGAAAACAAGTTACACAACCATTTCATTTGACCAAACACTTTAATATAGAAATGTTAAGGAAAACAAGTTACACAACCATTTCATTTGACCAAACACTTTAATATAGAAATGTTAAGGAAAACAAGTTACACAACCATTTCATTTGACCAAACACTTTAATATAGAAATGTTAAGGAAAACAAGTTACACAACCATTTCATTCAACAAACACTGAATATAGAAATGTTAAGGAAAACAAGTTACACAACCATTTCATTTGACCAAACACTTTAATATAGAAATGTTAAGGAAAACAAGTTACACAACCATTTCATTCACCAAACACTGAATATAGAAATGTTAAGGAAAACAAGTTACACAACCATTTCATTCACCAAACACTGAATATAGAAATGTTAAGGAAAACAAGTTACACAACCATTTCATTCACCAAACACTGAATATAGAAATGTTAAGGAAAACAAGTTACACAACCATTTCATTTGACCAAAAACTTTAATATAGAAATGTTAAGGAAAACAAGTTACACAACCATTCCATTTGACCAAAAACTTTAATATAGAAATGTTAAGGAAAACAAGTTACACAACCATTTCATTTGACCAAACACTTTAATATAGAAATGTTAAGGAAAACAAGTTACACAACCATTTCATTTGACCAAACACTTTAATATAGAAATGTTAAGGAAAACAAGTTACACAACCATTCCATTCACCAAACACTGAATATAGAAATGTTAAGGAAAACAAGTTACACAACCATTTCATTCACCAAACACTTTAATATAGAAATGTTAAGGAAAACAAGTTACACAACCATTTCATTTGACCAAACACTTTAATATAGAAATGTTAAGGAAAACAAGTTACACAACCATTTCATTCACCAAACACTTTAATATAGAAATGGGAAAACAAGTTACACAACCATTTCATTTGACCAAACACTGAATATAGAAATGTTAAGGAAAACAAGTTACACAACCATTTCATTTGACCAAACACTTTAATATAGAAATGTTAAGGAAAACAAGTTACACAACCATTTCATTTGACCAAACACTTTAATATAGAAATGTTAAGGAAAACAAGTTACACAACCATTTCATTTGACCAAACACTTTAATATAGAAATGTTAAGGAAAACAAGTTACACAACCATTTCATTCAACAAACACTGAATATAGAAATGTTAAGGAAAACAAGTTACACAACCATTTCATTTGACCAAACACTTTAATATAGAAATGTTAAGGAAAACAAGTTACACAACCATTTCATTCACCAAACACTGAATATAGAAATGTTAAGGAAAACAAGTTACACAACCATTTCATTCACCAAACACTGAATATAGAAATGTTAAGGAAAACAAGTTACACAACCATTTCATTCACCAAACACTGAATATAGAAATGTTAAGGAAAACAAGTTACACAACCATTTCATTTGACCAAAAACTTTAATATAGAAATGTTAAGGAAAACAAGTTACACAACCATTCCATTTGACCAAAAACTTTAATATAGAAATGTTAAGGAAAACAAAACTTAAAACTGGAGTAAGATCAGTCTGGTTCTGAAGATGCATACATTGTGTGATAGTGTTAATGCCATGTGTACAATTTTTCCAGGCGCTGGTCAAAGAAAGTCTCCACTCCTTCGGCCTGTGTACCTTGGTCTTTTACGTCCTCCCCCACCACGATCCGCTGGTGGGTAACTTGCTGTTGACCTGTGTTGTTGCTGTGCCAGCTGTACTAACCACCCTCACACCCCACACAGCTGCACCACCCCACACAGTGGATATAAAGAGGTATGAGTTAATAAGTGAAGGAAAAATTGGACTCCATTGTAGGTCTGTTTCTATTTAAAAAGCTTTGAAATCAATTTTAAAAAACTTCATTCTAAATGTAATATTGTAGGTCTGTTTTTGTTTAGAAAGTGTTTTATGACTATTACATAATTTTTAAAATCAATGTCAAAAACGGTGTAGTAGAATTTGTTTTTTAGTATTGTATACTCCAAAATTGATTGCAAAAATAATTTTAGATTATAAAAAATGTCTTTAATTAAATTAATTACTTAATAGATAGACCAGTTATATAAATCAGGTGTCATTTAACTATTATTTAAACTAGTTACATAAATTAAGCATTGGTCAGTCACTTACAGGTTAGACAACTCATCAGTATACATTTTAAACAGTTCATGCATTAAACTTTTTTCTGGAACTCTTCAGTGAATTCTTGTGGAGGCTGCTGAATTTAGTGTCTTGCCTGACTCACTGGGCGGCCATTGCCTTATGGACGTACAGAGCCTACACCCACACAAGCTCCTGGACCATGGTCATCTTGTTGCCAGTTTCACTTGTCTTTGTCTCACTTGCCAGTTGGGACAACTATTTCATCTATAAAAATTCACCAAAAAAAGGAGATGATGGCTGTAGTGCACAGATGAGGAAGTTTTTAAAGTTACTGACCAGAAGGACTAAAATCTCCCTGTTGATGAGCTTATGGAAGATTGGTTTTACAATTGGTTAGTCTGTATTTGTTTCAACTTTTTTAATTATTTAAACTTTACACGGTTAGTTGATTTTCACCATAAAAACCCATTTTGATTGCTTAGTTTTTTATAACAAAAAATATGACATTATTTTGTTGTTTTTATACCATGAATCTTCATTACAATTGATTGGTTGTTTTGCTGAAGTGTACTTTTACTTCATGTTAATTGGTTGTTTGGATGTTTGGTTGTTTGGATGTTTGGATGTTTGGTTGTTTGGATGTTTGGTTGTTTGGATGTTTGGTTGTTTGGTTGTTTGGATGTTTGGATGTTTGGTTGTTTGGATGTTTGGTTGTTTGGATGTTTGAACCCTGGGCAGATGATGCTTGTCAGCTGGGGACAAAATAATATTCTGAACTTAAACGGGAGTGGAGCCCCTTCGCCAAATGTGGTTACCAACTCTGGTTTCCTTTGGACAGCTCTTAGTTAATTCCAAGTTGCGTATGTAACATCCTGTCCCTTGGGTCCATCCATTATTGTGGGGAGAGGGGATGTGATACACAGGCAACATCTGGCCCTTCTCAACTTAAGACCCAGAATTTACACTTTGATTTCCAACACACAGTCATCTAACAGTCTATTAGACTAAGAAGCCATATACATTATAATTCATCTAACAAATAAAAAATTGGAATTTTTTCTATTATTTTGGAAACTTCCATTTAAATGACTGAATTTCCAGCTTACTATAAAATACAATTGCAAAATAAAACTTTTAATTAAAATTGCGCTTGAAACTATTTATTTAGTTGCTAGGCTATAATATAAAATAAATATTCATCTTTAATTAATGAAACATATTAAAGTTGTTTTGATAATTAAAATTATCATCTGTATTGTCAGTTTACGCTGTCCTGTACTTCAGTGGGGGTGATCAAGCATGTGTGAAGACTATATTCTTGTTGCAAGATTCCTCTAAAAACTGCTCAGTGTTTAAAGACCTTACTTTATCCAATGACGTGGAGATTCTGGATATGCCATACTGTAACACATTGATTCCCGTTTTCATTGCTGTGTTTAGTGTTGTAGCCAGTAACGCTTGTTACAAGGTTGGTAACCAACAGTGGTTGATTTGGTTGAATGTTTACTGATACTGTCTTAAGTGGTGCGATTTACTTTTTTAATATTTAAAATAATACATAAAAAATAGGAATTCATTATGTAATTTAAAAATATTTTTTTCTTAGTTCAGTAAATCTGCTTGTCAAGTTTTGCTGCAGACGACAAGTTTTGCCCTCCCCTTGTCCTTGGTAACACCTGTCACTTTTGGTATTTTGTGCTTAATGTACAAACACCCAGAATATTTACAGGTAATTTCAGTATATCAATTATTTGATTTTGTGCCTAATGCATCAACACCCAGAATATTTACAGGTAATTTCAGTATATCAATGATTTGATTTTGTGCATAATACCTCAGCACCCAGAATATTTGGAGGTATTATCAGTGTATCAATTATTCATTAACAAAGCAGCAAATTCTATCATGAATATATCCCAAAGAGGTAGTGAAGTGTAGTTTTCTGCATACCTTATGTATTTTAAGCCCTGGCCTATATAATAACTTCATCTTTAATAAGATGAAACTGGGATGAGTGATGAAAAAAAGTAAAAAGTAAAAAAAAAATGTTTATCTATGTTTTGAAACCTTTTGCATAGAAATTTTTTGGATGTGCCGTATCCTGGTCTGATGTGGGGACTGACAGTTCGCTAGCAGAATACCTCAGCAACTTGCAGGATAGATACTGGATCATTGTGGGGGTGTTTGGCTACTTATCATTTCTCATTGTCACAAACCATGTCTGGACATCCAAAGCTGAGAGGATGGCAAGAACTGAGAAGTAAGCAGATTTTTTTTACTGCTAGGTGTGGACAGGTATTTTTTTACTGCTAGGTGTGGGAAGGTTTTTTTTTACTGCTAGGTGTGGGCAGGTTTTTTTAATGCTTGTTGTTGGAAGTTTTTTTTTTTTTATGCTAGTAGTAGGCAGGTTTTTTTTTTTTACTGCTGGTTACAGAATGTTGTAGTATTAATGGCTAAATGACCTGTTAAAATCAAAACTACATAAATGAAATCACATTTATCAGGTCTCTGTAGGCCTACAAGTATTAGACCCTAATCCTTGATTTATTTAAGGATGAAAGTTGACAATAAAGAAGGACAAGCATTGATTTTATGAAAAAATGAAGGTTGACTTTATGAAAAAATGCAGGTTGACTTTATGAAAAAATGCAGGTTGACTTTATGAAAAAATGAAGGTTGACTTTATGAAAAAATGAAGGTTGACTTTATGAAAAAATGAAGGTTGACTTTATGAAAAAATGCAGGTTGACTTTATGAAAAAATGCAGGTTGACTTTATGAAAAAATGCAGGTTGACTTTATGAAAAAATGCAGGTTGACTTTATGAAAAAATGCAGGTTGACTTTGCTTTGTCTGTAGATTGTTTGTTCAGCCTCTGTACTGTGGCATTTTACTGGAACAATCTATCATGGGCAACAGGCGTAGGTTTGATAATGAGCCAAAGGAGGATAAGGTAGGTTTCATGTTACATTTGTAATTAATTAAATGTTTCTAATTTTAAAGTAATTACGGTGTAAATCTAAATGCTTTATTTATTTCAATTATTTTTCATCTTAACACACATCAATTTCTACATATTTATTTTTTACACAATTTCTTGCATCAAACAACAATTTCAGCATATCGCAAAGTGGATGGATGCTCCATTTGGTGAAGAATTTGTAAACCTAGAGGAGGCACGATCTAAATTAAGAGGGGAGAACACTCCCATAATTCATGTCTGCGCCACCATGTGGCATGAAACGCATAACGAAATGATTCAACTTTTGAAATCCATTTTAAGGTAACTAGATTCTACCACCATTTAACATTTTAAGGGAAAAACTATTACCTTCCTTCATTTACAGGTTCAAAATTTTACATGCCACCATTTTAAGGTACAAAAAATGACATTCCACTACTTTAAGGTACAAATTATTACCTTCCATCATTTAAAGGTATACAATTTTACCAGCCACTATTTTAAGGTACAAACTATTAACTTGTATAATTACACAGCTACCGCAGTTGATTTGTTCTAAATACACATTTTTTTTACAGTTTGTTGCCTTCAAATCTATATATATATTTTTGGTTCTTATAGCCACATAATTAAACATTCAATCAAGAATCACCAATCTGCAACCATTTGCAAAATATTTCTGATAGAACAGGTTTATGAAGTCAAGCTATTTCTGCTATGTTGAACTTAATTTTCAAATATCTAAAACTGCTATTTCTGCTATGTTGAACTTAATTTTCAAATATCTAAAACTGCTATTTCTGCTATGTTGAACTTAATTTTCAAATATCTAAAACTGCTATTTCTGCTATGTTGAACTTAATTTTCAAATATCTAAAACTGCTATTTCTGCTATGTTGAACATAATTTTCAAATATCTAAAACTGCTATTTCTGCTATGTTGAACTTAATTTTCAAGTATCTAAAACTGCTATTTCTGCTATGTTGAACATAATTTTCAAATATCTAAAACTGCTATTTCTGCTATGTTGAACTTAATTTTCAAATATCTAAAACTGCTATTTCTGCTATGTTGAACATAATTTTCAAATATCTAAAACTGCTATTTCTGCTATGTTGAACTTAATTTTCAAATATCTAAAACTGCTATTTCTGCTATGTTGAACTTAATTTTCAAATATTTAAAACTGCTATTTCTGCTATGTTGAACATAATTTTCAAATATCTAAAACTGCTATTTCTGCTATGTTGAACTTAATTTTCAAATATCTAAAACTGTTGCTACTAGTTTGTTACACTTTGTTTTCTCCACAGATTAGATGAGGACCAGAGTGCCAGAACAAATGCTCAGCTTGGTTTTAAAATAGAGGACCCGGATTACTATGAGCTGGAAGGTAGTTATAACAGGATGGCCACACACGTAGGCCTACAATATTTACTATCTAGAAAAAATCATTGACCAGAACGACAGTTTAAAAAATCCTGGATTTAGAACTAGTTATTTTTTTACATACTTTATTTTTGTTTTTTTATAGATAAAAGTTATAATAAAAAACCATTAGTTATATTTACTATATATCAGTTGTTGACAATATTTAGTAATTTGAATGTATTACCTTTTTTACAAGTGACTGATTCATATTTTTTAGCTCACATATTTTTTGATGATGCGTTTAAACTCCATCGTGAAAACGACACAAACTTCACTGTGAACAGTTTTGTTAAGGAATTGGTGGCAGTGGTCAATGTAGCAGTTAGGTAACATTTCCTTACACAGAATTTATCTCATTGATTATCACATGCAACTGATTTCTAATTATAAAGACTTCCAGGAAATGGAGTAGTTTGCAAATTTTCTAAAGTTATGGAGGAAAAAAACTATCTATGACCATTGAGGTATGTCAGCTGATTTATCTTTTAATCCACGATACAGCGCTGTCTACAACTCAGTGATCAAACTGCCTCCACCCAAACGTTATGAGACCCCTTATGGTGGCAGGCTTCAATGGATACTACCAGGTGGCAACAAGCTGACGGCTCATCTAAAAGACAAGATGAAAATTAGACACAGAAAAAGATGGAGCCAGGTAAATTATTTTTCTTCAAAGTTTTTGCATTTTTTTATGCTGAAATGGGAGTTTAAAATTTTAGCAGAAAGTTTGTTAAGTTTTCACAGTTTTATTTACAAGTGTTGGTGATCATTAAGAAAAAAATCATCAGGCAGATTTCACTATATTTCTACAGGTCATGTACATGTACTATTTCCTGGGGTACCAACTTCTGTCCAGCAATAAGAGCAGAAAAGATAAAAGAATTCAAGCAGACAACACATTTATTTTAGCTTTAGATGGTAATAAAATAGTCTCATTGGTTTTTAAATGCATTTTATAATAAGTAAATATTAGCATTTTTTTAGATAAAAGAAAATTCAAAGAAATAATAATTCTCTTCATTAATAGCTTTTTTTTTCCAAATAAACAAAGTAGGTTTATAGTTTGCTTTTAAATTTTGTTGTAGGAAAAAAAAAGGTTAAAAATAAACTAGTTTTAAAATGTTAATAATAGCTGTGAATGCTCCCAAGATAAGGCTAATTTAAATATCTTACTAATTTTACTAATTAACAAATGGAATAATTTTATCTCAGTGGTATGAATTTCACAAATTCCCAGGAGACATTGACTTTCAGCCGGATGCTGTAAAAATTTTGGTCGACCGCATGAAGAAAAACCCAGGGCTTGGTGCTGCCTGTGGGAGAATTCACCCAGTTGGTGCAGGTACTAGTAGGTTTTAGGTTGGTGTAGGTTTTAGGTTGGTGCAGGTACTAGTAGGTTTTAGGTTGGTGCAGGTACTATCTCTTCATATGCCGAGGTCACAGAAACAAGTGAACTCTACTTCACTTGCCCCATAGACTGTCAGATTTACTTTTATAGGTACTAGTAGATAGAGATAAGATAGAGCTGGATATATTGGAGAACTCTTTTAGTTTGTTCAATCTCTTGTCTAAGATAAGGCTGAATTTATTGGAGAACCATTTTAGTTTGTAAAATCTCTACTCTGATAGAATCGGATGTATTGATATAATGGCTTGTGTGCTTTATAAAATCAAAAGTGTAACAAATAAAACCTGCTACTTTATTTGTTGTAAAAATTGTCTACAACATGAAACTGATTCTTTTTTTGCTGAAATAAAATGAGGAGTGTAAAAAATCTAAAACTTCTCCATCGTTTGCTGTGCAGGTCCCATGGCGTGGTACCAGAAGTTTGAATACGCCATCAGCCACTGGCTACAGAAGTCCACAGAACATATGCTAGGGTGTGTCCTCTGTAGCCCCGGATGCTTCAGCTTGTTCCGCGGCTCAGCCCTGATGGATGATAATGTGATGAAACGCTACACCACGCCCCCTACAGAGGCCAGGCATTACGTCCAGTATGATCAGGGTAGGAACATAAACTCAAACTCAGAGTTAATCCCAAATTTGTACAAAACAAAACTAGGAACATAAACTTTAAGTTAGGGTTAACCCCGTTTTTGTACAAAACACAACAAAACTAGCAATTATCACCAAGTTCCCTTCCAACTGGACAAATTTAATAATAATAAACAAAATATTATACCGCGTTTACACTTGTGACATGTATACTATACATTTCTAGGGAAAAAAAAAACTTCGCTATAGGGCCTAAGATAATGGGGGAGCCTACTCACTTACTGCGAAGCTTTTTTTCTAGACATGTATAGTATACATGTCGCAAGTGTAAACGCGGTATTAGAATTTGTTAATAGAAGTAGAAAGTGTATGATACATTTAGTCCTGTATCTAGCATAAGTCTAGCTTTCATTGGCCATGTTGTAGATGTTGTAGATGACCTAATTTTGTTGGTTGTTGTCTGCAGGTGAGGACAGGTGGTTGTGTACACTTCTGCTCCAGCAAGGCTACAGAGTTGAGTACTGCGCTGCCTCGGACAGCTACACGGTTGCACCTGAAGGCTTCAGTGAATTTTATAATCAGCGCAGAAGATGGACACCTTCAACTATTGCAAATATTATGGACTTACTCGAGGTCTGATTACAGTCTTACAAACTCTTGTTGTAAAGTTAATTATCTATGCTAAGACTATTACCGTGTCTTTTAAGTAAAATACTCAAATGAACCACTTGACGACTAGTACAGATTTTGCATGCAAACATCTGGTTACAAAAAGCTTTAAAATATGTTTTGAAAATTAAAATTTTTAGTTAAGTTTACTGGTTTTATGACAATCTAAAATGGCTGAGTTTACTGGTTTTATGACAATCTAAAATAGCCAAGTTTACTGGTTTTATGACAATCTAAAATGGCCAAGTTTACTGGTTCTATGACAATCTAAAATGGCCAAGTTTACTGGTTTTATGACAATCTAAAATGGCCATTATACATTTTTTTCTTCCCTGCAGAACTGGCGCAGTACAACCCAGAATAACCCTGACATTAATATTCTCTACATTTTCTACCAGCTAGTCCTGCTAGCATCAGGCAAGTGACTCTCCTACTTACAAAGTTCATCAATTGTTTGGGTATTTGTTTATAGAGAATACCAAATCCAAATTTTTGTTATAAAAACACATTAAACAGGGAGTAGTTATTATATAATATAAAAGCAATTAACAAAACCTGTCTGATTGATAATTATTAACTTGTTTTGCTCTGTAGATGTTAAGGGAAAGTATATTGTAATTTAAAATAAAAATTTCTAAGTGACCAGTTTTTTCTTGACTGTCCAGGTATGATAACTCCTGGCACAATTTTTCTGCTGATCCTTGGAGCAATCAACACGGCCTACCCAGATATCCCACTGTACGGAGCCCTACTCATCAATCTTATACCTGTTGTCATTTTTGTCATTTTGTGCTTCAAATCTAATTCTAAAACTCAGGTTAGTATTTTAACACAAGTAGGCTGGTACAATATTTTGGTATAACTCTATAATTAATACTGCAGGATAATTAGTTAATTTAATTAAAAATTATGTTAAAAAAACCAATCTGATTGGCTGCCAGACTTTGTAAGTCTGTTGGTTTTTTCATGAAGAAAAAATTTGGACACCTTGATTGTATATGGTTTAATGAATTATAAAAAATGACATATTGTATTACAGTCTCAAGGAATAGAATAACTTCAAACATTCAAAATAGCTGCACATAAAAGTTATTATAGTTAATTCAATGTTACATATGAAATACTTAGTATTATATAAAAAAAATTAGTTTTCTTTTAAAATGAACAAAACAAAAAAAAATCTTGTTTTGTGTGTTGACAGTTAGCGTATGCAGCCATCATATCCTTGATCTACTCCATGCTGATAAAATCTTGTTTTGTGTGTTGACAGTTGGCGTATGCTGCCATCATATCCTTGGTCTACTCCATGCTGATGATGCTGGTCCTGGTGGGGCTGATCAAGCAAGCTGCCACCTACGGCTTTTGTTCCGTCTCCACCATCTTCCTTGTCACAGTCATCAGTATATTTGTTGCTACAGCCCTTCTTCATCCTATGGAGTTTACATGTCTGCTGCATGGGTTTCTCTACTTCCTCTGGTTGGTGGCTGATGCTTGTACATTTAGTTCTTTTATTGTTCTCAAATAACATGAGTACTTTATATAAAGCATGTATATATTGTGTATGTATCTGACTACCCCCACTCCCCAGCATCCCATCAACCTCCATGCTGCTCATCATCTACTCCCTGGCCAACCTCCACGTTGTCTCCTGGGGCACCAGGGAAGTTCCCCAGGAACAAGCTCCAGCTCCTGATCCAGGCCAAGACACAGAGAAGGGCTCAAGTAATTTTGTGTTTTATTCTTACATTGTCTCTCTTTGATACGATTCTATGATAAATTAGCAAACTTTCAGGAGCTATATCTACATTTAATACTAGGCTTATCAGTTAACTATAAAAATTTTTTACGTCTACTTTTTCCTATTTCCTATATTAAATTTCCCCTATAGCAGTTCCCCCGTACCAGTTCCCCCTGTACCGTTCCCCCATACCGTTCCCCCTGTACCATCCCCCGTACCGTTTCTCCCGTACGTACCGTTTCTCCCGTACGTACCGTCCCCCCCCGTACCGTTTCCCCCCCGTACCGTTTCCTCCCCGTACCGTTTCCTCCCGTACCGTTTCCCCCCGTACCGTATCCCCCGTATCGTATCCCCCCGTATCGTACCCCCGGTACCTTTTCCCCGTACCGTTTCTCCCGTACGTACCGTTTCCCCCCGTACCGTTTCCCCCACGTATCGTATCCCCCCGTATCGTACCCCCCCGTACCGTTTACCCCCCTCCCTCAGTACCGTTCCCCCCCCCCCCCGACCGTTCCCCCCGTACCGTTCCCCCCGTACCGTTTCCCCCTCCCACCTACCGTTTCCCCCTCCCCCTCCCCCCACCTACCGTTTCCCCCTCCCCCCCACCTACCGTTTCCCCCTCCCCCCCCACCTACCGTTAAACCCTCCCCCTACCGTTAAACCCTCCCCCCTACCGTTAAACCCTCCCCCTCCCCCCGTACCGTTCCCCCCCGTTCCGTTCCCCCCCCGTTCCCCCTCCCTCTCCCCCCACCTACCGTTTCCCCCTTTCCCTCCCCCCACCTACCGTTTCCCCCTTTCCCTCCCCCCACCTACCGTTTCCCCCTTTCCCTCCCCCCACCTACCGTTTCCCCCTTTCCCTCCCCCCACCTACCCTTTCCCCCTTTCCCTCCCCCCACCTACCCTTTCCCCCTTTCCCTCCCCCCACCTACCGTTTCCCCCTTTCCCTCCCCCCACCTACCGTTTCCCCCTTTCCCTCCCCCCACCTACCGTTTCCCCCCTTTCCCTCCCCCCACCTACCGTTTCCCCCTTTCCCTCCCCCCACCTACCATTTCCCCCTCCCCCCCTACCGTTTCCCCCTCCCCCCCACCTACCGTTTCCCCCTCCCCCCCACCTACCGTTTCCCCCTCCCCCCCCCCACCTACCGTTTAACCCTCCCCCCCCACCTACCGTTTAACCCTCCCCCCCACCTACCGTTTAACCCTCCCCCCCCCACCTACCGTTTAACCCTCCCCCCCCCGTACCGTTTACCCCCCTCTTCCCCCGTACCGTTTCATCCCCCCGTACTGTTTCCCCACCCCCCATACCCCCCGTACCGTTCCCCCGTACGGTTTCCCCCCGTATGGTCCCCCCCCCCCCCATACCCGTACCTCCCCCGTACCCATTCCCCACCGTACCTGTTCCCCCCCCCCCCGTTCCGTTTCATCCCCCCGTACCGTTTCATCCCCCCGTACCGTTTCATCCCCCCGTACCGTTTACCCCCCCTCCCTCCCCTGTACCGTTCCCCCCCCCCCCATACCGTTTCCCCCGTATCGTTCCCCCGTACGGTCCCCCCATACCCGTTCCCCCCGTACCAGTTCCCCCCCTGTACCAGTTCCTCAACAGTTCCTCAATAAAAGTTCCTATTTTCTGCCTATTTCCTGCTACTCTAGAGCTGTTGGAAACCTTGACTGGGAACAAGAACAATGCGTCTGCTTACAGCATTTCCTTTGGTGACCTGTTCAGCTGTTTGTGCTGTCCTCGTAAGCAAGTCAACGAGTCTGAACTTAAGCTGCAAGCCATCTTAGACAGGGTGGACAGCCTAGAGAAGAAACTCACAGGATCCCCACACAATAAGCTGCACAAACAACTGAGTTTCTCCAGTAACTTGAAGGGAGACAATCCAGATGGTACTAATGAAGCTGATGAAAGTGAGCTCCCTTTATCTGATTTCATTAAACTGTGTCCCTCACATGTCACTTTGGAGTAAAAAAATTAAAAGAAAATGCCAATCAAATACTAAAAATTATGTATTTTTCTCACACAGTTTACCAAATTGCACTATCTGTTAATAAATTATATTTTATTAAATTGTGTCGATAAAAGAAAACAAACTGATGCAATGTTGGAAATGTCAGATTCAGAGTTTCTTCCAGGCATCTCTTTGGGGGTCTACGCCCCCCTCCCCACCAAAGAAAGTCTACCCCCCTCTCCCCCATAACGAAAAGGAATTTATACAGAAAATTTATACTTTTACCAGTGCCCCCAGAGAAAAAAGTCTGGAAGAAACGTTGGTCAGAGATTACTGTAGTCTTTCATTTTGTCACCAGTTGATCGGCTACAAGAAAACAAACAGAGCAAGATTACCTCCCCTTCCAAGTGGATTGATGATGAAGACCTGGGCAAAGGTCAGGAAGAAAAACTGGACGAGAACGAGGTTTGTGTTTTTAAAAAGGTCAACTCACTTATGCTAATTTGTTTAAAACTAGACGAGAACGAGGTTTGTGTTTTTACAAAGGTCAACTCACTTATGCTAATTTGTTTAAAACTAGACGAGAACGAGGTTTGTGTTTTTAAAAAAGTCAACTCACCTATGCTAATTTGTTTAAAACTAATCACTTAAAAATTTAACTCTGGAATTAAAGAGTGCTTAAACTAATGCTTCAAAATTTTAGCTCTTGAATTAAAAATTGCTTAAACTAATCATTCAAACAAAAGTTGAATACACTAATGCAAGCTTGTTTGAAACTAATCCATAATAATTTTAACTTTTATACAAGTTTGTTGCCACTCAAAACTTTTACTTTCTTGTGATGAGGGTTGGAAGTTGATTTGATGCTAAAAATAAATTTGTCATGTCTTTAATTAAAGACATGACAACATATAGACATTCAAGTAATAATAGAAGTTATTTATTGTATCTTAATAAAATTTACTTCCAAATGTTTTTGTTGAACAGACTGAATTTTGGACGACATTCATAGAAAATTATCTCAAGCCCCTGGATACAAACCAAGCCCATGAGGAGCAGGTGCAGAAGGAACTTCTAAAGCTCAGAAATAAGGTTCGACTTTGTAATGCACTTAACTGTATACAAGTTCTTTTATACAGGCTGAACAGTGACTAATTATGTTGTGATTAATTTCTGATTTGTCTACTTATTCTAACATTTTAAATCAATTCAGTTTCATATTAATGTCTATCTGGAGTTAAAAATTGTTTCAAACTGATAGGATTTTTTTATATTACATTAATAGTAATACACAAATAATAGATTGAAAATTTCACCCTTTAAAATGGTATATAAATGTATTTAATGACACTTTAAAATGGTATATAAATGTATTTAATGATGTTTTTTATTTTATTTTTTTGCTTTTCAGTCGTGCTTGGCTTTCTTCATCATAAATATTCTATTTATAATCCTGGTCTACACACTACAGACAATATCAGAGTACACAACAAACCTCTCCATCAAGGTAAAATATTTGCCAATCATGAAATGTGCTGTAGGTGCTAGTTAAGGAATGAATCAGCGACTGATTTATAGATTGTTTTTCAGAAAATTAAAGGGTTATGTCATGTTTGAGATGGTATAAAAACAGAGGTGGAGTGATGTTTGCTGGTGGTAGAGTGGTGTTTGCTGGTGGTAGAGTGGTATTTGCTGGTGGTGGAGTGGTGTTTGCTGGGGGTGGATTGGTGTTTGCTGGGGGTGGATTGGTGTTTGCTGGGGGTGGATTGGTGTTTGCTGGGGGTGGAGTGGTGTTTGCTGGGGGTGGAGTGGTGTTTGCTGGGGGTGGAGTGGAGTGGTGTTTGTTTGCTGAGGGGTGGAGTGGTGTTTGCTGAGGGTGGGGTGGGAGTGGAGTGGTGTTTGCTGGGGGTGGGGTGGGAGTGGAGTGGTGTTTGCTGGGGGTGGGGTGGGAGTGGAGTGGTGTTTGCTGGGGGTGGGGTGGGAGTGGAGTGGTGTTTGCTGGGGGTGGGGTGGGAGTGGAGTGGTGTTTGCTGGGGGTGGGGTGGGAGTGGAGTGGTGTTTGCTGGGGGTGGGGTGGGAGTGGAGTGGTGTTTGCTGGGGGTGGGGTGGGAGTGGAGTGGTGTTTGCTGGGGGTGGGAGTGGAGTGGTGTTTGCTGGGGGTGGGGTGGGAGTGGAGTGGTGTTTGCTGGGGGTGGGAGTGGAGTGGTGTTTGCTGGGGGTGGGGGTGGGAGTGGAGTGGTGTTTGCTGGGGGTGGGGTGGTGTTTCTTGGAGGTAATCAGTGAGAGGCTGCAAAGCTAGATAACTTTTTGTGAATGACTAAAAACTAAATAAATTAAGTAAGGTATCACATCTGTATTTAGAATAAACTGAATATGACTGTCAGGTGAACTCTACTTCACCTGTACACGACTCAGTCACGTGAACATGATGAAGACTGACTCAATGGTTTCTTCTGCAGATTCCATGTGAGATGGCTGGATTCAAAGGAGAGAAAATTGAGCCTATTAGTGTGGCCTTCACCTTGGTATTTGGGATTATGCTGACCTTGCAGTTTATTGCCATGCTGTTTCACCGCTACTCCACGATGTTGCATGTCATTGCCATCACTAACCTCAAGGTATACCCACATTATCTCCCCTTTGTTAGATCACTAACCTCAACCACATTATCTCCCCTTTGTTAGATCACTAACCTTAAGGTATACCCACATTATCTCCCCTTTGTTAGTTCACTAGCCTCAAGATATACCCACATTATCTCCCCTTTGTTAGATCACTAACCTTAAGGTATACCCACATTATCTCCCCTTTGTTAGTTCACTAGCCTCAAGATATACCCACATTATCTCCCCTTTGTTAGGACACCATTCTGATAATAAACAAATTATACTAGGCCTTATTAAGTTAAGACAATATTTAAGGCTACATTTATTTATAAAATAATTAAAATATTAATATATATATTAAAAAACTTGATTAAAGTCCTATTTTTTAAATTTATTTTAAATATTTTTTTATAATTGAAAAATGCAAATTGAAATCAATGACCTTACTAAACACATTACACAATTATAGCAGAATTTCTGTGATGAATGAAAACATTTTTTAAAAGAAACCTAGCAAGAAGACTGGAAAAGACAAAGACAGTAGCGCACCCAGCCCAGAGGAAGCAGTCAGTCTGGCTAAAAAAATGCAGGCGCCAAGTTCTGATGGTGACACAAACTCTCTGGCGCCTACCATTTCTGGTGATGTCAGTGAAGATGACATTAGTGAAGATGACATTAGTGATGATGACACTAGAGACATAAAGAAAACATCAGAAACACCACCTGGCACTATGATCAGAAAAAAGAGCTACAGTGTTTTAAACCGCATCAACTCCAGGAAACATGTGGTCAAGGTACCTGCTTGTTTTGATTGGGTGGTGTGATCAGCTTGTTTTGATTGAGTGGTGTGGTCAAGGTACCTGTTTGTTTTGATTGGGTGGTGTGGTCAGCTTGTTTTGATTGTGTGGTCAAGGTACATGCTTGTTTTGATTGGGTGATGTGGTCAAGGTACCTGCTTGTTTTGATTGGGTGGTGTGGTCAAGGTACCTGCTTGTTTTGATTGGGTGATGTGGTCAAGGTACCTGCTTGTTTTGATTGGGTGATGTGGTCAGCTTGTTTTGATTGGGTGGTGTGGTCAGCTTGTTTTGATTGGGTGGTGTGGTCAGCTTGTTTTGATTGGGTGGTGTGGTCAGCTTGTTTTGATTGGGTGATGTGGTCAGCTTGTTTTGATTGGGTGATGTGGTCAGCTTGTTTTGATTGGGTGGTGTGGTCAGCTTGTTTTGATTGGGTGGTGTGGTCAGCTTGTTTTGATTGGGTGGTGTGGTCAGCTTGTTTTGATTGGGTGGTGTGGTCAAGGTACCTGCTTGTTTTGATTGGGTGGTGTGGTCAGCTTGTTTTGATTGGGTGGTGTGGTCAAGGTACCTGCTTGTTTTGATTGGGTGGTGTGGTCAGCTTGTTTTGATTGGGTGGTGTGGTCAAGGTACCTGTTTGTTTTGATTGGGTGGTCAAGGTACCTGCTTGTTTTGATTGGGTGGTCAAGGTACCTGTTTGTTTTGATTGGGTGGTGTGGTCAAGGTACCTGTTTGTTTTGATTGGGTGGTCAAGGTACCTGCTTGTTTTGATTGGGTGGTGTGGTCAAGGTACCTGCTTGTTTTGATTGGGTGGTGTGGTCAAGGTACCTGCTTGTTTTGATTGGGTGATGTGGTCAAGGTACCTGCTTGTTTTGATTGGGTGGTCAAGGTACCTGTTTGTTTTGATTGGGTGGTGTGGTCAAGGTACCTGTTTGTTTTGATTGGGTGGTCAAGGTACCTGCTTGTTTTGATTGGGTGGTGTGGTCAAGGTACCTGCTTGTTTTGATTGGGTGGTGTGGTCAAGGTACCTGCTTGTTTTGATTGGGTGATGTGGTCAACGTACCTGCTTGTTTTGATTGGGTGGTGTGTGGTCAAGGTACCTGCTTGTTTTGATTGGGTGATGTGGTCAAGGTACCTGCTTGTTTTGATTGGGTGGTGTGGTCAGCTTGTTTTGATTGGGTGGTGTGGTCAGCTTGTTTTGATTGGGTGGTGTGGTCAGCTTGTTTTGATTGGGTGGTGTGGTCAGCTTGTTTTGATTGGGTGGTGTGGTCAAGGTACCTGCTTGTTTTGATTGGGTGGTGTGGTCAGCTTGTTTTGATTGGGTGGTGTGGTCAAGGTACCTGCTTGTTTTGATTGGGTGGTCAAGGTATCTGCTTGTTTTGATTGGGTGATGTGGTCAAGGTACCTGCTTGTTTTGATTGGGTGGTGTGGTCAGCTTGTTTTGATTGGGTGGTGTGGTCAGCTTGTTTTGATTGGGTGGTGTGGTCAAGGTACCTGCTTGTTTTGATTGGGTGGTCAAGGTACCTGCTTGTTTTGATTGGGTGGTGTGGTCAGCTTGTTTTGATTGGGTGGTCAAGGTACCTGCTTGTTTTGATTGGGTGGTCAAGGTACCTGCTTGTTTTGATTGGGTGGTGTGGTCAGCTTGTTTTGATTGGGTGGTGTGGTCAGCTTGTTTTGATTGGGTGGTGTGGTCAGCTTGTTTTGATTGGGTGGTGTGGTCAAGGTACCTGCTTGTTTTGATTGGGTGGTCAAGGTACCTGCTTGTTTTGATTGGGTGGTGTGGTCAGCTTGTTTTGATTGGGTGGTGTGGTCAAGGTACCTGCTTGTTTTGATTGGGTGGTCAAGGTACCTGCTTGTTTTGATTGGGTGGTCAAGGTACCTGCTTGTTTTGATTGGGTGGTGTGGTCAAGGTACCTGTTTGTTTTGATTGGGTGGTCAAGGTACCTGCTTGTTTTGATTGAGTGGTGTGGTCAAGGTACCTGCTTGTTTTGATTGGGTGGTCAAGGTACCTGCTTGTTTTGATTGAGTGGTGTGGTCAAGGTACCTGCTTGTTTTGATTGGGTGGTCAAGGTACCTGCTTGTTTTGATTGGGTGGTGTGGTCAGCTTGTTTTGATTGTGTGGTCAAGGTACATGCTTGTTTTGATTGTGTGGTCAAGGTACCTGTTTGTTTTGATTGGGTGGTGTGGTCAAGGTACCTGCTTGTTTTGATTGGGTGATGTGGTCAGCTTGTTTTGATTGTGTGGTCAAGGTACCTGTTTGTTTTGATTGGGTGGTGTGGTCAAGGTACCTGTTTGTTTTGATTGGGTGGTCAAGGTACCTGTTTGTTTTGATTGGGTGGTCAAGGTACCTGTTTGTTTTGATTGGGTGGTCAAGGTACCTGCTTGTTTTGATTGGGTGGTGTGGTCAAGGTACCTGCTTGTTTTGATTGGGTGGTGTGGTCAAGGTACCTGCTTGTTTTGATTGGGTGATGTGGTCAAGGTACCTGCTTGTTTTGATTGGGTGGTGTGGTCAGCTTGTTTTGATTGGGTGGTGTGGTCAGCTTGTTTTGATTGGGTGGTGTGGTCAGCTTGTTTTGATTGGGTGGTGTGGTCAGCTTGTTTTGATTGGGTGATGTGGTCAAGGTACCTGCTTGTTTTGATTGGGTGGTCAAGGTACCTGTTTGTTTTGATTGGGTGGTGTGGTCAAGGTACCTGCTTGTTTTGATTGGGTAGTCAAGGTACCTGTTTGTTTTGATTGGGTGGTGTGGTCAAGGTACCTGCTTGTTTTGATTGGGTGGTCAAGGTACCTGCTTGTTTTGATTGGGTGGTCAAGGTACCTGCTTGTTTTGATTGGGTGGTGTGGTCAAGGTACCTGCTTGTTTTGATTGGGTGGTGTGGTCAAGGTACCTGCTTGTTTTGATTGGGTGGTGTGGTCAGCTTGTTTTGATTGGGTGGTGTGGTCAAGGTACCTGCTTGTTTTGATTGGGTGGTGTGGTCAAGGTACCTGCTTGTTTTGATTGGGTGGTGTGGTCAAGGTACCTGCTTGTTTTGATTGGGTGGTCAAGGTACCTGCTTGTTTTGATTGAGTGGTGTGGTCAAGGTACCTGCTTGTTTTGATTGGGTGGTCAAGGTACCTGCTTGTTTTGATTGGGTGGTCAAGGTACCTGCTTGTTTTGATTGGGTGGTGTGGTCAGCTTGTTTTGATTGTGTGGTCAAGGTACATGCTTGTTTTGATTGTGTGGTCAAGGTACCTGTTTGTTTTGATTGGGTGGTGTGGTCAAGGTACCTGCTTGTTTTGATTGGGTAGTCAAGGTACCTGTTTGTTTTGATTGGGTGGTCAAGGTACCTGCTTGTTTTGATTGGGTAGTCAAGGTACCTGCTTGTTTTGATTGGGTGGTGTGGTCAAGGTACCTGCTTGTTTTGATTGGGTGGTGTGGTCAAGGTACCTGTTTGTTTTGATTGGGTGGTCAAGGTACCTGCTTGTTTTGATTGAGTGGTGTGGTCAAGGTACCTGCTTGTTTTGATTGGGTGGTGTGGTCAAGGTACCTGTTTGTTTTGATTGAGTGGTGTGGTCAAGGTACCTGTTTGTTTTGATTGAGTGGTGTGGTCAAGGTACCTGCTTGTTTTGATTGGGTGGTTTAAGTCTAGACTTATGGAAGTAGTAGCTTGGTTAAGTCACATCACAGGGTTAGGGTTTGCGTGAGTGGGTCATTTGCATTTAGCAAGTAACCAATGAAGTGCTGAAGTTAAGATTAATTTAATAAAATAAAACAATATGTTCGTGTGTTGGTCAGTGTTCCTCCTGTTGTGGGAAGTCAATATTGTTGACGTGTTGGTCATCATTTTTGGGTTGGTCAATGTCTTGGGTTGGTCAATGTCTTGGGTTGGTCAATGTTTTGTGTTGGTCAATGTCTTTGGGTTGGTCAATGTCTTGGGTTGGTCAATGTCTTGGGTTGGTCAATGTTTTTGGGTTGGTCAATGTTTTTGGGTTGGTCAATGTCTTTGGGTTGGTCAATGTCTTTGGGTTGGTCAATGTCTTGGGTTGGTCAATGTTTTGGGTTGGTCAATGTCTTGGGTTGGTCAATGTCTTGGGTTGGTCAATGTTTTTGGGTTGGTCAATGTTTTTGGGTTGGTCAATATTTTAATGTTGGTGGTCAATGTCTTGTGTTGGTCAATATCTTAATATTGTTGGTCAATGTCTTGGGTTGGTCAATGTCTTAATTATGGTGGTCAATGTCTAGGGTTGGATCACGTGTTTGGATCAGCCAGTATAGTTGAGCTGATATCTTGAACTTCTAAAGGTGAGAAACTGGCAATATTTCATTGTTAACATTTTGTTCCAGGGCCCTCAGTCCTTGTCTAGAAACTTCCTAAAGCGGTACAACAAGCTGGCAATACAACTACATGATTCATCAACAGATGAGGTGAGTGTTAGAAGAGTTTAGTGTTTGGGGAAGGGTGGAGGCGGGGGGGGGGGGGGGGGTCAAAGGTTGTTGGGATGGTGGGGTATTATGCAGGTGGGATGGTAGATGATGTGGAGGGATTGATGTGTTGGTGAGGGGAATTGTTAGCTGGTGAGGTTTTATGTCTTTTTCAGTTTTTTTAAATTTCAAATATTCTCCCATGTTAATGTGCTGATAGACCTCACATATATGGAGTGATTTTTTTCCTATACATAGTCCTAATCCTTCTGTCTTTTTTCTTGAAACTGTACCATACAACCATGTAACCATATCACGATACAACCATGTAACCATATCACGATACAACCATGTAACCATATCACGATACAACCACTCTCCCTCCAACTACCATTCAGTTATCCAACCACTAAACCCTAACCATGTTTTTATGGCTAGATTCAAGTGGAATCTATGGTCAACAAAGACATTTTTAAAGGCTTTGAGAAAGAGAATCTGTCCACCATTGCCAAGCTGAGCCGCCACAAAGAGATGAAGGAGCACATTCTCAAGAGATCTCACGACCTCAAGGGGAAGGTGCAGAATGTCTTCGACCTGATGAAAACAAATCGAAAAATGCTGCACAGATCCTCGGCACCAAGCGCGCTGTCTGCCATCCGGCGCTATGAAGATGGGTCAAGGTCACAGGTCGAGGCAGACGGCCAGGTCCCTAGAATCAGGTCACAGATTGAGGCAGACGGCCAGGTCCCTAGAATCAGGTCACAGATTGAGGCAGACGGCCAGGTCCCTAGAATCAGGTCACAGGTTGAGGCAGACGGCCAGATTCCTAGAATCAGGTCACAGGTCGAGGCAGACGGCCAGATTCCTAGAATCAGGTCACAGATTGAGACACGTGTCCAGATAGAACGTGAAGCTGAATCAGAGTGGACAGTTGGTCCACAACCCCGCCCACAACCCCGCCCACAACACACAGAGCCCCGCCCACAAGGTGTGTCGAGCAGGGAGGAAAATAACACAGGCAGCTATGACATTGAGCTCGTAGAATTAAAATCAAGTCCCAGTGAAACCAGTGATGGATTTTTGTTAAGTGAGGCCCTCTAGCTGCCAAATGGTTAATTTTAAAAATGTGTGGCTGCTAAAGGGTTAATTTTTAGAATTTGTGGTTGTAAAGAGTTAATTTTTAACATTTGCAGTGGCAAAATTTACTGCTAAAATTCATATATGCTAAAGTTCGTATATGCTGAAGTATTGATTGATTTTTAACAGCTGCAAAAAAAAAATAGTCAAAATGTTCAGCTGCTAAAGTGTTAACTACTAGAACATTTAGCTATTGAAGAGTTAACTGTATGTTTGGCTATAGCTGCCTCATATGATGACTTGCCACAATGTACATAAACCTCATTGTATTCACTGTTTTAGTGCTGAACTTCTCAACTGACATAATGTTTGTGGAATTACCATTCACGTGATAATGCTTATATTATGTAGACAACAATATATCTTTACTGACATAATGTTTGTGGAATTACCATTCATGTGATAATGCTTACATTATGTAGACAACGCTATATCTTTACTGACATAATGTTTGTGGAATTACCATTCATGTGATAATGCTTATATTATGTAGACAACGCTACATCTCTACTGACATAATGTTTGTGGAATGAGATAAAATTGCATTGTAATTATTGACATGAATTAATTATTTTAGTGCTGTATAATAAATTAATTTTATAACGACAAAGTTTATATAAACCTTGGGATCAAGACCAGCCAATGGGTAGAGAGGTTGTTCTGGTCAAGATATAAACATTTGTCCAGTCTTGTAAAGTAGGTTTGATTAGAGAGGTTGTTCTGGTCTAGATATAAACATTTGTCCAGTCTTGTAAAGTAGGTTTGATTAGAGAGGTTGTTCTGGTCAAGATATAAACATTTGACCAGTCTTGTAAAGTAGGTTTGATTAGAGAGGTTGTTCTGGTCAAGATATAAACATTTGACCAGCCAATGGGTAGAGAGGTTGTTCTGGTCAAGATATAAACATTTGACCAGCCTTGTAAAGTAGGTTTGATTAGAGAGGTTGTTCTGGTCAAGATATAAATATTTGACCAGCCTTGTAAAGTAGGTTTGATTAGAGAGGTTGTTCTGGTCCAGATATAAACATTTGTCCAGTCATGTAAAGTAGGTTTCTCATGGATGGAGAACTTCACCTCACATATCAGAAGGTTTAAATTGTTTTCATTTTACACAAAAATTGTAAAAAAAATTCACTTGAAATTATCTATAGCAAAATGTCTGAAAAGTTTCATTTAACTGATGCGGTAGTTGTAGTAGGTTGTGAATTACTACTCAGGGTTTGGAAATATTTAATAGCATTATATTTTGTTGTATAAACTTAGATTAAATCTTGTAAAAAAAACTTTTGTAAAAAATATGTAACATTATTACTGTGTATACTTTTGTTGATTCAAGGTTGGCTACTGACATGATTTTGTTTTATTCGCTTTATAGATTTTATACCCCATAATGTATGGTCAACTAAATGTATTGAATCCATATGCATGTCTCCTTACTCATATTTTAGGTGCTACATACAAAAACCTACCCTCACGTGAGTTATGATCTAGCTCACTAAGCCTCGTAGGCCTATATATAGCTCACTGCGGTATAACATTTGCAGGCAAGTCAAGGTTTAACCCCCAACCCCTGTACATTTTATTTTACACAACTAAAGGGAAAAATTATTTACAGGTAAGGGAAACAATTTAGCAACAAATTAATGAATCATTTTATAGATTATTTCCCTTAGGTTAAACAAGCATTTGGGGGGGGGGAGGGGTGTGAGAAGCGTAGGTGGTGGGAATGGGATTTTTTTTGGTTTAAAATAATTTACAAGTCTACAGACCCACCCCTCCCTTTAACATGAAACTAGTTGTGTTAAAAAGTGGGACTGTCAGTCGGACGACGAGACCCATAAGCTAGACATACACACACATACACGCCAATTAATATGGCAGGTTTTTAACAATCTATTGTTATTTGTGAAAACATGAAAATAATTTGTGTGTGATTATGAATTCTGCTCTTTATGCGGAGTCAATGATCAACATATAAAGATGGGAGAATGACTAGCCTACCAGGACAATTATAAAACAAGAAAATCGATGCAATAAACAATATTTTTAAACTATGAAGTGTACCCCAAGCATTTCTAAACATGATTTTTAGGTCTACACTTTTATACGTTTTTTAAATATAATCTTTGCAGTTGTATGTCTGATCAAATGCTTTCAGTTATTATATGCCTTTTTATCCACTTGGAGGGGAATGAGAGGTTACAGGAAGGAAAGTGGGTTGCTACCTAGAGGATGTTTCTTAAATACAAAAGTACCTACAACACTAATAATATTAATAATCCCCTTTTTAAAAATATAACAAGCCCTGTCTGTACGTTTGGCTTTCTTGTATTGGCTGCAGATAGACGATGGCGATTGGCGATTGCGACATTCAAATTTAAACGACACAATTTAAAACTTCGCCTGGAGCATGTCTACATCGTGATTTGTCAAACTTTTGCCATCAGGATAGACAATTCTCTAACATTTCAGCTACATTTTAATTCTCATTAGTAAAAAATTAATTAAAACAATTAATGAAATGTTGAAATCCGTAGTCGTGATGTCCATTTTTTTCTGTCCCAATGGACAAGCATCTGAGTTAAAGTCACAATGTCCAACGTATTAAACAGCCGATGTTTTGTCCAGCTGTGTATCTGAATTAGGGGGGGGGGGGTTGGGGGTGGGAAGGGGTTATTAGTCTGAGAGGAATTTTTGTTTTCCTGTTTACGAGTACCTGTAAAATTGTTAAACAACTTCAAAAAGTTCAACATAAAAGTTTAACAAGTACGGAAATAGGAAAGTTTGATAATGATATCCAAAATATAATTTTATATATTCCATGACGTGAACTTTAAAACCACGATTTGTTTTAGGTGGAGTAGAGTTTCATCCGCCCAGACTAATCTAGAACCACCGAAAATGACGTCAGCTTAATGTAGGAAGCATGTAAATAAAGCTGCCAGCTTACACGGTAGCCAAACTAGAGCCGCACAAAAACAGACGTAGACAGGGTAGCCACTAAAGAACAGACGTAGACAGGGTAGCCGGACAATAACAAGACGTAGACAGGGTAGCCACACAAGTACAGACGTAGACAGGGTAGCCACTAAAGAACAGACGTAGAAAGGGTAGCAATACAAAAACAGACGTAGACAGGGTAGCAACACAAGAACAGACGTAGACAGGGTAGCCACTAAAGAACAGACGTAGACAGGGTAGCAACACAAGAACGGACGTAGAAAGGGTAGCAATACAAGAACAGACGTAGACAGGGTAGCCAAACAATAATAAGACGTAGACAGGGTAGCCAAACAATAATAAGACGAAGACAAGATGACGAAACATCACGAGAACGATTGGCAACTTGGCTCCAACAGGAAATGGAACCATTATTGACGGCCGGCTGGAAGGCTTACTGCTGTAGACTGCTGTAGACTGGCGCTATTGTTTCGTTAGTGAGAACCGAGTCAAGATTGTTTTTCTGGGGGGGGGGGGGGGGGGCTGTGTCACGTGTATGTAGCACGTGACTTTGAATATATGGCTTAATCTAATCAAGCCAAGGTAGCCTTAATCATCAAACAACACGAGGGTTAGGATTAGTGTTAGGATTAGTGTTAGGATTAGGGATAGGGTAAAGGATAATGAGCGTGATAAATGTGGGAAGTACAGGTGGTTGAACTTTTGTTGCGATGAGTAGGGGGCAGCAAATAATATTACCTTTTTCCCGTTGCCCGCTAATTCAAAGTGAGAATTAAAAACACGATGAAAACTGAATAGGTCGGAACATTCTATTGAATTCTATTAAATATTGTATGTATAACGGAACTGAAACATATATACTTCAGGTTAATCATTTTTATCTGTGTTATAAATATTACCATACACATACAATCTACGCATATATATCTTAATGCTTACATTGCATTTATTTAATTGCATTTTGTACTTTCTGAATACACTGTGTACAAAAGTATTAACAAATGCCACGGGAAAACAAGTTTGTGACTTTATTTCCTGAAACGTTTTTTTCTATGAATTTTTTCCTACAATCCTAGCTTAATGTAAGGACATGCTAGAGTGTTATTTTAGCAAGCAAGGTCAGCGACCTTGACATTAAGACAATGGCGTCGGTTGATGGACGGTCTAAAGAGGCAGCACTGCTAGAGTTCCTGGCTCACAGACCGGATATTGGAGATTTGCGACTTTTTCCTTTTTGTCGCTGTTTGGAAATGTTCATTCTGTTTCTAGTTTATTTGAACTTTCACTACTATATATTGATTGAATGGGGAAAAGACCAGTCGATAGTGGTTTGAGAAAAGTCATGAAAAAATAGAAAACTGACGGTAGAAAATAAAAACGCCCCTCTTGACCTTTCTCGTTCAAATCCCGCGAGACAATGGTCCACTGACACATTCCGACACAGCCACTTTTGGCCGTCTTGTGTACTACCGTAACTGTTGTAATAAACGTTCTATTGTAATACTTATATTTTCCCTCAAACTTATTGAAAAAAAATCATTGAATCCATTGTCTTGTAGGACGGAAGTTTCCTTAAGGTAACGCGAAAACATATTTAGAAGTGTTACACTCTCTGGCCTGTGCAGGGTTTGGGTGAGGTGGGGTTGGGGATGTTTGGAGGATAGATATTCAGGTTTGTACATAGACACCGCTCTAGAACTTCAGGCAACATGAGGCACCACCCTAGATCCCCCTCCCCCATACCTCACTATATACTGTATGTTGGACTTGTTCTTACATTCTCCGCAAAACAAACAAGGTAATTAAAAAGTCTAGTGACAATTTTAGCGCAATTTCCTTATGTTATCTAAAAATAGCTCTGTCGTAGCGTAAATCAAGAGCAGGGTTGGTAAAACCATTGGTTAGTTATTAAAACGTATTTTATTAATTTTTTTCAGTATTTTACATGTTTTATATACAATAGAGTTACATGACTAAAAACTATTGCGCGCCTAGCTACTGAACGTGATGACGCAGCCATTGAACGTGATGGCGCAGCTATTGAACGTGATGACGCGTGTGGTGTGGTTGCATAAAATGCCTTCTAATTCGGTCCAAATTTTAATTAATTAAAAAAAAAATTTGTGACCGAACGAAAGGATATTTTTGAAAACTTTCTTCGGCAATATTGTTCTAAATTATGGCAGAAATCGATTGGTACATGTTTCAAGTCGCTAAGTGGTCTGGTTGCCGAGATATGGGCAAAAAACTGCATTTTTTTCGAGGTTTTTTGGCTTTTCCGGGAAATTCATGAAAGAAACCCGGAATTTTTTTGGCCTATGATCATCCTCGTAACTTGCTTAAAATAATTGCTTTTGGAACTGGTCCTCGATATTGCTTCGTTGAGGAGGAGATACGACTTAAAGCTGCGGACACACATTCATCCATACATTCATTCATCCATACATTCATTCATCCATCCATTCCCAGAAATGACGAGTTAATAAACGCAATTCTCCAGAATGGAAATTGCGCTAAAAATCTTTCGTGAAAGTTTCTTCATCTGCCAAGTTTAAAGCAATAGAACTCTAATATTTCAAGTCAACAGCTGGTAGACCCCACTCCACCCCTACCCCACCCACCGCCCACCCACCCACCCCACCTTACAATCACCCAAAGAGACCTGCTCATTGCGAGCCGCCCACCCACCCCACCATCTCCCAGAGAGACCTGCTCATTGCGAGACGCCCACCCACCCCACCCCACCCCACCCATCTCCCAGAGAGACATGACCAGTGCCAGCCGACGTTGTAGTTCTAGAGTTTCACAAAGTTATAACGCCGGCTCAGTGCATGTAACAAAATATTCTACGTATTTCAAAATTATAGACACCCTAGACCCCCCCCCCCCCCTCACCCAACGTGTCAAATTTCCAAAACTGCACACACAGAAACCAAACTCTTGGAATACGCTTACTTTACGCGGCCTTTCAAGTGCGAACTTTGACATTTAAAAACTGCAGTATTCCGTTTCTAGTTTAATTAAAAAGATAAAAAGTTAAAACTCGAAAAAAAAAAATTCTCAGCAATAGAAGCCCAGCAATGTTGAGGAAAAATATTCCGAGGAACTCAAAAAATGTGAGAAAAAAATGTTTTTTTGTTTTTGGCTTCGATGTTTAACAAATGCTTTACTGCACATTTTAAAAATTAGCTTTATAAAGTTAAACAAATTTTATAAACATTAAGTTAACCCATAAAGTCTCACTTGATATTATATCGTAATGGCATACAGATAGCTATTTCGATAAAGATTGAAAGACTTAACTAAGAGTACCCTTTAAACAGCATACTTAGTAACACAAAAGCTATTTTTATACAGTGCTACCTCGAGATGCGAAATTAATGCCTTCAAAAAAATTCACTACCTAAAATTGCTCGTATCTCAAAGCAATTTTCACCTTAGAAGTTAATTGAAATGTCATTAATCCGTTCCGGTTGACCTACTTTCTCCACTGTTAAAGTTTAACTCTGTAAGTTTGTTTGACACCTCTTGACAGGGTTTAACTCTAAAGTTTAACTGTACGGGTATTGGAGAATTTGTTTGACACCTCTTGACAGGGTTTAACGCTAAAGTTTAACTGTACGGGTATTGGAGAATTTGTTTGACACCTCTTGACAGGGTTTAACGCTAAAGTTTAACTGTACGGGTATTGGAGAATTTGTTTGACACCTCTTGACAGGGTTTAACGCTAAAGTTTAACTGTACGGGTATTGGAGAATTTGTTTTACACCCCTTGACAGGGTTTAACGCCAGTGTTTAACCCGTCTAACCCGACAATGAAGGCTTACCTCACACAATAAATGCCGACAGTGCCTGTTTGATATTTCAAACATCCCTAGGCTATTTATAGATTTCGGTGCAGCCGCCCCCACTCTTTATATATAATTCAGCTCACTTCAGCTAATCAGGTTAGGCGAATGAAAAGAAAAAGTTGTATATCTATGGAGAGGCTTCCAATCTTTGATTGAATCCATTTAATATTCAGCCTCAAACACTGAGCTTGTCTATTGACAAGATTAATATTTGAATAGGTTTAAAAGGTCGTGGGCACGATATAGTCATTGATTTGAAAGTCTGTAATCGATTACTTGTTTATGTATCGATACGATGCGAGGGTCAAGTTTTGTGTGGGCGTTAAGTGATGTGTTAAGTTCTAGGTTAGTGTGAGGTGTGAGGAAATCTAGGTTGGTGTGGGGAAATCGAGATTGGTGTGGGGAAATCGAGATTGGTGTGGGGAAATCGAGGTTGGTGTGGGAAGATGTAG